CTATGTTACATCGTCGGAACCGTAGCCTTCTTTCAAGAGCATTCAGACATTTTGGTGAATCTAGGATTCGAGCGACCATTAGATCATGGCTACTCTGCCATCCGGGCATGTTAAAGACTATGAAGAGTCTATACACAGGTCGACTGAAACTGAGACATGTGTTGTATCCCTGGCACATGGAGGCAGTGAATGGAAGATGGATGTAACTGATGGGCCTATCACTGCGTACTGTGAAGGTGTGGATGTCATGGTGGGACTGTGGCCATACAGTTAACGCGTCTGATGGGATCGGGTGGTCAGGCTCGCTGACTTGCACATGTCATCGGTTCCCAATTACGTAGATCGATTGTAGATCGGATTGTCTGGCCAGACTCGATTATTTACAGACAAACCCCTACTTTTGAGAATGCGAGAACACTTCCGAATAAGCCACAAAACACTGTCCATAATTATTGAATAATTATCTGCCAAAAACATTGTCCATTGTAAATACTGTTTATGACACCGGGTGTTCGTGAAAAGTGAGCATATCTTGATACTGATTGTCAATATCCACGTGGTGAACATAGCTTTCGGCAGTGAGGTACACAAAGTCCGCAGCCTATAGCTAGACTACCACTTGTCCGAATGAGTTGTGACGTGACCTTGTACACCTGAATTGTGACGTGACCCAGTACATCTGAGTTGTTACGTGACCTTGTTCACCTGAGTTGTGACGTGGCCTTGTACACCTGAGTTGTGACGTGACCTTGTACACCTGAGTTGTGACGTGACCCAGTACACCTGAGTTGTGACGTGACCCAGTGACATTCTGAGTACACCTGTTGACCCACTTGTACACCTGACCCAGTACACCTGAGTTGTGACGTGACCGTGTACACCTGAGTTGTGACGTAACCACGTGACCTGAGTTGTGACGTGACCCAGTACACCTGAGTTGTGACGTGACCAAGCTAGTACCACCTGAGTTGTGACGTGACCCAGTACACCTGGGTTGTGACGTGAGCCGTGAGTACACACACCTGAGTTGTGACGTGACCCGAGTACACCTGAGTTGTGACGTGACCTAGTACACCTGAGTTGTGACGTGACCCAGTACACCTGAGGTTGTGACGTGACCCTGAGTTGTACACCTGAGTTGTGACGTGACCTTGTACACCTGAGTTGTGACGTGACCTTGTACACCTGAGTTGTGACGTGACCCAGTACACCTGAGTTGTGACGTGACCGAGTACACCTGAGTTGTGACGTGACCTTGTACACCTGAGTTGTGACGTACACCTGAGTACACCTGAGTTGTGACGTGAGTACACCTGAGTTGTGACGTGACCTGTACACCTGAGTTGTGACGTGACCCAGTACACCTGAGTTGTGACGTGACCCAGTACACCTGAGTTGTGACGTGACCTGAGTACACCTGAGTTGTGACGTGACCCAGTACACCTGAGTTGTGACGTGACCTACCACACCTGAGTTGTGACGTGACCCAGTACACCTGAGTTGTGACGTGACCCAGTACACCTGAGTTGTGACGTGACCCAGTACACCTGAGTTGTGACGTGACCTTGTACACCTGAGTTGTGACGTGACCCAGTACACCTGAGTTGTGACGTGACCCAGTACACCTGAGTTGTGACGTGACCCAGTACACCTGAGTTGTGACGTGACCCAGTACACCTGAGTTGTGACGTGACCTTGTACACCTGAGTTGTGACGTGACCCGAGTACACCTGAGTTGTGACGTGACCTAGTACACCTGAGTTGTGACGTGACCCAGTACACCTGAGTTGTGACGTGACCCAGTACACCTGAGTTGTGACGTGACCCAGTACACCTGAGTTGTGACGTGACCCAGTACACCTGAGTTGTGACGTGACCCAGTACACCTGAGTTGTGACGTGACCCAGTACACCTGGGTTGTGACGTGACCTGAGTACACCTGAGTTGTGACGTGACCCAGTACACCTGGGTTGTGACGTGACCTTACACCTGAGTTGTGACGTGACCCAGTACACCTGAGTTGTGACGTGACCCAGTACACCTGAGTTGTGACGTGACCTGAGTACACCTGAGTTGTGACGTGACCTTGTACACCTGAGTTGTGACGTGACCTTGTACACCTGAGTTGTGACGTGAGCCGAGTACACCTGAGTTGTGACGTGACCTTGTACACCTGAGTTGTGACGTGACCAGAGTACACCTGAGTTGTGACGTGACCCAGTACACCCTGAGTTGTGACGTGACGACCCAGTACACCTGAGTTGTGACGTGACCTTGTACACCTGAGTTGTGACGTGACCTTGTACACCTGAGTTGTGACGTGACCTAGTACACCTGACGTTGTGACGTGACCCAACGTGACCCACACCTGAGTTGTGACGTGACCAAGTACACCTGAGTTGTGACGTGACCCAGTACACCTGAGTTGTGACGTGACCCAGTACACCTGAGTTGTGACGTTACTAAAGTTGATTATTTTCCCATACTTCTTCATGTATATTATCCGTGCGTGTAAATATTGAATTCAGCCAACGAGTTGTTTTGATAAATGCATTGAACACAATGTACTAAAGGCCTGTGGCCTTGTCAGTACCGAAATAAATATATATATATATATAACTTTGTTGTGTTTAAATACATTACCGGATTTATTCGAGATTGGTTTAGATATTAAGTGAACATGTACAGGCAGATAGTTTGCATACATTTAGTTTGACTGTTGCCAAAGAAGTTAAAGAATATCTCAGCTATACAATGGAGACCTGTAAATAATCGAGTATGCAAGCTAGTGGTCGATAGCATGACTACACAAAATCTTATCCTCATTTTAGTGGAATGGTAATAGGACAACTTGCCGGGGTAGTTGTGTAGCTGGCTGTGTACGGGAGTAGCTCGGTGCTGGAGCAGCTGGGTTTGAGGTGGAGTAGATGGCTGGGTAGCAGAGCAGATTGCAGGGTGGAAGAGTAGTTGGCTGGGTAGTAGAGCACCTTGCAGGGTGGAAGAGTTGTTGGCTGGGTAGCAGAGCAACTTGCGGGGTGGTGGAGTAGCTGGCTGGGTAGCAGAGCACCTTGCGGGGTAGTGGAGTAGCTGACTGGGTAACAGAGCACCTTGCAGGGTAGTGGAGTAGCTGACTGGGTAGCAGAGCACCTTGCAGCGTGGTAGAGTAGTTGACTGAGTAGCAGAGCACCTTGCGGGGTAGTGGAGTAGCTGACTGGGTAGCAGAGCACCTTGCAGGGTGGTGGAGTAGCTGACTGGGTACCAGAGCACCTTGCAGGGCGGTGGAGTAGTTGGCTGGGTAGCAGAGCACCTTGCAGCGTGGTGGAGTAGCTGACTGGGTAGCAGTGCATCTTGCAGGGTGGTGGAGTAGCTGACTGGATAGCAGTGCATCTTACAGGGTGGTGGAGTAGCTGAGTGGGTAGCAGTGCACCTTGCAGGGTGTCGGAGTAGCTGACTGGGTAGCATAGCACCTTGTAGGGTGGCAGAGTAGTTGACTGAGTAGCAGAGCACCTTGTGGGGTGGTGGAGTAGCTGACTGGGTAGCAGAGCACCTTGCAGGGTGATGGAGTAGCTGACTGGGTAGCAGAGCACCTTGCAGGGTGGTGGAGTAGCTGACTGGGTAGCAGAGCACCTTGCAGGGTAGTGGAGTAGCTGACTGGGTAGCAGAGCACCTTGCAGGGTGATAGAGTAGCTGACTGGGAAGCAGAGCACCTTGCAGGGTGGTGGAGTAGCTGACTGGGTAGCAGAGCACCTTGCAGGGTGGTGGAGTAGCTGACTGGGTAGCAGAGCACCTTGCAGGGTGGTGGAGTAGCTGACTGGGTAGCAGAGCACCTTGCAGGGTGGTGGAGTAGCTGACTGGGTAGCAGAGCACCTTGCAGGGTTGTGGAGTAGCTGGCTGGGTAGCAGAGCACCTTGCAGCGTGGTGGAGTAGCTGACTGGGTAGCAGTGCATCTTGCAGGGTGGTGGAGTAGCTGACTGGGTAGCAGTGCATCTTGCAGGGTGGTGGAGTAGCTGAGTGGGTAGCAGAGCACCTTGCAGGGTGGTAGAGTAGTTGACTGAGTAGCAGAGCACCTTGCGGGGTGGTGGAGTAGTTGACTGAGTAGTGGAGTAGCTGGCGGGGTAGTGTAGTAGCTGGCTGGGTAGTGGAATAACTGGTTAGGTAGTGGAGTACCTTGAGGGGTAGTGGAGTAGCGGGCTGGGTAGTGGAGTAGATGGCAGAGTGGTTGAGTAGGTGGCAGAGTGGTGGACTAGCTGGCTACATGTAGGTAGTGGAGTCGCTGGCGGAATAGTGTAGTAGCTGGCTGGGTAGTGGAATAACTGGTTAGGTAGTGGAGTACCTTGTGGGGTGGTGGAGTAGCTGACTGGGTAGGCAAATGTTGTTTCCCCTCAATAGTCACCCCTAACTCACTGTAACATTCTGAAACACACTATATGTATTCACTGTATGTATATATACTCATGCTCTAATGGTTGTCACCCCCTCCCCACCCCAACCCCCACACACACCTCACAACCCCACCCTACACACCCTCTCCAATTAAAAAAAATTAGGGGGGTGACAACCATTATTGGCATGAGTATATATAAAACCAGGGATTATGTATAATCCCGGAAATTTTCATTATGAAACGGTTTGTATATATTTACTGCACATTCTGAAAGATGCTGTATTCATTTACTTATAACATAGTCAAACATTTTGTAAATACTCCCAGTTACAGTTTAAAACGTACCGTATGTATCACAGTAACATTTCCAAACATATTATACATATTCATTCTCTAAAACAGCGATATCTTAAACAGACATGTAACAAATCTTATTTGCAGATAAACTTCCAATGGGCAAGATCTAATTAGGCAGAATAATTTTTATGAAAGAAATACCGTTTGACCACATCTAAGGACATTGCCACATATCAATGGGACCTAAAAAGACTAAAGTACATGTATAAAAATATAGAAAACATATATATTCAGATTCCAACAACTAAATACTTACTACTCTGTCCGTGAAATGCTGGAAATCCCTGATCAGGATCTCTCTGGCAATGTCGGGATCCAGTACATTGACCATCGGAAGGCCACCCACAAAACCCTGAAACGACAGCAGGCTTGTTTAGCAGGAAGTAATGATTGAGTGAGGGAGTAGAGACTGCTTCATGGGGAGGAGGTCCGAATAAAGAATTTATAGACATTACTCAGGCGCACGTGTATGGAGCCGAAGAACCATAACCAGGAAGATTCTGGATTTGAACTGATGATCACGTCCCTTAAGGGAGATAACTCTGCACTGTCAGCTGACAACGTATAAACATCAGCATTCTTGGTAAATGATAACGATGTCATCACTTTCAAAACAAACCTTACCCATATTACTCAAATTCAAAAGAGGAAAACCAAAGTATAGATCTGGTGATCGGGCTCATTAGTTGATTAAATTAGTAAAAAAATAGAAAATAAGTACAACAAATCTAAACATTTCAGTCCACCTATACGTTTATATGCTACTTATATACATGTATTTTACTGGCGGTGTAAGATAATCAATGCAGGTAGACAGGTAAGGCATGCATTTCGAGAAATCGTTTCCTTTGTTCGTTCACGCTTTCTTACCTGTTTTGAATATGTATGTTAATATGTAAATAGGTCTGTTGGCTGCATACGTAATTGATGATGATGAATATCTCGACGAATAGGATAATTGCTCATACTATCGATCACTGGATTGCCTGATCCATACTGGATTACAGTAACAGTGAGTGTGGTAATACGTCGCTTTAAAATAGCAATATTCCAGCAATAATACAGGGGATCCAATAAATAGGCTTCACACATTGTACCCATGTTGGGAAATGAACCCCGGTCTTCAAAGTGACGAGCGAACGCTTTAACCACTGGGCTACCCCACGGCCCCCCAGACTGGATTAAATCCATGCTGCCGCCATATGGCTGGAGTATTGCCGGGTGTTAAGAGAGAGAACCAAACAGACAAGTTGAGAATAACAATCATGCATGCACAAATGGTGGTTACTTGGAACATATGACATTCTCCAAGTCTCTGTCATACTGCCGTTTATGTATGATTTAAACCAAGGGGAGATAAGCTCGACGGATCTACATACCCGTATACTTTACCATACTGTTTGAAGTGCTTGTTGTCAAAGTCCAGACCCTGTAACAAGATGCCATCTTTGATGTATGTTTCAAATGAAAAAATCACAATCATCAACCAGCAGATATACTGAACAGCAAAGAAACGCAACTCTGGCTTTTGTCAAGTTTTTAAATAGAAGACATAAACATGAACGCTTACTTTATGAGATGTCATTTTTCGAAAATTGCGGTTTTGTTGTTGTTCATGTCAAAATGGCACTGTACTGTATTTTGTCGGGACATGTATCACATATTACATCCCGAACAAAAGTAGTTTGGTGTCACGGACATTTTGGGGATAACTTTTGTATTGACGACTGGGCATACAATCTCTTCCCCAAATTCCTCAAATTTATTCATGTTCTCTAGCTTATGTTCAGAGCAGGAATATCATACTTATATATCCGGAAGAGATATTGAATTTGATATAATCTGGATATTTTTAAGTCAAGGTGAACTAGGAACTTCATTGTTCTTTTCAAAGAAGGTTTATTTGAAATTAAACGATGAGCTCACGTGCTTAATCATCTGATGGAAGTTCCCGATATAAATCACAGGCTCCGGACCAGGAATACCAGCATCCTTGAACAGACGGTTCCTCCTCTTTCCATATCTGAACAAAATAAAGAGAAGAGCAACGTCAAAATGTAGACTGGTTAGAGTTGTAGTGAAAATAAAAATTAAAAGGTAAGTAATCTTAGGGTTAGGGTAAAAAATCATCTATAATTCTTTATACTCAAAGAATAATAAAAACAGGGGGTTACGGGCGGAAATCTGTCCTAAAGATCCAGGTAAGAAGCTTAGTGATCTTCATCAATCAGTGAGTTTCGTAAGATGCGACAAATAGGATATACAAATATATAGGGTGGTCAGGCTCGCTGACTTGGTTGACACATGTCATCGTACCCAATTGCGTAGATCGATGTTCATGATGTAGATCACTTGATCGTTTAATCCAAATTCGGTTATTTATAGACCGCCGCCATGTAGCTGGAAAATTGCTGGGTACAGCGTTAAACAACAACCAAACAAATCTAAAAGTGACGTCAACAGTTTGAAGCAAACTTAAGTAGGTGCTTATGAGATGCCCCCTTTGAAAAATTTGATTACAGGAAAACGGCCTTCACCTTCTGACATTTAATGCAGCCGTATCGGTCGTCACTCTGGTTTCGGTCGTGTTTATTTACGACGGTGTGTTAACCTGACAATAGTCAACTAATCTCAACAGTACATCATATATCCAATAATTTTACTTACGCATAAATCAGAAACAAAACCGATATCCACAGAATCCATGTTGGAGAGATGTCAACACAGCCGAGTATCTCCATCAGGAAGTGTCTCCAGGAAAACAATGGGCTTCCAAAACAACACCGAGATCAGTCTGCTCTTGGTGATTCACAAATAATATACTGACGTTAATGGGAGCCACTCAGTGACGTACATTCAATGTCATGTCAGTTGGACTTCGGGTTCCGCGCCGAAGGCAGGAGTTAGTTTTTCCCTGGGAGATTCGCTTGCAAAGATAGCGAAATGGGGAGTGTCTCAAAACGTCTTAGATGCATTAAACCTCCATCCACAGTTATGCGGGGAATAGGAAATGGGTCTGTCAGATTTCGTTTCAGGTTTGTAGAGTATAAACTGTTTGATATTTCTTTGTGAAACATAACCGGTGCCTGTTTATTTTTATGTGCGTTTAAATGGCAGCTAGTTGGGACCACGATTTACCTGCGGGTGTTGATTTCTTTCTTATGTTAATTTTGTTTCATCTACCAAGTCAGCCAACCAGACGTCTAGATCCCGTTAGTCGCCTCTCATGACAAGCATGGGTTGTTGGAAACCAATTCAAACTTAACCGGAGTAGCACAAGTAGCTACTGACACATGCGTCCGCGCACACACACACAAACACGCGCGCACGCATGCACGCGTACGTCGCTAATATAAGAGCTTTGAAAATTGATCTCGACGTGAATATCCATGCCACCCCACAGTGTCGGGTGAGTGGGTGAGAGAGTGAGACTGGTTTTACGCCGCTTTTATCAACATTCCAGTAATATCACGTACGGCGGGTGACATAAGATGTGGGCTTCACGCATTGTACCCATTGGAAAACTGAACCCGGGACTTCGGCGTGACGACCAAACGCTGTACCCACTAAGCTACGCACCCGACCGCCCCTTGTCGAGTGAGTGAATGGTGTGTGTCGCCGCAGTCAGCAATACTCCCCATGTATTAAGACGTCCCATCAGTAACATGGTGTGGGTCACGTTAAGGGATGACAAAGTTCCCATCTTCTATGTATGTTTCAGTGAGTATCATTTTGCAGATCTCTTGGGCAAAAATAGCCTGTATCCTATTATCAGTCCTTCTATTTGTTGTGACAGGCCCCAGGCTTATTACAAATACAAGAATAGAGCATGCGTAGGTATTGTGCACAAGCGTAGATGAACACATATCCCTTTCTATTAAACAGAGACCATATACCGGTATATGGTCTCTGTATTAAATGAGGGGCGGTTGGGTAGCCTAGTGGTTAATGCGTTCGCTCGTCATGCTGAAGACCCGGGTTCGATTCCCCATATGAGCACAATGTCTGAAGCCCATTTCTGGTGTCCCCCGCCGTGATAATCATGGAATATTGCTAAAAAGCGGTGTAAAACCCAACTCACTCTAGCATGTTAAATACATGTTGCGTACATGCACACAATGTACGTTTACCTATACCAATATGTATAAGATGCAACACGACTTCAAACTGGAGTGTTTCATCCAAATCATTAACTGTAAAGTAACCATTTCCTAATTTCCTAATTCCTTTTCAAAACCAGAGACTGCCTGTTGAAGCGATGTGTTTCCCCCTGCACAGCACGTGTTGTACGTGCCTACAAACACGCGATCCCTCGTCGCCCGTCTGGTTCTTCGGGAGAGAAGGCGTGTGAACATGAACTCCAGAAACGAAGTTTACGTTTCTGTGTCCTTGGGAACATATGTTGCAAATTAACACGTTCCAGTCTTAGATTCCTAAATTTGCTTGGGTATTGGTACACTGATTTATAGGACTGCACGGTATTACCGGTACATGTATACCGGTATATCACAAGACGATTTTCAAACGATATGTACTGCAATATTTTTTCTGAGAACCGGGATATTAGGTAAAGAACATATATGAAGGTTTTTTGTGATTATCTTTATGTTTTAAATTAAACTCTACACCTACACAGTCTTTCATTCACAACAAATGTTTTCCTTCATTATTCAATAAGAAAACGGCGTAGTGTAATACTATAAATTGTATGAAAAGGAAAATAGAATCCTTGAACATGCAACCTGTTTTTAGACTGCCTGCCTGTTATCAGAACCCTGACATACATGTTTAGGTGAGGTGAGGTGAAATTGGGTTTTACGTCGTGCTTGAGAATATTTCGCTCATATGACGACGTGCATGCGTGTGTATGTGTATGTGCGGCTGCTTGTACTAGTCCAGACTGAAGCTGGTTTTATAGTGCTAGCCCACTGCGATATCATTCCGCAGTGAAGCATGAATACCCCACTCAGACACATTATACTGACTCCGAGCCGACCAGTCCTTGATGTACCCATTAATGCCGAGCGCCAGGCAGGGACCAACAAGTACCATATTATAACGTCTTTTGGTATGACGCGGTTGGGGATCGAACCCGCAACCTTCCGCTCTCCGGGCGGACGCTCTAACCACTACACCACGGAGGCGGTCATACATGTTTAGGGACTTAGGGATGATAGTAATGTAGAAAATAGGATAGACATGCACAATTGGTCTCACTCAATGCCACACAGTTCCCAATATATGGCAATACTTGTACATGAATAGCAATATATTGCAATACAATTTATTTGACAATACACAGCCCTACTGATTTACATATTTTCCTCCGACCCGTGTCATTCCGGAGCAGGTCAAGAATATCGGCAGGGGTGACGAGTGAGTGAGTGAGTTTAGTTTCACGCCCCTTTGGCAATATTCCAGCAATAGCATGGTAGGGGATACCAGAAATTGTCTTTACACATGCGGTGAATTCGAACCTGGGTCTTCGGTGTGACGACTTTAACCACTAGGCTACCCCATCGCCCCAGTATGAAGAGTAAGGCCAATATGAGGCAACCCTGTGGTGCACCACTGTTCACTTGAACAAACTGAAACCTCTTAATCGCGGAGTGGCGAGGAATACCACTTATTAAAAATATTGATCCGCCCTTATAGTTTGTCATGTGTTTATAAGATCCTCCCCGTGTCCTTGTATTACTTGTCATGATCCTACTTGAACATTATATTGTATTATAAAAGCCCATATGTGTGATATTTGGTATTATGCCCCAGTTCAATTACTCTCTTGGGAAGTCATGCAGTATGTTTTCAGTAAGCTTAGGATGAAAAACTTCAAATAGCATCTATGTGCCTGAAAATACCTTACAACAATTCAGATCAATTCTAACCAGGGTTCATGCCCCGGTGTCCAGATATACATGCCCCTGTGATATATCATGCCCCAGTGTCCAGATATACATGCCCCTGTGATATATCACGCCACAGTGTCCAGATATACATGCCCCTGTGATATATCTCGCAACAGTGTCCTGATATACATGCCCCTGTGATATATCACGCCCCAGTGTCCAGATATACATGCCCCCCTGTGATTTATCACGCCATAGTGTCCAGATATAAATGCCCCTGTGATATATAACGCAACAGTGTCCTGATATACATGCCCCTATGATATATCACGCCCCAGGGTCCAGATATACATGCCCCCCTATGATATATCACGCCACAGTGTCCAGATATACATGCCCCTGTCATATATCATGCCACAGTGTCCAGGCATACATGCCCGTGATATATCATGCCCCAGTGTCCAGATATACATGCCCCTGTGATATATCACGCATCAGTGTTCAGATATACATGCCCTGGGATATATCATGCCACAGTGTCTAGATATACATGCCCCTGTCATATATCTCGCCCCAGTGTGCAGACATACATGCCCCTGTGACATATATCAGTGTCAGATATACATGCCCCTGTGATATATCACGCCACAGTGTCCAGATATACATGCCCTCTGATATATCACGCCCCAGTGTCCTGATATACATGCCCCTGTGATATATCATGCCACAGTGTCCAGATATACATGCCCTGTGATATATCATGCCACAGTGTCCAGATATACATGCCCTGTGATATATCACGCCCCAGTGTCCAGATATACATGCCCCTGTGATATATCACGCTACAGTGTCCAGATATACATGCCCTGGGATATATCATGCCACAGTGTCCAGATATACATGCCCCTGTCATATATCTCGCCGCAGTGTGCAGACATACATGCCCGTGTGACATATCACGCCAGTGTCAAGATATACATGCCCCTGTGATATATCACGCCACAGTGTCCAGATATACACGCCCCTCTGATATATCACGCCCCAGTGTCCAGATATACATGCCCCTGTGATATATCATGCCACAGTGTCCAGATATACATGCCCCTGTGATATATCATGCCACAGTGTCCAGATATACATGCCGCTGTGACATTTCACGCCCCAGTGTCCTGATATACATGCCCCTGTGATATATCATGCCACAGTGTCCAGGCATACATGCCCGTGATATATCACACCCCAGTGTCCAGATATACATGCCCCTGTGATATATCACGCCCAGTGTCCAGATATACATGCCCCTGTGATATATCACACCCCAGTGTCCAGATATACATGCCCCTGTGATATATCACGCCACAGTGTGCAGACATACATGACCCCCTGTGACATATCACGCCAGTGTCCAGATATACATGCCCCTGTGATATATCACGCCCCAGTGTCCTGATATACATGCCCCTGTCATATATCATGCCACAGTGTTCAGATATACATGCTCCTGTGATATATAATGCCAGTGTCCAGATACACATGCCGCTGTGATATATCATGCAACAGTGTCCAGACATACATGCTCCTGTGATATATAATGCCACAGTGTCCAGAAATACATGCTCCTGTGATATATCATGCAACAGTGTCCAGACATACATGCCCCCCTGTGACATTTCACGCCCCAGTGTCCAGATATACATGCCCCTGTGATATATCATGCCACAGTGTCCAGACATACATGCCCCCCTGTGATATATCACGCCACAGTGTCCAGATAAACATGCCCCTGTGATATATCACGCCCCAGTGTCCAGATATACATGCCCATGTGATATATCATGCCACAGTGTCCAGACATACATGTCCCTGTGATATATCACGCCACAGTGTCCATATATACATGCCCCTGTGATATATCACGCCAGTGTCCAGACATACATGCCCGTGATATATCACGCCCCAGTGTCCAAATATACATGCCCCATTCGTGACCAACTCGTGTTATTCCTGGACAAGCCGATTAGCGAATTTACGGAAAGGGGCGAGTGGTGACGAATGGTCAACAAAACCGAGAAACACCATTGCCGGTGGACTTTTTCAATGATTTTATCCAAAACGGTTAAACGTCAAAACAGTCAGGGAAAAAATATTTAAACGGCCACAACCTAATCCTTATGTTAAAAAAGAACCACCCAACCTAGCTACCTATACCTATCACTTGACGTAATTTCCATGTCATTTCATTGTAGCATAAACAATTTTCATGAAGTGAGTTAAGGATGGATCTTTGTAATATTTGACAGGCAAATTTGAAATCATCTCTGCTCTGCGTACATAATTTCAGTTCAATTTTCCGACCACTAATGACATCCCATTTATCAACTTACGTATGGTTCCACAATGCACAATCCCATAGGCCACCATGTAAAGGAGTTCACGGCACTGTACACATCTTGATTAAATTGTTGCCATTCGATAAATAAGCAACGGAAAATTAAAGAGAAATTATGTGATTGTAGGTAAGATGATTCCTGACCAATGTGCAAAATTTGACTTGGATCTTACGATCATTAAATTCATGAAAATTATTTATGGTACACTAAATTAACAAGTTAAGTCACCGGAAATTACGTCAAGTGTCCGAATATAACTGGCACGGGTCTCTACATACATACGCACGCACGCAAGCACATACATACATACGCACACACACACACACGCACGCACGCACGCACGCACGCACACACACACATACATACATACATACATACATACATACATACATACATACATACATACATACATACATACATACATACATACATACATACATACATACATACATACATACATACATATATCAATGAAATGTTTTCAGACGTCGTCTATATTGCAGTTTAAATGAAGGATATCAGAATGTCACTGATGGCAAATAATGCATCATCACCATCATCATCATCATCCTGCTACGACACAACGGACGTGATACCAATCAGTTACCAAATTGTTTCCTTGTTGCATACTTTTGATTGACAGAATAAGGAAGCATGTTGTTAGTTGGCAGTGTTATTCAGTGTGGAACAATGTTCCAAGTGTAGTACATTGTTCACGTAGATTCTGTAAGGGGCAGTAGTGTGCTATATTTAGACGTACTAGACTGGGAAGAATGATCTGGAAAGTACTTCAGGGTGCTCGTGAAAGGGTCTGCCACCTAAAAGAGTATTGTACAGAATTTCTCGACTTCTTCTTGTGTATAAAGGCGGAGCTGCAGCTGGCTATTGCCTCTCATCTCACATGACATCTCGAGTTACCGGAGGAGTAGTCTCTCGTACAGACCCTGAAGCAAATATATCCAAGAAAGCCCACACAAGTCTAGAAAATGTGGCAAGTCTAGATTTCCTCAGCTTCAGTCTGAAAATGAAGAAAGTCTCAGGGCTCCTTTTCATTATATATATATATTTTTTTTACTATGAACTTTTTTCAGTAAAATATGTTCATTTCAGAGGCTAGTTGTTAGTCTACCGGAGGAGCAGCATAATATTCTGTGTGATGGTCATATACCCTGCCTTGGCCTATTTGCAAGCTGGATGACTGTCGCTGAGATCTTACCTCCTCTTCCTTTATTGCTATTATCTCGGCACTTGTATTGTCTTACCTTTGAATTTGTCCTGCCCTTCTTTTTTGTACTGCCATAAAGATACCTGTGTCGTGATTTGTATTGATTTTTAAGTTAATATATTTTAGAACACGGTTTGCTTGTTTGCTGGTTTCCTTCTAAAGTCTGATTTCCGGTTAACATTTTATTCTAAATTTGGTAACAAAGCAATGTGCGCAAATGATATTTTGTCAGGTTACATTCAAGTTGTGGGATATCAATTCTTGTACATTCATTTGTACCCAACATATGAAAGTATATAGAAGCACGGTACACATTTTATCCAATACGTAAGAGCCATATTAATGTATTATATATAGAATCATGAACACTGTCACATATTATTATTCACTATGTTCAAGACATACAATGTTAAAAGAAAGAAACATATTATTATTATTATACATTATACATATATACATTATGCATACATATATATACTAGCCACATAAAGAAACTGTGCATTGTCAAAATATGATCCCAGTTGATAAGTACGATAACAATGTCAAAGGTACATATAAACTTTAATGGAGGGATCATGAGACCATAACAAGTCGGGAGAATTTCAATTGAAAAGTCAATCACAATGACGTCACGAGTCGCGACAAGCGGGACAGGGGTCAAACGAGCATGTCACAAGCTCAATAACGGGTAAGTCCACCATCGGCATTGAGAACAGCAGTGCATCGACGACGCATAGAGCCTATCAAACGTGCAAGGAAGGCTTGTGGGATGTCACGCCAGATTCTTTCAAGTTCTGTTGCAAGGTCAATGACGTTATCTGGCGGATGAGGAAGACGGCGTAGACGTCCATCCATCTCGTCCCAAACATGCTCTATCGGGGCAGTAAGTCAACGTTGTGGTGTTGCAAGAAATCCAGAGCAACCCTTGCCGTATGAGGGCGGGCATTGTCCTGTTGGAATGTTGACCCAGGGCCATGACGTTGCAGAAAAGGAATTTGCACAGGTCGAAGAATCTGATCCCTGTAGCCCACACCAGTTAAGTTACCCTGAACAATCACCAAAGGTGTTCTTCTGCGTGCTGTTATTCCACCCAAATCATCACGGAACCACCACCAAAGCGATTCCCCTCCAAGACACAGGCCTGTGCATAACGTTCTCCCACGCGTCTATAGGCACGTTGACGTCCATCACTATGGGAAATGTTAAACCTGGACTCATCTGCAAAAACAACATTTCTCCATCAAAACAAGGGTCTGCGGACATGATTTCGGCACCACATTCGGCGAGCTTGTCGATGACGTTGTGTCAGGATAGGCCGTATGGAGGGACGTCGTGGTCTAATCCCGTGATGACGTAAACGTTGTCGAACTGTGTTGGGGTGGATACGGCGAAGTCCTGGGATGGTTCGGGCAGTCATCACTGCAGTCTGAAACCTGTGGCGAAGATGGGTCACCCTTATCCATCTGTCCTGTCTTGGCGTTGTTACACGTGGACGTCCAGAACGTGGCCGATCGATGACGTCATTTGTGTTCTGGTAGCGTCTCACCAATGCAGAAATGGTGTTTCGGTGGCAGTGGAAATGTGCAGCTACGTGTCGTTGAGACATTCCCCCACGGACCATCCCAATGGCCTCATGACGTTGTGCAGACGTTAGCCTTGGCATGCTATGCGTTTCAACCGCAGGGGTTGAGCTTTCCAAAGTGACAGTATTGTGTGGCATTCATTTGCTCTGTTTCTCGTTCCCGGAATGCACGTGCAACAACGTATTGCACGTCTCAAGGACGAACCCACTGACGTCACGGAACGTGGCACGGGCATGCATGTTGGATACATGTCACTAATCTCTGAGTTTACATCCTTATGTGTCTACACAGGTTTGATAAATCTCTATTTTAATTTTTGTATGCAGTTTCTTTATGTGCCTAGTACACACACACACACACACACACACATGAATGTCTAAGTACCAACTCTAGCACAGTGAAACTGCGAATGGCTCATTAGATCAGTTATGGTTCCTTAGACGATACAATCCTACTTGGATAACTGTGGCAATTCTAGAGCTAATACATGCGCAAATGCTCGCTGACGTGGTTGACACGTCATCGAATCCCAATTGTATAGATCGATGCTCATGTTGTTGATCACTGGACTGTCTTGTCTTGTTAGTGTACCTATTTATATATGCTTATAATAATTACTATACAGCTGGAATATTGCTGAGTGTGGCGTTAAAGAACAAAACAATCAAAACAAACATCAAACCCACCCTGACGCGGAACGATGACCAACTGCTGCAGCCATGATCATCACGGTCTACCCCACTCCCACGATAAGCATACTGGGAGCATACACTACGGCGTCATTACCAGCGGTAGGATGTTTTTGTAAATAATTGTCTTGCAGAAAACAGAGAAAATTTAATGTAATATAATTTATATTTCTGCAATAATGTAAATATTGACACGGCCCGAACTTGCCTCTTACGCGTTTCATCTTTATCTTCCGATTACAGATTATCTGTAACTGTCATCGCTCCCTGGAGATAAAGTTGTATCGCGTAGGAGGCAAACTCGTCATGTTTCATTATCTTGTGGATATTGTTATACAAGCTGAACATCATCCTCCCCCTTCTTTTCCAGCAAGACCACATTGTACCTTCACAATCAAGGGATCTTCATCCCGTAGCATGTTTCAATGAACGTGTGTACGTGTTTCCTCCATACGTTTATGTGGCTACTCAAACAATCCCTCTTTTTGAAATCATCGTTGTTAAAGACCATGCTCCCTGTTATGTTGTGAACACATGCATAGAGTCTCTGCATACAGGGTTTATATTTTGGATTATGTGCAAACATAAAGATATTATATATTCAATTATATACTATATTATGGAATCCGAGACATTGTCGCGTTGTCGCATTGTCGCCCCCTGAAAAACAAGTAAAATGAGGCAAAAATAACCAAAACGCGACAACGCGACATTTCGCCCAAATGTCGCGATGTCGCGTGTCGCGTTTTGGTTAATTTTGCCTCTCTTTGCTTGTATTTGAGAGGGCGACAACGCGACAATGCGACAACAATAATCCCTTCCAGGATTCCATACTATATACAAACTGACACTACAAGTGTATTCGAACTAGCCAACGCGTTCGGCTTTAAATGATAATTCCCCCACTGAGTGACAATGAGCCCACGTTAAGGCTCAAACGAACGAGATTGACAAGTCCTATCGAGATATCACTATAGGTTTACTTTGTGGTAGTCATGATCAGATGATATATCAAACTTACGAAATACAGTTAATACTAAATTTCAACACATTCACTCACTCACTATCACAAGATAAACCGAACGATATCTCAATGGGAGATGGCAATCTCTTCTGTTTGAACCTTTACACTTGCGTATCTTGTACGTGGGTGTTTCATGCACGTATGGACCACCGTAACAGTTAGTTTTTGCTTGTTTGTTTATGGCTGCGATCTGTAAAATAATCGGGTACGGTCCAGACAATCCAGTGATTAACATCATGAACATTTATCTGAGCACCAATTGGGATACGGTGACATGTGTCAACAAGGTCTGACCACCTGAACCTCTTACTACGGATGTAACCCGGATCACGGGTATAACAGTTAGTTGTAGATCAGCCAAGCATGTTTCACATTTGTCGGTCATCGGTCCGTGTACAATATATATTACCCATCAAAAGTTTAGACTCACTAGTGTAAATGTAGCCACGTACTTCAGTCAACTGTTCTTAACTAGATTTTGCAAAATATTTCATATTGTTTAAAGGTACTGTTTACACACGAATTGATGTATTGTAAAACAAATTCGTAACGTTGAAAAGATTATTCTCATGAGTTCAATAAATGATGAACATCAGAGAAAATTGGAGAATTCTTAACAAAACTTTACACCAGGACGCAGCTGTTCACATGCACATTCACGGCTGAGGGTGTTGGCGTCGTACACGTCTCTCTAGCAGATCCCACAAATGTTCAATGGGGTTGCAGATCCGGCGATTTGGATGGCCATGACACTTTCACCGCCGTATCTATCGACTTCACACTAAGTGTATTGTCTGTAAACACGCATCCTACCATTGCGTAAACCAGATCCTCCTCCATGCACTAGGGTAACACGGTTCTGCTCCTGTGCACGACGATGATGGTCTGCATGCTGGTCGTATCCCATGCTGTAACAGGTGCTGTATATATTGGTCGTATTCCATGCTTGGTCGTATTTCATGCTGTAACAGGTGCTGTATATGGTCGCATTGGTCGTATCCCATGCTGTAACAGGTGCTGTATATGGTCTCTCACTGGTCGTATCCCATGCTGTAACAGGTGCTGTATATGGTCGCACTGGTCGTATCCCATGCTGTAACAGGTGCTGTATATGGTCGTATCCCATGCTGTTGGTCGTATCCCATGCTGTAACAGGTGCTGTATATGGTCGCATTGGTCGTATCCCATGCTGTAACAGGTGCTGTATATGGTCGCATTGGTCGTATCCCATGCTGTAACAGGTGCTGTATATGGTCGCATTGGTCGTATCCCATGCTGTAACAGGTGCTGTATATGGTCGCATTGGTCGTATCCCATGCTGTAACAGGTGCTGTATATGGTCGCATTGGTCGTATCCCATGCTGTAACAGGTGCTGTATATGGTCGCATTGGTCGTATCCCATGCTGTAACAGGTGCTGTATATGGTCGGTGCTGTATATGGTCGTATCCCATGCTGTAACAGGTGCTGTATATGGTCGCATTGGTCGTATCCCATGCTGTAACAGGTGCTGTATATGGTCGCATTGGTCGTATCCCATGCTGTAACAGGTGCTGTATATGGTCGCATTGGTCGTATCCCATGCTGTAACAGGTGCTGTATATGGTCGCATTGGTCGTATCCCATGCTGTAACAGGTGCTGTATATGGTCGCATTGGTCGTATCCCATGCTGTAACAGGTGCTGTATATGGTCGCACTGGTCGTATCCCATGCCATGCTGTAACAGGTGCTGCTGTATATGGTCGCATTGGTCGTATCCCATGCTGTAACAGGTGCTGTATATGGTCGCATTGGTCGTATCCCATGCTGTAACAGGTGCTGTATATGGTCGCATTGGTCGTATCCCATGCTGTAACAGGTGCTGTATATGGTCGTATTGGTCGTATCCCATGCTGTAACAGGTGCTGTATATGGTCGCATTGGTCGTATCCCATGCTGTAACAGGTGCTGTATATGGTCGCATTGGTCGTATCCCATGCTGTAACAGGTGCTGTATATGGTCTGCAGGTGCTGTATATGGTCGTATCCCATGCTGTAACAGGTGCTGTATATGGTCGCATTGGTCGTATCCCATGCTGTAACAGGTGCTGTATATGGTCGCATTGGTCGTATATGTAACAGGTGCTGTATATGGTCGCATTGGTCATGCTGTAACAGGTGCTGTATATGGTCGCACTGGTCGTATCCCATGCTGTAACAGGTGCTGTATATGGTCGCACTGGTCGTATCCCATGCTGTAACAGGCGCTGTATATGGTCGCACTGGTCGTATACGAGGCCCAGGAACAGTGTTGCTGTATGATGCAGGTTGCGCTGATGAAGCGGTGCTGCGCCGGAGTTGTGACCCTTGGACTACTAGTTCACGGTTGATCTCTCGTAGAGTTGTGGAGTCTGTAGCGCTGCTACAGACGCTTACAGCTTTTTCACCCAGTTTTAATTCAAGGTGCTGTATTTTGGCGACAATTCACCAAATGATGTGTTCGTGTGCAATTAATTATTGTAAGGGCTATATTCACAGTTAGCAATGACATTTATATTGATTTCAAGCCTTCATCTTAAAACTATTACTTTGTAAAAAGATTTTAGCTATGCGTTTCTTTTTTTGCCCAGTATATATTTAATTTGGCTAAACATGTTGTCTGACATATTTAGTGATGTATGTCATAGTCCAAATCGTTCGGTTTTAAATCAAATTTAGAGCTAGTATAATTTCGTTATGTAACTCTGATTTTCCAACACAGTATGTTTATTTCCATTCTACCATAACAGCGTTATTAAGTACATACTGTCTTGGAAAATCAGAGGTATATAACATGATTATAAACCTCTGAGTGACTTTAATTATCCAATCACAATCCAATATTAAATGAAGTCATAGACAAATCAAACTTGATGGAGGCATGTAAATCATGTCTTGGAACATTGAAAAAATATAAATTTGCAAAAGGTATCTATCGTATGAATAACGTCAGTTTCAATAACGCAAGGAGTGTAGAAACGCCCACCGGGTTGATGCGGGTTGATCCCAGATGACATCATTATCAGATTACAAGCATATACGTCGATGGCTGAACTTTAGCACCGACGAGCTCTGTAGATCATAGTTCAGGTCAGTACAAATGGACACAATTTCGCAAACCTGAACGTAACATAAAGCGTCTGTTGCTCAAGCTCTATCACAAGATTCTGTCTGTCCTTTGGAAGAGCAGCATGTTTCCTAAACTGGTGATAGTTGCCCTATTGGTGTTGGGTACGTATTGACCTGTGTGCAGCTTTAGAGGTTTATGTGATTTTAATGTTTAAAACCAGCCTGTGAGGCATTTACACAATTTTGAGTTTCGCCAGTTTCTAATTAATTAACTTTTCTGCTATAGCAGGCAACTCTTTGTTTTAAACGTAGCTGCCTCCTTGATATAGAGGCTGGAGCGTCTGACGGAGAGGTTATTGGGCCGATTTCCTCTCCTCCTCGTGTTTAACACGTTTAAGCGTGGTGCTGCCTGCTGCTCGGTTTAAACAAATTATATTCATATAAATAATGAACAGGACTGGCAAACATGCCAAAGGCTTATTTTAAAGCCGCTCCAATACAAAGGCATTTTTTATATACATACACTTCTCTTCAAAGTTTAGACTCACATGTATCGTTCACTATATCTCAAAGGTTAATAGTAAATGTGACAAAGATGGATTTTTAACAATACTTTGAAACACATCATAACAAAATGAACTTGAATTGTATCTACATGGATCTAGCATCCAGAAAATAAAGGAAATTCCGGCATTGTTCATGCAAGTTGAGCTACGTTTTGGGGTGAAATGTTCCAAAAAATGAACAAAAAGCCATTGCGTTTATTCGTTGCGTAACCTCATGCCAGTGATGTTTTCAATTTGACTGCTTGGTCTACAATACCTTTGACCATTTGCAAGCATAATCAGCAAAAGATGGGAACATCATGACATATTCCGTTAAGATAACATGGCTCAACTACTTTCATACTCTTTCTATAGTGAGTCTAAACCTTTGAAGAGAAGTATATATATATGGCATATCAACAGTAACACTGAGAAATAATTAAATGATATTGAATTTGGTCAAATGAAACAAATTCATAGGTTTACAGTTATGTATTACATTAATTTTTATTTCAGTACATTACTTCTTAAAGACTTTTCACTAAAACAATGAACACATTTAACAATCTACAAATTTTCAATTTCTGATGCTTCAATATTTCCATGTAGGACTGATTTGAGGTTGTATCCATTTCTATAAAAATGCATATCATTTTAAATTATCATAATTTGGACACTGAAAGAAATAATGTAAATTATCTTCACAAACAGCACCACAAGAACAAGATTGGTCATTAGATATAAAAGGATTAACTTTGTGCGAGTTCAGATCACTACATCCTAATCGAAGTCTACAGTGCATAATTTGACAGAATCTGCTTGCAAAAGTTGTATCATGTGCAAATGTAATACCTGGGATGTATGAGATTTTATCTGTGAAACATTTAGAAGACTGTATTTGTTTAATATCATCTCAATTAAGTAAAATGTTCCAAAGTTCTACAGTGCTTGGTAGGAATGAGTTACTGTAGACGTTTGTTATTGAAAGAACGTTTTGTAAATTTGTTGAATTTCTCAAATCATAGGAAATATTCGGAGATACAGATTCTGGAAGCATATTAAATAAATAGCTAGGTGCTTTATTGTGTATCATTTAATGGAAAATGTTGTACTCGCCTTCTTTCAGCTAGAGGTAGGAAATCAGTTTCTTTAAACAATTGTTTATGGATTGTAACGCATGTTGTCCCACTTATAGTTCTCAAAGCATATTTTTATTTTTGATGATTCATTGAACAATTGTTCCATATGTGGCTGCAGTAACCAAAGTAATATGAAAGATGTATACATGATTTTAAGAGTATTTCTTGATAAACGATATTTAAAAACTTCACAAGCAGATTGTATTCGGTGAAACCCTATCTACAATGCTACGTGACGTTCTGTATTGCGTGACGACGTTTGGAACTGCTTGATGTTCTGTATTGCATGACGACGATGGGAACTACATGACGTTGTGTATTGCGTGACGACGTTGGGAACTGTTTGACGTTGTGTATTGCATGACGACGATGGGAACTACATGACGTTGTGTATTGCATGACGACGTTGGGAACTACATGACGTTGTGTATTGCATGACGACGATGGGAACTACATGACGTTGTGTATTGCATGACGACGTTGGGAACGTTGTGTATTGCATGACGACGATGGGAACTACATGACGTTGTGTATTGCATGACGACGATGGGAACTACATGACGTTGTGTATTGCGTGACGACGTTGGGAACTGTTTGACGTTCTGTATTGCATGACGACGATGGGAACTACATGACGTTGTGTATTGCATGACGACGTTGGGAACTACATGACGTTGTGTATTGCATGACGACGATGGGAACTACATGACGTTGTGTATTGCGTGACGACGTTGGGAACTGTTTGACGTTCTGTATTGCATGACGACGATGGGAACTACATGACGTTGTGTATTGCGTGACGACGTTGGGAACTGTTTGACGTTCTGTATTGCATGACGACGATGGGAACTACATGACGTTGTGTATTGCGTGACGACGTTGGGAACTGTTTGACGTTCTGTATTGCATGACGACGATGGGAACTACATGACGTTGTGTATTGCGATGACGACGATGGTAAACTGGGAACTACATGACTGACGTTGGGAACTGACGTTTGTATTGCGTGACGACGTTGGGAACTGACGTTGTGTTTGACGTTCTGTATTGCGTTGTGACGACGTTGGGAACTGTTTGACGTTACATGTATTGCGTGACGACGTTGGGAACTGTTTGACGTTCTGTATTGCATGACGACGATGGGAACTACATGACGTTGTGTATTGCGTGACGACGTTGGGAACTGTTTGACGTTCTGTATTGCATGACGACGATGGGAACTACATGACGTTGTGTATTGCGTGACGACGTTGGGAACTGTTTGACGTTCTGTATTGCATGACGACGATGGGAACTACATGACGTTTGTATTGTATTGCGTTGACTGTTTGACGTTGGGAACTGGGAACTACATGACGTTGTGTATTGCATGACGACGATGGGAACTACATGACGTTGTGTATTGCATGACGACGTTGACGTTGTGTATTGCGGAACTGAACTGTTTGACGTTCTGTATTGCATGACGACGATGGGAACTACATGACGTTGTGTATTGCGTGACGACGTTGGGAACTGTTTGACGTTCTGTATTGCATGACGACGATGGGAACTACATGACGTTGTGTATTGCGTGACGACGATGGGAACTACATGACGTTGTGTATTGCATGACGACGATGGGAACTACATGACGTTGTGTATTGCGTGACGACGTTGAACCGCTTAACGTGTGGGAACTGGGAACTACATGACGTTGTGTATTGCGTGACGACGTTGGGAACTGTTTGACGTTCTGTATTGCGTGACGACGTTGGGAACTACATGACGTTGTGTATTGCGTGACAACGTTGGGAACTGCTTGATCTTGTGTATTGCGTGACGACGTTGGGAACTGCTTGACGTTCTGTATTGTCTTACGACGTTGGGAGCTGCTTGATGTTCTCTATAGCCTGACGACATCTTGTCTTTACATAATGTTACCTGTATGCATATGTCTTTTTCATCACAGCCCTCAGCATCAATGTGGGTGGGGTATGCGACGGAACAGCCTGTGACTCAGAACAGCAGAGGTTTCTCAGTAATGCGGAAAACCTTTCAAACCTCCAGGAACTATGCCAGTACGTATTTCATCACATTGTTTACTTTCTTGAAAAGTACCATTGTTTTAATTGTATGCAGTTTTACACCAAAGAGGAATTTGAACAGAGCTGTCACCTTTTGCAAATTGCAACTGGGGGTAGGGTAGTATACATAGGTAACCAAATAATGATTAAAATTGTTGATCTTTTATTGAAAATTTCAGTTTTCACAAAATAACAAAATACAACAAACGCTTAAAAATTATATTTTGTCAACAATTAGTGTATTGTCTTAGGTCTGCCAACGCATATCTTGACTGTGCTAAGAAATTGATCAAAGACTGTGGAGAAGATTCCTATGCTACTAGTAAACTCGACACTGCACAGAAGTTAATGAATGCCCAAGGCTGTGGTGAGTAACTTTGGTACATTATATAACTGCCCTGTCTTAACTAGCTTCCTTCTGACTCACTAGCCGAAAGGAAGAGGAAAGAGAGAGGAAAGCAGAATGGAGACAGGGTGTGTGGAGGGTAGCCTATTGGTTAAAGCGTTCGCCCGTCTCACCAAAGGCCCAAGTTCGATTCCCCACATGTGTAAATCCCATTTCTGATATCCCCCGCTGTGATATTACTGAAATATTCTTAACGCGGCGTAAAACCACACTCACTCACTCACTCTTGCGAGGGTATATCTGATATATTTCCTGATCATCCATGTATAATTCTGAATGAAGATAACGATAATTTTGTATTAAATATATTAATAGCAAAGAGGTTAATACTAACAAATATATTCTTTATCATATAATATGTCAAAGTCCAGGATTATTTTTATGAACTTGTTCGACTAATTATCGTAATATATTTTTTTACAGGTTCAGCCGGAAAACTTTTCGTCTGCAGCCCTCTCCTTATCCTGCTTCTCTTTCTGTCCAGATCAGTAAACTAAATCCATTTTGTAATTTGAAGATAATCAGGAAATGTCTCATGTACCTGTGAACTGTTGGGTCAAGATAAGTAATTGATGCATAAGAACAACGGCGGTACGCCGTGCACAATAGAGGGATTATATTTTGGATTATGTGCAAACATTAAGATCTTTTATTCTCAATTGTATACTATATAGTGAAAGGCATTACAACTATTTTTTCCAACCATCTTGAACTAGACAAACGGATTGGGTGTTATTATTGCTCATTAAATGCTAATTACACACTATTAGACAAATTAAATTCTAAATGTTATCGTAAATAAAATCATATGCATGAAGTTATTTTGATTATTATTTGAGAGAGGTTTGAAATCATCGTTGTTAAAGACCATGCTGCCTATTACGTTGTGAACACATGCATAGAGTCTCTACAAAACTCCGCCCGGAGAGCGGAAGGTCGCGGCTTCGATCCCCGACCGCGTCATACCAAAAGACGTTAAAATATGGTACATGTCGGTCCCTGCCTGGCGCTCGGCATTAATGGGTACAACAAGGACTGCTCGGCTCGGAGTCAGTATAATGTGTTTGAGTGGGGTATTCATGCTTCACTGCGGCATGGTATCTCAGTGGGCTAGCACTATAAAACCAGCTTAAGTCTGGGCTAGTACAAGCAGCCGCACATACAAATACACACGCATGCACGTCGTCATATGAGCGAAATATTCTCAAGCACGACGTTAAACCCAATTTCACCTCACCTCTACAAAACTACACATTTTACACATTACAGGGGACTCAATACAAGTGTATTCGAACTAGCCAACGCGTTCGACTTAAAGTGACAATTCACCAGCTAAAGGACCGCAGAATAGAAGACAATACCGTAAATAAAGTAAGAGAGGCCTATGAAGTTATTAAGATTATTATGAGAGAGAGAGAGAGAGAGAGAGAGAGAGAGAGAGAGAGAGAGAGAGAGAGAGAGAGAGAGAGAGAGAGACGGGCGGTGGAGTGGCCTAGTTGTAGCCACAATATACACTGAGACACTGAGACACATAGGCCTACACACACGCACGCACGCACGCACGCACACACATAATCTTTGGTTATGTTCATTAGATGGAGTAAACATTAGTCACACACAGGCACACACACAGAGGCAGGTAGACACAGGGACACACACACACACAAGACACACACAAACACATATCCTGTAAAATTGTATAAAGCCTTTTCTTTTTTAACAACGAAATCCCGACATTGGTAAATGAAGTTCACTGACAAGCAAGTGGAAAACCCTGCTTGGGTCTGAAAATACATTCTGACATATGATTGGCTTAGTGTATTCCAGTCAACCAACGGCAGCTACGGAATCGTTGCAAATCGTTCATTTCATTCGTAACTACTCGCCTCTCTCAGATTGGTCCATATCATTGCTTCGTCATGGCTCCGACAAAAACATTGAAGCTGTCAAAATGTAAAGAAAAACGATTTCCTGTATGTTTAGCACGGGCAGTGGGGATTTTAGCCCAACAGCTGATAACAAATCGTCAGATTCTGTCACTGCATCTGCGAGTTGCAATGAATCGGAGAAAATCAGTGAGAAACATAAACCTCTTAAGTTCAATTCTACGTGGAATACTTTGTACCGTTCTTGGTTATTGTGAAAGACGATGATTTCACCAATTGCATGTTGTGTCTGAAAACGACAAACAAAATGGAATGACAAGAAATTCCCAATGCAGAAACTTTCAAAATACCCCGCTAACTACACTTGGAACTAAAAGATAACAAGATGTTAGTTTGGGCCCCAAGTTCGCGCTGCCATGGCTACGACACCATCGTGTTTGTCAGAGAAACAAGACAGGGCAGCTGTTGCTGTAATGAAATCTGTGCATCCACTTTCAAGTGAAAACATTCCCCTGTCAAAATCCAAAAGTCTTGTGACTTTCATTCATGAACATGGCACACTAGACATGGAACTATTGCAGGGTGGGGGAAATTCATTTTGATTCACCAAGTACGGCAAACGATATACTTGAATCAATGTCTAAAGTAGTAGAGGATGATTTAAAAGGAAAATTAAGAAAATCTCCATTCGTCAGTGCGTTAGCAAACCAAAGCACCGCCATCACAAATCACAAGTAAGTTTAATGCATTAATAAAGGAAAACTCGTCCCCGTCCCTATGCTTGTTATGCGCGAAAATTTCGACAAGCCAATCTGAAAAAGCGTAATGATTGCGGTGCCTGGGTATAAATAATCCCGAGTACTTAAATTGCTTATGGCACTTAATAAGGGTAATGCCATGAATTGTGAGAGATTCAAAACCCACACAGTGTCCTCCCATAAGAACTACAGCTTAAAACAACACATGTTATGGTCCAGTGCACAGATTAACTACATGCTGTCACCTGCGTCTGCTGAATGGATTTGCCCAACACAAAACAAATAAAACATATATAACATTTTTGCTGCGGCAGTTCATGTTGGTTTTATCAGTAAATAGTTTGCCTTCACAAAATGTAAATTTTGTCTTATATATCTATTTCATATTACCTATCAATCTGATCCATGTAGAACTAGTTTAGCCCAGCTTCAATAAGTAGCCAACTGCATCGAGGTCCTGGGTTGCAGTCTATAACAATACTATTTTAACTTAAAAACTCATTCGTTTATATTTCGCCTTTACTCCAATATACCTTTGCCTTTACTCCAATATACCTTTGCCTTTACTCCAATATACCTTTGCCTTTACTAAGCTTGGCTGGTTTTTTGTTTTGTTTTGTATTTTTCTATCACATGAATACAAAAACATTCACTGACTACAGCATACCCTTCGCTCTTGTCCTTTATTTTCTGGTTATTAGATGACCTTTACAACAACATAATTACTGGTCAATAGGATTTTAAGCATGTATTTCTTCTGGGCTGTGCTCATTACATGCCATGGAGGTGCCTCTACTCAGATAATTAATCCCTAATTAGTCCCTGTAGTTAATTTGGGATGTAGGTCTTATGAGAGTAAACCATGTATACGCATTGTGTTTGAGTTCTTAAAATAATCATTAGAGAGTTTAACGTATTTAGCTAGGTTTCGCAAGGCACAAGTCAAAACACTGACTACACAACAGTCTCGTTTCCTGCTGACTGGGTTCCGTCCTATTGCGCAACTTAGTACAATGACCAGTCCAGAATTTTGAGATCAATTCATTCAACAGGATATATAAATATTAATCAGTATTATTTGATACATCTAAGCACTTGTATAATGCAACACTACGCCCCTTCTAATCCTTGCAAACACGTCGTGCAGGGTGCTCTGTCGCACAATGTGCTCTGACAAACGGAAATCGTGGAAATCTCAAAACGAGGCTCGGTCGGAATATCAATCACATTGTACGTTACAGAAATACATTGAATACGCGCGAAAAACACATAACAGTTGTAACCAGTGAGCCAGATGAATTGTGAATCATTGTACGACCTCATCAAACAGGGGCAGTCTGTGACGTCTTTGTTAAGGACATTCTGCCTAAACCTCGACATAAAATATAGAAATACGATTTTATTAAAGTTTTAAATTAACATTCATTTGTAAATACCATTTTCTTATGAAACAAGGAATTTGAATTCAGTGTAACCATAGTTGTTTGTAGTGTCTCTTTTCACTTTCACACGAGAACATTCGGCTGAAAAGTAGCTCATTGTCTGAATTGGTTAATGAGACTCATGTTTCGATTTGATTTATTGGAATATCTAAACAGTGGCATAAACATATAATCACTTGGTCTAACCCAATAGAAGCTTTTAATATATAACTTTCTTAACTGTAAATATTTAGGACAAATCAAGATAAAATGATACTCATCTTCAACAAAGATTTTATTACCCTGGCGATTGCAATAATCACAAATACGGTCTTGGAATATTACTGTATCTACCAATTTCTATCATAAGAAAGACATTACTCCCCCTTGTTTAATACTCAGGGAGCATAGAAAGAAGCCAGGTAACTCACCATTGTTTTAACACATTATTTCACAGTGTCATGCATAGACACGATAATTTTCCATAGTCTACTTCTGATGCCCACCAGATTTAACTTTAGAAATAGACTGTCATGATTAACAGAGTCAAACGCTTTGTCTAAAACAACAAAGCAACAATACAATTTCTTCTTTTCCTGGGTGTACATAGAAATCAGGTTTTGTAGTATAAATGCAGCGTCCACAGTAGAACAATCAGCTTTGAAAGCAAACTGAGCATCAGGGATGATATTGTTATTTTCAGACCATGAAACAGTGAGTGAGTGAGTTTAGTTTTACGCCGCACTTAGCAATATTCCAGCTATATGGTGGCGGTCTGTAAATAATCGAGTCTGGACCAGACAATCCAGTGATCAACAGCATAAGCATCGATCTGCGCAATTGGGAACCGATGACATGTGTCAACCAAGTCAGGGAGCAAGACCACCCGTTCCCGTTAGTCGCCTCTTACGACAAGCATAGTCGCCTCTTGTGGCAAGCATGGGTTGCTGAAGACCTTTTCTACCCCGGATCTTCACGGGTCCAGACCATGACACAAGTCTCGCTGTCAATACCGAGGTAAAGAGTTTTGACAAGCGGCCGTTTATGGTGATTCCCCTGTAATTACTTTCATCTTAAAGTTTTAAAAAAGCGAAGAAGATAAACAATCTACTATAACAATGATTTGAAAAGAAATCTACCTACTGCCGACATGGATTATGCCTCCCGGCACCGTATCTTCAGCTTTGGCGGTCCTCCCTTCTCCCTTATATGTTTATCATATATTATTCACTTAATAAATATGCTTTAAAATATGGTTTGGTTGTATTACATATATATCTATATTAAACCACATATTACACTATATCTATATTAAAATTCCAAATCTCTATTACTCCTTACCTACTTCATATTTTTTACCTTTTTAGTTCGGCCTCCCATTCAAATTTCCCTTAATACTCAGTGTTTTTCTTGGGGTTTTTTGGGTAGTAACACCGCTCTTTCAAACTTTCTATTTTTTCGTTGTTGTCGTTCTCCTTGTTGTCCTTGTCTCCCGAAATACCTTAGTTGTGCGTGCGACGCTAAATAAAGCAAAGATCAACATACTCCCTTGGAAATTACCTCTCCCGGGAAATCCGAAATATACATTTTAGCCTTCCCGGGATATCTGAACAATAAATATTAGCCTTCCCGGCACGACACCGAGCTGTTCTAGCCGGGTGAGTGAAGCGCCAGGGCAGGAAACCAGGCTGAACTCTGACGGGCCCATAGCACAACTTAAATACACGTAAAACGTTTTGAAACACCCCCCTTGTCCCGATTAGGCGAGCAATTGCTGCTCGGATAGCATGGTGTTGTATTTTGTTGGGGGTTTTTGGTGTTTCCCACAGACAAACACTGTAGTGTCTAATCACGTATAGTTGATCTAACCTATACTTAAAAACCTTTTGATACAATCCCACAGACCCGACCTTGCGAGCCATATTATCGCTCAGATAACATTCGGTACATAAACCAGGTTAAACCAGTAGGTCAGGAATCCACCCCGACAGGGCGCAGCCAAATGTTCACTGCTGCAGTTTTGGCTTCGTGAATCATCGCTGTACGTCAACCCGTCTCCTCGGGGTTGTTTAAGTAGCCGATTGGTTTCCTGGAGACACTTCCTGATGGAGATACTCGGCTTTGTTGACATCTCTCCAACATGGATTCTGTGGATATTGGTTTTGTTTCTGATTTATGTAAGTACATTATTGATATCACTGTAAATACAATGAGATTGATACAATTGCCAGAATAAATACTTAATAAGATTTACTGACAATTGTCAGAATAAATTCCCACTTACCCAACTTACTAGGGGGATTAAAAGAGATTATCAATTACGGGTCAGTGTGAATTTGTGGTTCACTCCCAAAAGACAGACCTCCCAAAAGACAGAACTCCCATAAGACAGACTCAATGAGTACACTAATTAGCTGAGCCATGCTGTCCACCCCTATTCAATTACTGAGCTGACCCAGAGTCACTCCAGGGTACATAAAGTAACAACACACTCCTATCTCCTGTGATCTTCTCAAAACATATTACTAATCCTTTTACTGAACAGAACAGAATAGAACCGAAATTTTATTCTAAAAAATCACATATAGTGACACAGAGCTTACCCCAGCTTTGGCTGTGACATAACTTAACCCAGCACTCCAATCAGGGCCAATCAGAGCAATCTCATGACCACCGGTGAACATATTTCACATGATAAACTGATAATCATACCACTTGCTAACAATTATATTTGATCTGAGTGAACTATATTCATACCCTTTGCTACAAATTGAATTTTAACTGAGTGAACTACTGGGGGATCTGGAACAGCTGCAGTAACTGGTGCCGCCGCATCTGGTGCTCGCTGGTCTGAAGGAGGCGTCTCAGCTTGGTATTGATGCATTGTTGCTCTCAATCTCAAATTCTCTAATGATCAATAAGAAGGAATTTTTAATACAGTTATCAAAATTACAAAACAAACAAACATATTTAATTACCCCTTGCTTAATTGGCCATTTGATCTCAGCTGGATACTAACTGAAACAGATCCCACACCTTTTGGGATCTGTTGACGGATCTGTTGACGGATTATGTTGATGGATTATGCAGATACCCGGGGTCAATTGTCGGGTCATGATTGTTTGAGTATGATCAGCACAGAATCATTATCGTTCTTTTGTCGTGTTCATATTTTTGCAACATTGTAATAAAGAAAAATGAAAATCACGTTTTATTGTATAAAAAAGTGAGTGAGTGAGTGAGTTTAGTTTTTACGCCGCACTCAGCAATATTCCAGCTATATGGCGGCGGTCTGTAAATAATCGAGTCTGGACCAGACAATCCAGTGATCAACAGCATGAGCATCGATCTTGGGAACCGATGACGTGTCAACCAAGCCAGCGAGCTTGACCACCCGATCCCGTTAGTCGCCTCTTACGACAAGCATTGGTAACTGAAGGTTCATTCTAACCCAGAAATTCACGGGTATGATATGAAAGATACGGAAGAAATAAGGAGGAGACATGATTTGGACAGTTGGAAGTCCTTACTACGACGGGAGGGGTTGTTGTGAATGCTTGATTAGTGTTATTTAGTGTAGTATGCGTCACGGGGAAGTCAGTACAAATATATCTGGAAATATAAATGCATTGTGTTATAATTAGGGGCGATAGTTCTCTAAATTTCTATCCTCAGGGCCTCCAAGTATAAAGGATCGAATGTACCTAATTTCTTGTTTAAAGTTTAACAATTTTTTCTGATCTAGTTTCTAATTATTCTATTGTAACACAATTTCATTCCGTGATATCATTTGATTCAAGAAAAAAGAGAATAGTAGAGAGATCATAATTTTTAATTTTTTTTATGGAAAAACAAGTCTGTTGCTAATATTCCATGGATATTCATTTCAAAAGTCCTAATCATTTTGCGAAAATGAAGTATGATATTGCAACTGACTTGGCAATACCTAACCATGTTATCTGCATGTGTCTTACATTATGTTCAGATATGGAAAGAAGAGGAACCGTTTGTTCAAGGATGCTGGTATTCCTGGTCCGGAGCCTGTGATTTATATCGGGAACCTCCATCAGTTTGTTCTGAGGGTGAGATCATAGTTTAATCTCAACTAGACCGTCTTTGAAAAGTAATCTTTGTCATTATTGTCTGCCCTAAAGAACAGTAAGGGCGGTGGGGTTGCCTAGTGGTTAAAGCGTTCTCTCGTCACGCCGAAGACCCGGGTTCGATTCCCCATATGGGTACAATGTGTGAAGCCCATTTCTGGTGTCCCCCGCCTTGATATTGGTGAAATATTGCTAAAGGCGGCATAAAATAAAACTCACTCACTAAAGAGGTTCGTAGCTCACCTTAACATTGTCAAAAACTGAATATAAAGTAAAGTTTTTCCTGAATGTTTCAGCATGATGCTTCGTATTGAGCAAATAAATATACCCTCAAACAGTTTACACTTTTAAATACTATTTGCTATAAGTGGTTGCTGATCCGTTCGCCACCGTGATAAGCTCGTGTCATTTCCGGGACAAGCCAAATGAAGGTTACGAAACTAAGCAAGTGGTGACGAGGTGGTAAATGTCGTGGAAATGATTATATTGTGTTTTAAAATATAAAGTATCAAAGATCAAAATAATTTCTCGTTACAGCGTCCGACCAACAACGAGTGGGAAAAGTATGGTAAAGTATTCGGGTATGTCGCTCTTTCGGTCTTATATCTTTAGGTTTAAATTCTAACTGAATCGGACTATGCAGCCCTGTTGAAAATGCCATTTATTCCGTTTAATTATTCCTCTATTTGTGCATTTACGACTACCAGTCTGTCTATTTCCACAAGAATCAAGTTGCATAATGCCCTTAATTAGAGATGAAAAAATAATTCAAAACGGTCGTAAATTCTACTCGTTCTCTCACTCACTCACTCACTCACTCACTATGAAGTACCAAATGAATTTCTGTTGTCTTCAAGGATATTTATTGGTCGCCTTCCGATGATCATTGTGATGGACCCCAACATTGCCAGAGATATCTTGATAAAGGAGTTCCATCACTTCCCAGAGAGACTAGTTAGTATCTCGTTAATATACAGAATCGTGTCCGCTTAGAAATTCAGCGTTAAGAAAGACATATAGAGTATAGACCTTACACCCTAGTACTATATAAAGGAAAGGGATGTAACGACAGGAACCACCCCTCTTCAATCTAAAGTTAGATTTCACCACGTACACTATTTTTAAGAGGCCCCGTCGATACTGCGGATCAAAGCGAGATGATTTCAGCAATGTAGAGCTATAAATGAAGTCATATCGGTCATTATTTCAAAGTTATCGCCATGACTTCTCGAAAATAGTACCTCTGCGATTCCCAAGCCAGAAATCATGGATCACTTAGACAAGCGAAAAAAATATCTTTGCCCGTTTATTAATTCGAGCTACGTTGAGCACCTATGGTAGGGTTAGATTCGATCGGCAGCGGCATTCACGGGTCTAAAAACCTATTACAACATCTACAAATCATTTCCTCGACAGTAAACAGACATTTTCTCCCAAACCATCGGCAATCACACTCACTTGTCGGCCATAGATGGCCTTGACATTCAAGCGACCTGAGCAGATCCGCAGAAACGAAATTGGGCCATCCGATTTGTTGAAAATATAATATACCGTAAGATTTTGACTGTTTGCTAATGGGCGCAAAATATGAACTTTGCAATAATCCTTTATTTTGGATTATGTACGGAACAGTAAATTGTTAAGAATAGTTTTAGAGGTTGTAAAAATGCATGCGATATTTATTCATTTTTAGGAAATTATATTTATAACTATTTAACCTCTAAAATTATTCTTACAAATTTACTGCTCAGGTCACTTAAATGTCAAGGCCATCTATGGCCGACAAGTGAGTATGATTGCCGATGGTTTTGGAGAAAATGCCTACTTACTGTCGAGGAAATGATTTGTAGATGTTGCAATAAGTTTTTAGACCTGTGGAATGCCGCTGCCGATCAAATCTAGCCCTACATAGGTGCTGTCAACGTGGCTCGAATTAATAAACGAATTTAAAAGGTGAGTTTTCGCTGTCTTGGGTGATCCATGATTTTGGCCTGGGAATTGCAGAGGTAGCTGTTTTCGGTTAGTCGTGGCGTATAACTTTTGAAATAATGATCCGATTGTGACCATTTATAGCTCGTTTTGTAGGGAAATCACCTTGCTTTTGATCCGCAGGCCTCGACGGGGCCTTAAAAATAGTGTACGTGGTGAAATCTAACTTAGATTGAAGAGGGGGTGGTTCCGACGTTACATCCCTTTCCTTTTATATAGTACTAGGGTAAGGTCTATATACCTATATGTCTTTCTAACGCTGTTTCTAAGCGTGACACGACCCTGTGGTTGGTGTATCGCCTTGTATATATACTGAGGGAAACAAATAAGGGAACACACTTTATGGCAGTGTTTCTTTATTTATTTTCAGATTTCCTCCAACAGTGCTATTCAAAGCTGGTGATGAAAACTGGAAAATATTAAAGGAACGCTTGAAATTTCCTGTGTTCCTTTATTTGTTTCTCTCAGTATATATAAATCTGACCCTTTGCTTCGCTTTGAATTGCTATGATACTTCAGTACATGCTTACATTTCCTTTAGTCGTACTTTTTCGTGTCAAATTATTCGTTTTAGATGAGGAACGTTCGGTTAGCCTAGTGATCAAAGCGTTTGTTCGTCACGCCGAAGACCCGGTGTAGCAGGCCATTTCATCCCCGGTCTAAACTTTCCCCGGGTAGAATCTGGCCTTGGCTAAACTTTCCGCGGTGAGGTTTTGTCCTAGGATATTCTTACACACACACACACACGCACGCACGCACGCACGCACACCCACACCAGGCCAAACTATTCCCCCTGTTGAAACTAGGATATTTGTTCTGTTTTTATATCAAAGGGGGGATGATTTTGGCCTACCTAGGTTACTTCTTCCCCGCCCTTGTTTTTATATCAAAAGAGGGAGATTCTGTCCTAGCTAGGCCACTTCTTCCCCACCCTTGCTTATATCAAGTGCCATTTTTATGAAGACACATTGCATTCGTTCTTCACCTGTCCAAATCATGTCACCATAAGATGTAAACATTCAATCTCACATTTAATAGGTAGATAAGATGTAATATACACAGGTTGCTTATCTTATCATGCTGTTTATTATCTAATAGTTGTTGTATTGTGTTGGGTTGTTGTTGTTGTTGTTGTTGTTGTGTTGATGTTTACGTCTGCTTCCAACTGTCAAGTTGATGTCGCCGACGTGGATGCCATATTTAAAGCCATGGGTGAGGGAACCAAATTGTGAATGGATATGGACATCCAAGTAAAAACTGGGTATTTAGTTAAAGTTTCGAACAAAGCCAATTTGGAGTAAGATACTATCTTTGCTTTTTTGCTTGCTTTTCTTTTTAATCTCACCTTATATAAGGGTATTGAAACAAAATGTAAACCATGTACATGTTATATATGAAGATGAAGATGACCTGTAAATTGTTAATGGAACTTGACATCAACATGAATATCTTATCAATGTGTTCACGTGAATAGCTATGTCTTGTTTTTGTTTCTGATTTCTTCAAGACAGACATAAACATGAAAACAAGGTTTGGGAAGAAATAGCCAGAATCGCCCTCTTTTGATTTAAGAACAAGGGTTTGAAACAAGTAGTCTTTAAAGTTGAATCAAGGGTGGGGAAAGTTTGGACTAAGACAAACCTTGCCTGGGGAGGATTCAGCCGGGGGGAGAAAGAGAGAGTTTGGCCTAAGTTTCCCTTGGGAAGGATTACCCACATAAGTGCAATGCGTGAAACCGATTTCTAGTGCCCCCGGTTGTGATATTGCTGGAATATTGCTGATGAATCAGATGAATTATTACTCCCGCTTGGTACGTGAACGCTATATGTTGGTTGGTTTGTTGTTTAACGCCGCACACAGCAATATTCAAGCCATAAGACGAAATACTATCGGTTGCCTATTGAATAAAGGTAATGCTGTTGGATAAATATAGAGCTGTCCCGATGCTAACCAAGGATGACCTAACAGGTTGAAGTGAACCGGCTGAGTCGTCAGTAGCACTGTATACTCTCATACAGTACAACCAGAAATTATTGAGAATTTAAGATTGTCATTGTTTTAAAAATTCACTCATTACTCACGTATTAAATGTGAATATTAGTAGAACATAACTCCAGATTCAAAGACAGGTGAACAGTTAGTAATTTGTCAAATCACCATGGGCAGCAATGCAGGTTTCAATGCGGCGGGGCATACTACTCATCAAAGAAGTTAGAAAGTCATGGTCCACCCTGTCCCAATATCGGACCACTTCTTTTATTTCAGCAATAATTGTCAGATTTTTCTTATTGACACTTTCCTTCATAAGTCCCCAAGCATTTTCTTTTGGATTTAGGTCAGGGCTATAGCTTGGCCAAACTAATAATATCATATTTTGGGTCCGAAACCAGGCCTGTGAATGCTTTAAATGATGTTTTGGGTCGTTGTCCTGCTGGAAAATCCAAAACATTCCATGGAACACGTGAGCAGATGGAAGTAAATATCCCTCGAGAATATCTGTGTACCGCTCACTGTTCATATTCCCTTCAAATACACAGAGGGGCGTTGCCCCTAACACAGATATGCCACCCCACACGTTAAATTTCGGACTGTACTTCGGGCGCTGATACAAAGGTTTTTCAGTTTGCTTGGTCCAGAATTTCAGTGTATTAGGAAACAGCCATACAGAACTTTCATCTGAGAAAATCACATTGTCCCAGTTATGCTGTAAGCACCAGTTCAACCTTCGCTCCTTTTGTTCAGGTTTTCATGATCGGTGATGGAATTCCTCGACTTTTCTGCCAACCCATTGCATGCAGCTCAGTTCTAATTGTCTCCTTACAGACAGCCACAGTTCCTCTATCAATCATATCCAGCCTTAAGCTTTTCTAAACTCCTTCATTTGTTTTTAGAAACAAGAATACCAAGCCGCCTCCTGTCACCGACAGTCAATTTTCTGGGCCTACCTGCGCCTCCCTGGTGCTCAGTGCCATATCCATTTGCAATATTTTTCAAAACACGATAAACAGTGGACAAAGGGATGCCTGTTCTACTTGAAATCACTTTACCTGATCTGATGTCCTTGTTATAATACTCTAAAATCAACTTCCTCTTCTCTAAATCATCCATACTGAGGATCACTGAAAATGTCGTCTGCTAGCAAGTAAACAAAGGGGGATAACTCTTCACAAACTAATGAAAAAGGATTAACGGAGTTGTCTCTCTTGAATGAAACCAAGCACTTGATAGCTGGTCAAGGTTGTTTATACTAGAAATCCAATTAAACATATTCCTAAAATTCTCAATAATTTCTGGTCATACTATAATTCTCTTCTCCCCAGCAAATACCCTAAATGTTCTCACTGTTGATTTAAGCGAATCAAGCGAGGGAGCAATATCACGGTGGGGGACACCAGAAATGGGCTTCACACATTGTACCCATATGGGGAATCGAACCCGAGTCTTCGGCGTGACGAGCGAACGCTTTAACGACTAGGCCACCCCACCGCCCCAGGTGAATGAAGTTTATCACCGATGGCCGTGAATAGTAGGGCTAAGTGGCAGTGCTCTGTAAGCAAGACTGCTGAAGTATTTGGTCCTCCCCCACACTAAACTACATGGTACATGTGGAGACTCCTTGAGCAAGTTGCTCCGCATGCAAAGTAGTACACGGGTACCCGATAGGATGAGATATTAATGCTCCGCCTCTCTTGAAAATAAAGCATTTTCAACGTCATTCGAAGAGAGATACATCATGTATCACAACACATGGACTATCATACACACTATATGTTTGGTAATGTAACAGTGAATACATACTGTATGTTTGGTAATGTTATAGTGAATACAAACTATATGTTTGGTAATGTAACAGTGAATACATACTGTATGTTTGGTAATGTTATAGTGAATACATACTATATGTTTGGTAATGTAACAGTGAATACATACTATATGTTTGGTAATGTTACAGTGAATACATACTATATGTTTGGTAATGTTATAGTGAATACATACTATATGTTTGGTAATGTTACAGTGAATACATACTATATGTTTGGTAATGTTATAGTGAATACATACTATATATTTGATAATGTTACAGTGAATACATACTATATGTTTGATAATGTTACAGTGAATACATACTATATGTTTGGTAATGTTGTAGGGAATACATACTATATGTTTGGTAATGTTATAGTGAAAACATACTATATGTTTGGTAACGTAACAGTGAATACATACTATATGTTTGGTAATGTAACAGTGAATACATACTATATGTTTGGTAATGTTATAGTGAATACATACTATATGTTTGGTAATGTTATAGTGAATACATACTATATGTTTGGTAATGTTATAGTGTATACATACTATATGTTTGGTAATGTTATAGTGAATACATACTATATATTTGATAATCTTACAGTGAATACATACTATATGTTTGATAATGTTATAGTGAATACATACTATATGTTTGGTAATGTAACAGTGAATACATACTCTATGTTTGGTAATGTAACAGTGAATACATACTATATGTTTGGTAATGTTATAGTGAATACATACTATATATTTGATAATGTTACAGTGAATACATACTATATGTTTGGTAATGTTATAGTGAATACATACTATATATTTGATAATGTTATAGTGAATACATACTATATGTTTGGTAATGTTGTAGTGAATACATACTATATGTTTGGTAATGTTGTAGTGAATACATACTATATGTTTGGTAATGTTGTAGTGAATACATACTATATGTTTGGTAATGTTGTAGTGAATACATACTATATGTTTGGTAATGTTATAGTGAATACATACTATATGTTTGGTAATGTTGTAGAACATAGACTTGAACAACTACCCAATTAACAAAAGTATTTTCTTGGAGAAAGGCGCCAATTGGAAACGGCTTAGAAACATTGTAAGCCCTACATTCAGTGGATCCAAACTTCGCCTGGTAAGAACATTTTTCGTTTATATATTTATTCAGTACATTATTTCAGTCCAAGAATAGAAACTCTTCTCTCTTTTCACGTATGAGGAACCTTGGGTCATGGGAGTGCCTGGGGAGTGACAATCCGCCTTTTTTCCATTAGTATTATCTGGTCCTGAAGGATTTGATGGGGATTCAAGCGTAATATGTTTTACTTTGAGTGGATTCTTCTACAGTATAGACACATTATTTTATGGAATTTACAATTTTACCACTTGCTCAGACGTCGGACATCAACATGTGTAGTTGATAGGACTGGCAATACTGCTCAGAGAGCTAATAGCAGTTCTGTACACAGAGTTGTTTCCCTTGAACATGATGACATGAACGTAGATCTACATCCCGTTAAACATTTACCATTTGCTAGTCATTAAAGCCGCGGGTGTATGTTTGCTGGTGTTGGTTCACACACTCATCAAGACTGCCAACAGATCTTCATCAGATAATATCCCGAGAAGATCCGGGTTAGAATTGATCTTCAGTAGCCCATGCTTGTCGTAAGAGGCGACTAACGGTATCGGGTGGTTAGGCTTGCTGACTTGGTTGACACATATCATCGTATCCCATCGTATCGATGCTCATGCTGTGGATCACTGGATTGTCTGGTCCAGACTCGCTTGTTTACAGACCGCCGCCATATAGCTGGAATATTGCTGAATCTGGCGTAAAACTGAACTCACTCACTCATCATATAATAGCAATGTATTGCTGACTGGTGTATTTGAAAGGAGTGAACAATTCAAGCAAATTACATCCTAGATTTGCCCTGTTTGTGATAGTGATTTCACCTCACTCACTCACTCACTCACTCCAGTAGTCACTCACTCACTCACTCACTCCAGTAGTCATGTTATTCTCAGCATTGATGATCAACCTGCAGGCATTTAAGTAAATATACAAATGTATGATGTGGAAACGATGCATGGGTGAGTATTCTTTTAATATGTTATGTTTAATATGTATTTCAGATGTGCGACCAAATAAACAAATGTGCCGATATACTTACAAATAACTTTGGTAAGGCGGCAGAATCAACCCAAAGTATTGATGTGAAACGGTAAGTGTTTACTTCTATTTATCACGAGTCACATCTAGTTTTACATTAACACTCACATCTGATACAACACTATTATCGACACAACATCTGAGTCACGTTTAAACCTTCTATGAAAACTATGTGACCATGAAAGTTCTAATGTCACGGTATCGCAAAGCATTCCTCGTATTGGACATATATATTTTCTAAAAATAGGGGAACCTGGAGTTTCAATTTGGATAGAAAGTATAAACGTTTCAAAGACAGACATCTTATGAACGCACCACCATTTCTCTTTATCACCACCCCTAAACACAACGCATGGGATGCACGTACAAACCGCAGTAGCCCCAAACACGTGCATGGGGTGTCATTCTTGATTTTGACGGTTTTCAAGAAGGTCGATAAATCACCGTAGACCATTAATTTTGACAATCATCTTGCATCACACAGTTGTTAGTGTTTGTTTCTTGTCGTTTTTTTGTTTGAAGATGAAAATCGTACACATGCAAATTTCACGTATTACACCAATCATCTTTCAAGAGCGATAGCTGTGCAAACAACTATGGCCTTACGCAAGTGCAAGTGGTGATGCACTCCCAAAATTTTCATTGTTATCATATAAACATCGATTGACTCCCATTTTTTCAATCGTGAATTAAGTTCCCCTACTTTTTAAGAGTATATTTGGCCTTTTGTAACATACATACATACATACAACATACATACAAACATATCCCTGTCTATGTAGAACAAATGTGACTGAACTGCGGTCACTTTTTGCGTCTTTTTAAGATTACATGGCGTATGGACCGCACGAATGTTTTGTTTAGTTGTTCAATAATGAAAATATGTGGACTTCATTACAGATACTTTGGTGCATTCACAATGGACGCCATAGCAAGCACAGCGTTAGGGATCGAAGTGGATTCCCAAAGTGACTTCAGAAATGTGTTCGTTGAGCAGGCCCAGAAGTTATTACAGGAAGGAACGCAAAGCCCTATCATCATGATTACTTGTAAGTTAAGTGAATAGAAAGTTGTAGACGCCCGTGAAGATCTGGGTTGGAATTGGTCTTCAGCAACCCACGCTTATCGTAAGGGGCAAAGATGGGATCGGGTTGTCAGGCTCGCTGACTTGGTTAACACATGTGATCGTGTATACACGGTGAATATCGATGCTCAGGATGTTGATCACGGATTGTTTGGTTCAGATTCGATCATATGCCCACCGCCGGCACATAGCTGGTGCGGCGTTAAAGAACAAACAAACGAGAACGCTGTAGACATTACCAACCCTTGTTAGAAATTGCGTTTGTCATTTCTTTAGCATGTCCACAGACAGCAGACGTTTGATCATGTGTTGTTTATGAACACAGGCAGCGGACGTTTCATCTTATGTTGTCTGTGAACCCTGGCAGCGGATGTTTGATCATGTGTTGTTTGTGAACCCTGGCAGCGGACGTTTGATCATGTGTTGTTTGTGAACACAGGCAGCGGACGTTTGATCATGTGTTGTTTATGAACCCTGGCAACGGTCGTTTGATCATGTGTTGTTTATGAACCCTGGCAGCGGACGTTTGATCATGTGTTGTTTGTGAACCCTGGCAGCGGACGTTTGATCATGTGTTGTTTATGAACACAGGCAGCGGACGTTTGATCATGTGTTGTTTATGAACACTGGCAGCGGACGTTTGATCATGTGTTGTTTATGAATACAGGCAGCGGACGTTTCATCATGTGTTGTTTGTGAACACAGGCAGCGGAGGTTTGATCATGTGTTGTTTATAAACACAGGCAGCGGAGGTTTGATCATGTGTTGTTTATGAATACAGGCAGCGGACGTTTCATCATGTGTTGTTTGTGAACACAGGCAGCGGAGGTTTGATCATGTGTTGTTTATAAACACAGGCAGCGGAGGTTTGATCATGTGATGTTTATGAACACAGGCAGCGTGTTTAGGGAGTGAAATCCAAAACCCAAAGTTCACAAACGTTATTAATTTATTATAATGATTTTAAGTTATGACACATCTCCCGACATGTTATTTGAAGGATTTTCTCAAATCCTTTTCTCTTCATAAAATATTTGAAAATTGCAAAGTATATATCAAAACCAGTCTGAATAAATATTTGAGTAGTGTCTGAACAACAAATGACAAGTATTTCTGTTTTATACCGATTCCATTAATGGTACTGCACGATCAACTTCAGTAGAGTTGGCAGCTGGACAATTATTGTTGAACAATTATTGAACAATTGCTGTTAGATTTCACTTTTATTTCCAGTTTTGTTTCCCGAACTCACTCCCTTGTTCAAAGCTCTTGGTGTTAGCTATTTTCCAAAGAGCTCTCTAAAGTTCTTCACGAGGGTATTGAAGGAAATGATTGAACAACGCAAGGCTGATTTAAGGGATGGAAAGGTAGGCACACGAAAGGTGGATTCAGAAATGTGTTCGTATACTGTGTTCTCACTGTGCATTTACCGGATGAGCTCACAACGCCTTATGTCTAGAGCTCTACCCGCTGTCTACAACTGAAACAACCAGTCACAGGCTATGGAAAATTTGGTTGACGGGTGCTCCAGTGGCCTACAGTAAATATTGCGTCCATGAGACGTGTATGTAAGCGAGTTTTGTTTTACGCCGCTTTTAGCAATATTGAAGCAATATCAGGACGGGGACACCAGAAATGGGCTTCAACACATTGTACCCATGTGGGAATCAACCCGGGTCTTCAGCGTTACGAGCGAACGCTTTAACCACTAGGCTACCCCTCTGCTCCAGGCGCGTACGTAACCTATGAAATCGAACCCAACTTTCGACCAGGATCTATAATTCTTGGTTTGTGCCATTTGGGGTTAAACACAATGGAATGCTTCTGGAACCTCCATAACGACTTTCCTTTCGATGTGAAACCGATGTGTCGTCACTTGGCTGAAATAATATTCGAACCGAACTCACCCACTGCTGAAAATGTATGTCACATCTGAAAAGAACTGTATATTTATAACGACAGTGTCACTTCAATGTAAATGTGATGTGATAAAGATTTCTTCTGCGTTTTCAGAAATTGCATCTACCATAAAACTATCATTTTGTTTAATCGTTATTCATAATATTTGAAACTGGGATTAAGACACACATGTAAGACACACAATGGTTCTGATGGATGTGAGATCATTAAGATCCCTGATTCTGTTGTAGCCGAAAAGACAAGACTTCTTCCAACTTCTGATGGACGCAGAGGATGACGGGACTGATGATAACCCCAGTCAAAGTGGATCTCAAAGCAAAAGTTTGTTTCCTCTGCTCCTTGTCGTGAAAGTCCTACAGTGCTGAGTTGGCGTGTATATTTTAAAGAAGGGACAGTCAGAGTGGATCTCAAAGCAAAAGTTTGTTTCCTTTGCTCCTGTGTCGAAAGTCCTACAGTGCTGAGGTTGGCTTGTATATTTTAAAGAAGGGTCAGTCAGAGTGGATATCAAAGCAAAAGTTTGTTTCCTCTGCTCCTTGTCGTGAAAGTCCTACAGTGCTGAGATGGCTTGTATATTTTAAAGAAGGGGCAGTCAGAGTGGATCTCAAAGCAAAAGTTTGTTTCCTTTGCTCCTTGTCCTGAAAGTCCTACAGTGCTGAGTTGGCTTGTATATTTTAAAGAAAGGACAGTCAGAGTGGATCTCAAAGCAAAAATTTGTTTCCTTTGCTCCTTGTCGTGAAAGTCCTACAGTGCTGAGATGGCTTGTGTATTTTAAAGAAGGGGCAGTCAGAGTGGATCTGAAAGCAAAAGAGTGTTTCGGTTGTCACACTACCTGTGTGTATAAAACGAGTCTTCACAATGTTGAGATGGCAGATCCAGGATATCTGTAGTGGATAAGAGTTCGGGGAAATAAATATGCCGTACAACTCAAGACAACATGCTTAACTACTTTCTGGAAGAATACGTTCTTACCATGATACCGAAGGCCCTGGTTCATTTTGAGATTCCCTACTGGGTACAACGTGTGAAGCCCATTTCTGGATTCCCCGCCGTGATATTGCTGGAATATTGCTAAAAGCGGCGTGAAACTAAACTCACTCACTTACATGAGTACAATGTGTGAAGCCAATTCCATGATTCCCCTTCGTGATATTGCTGGAATATTGCTGAAAGCCGCGTCTAACTAACCTCACTCACTAGCTCACTCTCTATTCAGCAGTTTTCAATAACTTATAACTACAGCCAACTGTACTTATATTCGTCCAGCCATTTGTTGAGCCCTAAACATGTTCCGTTCATTAGCAATATTTTGAACTTTGTGTTGCCAACATACCCAGGTGAACTACAGTACCAGGACACTACTTTTATGCATTTCAGAAATGACCAACGACGAAATAATAGGCCAGGCTTTGTTATTCTTCATTGCTGGATATGCAGGAACGGCCAAAACACTCCATTTTGTTGCCTACTCTCTGGCAACACAACCAAATGTACAACAGCGGCTCACGGAAGAAGTCGACTTGGTTCTGGGAGACGTATGTATTTTTTCGAAATTCCAAAACTTGTTTCTATAGGAACACACACGCACACACACACGCGCGCACTCACGCACATATGCAGCGACGACTATTACGCCACGCCAAGATGAATTTATGTCCCCAAGAAACAGCGCAGGAAACTCATGTCAGGTACTGTTTCTGATCGCTCTAGATCCTGACAATGGTTTTACATGATGAGATTCTGAGATCGGAAACTAGCACAGTGGGATCTTGACGACTAAGGGGCATAACTTTGCACAGCGAGTTGGCATTCGAAACTACTCGTGTCATTCCGGCAAGCCGGATGGCGTAGGTCACGGAAAGAGGCGAGTAGTTACGACTGCGCGAGTTGGGAGAAAACATTCGTGACCAACTCGTGTTATTCCGGCACAAGCCGATTCTTGGAGTTTACGAAAGGGGCGAGTGGTGACGAATGGGGAGAAAAGTATCGATGTCACATTAATAACAGACACCATACCTAGCTGCGTTGGGATCTGACGGGGAATCCTAATATATAGATGATGATGATGATGATGATGATGATCCTTTAGGAGATCGCATCGGGTGAACTTTATCTCACAATGTGAGAGAAGGATGGACGAACCAATCAATTATGAACGTTCTTCAATGTTTCGATTCCAAGTCCGAACCCTCTCGATTGAATGAAAACAGAAAAAAAATATTCTCGCTGGTACTCCTTTAGAATGTACACTTAGATGGCATAGCGCTCAGAAACGACCGGATGTCTTAAATACTCACAATCTTAAAGCTAGATTTTATCTTTTTGCACAGCACGATTATACTAGTTTACTCATTGTCTTAATTTATCCTCAATGGGCTAGCTGAAAACGTTCTGATAATCACCAGGAACACAAGTGGATACCGGAAATATACTTCCCACATTGGGGAATCGAACCCCGGGTCTTCGGTGTGACGAGGGAACGCTTTAAACACTAGGCTACCCCGCTGCTCCTAAAGCAGTTTTTAAACAAAAGTATTTAAATATTCACCCGTGTCCTGACATGAGACATTTGTCTTTCAGAAAACTCCAGACTATGATAATATTGGCGGCCTGAAATACATGGATCACGTGATCATGGAGACTCTCAGAATGTATCCTCCTTCAACTATGTAAGCAATTATTCATCTGATACCATATACCGGTTCTTTTTTAAGTCAGCGGTTAAAAACAACACCCAAAATGTTTGTTTGCTCAGTAATTGAGTAGAAATCAGAGCCAATACAGATCCAAATTAATTAATTCATTAATGTACTGATGTACCTTGTTAGGATGGGAAAGCCGCAATAACTCGGTGCGCCAAGTGGCTGCAAGAGTTGTATGATCCCCAGGGAGTTGAGATTGATAATAAGATGTGCCGTTGAGATTGACTTCTAATGATCGAGGGGAAAACTACCAGCGCCTTGAACATGCACTAGTGCGTGGATATGTGCGCTATATAAATATCCAATAATAATTTTTTTTTATTAATAATGTGACTGAACACTCCAAAACCTTAGTTTTACCAGTTTATGTATAGGTAGGACCAATGTTTTAGATGCATGCTTCACAAAGGTAATGCTGACCCTGAATCTCTTGATCTTTGTTTTATACCTGTAAGCTAAATGCTACATAGGACAGGTGTTGACACAATAATATCCCTGACTGTCGAGGATGATCCGTTTATGTGTGAAAGGTGAAACCCCGTGTCAATTCAAGCTCTAACATCCAACAATCCCTCTATAGCATCACAGCCACAAATTCGACCGGTTTGTTGACGTGTGAAACTCCTTGTCAATGCAAACTCTAACTACCCAATAATGCCTTGGAATACAAAACCTCTGTGACATCACAGCCGCAAATTCCCGTCTAATTGTCAATCACACTGTAAATGTAATTACATTTTTTCAACAGACATCCTCTTCGCTGCCATATTCTTTAATAGTTGAGGGGATAACCCTGTTTTCAATGGGAAACATGACTCAAACGCTCCATGTCCACTGTTACAGATTAACCCGTAAGGTAGCGGAGACTGTCGCCATCAAGGGTTACACATTCCCCAAGGGCTCTAGTATCCACATTCCCATTATTGGGATACACTATGACCCTGATGTATACCCAGACCCCACAAGTTTAAAGCCTGACAGGTAGGTGGCACTCCTGGCAAGATATTGACATGACATGAAGCACTTATTTTTTTGTCATGCTTCTTTTTCATGCAGCATGAAGTTCGATACGAGTCAAGAATCATGTTAATGTCTCTTATGTTTGTATGCTGTAAGTTAGTAGTAGTAGTAATAGTAGTAGTAGTAGTAGTAGTAGTAGTAGTAGTAGTAGAATAGAGTAGTGAGTGAGTGAGTTTGGTTTAATGCCGCACTCAGCAATATTCCAGCTATATGGCGCCGGTCTGTAAATAATCGAGTCTGTACCAGACAATCCAGTGATCGACAGCATGAGCATCAATCTACGCAATTGGGATACGATGACGTGTGCCAACCATTAGTCGCCTCTTACGACAAGCATGGATTAGTGAAGATCAATTCTAACCCGAATACTCACGGGTAGTAGTAGTAGTAGTAGTAGGAGGAGGAGGAGGAGGAGCAGCAGAAGAAGACGACGAAGAATTTGTATTTCGACTCTTATATGTCGTCTCGAAAAGCATTAAAAAGCGACCTGGACATCAGTCAAAGCGACAGACGGCTACTGACGCTCGCTCCCTCTTTCTTCTTACATACATTTTTGTTTACTGACAAGTAACCGGTTCCTGTGCTCCCAGGATTTACTTCTGTTCGTCCATCTGGTTCGTTTCCAGGGCTCGAAAATTCATGAAGTTCATTCGGGTTTTGAATGACATTTTTAAATGGTAGACACATACAGTAGGAATATGTTGAATTCATACATGCAGGTCTCATATGGAATAATGACTACAGGACATAAAAAAAGAGGTCATAGTTCTTCCTTTCAGGGTTGCTGTTGTGGACCTAAACTTTTGCTGCAGTCTGAATATATGCAGGAATCGCGCGTGTATGTCACCTTCTGGTGACATGTTCTGATCTGACCTTACAAATGTTCATCACAATGCACTATTCTTTCAATTTAGATGGGAGCGGAAATCCGAAATGGATCCCATAAGTTATCTCCCCTTCGGTCATGGCCCCCGTCAGTGTGTGGGAATGAGGCTTGCACAATTGGAGATGAAGATGGCGCTTGCCCGGAGTCTCCAGAAGATTCAGTTTGTGCCAGCGGATGACACTTTGGTGAGCTCATTATATAGGATAGATATTATGCTTTCCCCGTGTCATCGTTTAAGATGATGGTGGTTTAAACCCCCTGAGGATCACCAGTAGATGGCGCCAATCCAGCCATATAGATCGGACTTTATTTACGGACATTTTGGCAATATTAAATTCTGCAACAAGAACTGACCTTAACAAAATTTGTCATTTTCTATAAGACTACTTTCTTAAGGGACTGAAGCTATTAGTTTTCTGTTTGCAACCACATCTTGTAATCATATCAACGTTTTATCATAATTAAATCTCTGACAAAATGCATACTAGGTGACATGGGTGGAGTAATGTGTCAATATCGGGGTGATGAGCAGTGCATTGTCAACCAAAGATTAACCAAAGAGCTATCGTAACCTACTGGTTCTTGTCCTGTCGTAGGCGTCAGTCCATCTATTCCAGGCATGTTCTGGATAGAGGAGAGGTCTGGAGAAACAGCCAGCAATCACAGTACATAGTGCCTTAACAGGTCTGTCACAGCATGTATGTGCATCACGTGGGCGGACATTTCCTGCTGCAACGTGACGCAACGTCCCTGCATTTGAGCAAACATGACATCTTTCATTATATTGATGTGTGTTTCAATCAACATTGAAATGACTGGCAGCTTCATGCCGAGCCATTCCTGTCTGCAGCATTCCCAAGGCACATAGGCGTTGAGTTTAGCAAAAAGGGGCTATTTACGATAAAGTATAAACTATTTATGGTTAAACAAAAGTATCCTTTACGTTTGTTTTTGTTGGGGATTTTTATATTTGTTTTTGTGTGTTTGTCTTTTATGAGCTCTTGTTACCTGATCAGTTATTGTGTTCTGCATTCTTTGTGAAAACGTGTTTATGGTCCACACAAATTACTTTCTGAATACATTTACCACTAAACTTTGTACTTTGATCAATCAGTAATTGTAATGTTTCCTTTTTAACATCATACTGTAGGCTATTAAACTGTTTGGGGGTTATTACAGACTTCACTCGGAATGGACGACATCACTGTACACACAGGCACATTACACACCAAGAAGCCAATCATGCTCAAGGTCAAAGTCCGGTCAGATAAGTGAAAAGAGAACCATCAACAGAGTCCTTCGGGTTCTGGGCGCGCTTTGATGTTGCTCTGGAAACCCCTTCGTGTGTTTCAAGGCGAACCAACTATTGGCAAATCCCTGCAGAAGAAAGGAGAAATCATATAAAAACTCCGCAAATGTTTTCGTGTTTTAAAATCGTACCAGTAGCTTGTTCATTTCATTTAGTGAAATTGAAAACATCTAATGAATGAATGCCAGCTGAACATATCAGCAGCAGAGCGAATGAAGATTAGTTGCAAATTTTTGTATAGATTATAATTTGTTCTGACCAAGTTTGTTCAAGTGAACAGTAGTGTTCCACAAGGATGTGTCATATTGCCCTTACCCTCCATGCTCCAAAGTGGCCATTGTGTTGGTCACCACACCCATGTGAACAAAAACTAGGAAGACTGAGATTCAGATAGAGCAATATGACTTCTGTAAATATTCATATCGAGGCAGTTGATTATCAACAGGGAGTTGAATGACGATACCAAATATTTTAACCACTGATTTGGTTATAAGAAACACCAACCGAGGGTTTTTGTATACACGTGTGTTACCTTTTTTAATCTTACGTGTATTCAGTCCCATTTTATCATTGTTTTCTGGAAGATGTTTGAGCATACTCTAAGCACTCTTTGTGGGGAACACGTTCTGTTCAAAGTTTCTTTCACTTGACATTATTGTTTCTTTAGCTTGTGAACATAATTGGGGCTACCCTTGTCAGCGAGTCTTCATAATGTGAAAATGGAAATCGTTAGTGAAAACAATCACTGTATCGCAATCACATGTGAATGAAAGAGTACGGGCTCCTTTCAGATCAGCCTTGAGGTTCATGAACAAAGTTCTTTATCATTTATCGATAAAAACAAAACAAAAAACAGCCACCTCTTTTTTTAACCCTCAGTGAATCTGCTACGAACATGATATTTGTATATATGATGTACTATGAGCCGTTGGGCAACATAATTATGCAAATAAATTGCCTTTCAGTGCCTTACATGTGGAACTTTCCTGTGTACTATTGGCCTTTTTGGACAGATATGCAAAAACGTATCTGTAGCACGTTCGTGAATAAAATGTGAATACGTTTATAAATATCCCTATTCAGCGGTGTGTGGCTGTATGTGTGTTTTTTCTGTCTGTCTGAAAGAGTATGTACGTATTGTAACTTAAACAATATCAAAGATTTGTACCAGAACTTGTATGTCCATCCTAAAAGAACATTCGAAAGCAATACATACCAAATAAGTACTTAATTACCTTCATTACAACAATATCATTGCCTTATGGCAACAACAAACTATCAAGATTTAAAATTTGTTGCGTTATACTTCAAATACGCCTTCAAAAGCATAGGGATTGAAATTAAATGTGAATCTTCTGTTAAAATTATCCTTTACTGTGTTATATGCACTTCGTGTATATGGAAACTTTGGCCTTTCATACAAAAAACATTTGAATTTGAGAAATACAAGTTAAATGGAATCTCAGGTAATATGCAGACGATGTAAAGTGGATTGCGCCATCACTGTCTTAGGAACATAATCCATGATGTTCCATGAACCCCCAACGCGAACTTCACACTGATGCGACTATTAGAACAGAAGATGTCAGTAATGAGTGTGACCTCCTCGAGTGGCCGTAACGACAACACAACAGTTCCCCATGGACAGAAGAACCCATAGGAACACTCTAACCAGAACTTGTGTATTGGTCAAACATGTGCATGCCCAAGTTCTTGCAAAGTCTTGGGTTGATTCATCCGCTGTCGTCCCAGTTCATCCCAAATATTGGTCGAGGCATACATTTTGCACTTTGGGTTAAAAACACCAAAATTGGCACACTTATATACCGAACCATTCCGAACATTTCTTGATATGGTTCCAGCCCAGCAACGCCCTCTGGTGGTAGAAAATCCAAGATGGCTGAAACCACTCATGATGTCTGTCGATTCTCACAATGTCATAAGTATCTGGTCAAATCCAGTATTTGGTGCATGTAATTCAAATTTGTTAATGGCGCCGTCCCAGTACCGACCTTACGCTACTCGACCTTCTCGACCTGAACGTCGAGTTGGTCGAGTTTCAGAACGAGTTAGGTCGAGTCAGATCGAATCAGGTCTAGCAAGTTTTTAAAAAACAATTTTGACACCTCAAAAACTTTCCCCACTTCCACCTCGACCTTCGGTCCAAGATCGAGACCAGGTCAAGAATAGGTCGAGGTAGGTCGAAAAAATGTCGAGTTTAGGTCGAGTTGAAGGTCGAGCTGGCCTGACATACCGATCTGTGTTCGTCTTAGAATCGATCTGTACTCGGCCTTGAGTCAACCAACTCGAACTTGACTCGACTTTGACTCAACCTGAGGTCGACCGACTCGACCTGAAGTCAACCTATCTAGACCTCAACTCGACCTAATCGAGTCCACATCAACCGCATAAATGGTCACCATCTTCCCAATTGCTTCATAAAAGCCAAACGGCAGCCACTGGTAGCACATCATCTCCACACCAACCTGCTGCCACCGAGAGGTCCACCCTGAGCACACCACCCTCTCCAACAGCCGCAAAGCAGAACAGGCTGGTATCTTCCCCAGCTTTGACTCCAGTGCTGCAGCAGGTATATCTCTGTACCTGCCAAGCAGTCTCTTGGACCCTACACACACCTCAGAGGATCAGTCACATGTTCAGGACTCTCAGCAAGGACAGTGAAACTGAGAAGCAGAACTTGATACTCATATATTGTCATGAGCACTTAATACTGATGTGAAATGTTACCTTCATATTATCTAAATGAGTTTCCAATTTTTTAAAAGCTTTTTTTCATCTGATATTGTTTTGTATTTTCCATCCAATGTAAGTGTAAACCTAAATACATTGCGATTGTAATAATAGTTTCTTTGGTTGGCGCCATCCAGTGGGGTAACGTTCCTCCACCCGGTTATCCCCATCAAGTAGCTGTGTGCAGGAGCGCCACTTGCCTGGGGTGAGTGAACAGTCCTCATTCCCCGGTGTATGAGGTTCATCTGACTGTTCCGGTTCCTCGTTCTCAGCATGTTGTGTAAAGTGACGCAGGTCAGGGTTATCTGTTCAGCTCTCTGTCTGCAGTGCTACTTAGGCAGCCTGGAACCTCATAGCCAGAATCCCGAAGGTATTCTCCACCACTCGTCTGGCCCTAGACAGTCTGCAAAAGTCACACATTAAACATTTCTAAGTCAAATGCATTCAAAATTCAAAACCTCTGATATAATATTGCATACACCCAACATATAATTTGATTTAGGTATTTATGGAAAAGAATAATTACCTGCAGTTGAAGATCTGCTGATCGGGGTCCATCTGACGCATGGAAAAGGACTTCATCATCCAGGAGCGGAGTGGAAAGGCATCGTCGCCGATGATGAAGTACGGCACACCATACGGGGAATACAAGGTCATCGCCCTCCATCCAATCTCGTGAATGGTTGAAGACCATCAGCGTCTGAAACTGATCCCTTGGCCCTGACGTTAACCCACGGGAACTTGTAGTCAGCATCCGCGAGTGCCAGCAAGATGATAGAGAAGAAGTTCTTGTAGTAGTAGAAGAGGGACCCGCTTTTGGGAGGCTTCTTGATGCGTATGTGCTTGCCATCAAACGCACCGGTGCAATATGAAAATTACCACCTTTCCTTGAAAGCACGGGCTACAGTATTCTATCTGCTCTGATCCCACTCATCTGACCGATACTCGGCTTTGAAGACGTCAAGGATGGGATTGATGAGCTTACAGCTGAGGCTTTGGCTTTGGAGGAGGGTTGGCATTCTCCAGGTCATCCACCAGTTCAAGCAGGTGCCAGGCTATCTGCACCCAAATGGTAAGCAGTCTTCGCTTCTCGGGGCTCATAAGGTTTACGTCAAGGTTCCTGATGGTAATGTTACTACTTTGCAGTCCTCTAATTGAATGGGTACCTGGTGAAAATGCACCCTGTAATTGTACAATTTCGAAACCAAGGGTCTACTCGGCAGAAAAATGGAATTTCTGTCAAGAACCATTTGCTCCGGTTGAACTTACGTTGCGTAGAGGTCGGGCCGATCGACTTAAGACGAAATTAATTCGAAATTAACTCAATATACAGGTCTAGCTGGTCGAGTATAGATCTTCTCAACTTGGCCGACCTGAGTCGAGATAGGTCAACTAAAGTCAAACTAAAATCGAACTAAGGTCGTAGAGGTCCTTATGAGGTCGTTTTGAGGTCACTCTTTTTTTTTAAATTCTGGTCCAAACAGGCGATTATACCCTAGCATACTGGAATGAACATGCAAAATATGTGCTTTGCATAATATCTCTGAGGTTTTGGGTCGCATGTTCGGCAAGCCAATTGGAGTGCCATGTAATACTGGAGTTATAAAATGTGAAAACATTTAGAAGTACTAAAAGCTAAATCATTCAGTAAAAGCTAAATAGTTATTGTTCTAATCTAAAATGAAACTGGCTGAACGAATAATATCAAAATCAAGAACAACAAAACATACAAATTTCTAAAACAAAATCATGTCATTTTGGCCATCTTGGATTTTTATACTACAAAATACAACTGAATAATATACAGCACTGTTGCAGTGATTACTGATAAATGTAATTACTTTGACCAGTTAGCTACATTATGCATAGATCAACATCACTAGAGATTGCACTTTGAACCATGCACAATAAATAACAAATAGGTATGCATACAGAGGACTGTTTATTGAGGCAAACAGAACAAAAGCATAGGTACATATATAACAGCAAGGTTGGATTCATCTTTCTCTCACAGAGTGTAGGAGGCAGGTGGACAATAAACCAGTAATTTGTGGTTTGGGAGGTCTATGCTTTGTCACTTTGATTATAATCTTTGAATCTTTAAAAATACAAATATATTACATACAATGCAATCTCATTAACATCAGATCTTACTACTCACCACAAACAAAAACTAAGTATGCTTTATGCCGCTTTAAGCAATATTCCAGCAATATCATGGCGGGGGACACCAGAAATGAGCTTCACACATTGTATCCATGTGGGGATTCGAACCTGGCCTTCAGCATGACAAGCAAATGCTATAACAATTAGACTACCCAACGCATGTTACGAAATTACTTTGTACAGTTGCTGTGGGTACTAAGATCTGGTTTTAATAAGACTGACTGAGAATGCATTTGCTAATGTTCAGAGGGACTTATTGTTAACTTATAAGTTGTGTCTTGACCCACTAAGTCAAACAGTTCTCCTATATCACACCAGTGTCCCGTTTTATTTCTGATTGGTTTTAACAGAACAAAAATAATCAACTCACATCCCTGTCAGTTTCATTTCATGAATAGATATTTTGAAATATACTTTAACTTTTGATATGGATAATCAGATATGATATTCTGTTTAACTTTACATGTAACAAATGAATCATTTTTTGTGAATCCTGGAAATATTAAAAATATTCCTAACAAAAGTGGAGTGGTATAAGCGACATCTTCAAATCTGAAGAACAAAGTTACAGATAGCCAAGAATATAAATTTAATTGAAGTCAAAAATATTTATTCATCAATCCCAATATTGATTCTAAATAGCTATTTGCAACATATACCACATGTAAAGCATATGCTTCACTTAGATTATACTTAGCATGCATAAATAACTAATATGTAAAATAAACCTTTGTAAACTCAATATCTACACTGCTCACAGAAAGTAAGGGAATTGTTATACTGAAATTCGAACAATTCTGATGAATTCAGCTATGCTGACCTTCTTTTTTACCTAGAATAACATTTTGACATAATGTAACATATTAAACTTCCAATTGCAATGCTATTTTTTCCAAGATTAACATTTTGCCATAAATTTACATCATAAACTTCCAGTAATGCTGATATACACTTTGACACTATCATAGCTTACACCTATACAACAAGGTGTAACGTATGATGCAATTGGTCACAAATAACACCAAACCAGACACAATCTGTCTAATGTTTACAGTTCCCTCACTTTCTCTCAGTAGCATATTTTGTAAATATATATATTAAATTTTAAAAAAATGAACACAAGATTTTATTGCGTTAAATATGAAAAGACCAGACATGGTTAGAATTCAAGTCCTGATAGTTTTCACGCCATACTCACAACTTTCAATTTTCCGTTTGGAAAGAACTTTATTAGTGTTTATAATGAGTGAAATCAAATTATATATACCCATGTAACTAAATTTGTTGAAAACTGAAATATGTTAAAGAATTTCAAAAATTGTAAATTGGTTGATTTTCTTTCAAGATTTTAAATGAGCAAAGAGAAAGCATCAAACAGTTGTGCAGATAATAACATCTCTCCCCTCTTTCAAACTGATTATTTATATGACAAAATAAAAATAATCTGAGTTGGAACTTCAAGGAAGAACAGATCCCCTAAAACATGCACCACTCCATGCCCATATTCACTTAACGAAATCTTAATTTAACAGAATGAACCATGTACAGGTATGAAGGCAATACAACCTTTGATGAAATCTCACACAATAAATATACATTCTCAACAGTTAACAAGCATACTGTACTGATAATAAACACCCAAACTGAATAAAACAACCTAACAGAAACCAGTTAAAGTGTAATGTGTCACTAACTAACCATCACTCAACATGTAAATGGTGGCTTATCAAATATACCACCCAAAAGATGTCAGAGAACACTCGTGACTGTAGTTTAACACAATGAAAAAGAATTGGGTTTTTCTAACTTCTTTTGAGAAGCATACTATCTCTTCTTCAACTGGCAGATAGCATGCAAACTCAGTATTCATTCATATACAGTAGGTAGAACAGCATTTACGTTTGCTGCCACTTGAAACCATACTCATTACATCGGCTGTCTGCCAGCCACCCAAAGGGAGTGGGTTTGGTTTTATGCCTTCTTTAGCGATATTCCAGCAATATCACGGCAAGGGGCCACCATAAATAACAGCTTCCAGTGTGTCTATAAATCTACCAATCAAACAACATCATGATTTCCGATGACATGATTCTGAAGCATTAATGACATGGAATAAAATTCCACGGTTTACCTGAAACTATCACCATGGCAACACTTTATAACAACAATTGGTATCATTTGATTCACATAACATTATAGTCACCTCCAGACTTCTCAATAGTATCTGAAATAATTCTCAATGGGATTAGAATCAAGCACTCATGAAGCTATACAGCTCAACATTTGTCAGGGATGCTGAGCCATTTTATATTTACATATTAACAGTTATACATGTGGTGCTTGATGGAAAAATAGGAAGTATCCCAATCACACGTTGAGTGGTATACATTCTACAATGCCACATGCATGCTATCACAGACTATCTCTGTACAATGGGAAAGAAAAACAGCTCAATGTTGTTGACAATATGGATAATGAAACTCACAAAATATGAGCCACCAAATTTCAGGCAATTTTACAGCATCAAAGTGTTTTCAAACAGGTTGAAAGACATTCTTAAATCAATAAACCAAGCTGACCAAGGATGCCAAGGTTGTTAATGGAATGGTGTCCATGAGTGGAGTGCAATATTCCATGATTTCTCCCGACAGTGCAGACATAAAATGTACTACTACACCCATCCCAACATGCACACACTCAAAACATATTACAAGCTTCCTGTTTTTCCCACATAGAAAATCAAAATGGTAATATCCTTGGCCCCATTCCACAAAAGTATCTTAGTGCCATGACTGCCGTAAGTCGTTGTTAATGTATGGGAGTTAAGATGACCTTAGTGCTACAACTGTCGTAAGTCCATGTTAATGGATGGGAGTTACGATGACCTTAGTGCTACGACTGTAGTAAGTCCATGTTAATGTATGGGAGTTAAGATCACCTTAGCGCTACGACTGTCATAAGACAATGTTCATGTATGGGAGTTACGATGACCTTAATGCTACGACTGTCGTAAGTCCACATTAATGTATGGGAGTTAAGATCACCTTAGCGATACGACTGTCATAAGTCCATGTTAATGTATTGGAGTTAAGATCACCATAGAACTACATTCACTTTGTGGAACATGACTGAAGTCATTTTCTTTTATTCATTATTAATATGTTAATTACTTACGAGAGCATAATGCAAATGCCAATAATTACAATATTCATACAGTTTGGATGCTTGAAAACCATGTTGTTCTACTGCTTAATTACAACTGATTTACACTTTACTTCCAGAAACAGTTACTTTATATATTGGGAGTACCGGGTATGTGTATTCAAAAGTGAACATTTAAAGTTAATATAAGGCTTCCAGGCTTGAGCACCCAGTAGATTCAAATCACAACCAGTCTCCTGGAAGGTAATGGTTTCTGTAGATGCTGACGATCATGTCATGATTGAGACTAGACACAAAACACTAGCTGCACCGAGACAAATCACTGACATAATAAACACACAAGTCCTATGGCTGAAAACACGGAAAATAATTCAATGATTCAAATCACACATCATCTTCATTCTTGAAGTTGTACTATCTGACTGACATTATAACCCGAAAACACGGAAGGAACAATATTTTATAAACATATTGAAGATGAGCTCACGTCGGCATCAAAATCTGTCATTTCCTAAACATACACTGAAGTACACTCCGAGTGATTGGTGTGAGGAAGACATGGCAACATCTGCTATTTACAATACATACAAATACCTTCTTCCATCTACATTGCACAACCAACAGGAATACTTGATATACATATGGTATATGGGAAATATTGTTACTAACAGGATTTCAAGATTTTGTGGACTTTAAACTGTGCTCTAACACAAACCCACTATATACATGTCCATCCCTCTCTGATAGTTGATGTACACTCAAAGAGAAAATGGGAAAGGTCAATCTCAATGAGAAAATATGAAAGGTTGATCACCTCAATGTCCTCACATATGAAAGAAGGTGTTCTTTAACCACATACATTCTACTCCATAGAAGTTAACAAACATCCAATTCTTTCAGATATACAAGAAAAAGCATCAGGAGTTTCTTAACATCTTTTGAGCTGTATATATCATCCCCCAAATGTTTAGATTTGGTATGAAGGTATAAAACTGAAGAGATCTCAAGCAGGAGCTAAGAAAACTGACTGACCCCATCATCAGTTTGATGTCAGGCAAAATGCACATGTGATATTTGATCAGATAAGGGAGTTTCAAGCAGCATGGGTGTAACAGAAGATTCATCATCTTGGTAAATCTTCCGCTGGAACAGTACACCTATTGGTTCCTTCTGTGAGATGTAACCAACATCAGCTATACCACACCTGGCAGGGGATATTGTACACCTAGTATACATTTTTCCAACCCAGAAACGTTTAAAGGGGGAATGAATTATCATGTACACATCCACTGTAATACTTGCACCAAATTGTAGCTTGTGTCAAAGTCATCGATATTTATATGTATGGATGTCGATGACAGTTTGTGTATACACCAGCAACCAAATCAAGGGTGATTTGGATTTCAACACTAGAACATGGCAAAGTGGGACTTTGCACAGAAAGGCCGCCTTGACTTTGCACAGAAAGGTCACTTTGACTTTGCACAGTAAGGTCGCCTTGACTTTGGACATTAAGGTCGCCTTGACTTTCCACAGTAAAGTAAGGTCATGGGATGATATACCAAGTCATTATCCAACCAGTAACATCACCTGAAGCCAAGAAGTAGATATGAAGGCTGAAACTTCTGATTGTGAAAGCATGATGTGATTTTTGTACCAAGTCCATGAGAGGTGACAGGCATGATAGTGCCCTGATAAAATATATCCTTACACCGACTCAGTCTTACATATCAATAGGAATATTGAACAGAGCGTTTGTCTTTGAGTGGTTCTTTATATGATAGATCCACGACTAGGTATAAAAATATTTGTATATTCTGAATTCTATTTGACAAGATTGACCAATTTAATACTTGTTATTGGCAACATGATTAATGTACATGGCAATACACCAGAAATTTCTGATTAAAAATAAACCCTAAAGTTTATAGAATATTATTTGAGTGACAATCATTCTTCTGTATATCACTGATTGTTCACACAGAAAGTACAGGTGACCACCATGGACAATACATCAACTCAGTCCATGTCCTTATGGCAAGATGGAAAACATAAAACTTATACAAATATGAATATAATTTCTAAGTATTAACCGTATCAGTTTGGTGTAGCTGTAACACATTATGATCATGTGTATTTTCCAAACCAAATGATGAACATTTGTCTGTGCCCAAAACCATTTAGAATACAAGCGTAACTTGTCTTTGTTATGCAGAACACAAGACCAAATTTAGCTAACAGGGAACTTTATCCACATGGGTCTCAGTCTGTGTCAAAGGAAAAGATTGTCTGAATACCTTGGTGCTATGTCAGTAGTGATCAAATTCGAAGATTCTCTGAAAATCTTGGTACACGTAATCACTGAGATAAAAATTCCAAGAAGTCCCTTTCAACCAGCTCCTCAATGAACTGTTTGTTTGATTTGGGATGAACTGTGGAAGGCAGTTCTGGGATGGGTAGACCTGTAGAGTCCTCCAAAACACTGACTGGAGCAGATTTTGACTTCGGCAGCGTCCTGCTACGTGACTGGCTGCTTCTTGAATGGTCTGCTCCTGAATTGTTGATGTTGCAGAGTGTGTTGAAGAATGGTTGGAGTTCAACCAATGAGCGCAGGACAGTGAAGGTCAAGAGAGGTCGACCTGGTACCTGCTTCAGTATGGGATTGTTCCCAGAAAGCTGAAACAGAGGGGGAAAAATACATAATCTGACAAAACATATAATTAATGTAAGTACATGTAACTTGCTTTGTTTGTTGGCAGCAGTATTTCAATGAAATACACAATGCCATTTTAGAAAGTGGTCAAATGTAACATATGTTATATTTGGGAGTACACTTTCCTACTAAGTACAGATTCTACTACTTTTTTGGGGGGGAGGGGGGGCTGTGTTTTTGTCCCCCATCCAGGATTCGAACCCACACCTTCATAGTCAGGCACCTTATCGCCAGCACACAAAGTCAGCTGCCTAGACCACTCAGCCACCGCGGCTTCCACAAAATGGAAATCGGACAACTGGTAGTCTAGACTGCGGACTTTATGTACCCCTCTGATAAGTGTTAACTGGCACGGCACCAACGTCCGAAAGCTGTGAAACACACAATGCTATTTTAGAAAGTGGTCAAATGTAACATTGTTATATTTGGGATTACACTTTCTTAGTAAAGTACAGATTCTAGTACTATTTTGGGGTTGGGTCCCATCCGGGACTCATACCCACACCCTCAAGGTCAGGCATCTTATCGCCAGCAAACAAAGTCAGACACCTAGACCACTCAGCCACCGCGGCTTCCACAAAATGGAAATCTTCCACTTTACTAAGAAAGTGTAATCCCAAATATAACATCAGTTAGCAATATTTCAGCTTTGTCACAACCACCTGTCAACACCAGGACAAGCAAACTAATGGTTGATAACATGAACATTTCTGGTTTATAAAGACCTTTACACTACCAGCCTGATCCCCTGTCAACACCAGGACAAGCAAACTAATGGTTGATAACATGAACATTTCTGGTTTATAAAGACCTATACACTACCAGCCTGATCCCCTGTCAACACCAGGACAAGCAAACTAATGGTTGATAACATGAACATTTCTGGTTTATAAAGACCTTTACACTACCAGCCTGATCCCCTGTCAACACCAGGACAAGCAAACTAATGGTTGATAACATGAACATTTCTGGTTTATAAAGACCTATACACTACCAGCCTGATCTTCTGACAACACCAGGACAAGCAAACTAATGGTTGATAACATGAACATTTCTGGTTTATATAGACCTATACACTACCAGCCTGATCCCTTTATTAATCGACTCTTACAACAAACACAAGCTACATATAGCCCCGACTCCCAAGAGGGGAACTTATTTTGATACAGAGTTTCTAACAATTGTGTGTGATGCTGTTGAATTCTTAATAAAAAATAGTTACCTAAGCACTAAATGGATTCAGGTTGGATGACTTGACGGATATGCCAATACATCTTGAACAGTGGTGACTTTGTTCATAACGTTCATCACCAGTTTGTCTGGTCCAGACTCGATTATCAATAGGCATTAATAACAGGCAGGCAATGAAAAAGTCAATGGTACACATTCAAACCCTATATATATATATGGAGGGTATTTTATCAATACACATTGCATATTAATCAACCTTTGCATGCAACATGGTATGTGATTTTAAGAGTGCTTCAAGCTATTGTGGATATCCCTCTTATGAGGTGTGAGTGAGTGAGTTTTACTTCACACCACTTTTAGCAATATTCCAGCAATATCACAGCGAGGACACCAGAAATGGGTTTCACACACTGTACCCGTGTTGGGAATCGAACCCAGGTTTTTGGCGTGGTGAGCGAACACTCTAACCACTAGGCTACCCCACCACCCCTCTTATGAGGACGGGCGACGAGGTAGCCCAGTAGTTGAGGCATTTGCTCATCATCCCAAAGGGGCAGGTTTCATTCCCAACACAGGAACAATGCATGAAACCCAACTCCAAAGTCAGCTACCATGATATTGCTGGGATATTGCTAAAAGCAACATCAAACCCAACTCACTCCTCGGGGAACTGTGCAAAGGCTGCTTACCCTGGTGTTGAGAAGTTTGGAGAGCCGGACAATATGTGGCACAAAGCAAGGACGTTGTACACGCTTGTCCTTGATCACCTCCTTCTCTTCACCTCCAGCTGCTCCAATAAACGCCCATCGGTACCTGCAACGTCATCACTCATCATTGACCACTGGTCAATCTTCATACCAGTATTACCTCACAGAGGATGAGACAAAGAAATGCGGCACTTTTTAGTCATTCTGATCATGCAAAACCATCAAAACTAAAAAGCAGCAGTGACTTAACGATGATTCCTTTGAGCTAATATATAGCATTCAAAATCTAAGGGTTCGTAGAGATTATCAGCCATCAAATTTAAGGCCTATTTAGGAGCTTTTCAAGGCCCAAACAACAATCTTAAGGAGCTACAGAAACACATATGTAGTTGAATAAACACAAGGTTGGTCAAATCTGGGACTGACCATCAGGGGGAAATAACTCTTAACTACATCGCTGTACTGGGAAAGCTATGCTTCTAGCAGTGTCACTATTGATGACTACTCACAACTGGAACTGCGGCACAGTGTCTGCAGGCAGGGCCAGACACAGGTCGAGGAGCTTGCAGACACTGAGGTACAGTTGTAACCAGGCAGGGTTGTTGTGGGCGTTCAGGCCGTTGCCGAGATGTGCCCAACTGGAGTCCAGAGCTGCAATACGCTGGAGCTGGGTCCTAGAGAAACGAGGGTTGTCAGTATGATAGCATCACAGTCAACACACCAGTCTTCTGAACAACTGGATCCTTTCAACTAATACACATAATGAGATTCCAGTAAGTCACTGTGTATGGTTTTATTCTACTTTTAGCAATATTGTAATTCCATGGCAGGGGACACTATAAATAGGCTTGACACATTGCACCTATGTGGGGAAATTGAACCCAGGTCTATGGTGGGAGAAGCCAAAACCATAACCACTAAGCTACCCAACTGCCCCTGAGGAGATTCTAATCAAGTGATATCTACTTTCTGTGAGCCACATTTGAAGATGATATCCTGTCACTGGGCACATCATAATTGATAAATGATAACATTTTAATGTCATTTTATAACATTTTTATATTTTCATACATAATTTTGTATGTATTGCAAATAAACTTAAAAGGAACTGTTTTCCATCCTTATCAAAATATTGTTAAAAATCAAGTGAAAGAACATTACATAATTATTCAGTTCAAAATCTTCTTTTAGTGTTCTTTCACATATAGTACAAGAAAAAGTAACCCAGTACTTAGTTTTCATTGATACATTTAATATTGACCATGAATTTATAAAGAGTTATAAAGTCTGTGACTAGGAAAAACGAGAAACTGACAGCATTTTTTTTCCTTGTTGCCTTACTATAGGTTAAGTGGTTAATCTTGACACCAAGTTAACATAACAGTACTAAACTGCAGTTCAAAGGTCAAGGTGTGAAGAAGAATGTGAGGGATGATTATTGCAGCTGCTGTGGTAGAAGCCAGTCAGTGTGGAGGATCATTGCTACTGGATCCTACGTTTCTATGACAACACATCTATGGGGAAATGCTCATCACAGAGAAAACATGTGACACTGACGCTGAAATGTTTGACAGATGATAATGATGCACATGAAAAGAATTACCGTTACCAATGTGTTGTGATAAGTATGTGATAAATATGATAAACATAATCAAGTTGAACCATACTAAATGATACATATATATATTCTATCAAACATTTCACAAAATTTAAACAGAATTGTGTCATTAAAATATTTCAAAATTACAAATAAATGGTAGAAAAAGGCATGTGCTGAAACACAGATTTTAGTCTTACATGCATTATAGGTTAAAGGGTTGGTAATATAGGCATTAACTAGTTACCAGATTCAGTGTAATGGTTATTGGTTATAACGTTTATCTATGTCATGAAGGCAATCTGATTGGTGCATGGGCAAGTCTATGTGATTGATTGAAACACATCACGCAATCTCTGCAGGCATGACATGCACACTTAATGAGTTGACAGCCATTAACGACAACACACATCACGGAGGTATTAGAGGAAGCTTGCAACATACCTGGACTTAACAAAACTGGAGAAATAACAAGAGCATTCACAGGTCATTGGCATTCCCATCAAATAAATCAACAACATTCCCAAAACAACATTCCCAAACAACATGTACATGATCATGTGAAAAGAGTGACAGTTTGAAGATTTCGCTGCTGAATACTTGTAAATATTATAATAATTTTATTCAAATCTAAATATTTTAGATATTTAAGTACTTACCTTACCATAGGTCTTATGCATATTACCTCAAGCTCCGCTTAAAAGAGATCAGACAGTCGTTGATTCGCCATTCTCTAGAATGGCTGCCTCAAGTATCGACGAGTGTACAGGAACGGAAGTGACGTGATCTCCCCTCTCTGCGCAAGCGCAGTCTATCCAAAAATCACTTTTACTGAAGAGCCCAGAGATGGGAGGAGCATCCAGCATTGGGAGGGAGTTACCGCCCTATGGTAAGGTAAGTATTTAAATATCTAAAATATTTAGATTTTAATAAATGTTTACCATACCTTACCATAGGTCTTATGCATATGGATTCGACAGTAGGACGGCGGTATTGGGCTCCAGAGGACCGTCCCATGAAGAAATACAAGACCACATGCCAAGGGAAACCAAGGAAAACTAACTGAATCGGCAGACTGTCGCAGGAAGAGCCTGGACCAAGAAACAGATAGTGACCCAAGGAAACCCTAAGGAAAACAATACACCCAAGTTATCCTAAAGACCAGAAGGTAAGGAGAAGTAGTTACCTAATGGGCGGTAGGTCGGGTGAGTTGCTGGGCAACAACCAGCGGACCAAAAGATTGCAGACCTTCAACATCCTCAACAGCCAAATCCCGCAGGTAGTGGCTAGCGAAGACAGTAGAGGACTTCCAGAAGCATCCCTCCATGATAGCTGGAACGGTGCAGTTCCTATGGAGAGCCATGGTGGACACCAGGGCCCTAATCTCGTGCAGGTTATTGGCTGTAGGATGAGGCAGATCTAGTGCATCGTAGTTAGCCAGGATGGTCGTACATAGCCAGAGCTCAATAGTATTCCTATTAACTTCACCTTTTGCCGCAGAGGAAATCAGGATGAACAATCTCTTATGAGACTGCCTCCTGGATGATGATTTGGCAATATACTTCTTAAGAGCCCTCACAGGACAAAGCAGCTGTTCCTCAGTGTCGTGGGGTCTTAAAATGGAAGCCAATGGAGGAATGGAGAACATTCTGTCCGGTTGTCCTGGCAGCTGGTTCTTAGCCACGAAATCCCAAAGCAGTCCCAAATGAACAAGCCCATGCCGTGACTGCTCAAAACGCACCCTGGTGACATCCAAAGCGTGGATCTCGCTGACTCTAGCCGCCGTGGCCAAGGCCAAGAGAAACGCTGTCTTCCTGGAGAGGTTCTCGAATGAAGCAGTGTCCAAAGGCTCGAAGGTGGACCTCTCAGATGCCGGAGAATGATGTTAAGGTCCCAATTCTAGAGAATGCGGAATCAACGACTGTCTGATCTCTTTTAAGCGGAGCTTGAGGTAATATGCATAAGACCTATGGTAAGGTAAGTTAAAAATGTAAACGTTTATGTATTTTTCTTGTGATGAATTAAACATTTCACTGCAAGCAAATGTCACACAAATTTATTAAATAATATTTTAGCCTTGAAATGTTTGTTGTCTTAAAAAAAATTTTCAAACACCTTAGTCAGCATTTGAAAACAAATATCAGTAACATGACAGAGAGCTTATGCTTTTTATTCATAAACATGAAAAGTTTATCAGTTCTTTTTGAGCAAAATTTATGTGATATAAACCTTACTTACATTTATCTAAACACTGAATATTCTGAAGTGGTAGACATGAAAATAGCACTGAATCTCATTTATCACAAACAATAATAAATTTGGTTCACTTCTGAGCAAAGATTTATAAAAGGCATTATGTCACTACACAAAGGTAGACTCCAAATGACTACACATATATACTACCTAGCTTTTGATAAGGATATTGTTAGTGACTATCTGGGGCCAGAATATGACACACAATCATTCAAAATGTTACTTAAAGTTTATAATGTAAGTACACAATTCAGTAAGATTATTTCCAGTTCATCCACAGTAGTATCCTTACAAAAATTGTCTTATTGTTAAGACAACAATTACTCTGCTATAACATCATGTCATTAACTTACTATTTTAGATATTACTCAGCTTTTTAAATCTTTTAAAATATATTAAAAACTGATCTATGAATGATGACATGTCATAAAATAAATTCATGAATTGCAACTCAAAAGGTCATCCACAGTTCACAAGACAGAAAACAGCAAAACAGAACCAAAAAACGAAAATAAAAACACTAAAAATGATGCACAACAGAAGAAATATGTCTTTTTCTACCACTAGACTCAATGTTGACAATAACAGAGTTAAGATGAAGAAAGGTCTGTAGAATCTCAGACTATACCTGGAGCAGGCCCGAATATAGTTACTGTTGAAAGATGAGAACACACGTCATCATCGGCAGATTCTTACATGTGACACACATTCAAATTCAAATTCCATGCATAACAAACATTGTTTGTAGTACGCCTGTTAGTTCATCTATGAGTCCTCAAAACAAAAATCCGTGAAATGTAGAAACAGACCTTGAGACAAAACATCACCCTGGCTGAAGCCATGTACCCAGTCTTCCAAAGCTTGGATAACACAACTATCTAAATTACTCAGGCAAATTCAAATTTTCAAAATTTGCAGTTCATATTACGTTGGGTAACTGTATTCCTATGAGAGCAAACAGATTGTTTCAGCAAATTGTACTGACCAACCTGTGCTCAAAAATAGAAATAAGCTGTGAGAAAAGGACTTACTTTCTTGGAAATCTTTTGTTTTATTTGTTAAACTGCTGTTTCAAGAGAATTAAGAAACCTAACATCAACCTTTCTGAACAATTGTTTGGCCTAGGGGGTCAGAAATAAATCCCCAGGGAATGTACCATAAACAGGTATTGGTTACCACTTGAACCAACGGCTGTTCACATCAAAAGCATTGCTACAGTGGTTCCTGTTCCCAAGTACAAACCTTGTTTTGAAAATAGGGAATTTTCTGTCTCCATTGTTCATTTCTAACCCAGCCAATCTCATCACAATCACACCTTTTACCCTGAGTTCAATACCTCACTCCAAAGCCAATTTGACAATGTTTGGATCTACATGCCACAGCACTCAAAGACAACAGTATCAACAATATAGCCATTTAATTTTCGATTTGTGACTGCCTGATCATGTTGATTCAATACTGAAAATTTGGTACACTGCTCCAAAATCAGACTCATACACATCAAAATTAGGAAGCCTTAATCTGATTACAAAGTTACCTAAAAGTTACCTTAAAGAGAGAGTTTTGGATTACAAACTTCCCCTAATGCCACTTCGAACAGGATTTTTCAGGCATTGATGGAGAGAGGTATCGAATTATGGTACATAATGTGACTTGAATGAAACCGAGTCACCATCTGCCAGCCCATCACACAAGCAACTTGAGGGACTGTGGTTCTGACCAGATCAGGTCAGTTTCCGGTAGACAGAGTGAAAGTTAATCCTTTGTCATGAGATCAAATTCAAGTACATACATGTCTACTTGCCTTGTCTTGTCAGAGCTAATGAACAAGGGGAAATAGATTCAGGCTTATTTGTTGTCATTTCAGCTAATCCATCTAAAATGATTTTTAAAGAAAATCTGGGATTATTTTCTTCTACACAACTTTATAACTACACACATAAACAACCTGTAGAGGCAACTAGCAGAATGTGATTGCTGACTTGGTTGATGCACATCATCATGTTTAAATGCGTAAACAATGATCTTGATGTCAATCACATGATTGTTTGGTCCATATTTTATTCTCTACAGACCACTACCACTGGAGTATTGTGTTAAACAACAAACATGTAAGTATATATAATGAGTACAACACATACACTCCTGCACCTGAAGAACAGGTATGTTCAGCAATGTCACCCAGGTATGTTCAGCAACATCACCATCACACAGGTATGTTCAGCAACATCACACAGGTATGTTCAGCAACATTACCCAGGTATGTTCAGCAACATCACCCAGGTATGTTCAGCAATATCTCCCAGGTATGTTCAGCAATATCACCCAGACCTGTACAGCAATACCACCCAGGTATGTTCAGCAATATCACCCAGACATGTACAGCAATATCACCCAGACCTGTACAGTAATGTCATCCAGACCTGTACAGTAATATCACCCAGACCTGTACAGTAATATCAACCAGACCTGTACAGCAATATCACCCAGACCGGTACAGCAATATCACCCAGACCTGAACAGTAATATCACCCAGACCGGTACAGCAATATCACCCAGACCGGTACAGTAATATCACCCAGACCTGTACAGCAATATCACCCAGACCTGTACAGCAATATCACCCAGACCGGTACAGCAATATCACCCAGACCTGTACAGACCAGACCAGACCTGTACAGCAATATCACCCAGACCGGTACAGCAATATCACCCAGATACAGCAATATCACCCAGACACCCAGGTACAGCAATATCATCACCCAGACCTGTACAGCAATATCACCCAGACCGGTACAGCAATATCACCCAGACCGGTACAGCAATATCACCCAGACCTGTACAGCAATATCACCCAGACCGGTACAGCAATATCACCCAGACCTGTACAGCAATATCACCCAGACCTGTACAGCAATATCACCCAGACCGGTACAGTACAGCACAGTAATCACCCAGACCGGTACAGCAATATCACCCAGACCTGTACAGCAATATCACCCAGACCGGTACAGTAATGTCACCCAGACCTCATCATCCAGACATTACACCTATTCCAGACAGCATAGGCCATGCATAAGGCAAGGGCACCAACAACCACAAAGAGTTCTTCCACAATTTGTACTGATGTGGAGAGTCTACACACAGCCCTTGGTGTGACGCTTTAACAACTTTCACAACAATCACTCCTACCTACCCACTTTGTACAATCTGTGTTTCACATACTCCAGTACTTTACAATGAGTCCAAGTTACATCCACACTGTGCCTGAGACTATTGTGGTCCATTACATACACCTTATAACAAATAGACACAAATTCTGGTACAGTCCCATCCAGGATTTGAATCCACACTCTCAGAGGAAGGCACCTAATCACCCGCACATAGTGAGCCAGGACAACTCTTTCTTAGGAAAGAAGTACTTAGACACATATCTTGTGACCCAGCTACACCCTCTTCCTTACTGCCACACACTTGCACAAACTGGCACACACTGGCACATACTAGCACACACTGGCACATACTGGCTTTTACATACACATACTGGCACAAACTGGCACTAACTGGCATATACTGGAACAAACTGGCATATACTGGCACATACTGGAATATACTGGCACAAACTCGAACATACTAGCACATATACTGGCACATACTGGAATATACTGGCACAAACTCGAACATACACTCGAACTGGCACAGACTGGCACAAACTGGCACATAATGGCACATACTGTTGTCTGATCAGGGTTCAACTTGTAGTAAACACAAAATCTAATAACAAACTATGAGTCTAATGTTCACGGCCATGTTCTATATAACACAAAGCTGAAAGCATTCTGCCAAGCCATTTCTCACTGCAAATCAAGGAAGTCTGACTTAGCCACATACACAAAGTTGCAGATGCTATATCATACTCATTATACAGACACACTTCCCAAACATGGATCAATTCAAAGAAGGTAAATGGATCCACTTATTGAATCCATTCTTCCTACAATAGGCAACAAGCCAAAAACAAATATTCTAAGATAAGACATCAAAGTTATGAAACGACGGTGACAAAAGAATATTATTCAAAGATTAGACTATCTTTATCTGCAGGTTAAATGTTGTTAGAACCCCGGATATCAGAAAACCATGTTAGTTGTTTTTGAAATGTCTGCAAAAGACACAAATATCTGTACATGACAGTCCAAGACAAGAAGTTGATCCCATGTTAATGGTCTTTCTCTATAGAAGTGTGCTGTTAGTAGTACAAGAGTCATGGCTACAAGCATTGTCTAGTATTAGCCTTAGAGGTGGAAGTGTCTAGGGAAACAGATCTCTCAGGAATACAAGTTGTGCATTAACGTTCATACATTTTCAATATATTACTTGAAAAAGTAATACATTATTTTCATCATTTTTATTAAATTAAATTTTATTTTAAATTTTGATTTAAACTGGTTCAAATAAAATAACATTCAGGTTAGCTTTTTTTTCTTTACTGGTCAGTTTTCGTGGAACACTGGAAATTTGTGAACATCAAATGTTTCCACTCAGATTCCAAATGAACGTACTAAATATATTGATATCCGTTAATGCACTGCTGAAAGTCCTGTACAAAAATATCCTTTCAAAACAAACCTCCATGTTGAAGTAGGTTTTTGGTTTGTGTTTGTTATGAACAAAGTTTCCACACCCCTGTGTAACAAAACATGTCAGTAAAACAATTTAACAACTCAAAATGTCCATGTCAAAACTGTGCTCATAAAGATAATATTATTCACAGAAAAACAAAGAGACAGGGATATCAGTACTTAGTGAAAACAAAAATATTGAAAAATAACTTGAACAATAGATAAGACTCCAAACTGGCCCAAATGAACACAATGTTTTTGACAATTTATCAAAAAGATATTTAAAAGGAGTCTAAAATAATCATTCCAATCAATTTATAAAGTATGCAAAGCAGTACAATCCAGTTAATAACTATTTGACCATACTGAACAAAACAAGGTCAGAATCATGAATATCTTGGGGGATATTTTCATGAAATTGTGGTCATCATTACAGACAAATTACCCCAAAACATATGTCACTGATGTTTTTATTCAGTATAGTTATGTAGTAAATTCATTCAACGACTAAGCACCAATTAGCTATATGTGTTAGAGTAATGTCTCAAACTTCATATCCTATCACCTGTCATGGAACAAGATCAGATCTGCATTCAATTTTTTTCAATATTCTACTTGTTTGTGAATTTGCTTATCAATATTTCAACCAATTGCTAACTCTTTGAAATAATGATGCCATAACACAAAACAGCTTATATCCAAATACTGACAAACACAAATACCTTGACTTTGTATTTTTGCATACAGGTTTTGATAATGTTTCTCTTCCTTTTGTTGCTGACTACAATAAACACAATTGAGTGAGTGACTTTTAGTTTACGCCACTTTTAGCAATATTCCAGCAATATCACAACAGGGGACACCAGAAATGGGCTTCACATATTGTACCCATGTGGGGAATCGAACCCAGGTCTTCAGTGTGATGAGCGAAATTATTTTGTATACCTCTCAGGGAGCTGAGAAATCAATTTGAAAGACACCATGATCATGCTGATTCAGAAAACTCCCTTTATCTCGAACATGCCTCTTTGCCACATAGTATCAAAGACATCTTAACTTATTTATTTCAAAATCATCTGATCTTGCCCCAATGCCTTTTTCCCATATATACACCTATTAGGATCAAGTATCCACATGAATTTCCTACAAAACATCTGATCTTGCACCAGGGTCTGTTTGCCATGTATACCTCTATTAGTATCAAATATCTACATGAATTACCTTGAAAACCTCTGATCTTGCCCCTTGGCCTCTCTGCCATATATACATTGATCAGTATCCAACAACTACAATTTCTTGCCCCTTGGCCCAAGCCTACTACTCAACATGTGGAATCCAGTAACAGTGCAGCAAACACACCCCACAACCAGTAGCGATGCAGCATCACAGCGGAATACTTACTTGAATTCATCCGAATCTGTGGACAGTTCCTGCTCTATCTGGAGGAACACGTGCACCTGTAACCATGGCAACAGACACCGTCAGTCAAGGCTGTCAGTGTTATTATCATACAGTGAAACAATGACAGACTGTAACACAACTGTAATGTCCCTTTGGATCTTGTATTATTTCCTTGAGAAAAAATACAAAATATACAAACATGGTTGTCCAGAGCCAATTGGGATGAGTGGCATCTGTAAGTGTAGCGGTTCCTGGATATTTTTTTTTAATATACAGAAATGGTGGAACTTTTCTTTATTTCAATCAACGAAGAGGTGCATACAAAGAAATTCCTCGTTAAAATTTCAAAAGAGCCCAAATGAAATTTTGTTTGTCATGGACTAGCAGGCAGGCGGCTATTTCGCTCACAGATCTGCTCACAATGAATCAGGCATAAGGCAACAAGAGATCAAGTGGGACATTTCCTACCATTTCTGTGATGATTGTCGGCCAGAGAGACGTCAGATGCTGGTGTGACATCCTGAGGATGAGGACCCGGAAACACAGGAAGACCTGGGTCATCACGGTCGGCACCTGGGTCAGTCGCAGACTCTCTGCTAGACGTTCTGGGAAACAAAAGAGTAGAGAGTTGACAGTAGAAAGAACTGGTAGAAGTTAAACACTGTTCCTTTTATAACTACATTTCTGTTGTGATGTTGCTAAAAATGGCGTTAAACCATGCCCTCTTATTCTATTGATGTGATCAGCATCACCCTCAACATCTCCCACAAGCCATCAAGAGGGTCAACTACCCCCACTATACCTCCCCATTCTTCTCCAGCCCCAGCCCCAGCCCCAGCAGCACCAGCACCCCCAGCCCCAGCCCCAGCCCAGCCCCAGCCCCAGCCCCAGCCCCAGCCCCAGCCCCAGCCCCAGCCCCAGCCCCAGCAGCCCAGCCCCAGCCCCAGCCAGACCAGCTCTCTCGTCCTCTTCCCATCCTCCTCCCAACTCACCCTGTATGTCTGGCATATTTCTCTGGTACTGGTCGGCATCGCTACAGAAGATGGCAAATGACAACCGCTTCAACATCTGAGCTCGCTGCTCATACTCCTGTTCCTTGCTGCTGAACAGGTTCAGAGATCCACTCTGGGTCATCGCCACACGTCCTGAAGATCCATACAAAACAACTTAGCAAAACAAAAACACATCAATATATCCACAGTCTGTGAGTTTAGCCACTAGTCTTAAACCAGTATCAACTGAAGAAGATACATTATAATTGACAGACAACTTCTTTAATGCAACAGATGTGACCTTGAAACATAATCAGGGTGAACCAGAATTCATCGTTCCTATGTTTGTAACCCATTTCCTACTGACCCATGAGATCTTTAAACGTGGTTTTGTCATGCGTCATGAGGTTGTCGATGACAGTCCTCCAGAAGCCAATACACTTGACGTCCATCTGGAAGAAGCTGAGATCCAGCAACAGCTCCAAGGCTTCCTTCCTCCAGGCCTTGCGGGTGTACTGGTAGCCGCTGATGTTGGCCAGGATCTGCGAACACGCTCGGAAGCTCGGCAGGTTGTGGCAGCTGCCAATAAAGGGATCTTTTACTTGTCTGTACACAAATAATGTCACAGGGTACAATCACTTGCCCACAACCAAGTCAAAAGCTCGGAACTATTTTGTTTGCTTGGGGTTTTTTTCTGTGTAACACTGCAGTCAGCAATATTCCAGCTATATGACAGCAGTTTGTCAATAATTTAGTCCGGACAACACAATCCAGTCATTAACATCATGAGCATCGATCTACCGTAATTAGGACATGATGACATGTGTCAACCGAGTCAGTGAGTCTGACCACCCTATCCTGATAGTCACCTGTTATAACAAGCATGAACTGTTGAAAGCCTGTATCTACATGTGTCCTGTACAGATATAAGTTGTGTGTTATTACTGTTTAGTGGCTATTTCAGTTATCATATCAATCCCAAATCCCAAACTGACTTCCCATTTATGAGAGCCATCAGTAAATAAGTAAGTTAAGATTTTACATCTCATCAGCAATATTGCATCTCTATGCGATATGAAAGCTGACATGAGAGCATGAGGTGATCATTAAGAAGAGAAAGACAGCCACCAGTTGTGGGGACTTGCAGCTTTAGGGACACAATTCTACATCACAAATTACTCAACATATACAACACATGGTTCGCATCACTTTGCAAGTGGCATGATATCTAATCCATAAGGCTGCTTTGAATAGTATTCCAGTTAAATCATGGCAAAGCAGGTCTCTGCAATTTGCCACTTCGGTGAAACCCACCAGGATGGTGTGGTGCAGACAAACATACAAACAAATCAGGGCAGCCTGATGTATTTAATGAGTGAGTGAGTATGGTTTTATGCCGCTTTTCCAGCAATATCAAAGTGGGGACACCAGAAATGGGCTTCACACATTGTACCCATGTGGGGAATCGAACCCGGGTCTCTGGGGTGATGAGCAAATGCTTTAACCACTAGGTTACCCCACCACCCCGATTTATTTAATGAAGAGAAAGCATAAAGACGACAATTTCCTGAGACATTCTACAAGGCAGCCTAAATATTCTCCAATCCCATCTGTATTACCTGTGGTTACGGAGGTAGGGGAACACGTTGGTGAGTGTCGTGATGAGGAAGGGGGCCACCTTGTCCTTCTCGTCACTGCCATACACGACATCCAACAGTGCAGCAGTCAGCTGGAGTAGATCAGGATCTTACAGTTTAGAACATAAACAGTAGCCTTAAAACATATGGATCAAGAAAACATATAAAACACTTGTAGCAGGAACATTCCAGGAACATTACAGACTACACATATTTACCCATGTGGGGAATCAAACCCTTGTCTTCAAGCATGATGTGAAAATGCCCAAATTTACTTCTAGAACACCCTAGGTGAATAGAGAAATGAGACTGTTAACCATTGTGCTTAAAAGTGCTTTAAATCTTGTAATTTCATAAACAGTGTGAGGCAAAACTTTCTAGAAGCAGTTGAAGCTAAACTTCCTAGATTTACAGTATTACCCACATGAGCGCAACTGTGTTATGTATTTGCCTCCTCACCTCAGCCAAGATTGAGAGAGCCTGCACGCTGTACTTGGCATCTCGGTCCTGGTTCAGCTGGCTCTCCACGACCTTCCGCTCTGCTACAATTGCCTCCACATCTACCACAGAACCATAACAACCATTACACTTCTAGACTTTTAACAACCCTGCCCCCCTACGCTGAAGTCCATCTGTCTCTACATACTATGTTCCCCTGTCACACCCAGTGCTTTCCTCTGTGACAACCAAGTGCTTTCCTCTGTCACACCTACTGCTTTCCTCTGTCACATCTACCTCTCTCCTCTATCACACCCACCACTCTCCTGTCACATCACTCACTCTCCTGTCACGCCCACCATTCTCCTGTCAAATCACTCTCTCCTGTCACGTCCACCGCTCTCCACTGTCACACCCACCACTCTCCTGTCACTCTCCTCTGTCACACCTACCACTCTCCTGTCACACCCACCACTCTCCTGTCACACCCACTCTCCTGTCACACCACACCTCTCCTGTCACACCCACCACTCTCCCTTGTCACACCTACCACTCTCCTGTCACACCCACCACTCTCCTTTGTCACACCCACCACTCTCCCCTGTCACACCCACCACTCTCCTGTCACACCCACCACTCTCCTGTCACACCCACCACTCTCCCTTGTCACACCTACCACTCTCCTGTCACACCCACCACTCTCCCTTGTCACACCCACCACTCTCCTGTCACACCCACCACTCTCCCCTGTCACACCCACCACTCTCCCCTGTCACACCCACCACTCTCCCCCTGTCACACCCACCTCTCCCCCTGTCACACCCACCACTCTCCTGTCACACCCACCACTCTCCTGTCACACCCACCACTCTCCTTTGTCACACACCACTCTCCTGTCACACCCACCACTCTCCCCTGTCACACCCACCACTCTCCCCTGTCACACCCACCACTCTCCTTTGTCACACCCACCACTCTCTCCTGTCACACCCACCACTCTCCTGTCACACCCATCACTATCCTGTCACACCCACCACTCTCCCCTGTCACACCTACCACTCTCCTCAGTCACTTCCCCGTCCTCAGCCTCTGTAATGTCTGCCTGAGGTCCTGGCTTCACAGCCAGATTCCGCCTCAACCATGTCGTCTGCTCCAGTGATGACCCAGCAATTGTTCCCACGGCTTCCAGAACCTTCTGTGTGATCTCCTAGAGTCACAATCATCATACATGTATCACACTTAACCAAGAAAGTCATACAGCTGTACACAAGCATTGATGACAAGCATGAATGTGGCTTTAGCTCAGTCTTCAGTACAGCTGCATTGCTAAATCCCTAATGTCCAGGCATGACAAAACAGTGGCTGACAGTATAATCGAATGACAAATAGAAACAATGACACCAGCAGCCATGCTATTAAATGAGTTGAATTTAGAACACATTAAACATGGGCACACATTTACATGAACCCACATACAAATATAGTGGAGAAAAGATCACAGTTCGGATGAATCTGGGATTCCAACACAAAACAGGAAAACAGGAGAATGGGTTTTAGCTGATTGGGGCGTTTTATGCCACTGTACTAGCCAGTAACTACTGTTGTAAGTGTAAGCAACAAGCAGTGTACTGGACATGGTCATAGGTGACTTATCCTGTGTACCTGCAGATCCTTCTGGTTCTTCTTCTCCTCCATCGTCGGGGTCTTCTGTACAAACTCATTCAGGATCCTACACAAAAACACATCAGCATCACAACCACTGCAGGAATGTGGGTAGCAACTTCACAAATAAACAAATAAAAGACTGTTTGACTGAATCTTTTACAAAAATAGTCTAAACATCACACTGATAAAACAAATGGAACACAAAGACACTGAGTGAATATTTCAGCTATTTGTCCTAAAGCATGTCCATAATGTGATAGTCATACCATGTGTACTCAAGAAAGGCTTATCACAAAGATATCCCAATTGTTTAGATGTTCATGATGTTGATCACTGGATTGACTCGATTATTAACAGATCACTGCCATATAGCTGGAATGTTGCTGAGGGCAGCTTTAAACAATAAACAAAAGTAAGATATCCAAACATCGTCAGATGGAAAAACTTTTGGCATTGTAAAGTAATTATTGTAATGAATTTTCAATTTTCGAATAAAACCCCGAGATGTTGACACTATAAAATGATGTCTTACTCAAGCAGCAGGAACTGCCCCGGAGGAACCAGGTTAAGCTGTAGCCCCTCTCTGAACAGCCCCAGTAGGGAGGGCCAGGAGTCCAGAAGCTGTGTTGGACCAGTTTGCTGGATGTAGGCATAAAAGAACTGCAGCATGTTCACCTCCAGGGGAACCACCTTCTGCAACACACACACACACTGACACGTTACAAGTGGCCCAGCTACTACTGGCAAACAAGGATAAGTTGAGCACCGGCCTGACAAATGACCCATATTAGCATGTATGAGTGCCGTCCACTGGCGATTGCCATTGTTAGCGAAGGGGCCCCAGGTTGTCCGCGATCATGTATAGTGCGACTTGCTACACAGACGTGAGAGTCTTATGAGCAAGGAGTGTGCAGCTATGCGTGAAATCAATTTCATCGTCATGCAATGCACGTGCACTAGCCTACATCTGTTCTACCTTTCACAAACCAAATGGTTTGCTCATTGTCATCGTGCACCGCTTACTTCTTCGCGTAAATGCGTTCTCTGCGCCAGGCCAACTTATCCTTGTTTGCCAGTAGGACATTGAGCTGATGGGTATCCTCTTCTCTACTTTATCAACACATCTGGCAGCACCATACAATTATTCACAAAAGATCAAACAAGAAGGAAGCACAAATGAAAATGTCATTTGTTCCTTTAAGGAATCCAGGTCTAATCTATAAAATACATAGTAACCAAACAACAAAGTATGAAAGTCAAGATATATAAGCTACATGTGTGACTTACCTTGCCCTGTCCCAGCTTCGGCAGGAGGGGGCTGTTTGAGCACCTGCTTCACGGTCTGGATGAGTGTGTCTGTAGGGAGGACTTTGATAGCTGCAACAAGCTCCACCAGCAACAACTGGTCTTCACATGGCTGGGGGATCACCTACAATACAGAGAACAATGTCCATCCATTATTGCCACATGTAACTCTAACACAACAGTGTGAACAATTGTAAACATGCACTATCTGAAATGATAGTAACGTTTCAAGTTGTAGTGATGCAGAACGGATGTTCAATTCTCACCCTCTTTGCAACGCCAGTTGTCTTCTTCCTCCTGTCGTTCCAGGCCACAGCGAACGCCCCCAGGAGGTTGGTGCCATGGGGGACAGAGATGGGGCTGAGGAACTCAAGCACCTGCTGCCGAATCACCTGCAACAGAACAACACCATGCTGGCATCAGAAGCAATCTAAATCCATAGGAACAGAACACATCAGGACATTTATTTAGCCATTAGTCCTAAGCTGGGGCCTCGTATCATGAATTTAGTGCTAAAGCGGAATGATTAGTTGATAAACCAGCCACTAACCTACTCTGAAAGGCCAAAACTCCATATACATGATTTACCTGATGTTGACTCACATTCGGAGACCACAACACTCCCCCCAAAGTGACATTCCAGCCACTGACTCAATTTGTGAGACCCAACCCTCTAACCAGCATGACATACCAGCCACTCACTCACCTGGGGAGACACAACCCTCTAACCAGCATGACATACCAGCCACTCACTCACCTGGGGAGACACAACCCTCTAACCAGCATGACATACCAGCCACTCACTCACCTGGGGAGACACAACCCTCTAACCAGCATGACATACCAGCCACTCACTCTCACCTGGGGAGACAACCCTCTAACCAGCATGACATACCAGCCACTCACTCACCTGGGGAGACACAACCCTCTAACTGGGAGACACAACCCATAACCAGCCACTCACCTTGGGGAAACCGAGAGCGAGGAAGCCTTCCTTGGTGAGAGCCTTGGCCTCTGGCACCTTGACCGTGTTGATGGCCCTCCACAGGGTGGACATGCAGGCCATGATGCGGGGGAGGATGCTCAGCAGGGTCCTCCGTGCCTCCAGCACAGGGTTGCTGGGAGAGTCATCTCGCTGCGGACTCGTCTCCTGGACACACGAGGCACTCACATCATTATAAGGCCAAAACACCTTAAACTCGGTTTACCATATCTAAAATAACCAATTTGTAGTAATGAAGTATTATTCAGAATATTTTATAACTTGGTCTATAAAACAAGCTGCCCATTCATCATGTTCAACAACAATCTTGAGGTATATCATTATGTTGTCAGCTTACATACAACACATACATACACAAACAGTAGGAAATGTCAAATATAGAGCAGAAATTCACTTGCATCTTCTACTAAGACTTTTGTGGATCCCACATAGTCTTTACTTGGTAAACATAATTTTGATTGGCTGGTTTTTAACATTTTACTCAGCAATGTTCAAGCTACATGACGGCGATCTGTAGATAAGCAAGTCTTGACATCATGAGCATCGATCCATGCAACAGGGATACGATGGCATTCATCAACCCAGTCGGCAAGTCTGACCACTTGATCCTGTTAGTCGCCTCCTACGACAAGCATGGGTTGGTGGAGACCAATACTAACCTGGATCCATGCTTGTTGTAAGAGGCGACTAACAGAATCGGATGTCAGGCTCACTGCCTTGGTTGACACATGTCATCGCATCCCAACTGCATAGTTTGATGCTCAGAAATCTCAATCACTGGATTGTCTGGTCCAGACTTGATTATTTACTGATCATGCTGATAAGCTGGAATGTTGCTGAGGGTGGCATTTATCAACACACAGACAAACAAACAAACAAAAGCTTAATAAAACAGTTACTACTCAGAGGTTACTAAAGTTACAACACCATATCCCACCACACCAAGACATACTTGACAGGTGTTCCTACCATATCCCACCACACCAAGACATACTTGACAGGTGTTCCTACCATATCCCACCACACCAAGACATACTTGACAGGTGTTCCTACCATATCCCACCACACCAAGACATACTTGATAGGTGTTCCTACCATGCCTACCCTACTGCTATTGATGGGGTTGAAAACGTGGATGAGGTTGGTGAGTATATGTCCAGCACTGGCCGTCTCTGTGCTGATGAGGCTAGCTGTGGGTGCGGGCTGGCCGATGGACATCGGGGAAACATTGTCTAGCAGACAGTAGTGACACAGGGTGGTCAGTCCCTCCAACATGGTCACTGTGTGGTCAGGAGGGGCCAGCTGAAGCAGGGCCGAGCTGCAGCCAGAACAAGATCAGGTGTGGTAAGCTTATGGATATGTATCGTCAGTTACAATCATCTTAGTGCTATGATTGCACAACACTCAGTTCCACACAGTGATTGACTCACTACAGCTGTTTCAAGTCTATGTTAAAGTATCAGAGTTATGATCACCTTAGCACTATGTTTGTAGTGTGGAATCCCAAAGAGATTGTAGCACTGTAAGAGTCAAATTCTATGTCAAAGTATGGGAATTACAATTAGGCCAGACCAATTTTATTTCTTGTTTTACGGATGTTTGTCCTCAGAAAACCTAAGGGCAGGAGGGAAAAAAAATAAAAATAAAATCACCAGTCAAAGTAATATTCCTTCTAAATACTCGAAGTATTTTACTTTTGGCACTTTATGAAGTGCATATGAGGCAAAAAACAATCTAAAAAACATTTTTCTTGTAAGTTTACATTTTTGGCCAATAAACACATTAGGAATTTATATTTTGAGTGGGGAAAATTAATTATTTTTTTTATTATTATTCTTGAAAAAATACGACAGGCGGATCCGTAAAACAAGAAATAAAATTGGTCTGGCCTTATCTTAGTGATACAATTGCTTTGTGCAAAGAAGCCCTGAAGATTACTGTTGGACATGCTTATAGTTATATACAAATAAAAGAGGATTACTATGTACCCATTGTGTATATGGACATTTTCTAATCTCACTCGAAACAGTAGCATCTTGGAAAAAATCTTTCAAGGCATAGTTTCCTCAGACATGTTTTACTGGGGTTATTTCTATTACTATTTTGGTAACTATTTTTATGTGAATTCAAAGCTGTCCTCAGCCCCGCCTCCATCTACATGACAGACACGGGTCCCTAGGTTGTCAGCACACTAACAACGTTCACAGGAACATCGCCAGCACTGAGTGCGCAAGGATGATGTCATCACTGGACAGAGAATAACACAGCCGGAAGGAAATTTGCAGTGAAACTAATTTTGTATTACAATCAACATACTGTCATGGCCAGCTTGATATATTGATAAGTTACATTATCTTATCATCCGTGCACATGCTCCAGCCACAGAAGATAAGAATCATATCAAAATGCATGTCCTAATGCCTTGATTAAATCACTGTCACAGTCTGTGCCATGTCTTGAGTCCACAAGCACAAACTTCATATTTCACATTTTAATATTATTTGGATCATCAAAAGCTGAGCGTACTATACTGAATTTTACTCTAGGCTCTGAACAAACAGCTAGATTCACAGATTCTTACACTAAACATTCTAAGGAATGTAAATATAGCTGACATTACTACTGTCCCATTATCGTGTTTATCAAAGAGCCTCGTCATTATTGGACTTGACATGGTGAAACCGTTCCTATCTCCAAAAGATCATTGGTAATAACATCTAATTAAAAATCATTTCCAAAGCAGATATGTGTAAATATGTGTTTAAGATTTTCTCACCTTTTCTTACTGTTCATGACATATTCTCCAGCAATGACTTCAAGGTTCCGACAGAGTTGAGACACAATACACAGAACCACTCTGGACAATGCTTTCCCCATATATGGTAGTGCTGATGTTACCATGGCAACCCAGTGTCGATGCATATGGCACATATGATGCTGTTTAAGCGTGCTCAGAACACCAGATAAAAACATTGTCTGTTGCACTACTGGTGAGGATGCTAAGTAATGGACCTTCAGGAGGGATGCATGAAAGTTCACTCTTGTTCGGTCCCAGTCAGATGCTGCATTCTGATTGGATACTTCAGGGTCGGAATATGTTCCATAAATCTGTTCCTCCAGCATGATCATGACGAGAATCAGGTTGAGCAATTTAATCTGGAATGTTTCGTTAGCACATGGGTCAAGGGCTTCTTCGTTGAACGCGATGATCGCCTCGGTGATTTTGGTCTTGTTTTCAGGATTCTTTTTCCTGTTGTTGTACACACTGGCTAGCAGACAATGAAGCAAAGCTTTCTGAAGTTTGCACTTGGACAGCAAGTCTCCAATGTAGGAACGGAAACTCTTCCCACTATCTCTCATAATACTGACAAGTTCGGACATCAACAATGTTAAAATCTCCGTCGCCATAATATGCACCTCTTTGTTGCCTAGCAACTCTTCTGATGACGGTTTACTGATCATAAGGTTTGGATAATAACTTCTCACATAATACAGACACAGAGAGATAACTATCTCGATAAACATGTTGCTACGGTAACCAGATAGAACTTCAGGAGGAAGCTCCCCGAAGAAATTCTTCCCAAACACTGACTTCCTGTGTCGGGCGAGTAAAGTCTGTATCTTAGCCATGTGAGGAGCTCGGATGGCACTGATGCTCGTGGTGGACATAGCTGTTACCACAAGTCGCGGACACATTGTCAACATGGCTTTGATTGTGGAGAGGGCATACAGCGCGCCCTCTTGTAGTCATATTTCTGTGTATAGAGCAGAATATGCATGTGGAGTGTGTGTATGTCTGTGGACCGTTCATCCTCATCTTCCTGAACAGGTCGGAGGTCATTTTCACTGCTGGAAAGCGAGTCGATCTCAAGACCTCTTTTGCCGATGGCATTCAGCAAGTCATGGTCCCCTAAAATACTACCATCTTTGGAAGTTAAGCTGATAGTACGTTCAGCTTCAGGCTTCAAGAAACCATCCGACTGAGCAGTGGAAACAGCCTTGAGGATGATTTCTTCAAGTATTTCCCTCACAAAGTCCTCATTTGTCATCTCATCCTCAAAGGCCTCATCATCTGTTGATTCAGTGGTCAAGTCTTCTGCAGCATCAAAAAAATATTCCTTCCTTCTTGCATGTCTCCTTGTCCAGCCTCCGGGCAGATGTCAGATTGGGCATGGAAGCTGAGTGGGGCATCTCGAACCCATCAAATATCAGCTTGTCCAGCGAGTTCTGGGAACCAAATGGATTAATCCTCAGATTGAGATCATCTGGGTTGACTCGGTCGAATGCATTATCCACCTCTACGTTCTTGCTTCGAGCTGTTGTGGCAGACCCTTTCTCGCTCATCACGGTGAGGGCTACAGATTTCAAATCTTCAGTCGTCTTCTGTGAGAATCTGTTCCCTTCCTGACTCACATGGAAGATGACGTTACCGCCTTCGCTGCTGATGGCATAGATTTTTGCATTAACATCATCTTCATCACCAGATTCTGACAGCTGGACTTTCTTTGGTTTATGAACATTAACATGCTGGATTGAGATCCTGAAAGAAACGGCAGACTTCACAATCTGGCATAGTTGCAGGTTAAAACTTTCTCCATATTCCAATATTTGGGATCTTTTTAGTCATTAAACAAGTTAATATCTTGGGGACATAAAATGTAATCTGGTATAATATTACACTGAAACAGTAGCCATACCTAATGTATGTTGAAATCGTCAGATATTTACATTTATTTAGCAAATTCATTCCTTAGGGAATCCAAATAGGAGCAGCTATAAGTACAGTGTAAGCCTCAAACTAAATTTTCTATACTTAATACTTAAATGTTAAAACGTCATGTCTTGACGCAACCAAATTTGGGCTGTCCCTATCCACAAACCAATCCCTCTTGGAGACAAATTGAAGTTCCTCCCATGTGCTATAATGGCTACACAATACTAACTTCACAATAGTTCCTCCCATGTGCTATAATGGCTTCACAATACTAACTTCACAATCGCGGCTACAACTGACCTGGCTGTGTCTGGGTGCAGCAACATGAGCAGAAGCGGCTGCAGCACCCTGTTGATATCGCCACGCTGCACCACGTGTGTCAACCATGTTGCTGCCAGAGTCTTTGTAGCGTTCGACTCTTCCTTCAAGTAATCAAGCACCACAAACATAGATCTGGAAAATAACACATGCAAACTTTACACTCAAGTCCCAGATCCATGTCTAATAGTGGTGAGTGAATTGAACTACTCAAATTATTCAATCAGTCTTGATATTGCTTAAAAATCAATTTAAGAGCTGCATTTATCCAAAGAACATTCAGGGTGGTGATCAAAACCAGCATGAATGTCGAGCAAACATGTGTTTTGGTTTACAAGCTAAAATCTCCTATAATACAAGTTCTGTTTCTGATCTTTAAGGTTAAGTCATGGCTTATAGACTGATAATAGACACGGACCAATGGCAAGATTAAAATGGTTGTCAACCTAGTGTTATTTTTTGCAATTTATTTCATGGGAAATGAACATCTGGTAGAAACATACCAGTAAGTTAATCTGCACTAACTTTGTACATATATACTGAAATAAATCTTTGACCCAACATATCCATATATTTGTTTGCTGTTTAATGGCGCACTCAGCAATATTCCAGCTATATGACGGAGGTCAGAAATAATCGAGTCTGGACCAAACAATCCAGGTGAGGTGAGGTGAAATTGGGTTTAACGTCGTGCTTGAGAATATTTCGCTCATATGGCGAAGACAATCCAGTGATCAAGGCAACTGGGATGTATTTTAAAGTCAGCAAGCCTGACCACCCAATCACGATAGTCACCTCTTATGACAAGCATGGGTTGCTGAAGACCAATTCCAACCCGGAACTTCACAGGTACATATCCATAGAAATAACATGAAACTGGCATATGTTAAAACAGACAGTCTTTCCACCAAATAATGACTATAATGAGAGCACCTGTCAAATGTCCGGACTGGGTGCCCAGGGTTGTGATCAATCTTTAAGTCCCGGGTAAGATGCCAGAGGACTGTGAACTTCTTCAAGGGCCTCAATACGCTCAATCTGGACAAACATCCCACAAACCATGAACAAAAATCACAAACGCAGATAATACCAATAAAAGAAGTAACATCATGGATACCATCTTCATCCTCTCAGTTTACTGCCAGGTTATTGTTTCAAATCATCCATAATATTTAAGGAACTAAAAGTCTTTTAGAATGAATGTGGATGGAAGCATATTTTCCCTTATAATTTGTTACCATGATAACATGCCAATATGATTGGTATTCAAGGGCTGTATCATCATTCTTCATGATATAAATGATATTTTAACTTTTGTGAAAAAACTGATGAATGTAAGCATGATATAGATTTTTCCTCAAAAAAACACACACAAAAGTTCCATATATAAACAAAATGACCACTCATTCATTCAGTTATTACATATTTCCTTAAATCAAAAACTCCAGTCATGTATTACATTCTGTATTAATTTCTAAGCACAAAGTAAGTGTGATATCTGCTGACCTCATTGTCGGAGACGAGTGCGGTCCCGATCACATCTTCACACACCCAGCTGCTTGGGGTCACTTGGTGCAGCTGATGAAACAGCTCCACACACTGGAGATGGTGCATGCTGAATTTGGAGCTCAGGAAGGACCACAGTTCACGGGCAACCGTCTGCAAAACAAAACATCAGCATTTAAACATAGGTAAGGGCAGGTAGGGTGGACAGTACCTCAGGAGTTTTCCATGGTCTGCTGGACACATCACAAATTTCATTTGTCGTCTGCCTCGTTATCATACTGTTCAGGGCATTCCTGAGTCTTTCCAATGGCCTTTGATGTTCATTAACATTTTGAAGACTTTTCACAACAATAGTGTTACCACGTTACATCACCAAAGATCTGTGCTCCTTCTCTATCAGGTAACCCAGTGTTCTTTATGTTCAGGTATTTCTTGTATTTAGACAGTTTACAATTTAGTTAAAATTTTCTTCTGGGGTTTGGGCTAGAACTATATAAGCTCAAGCTCGGTAATGCACTTGGCAAAAGTATTTGAAGTTGTACCCTTTCACATAATCAGAAGCATTAAGTCTATCCCAGAAGAGGATTTCGATGTAAGATCGAGGAAAATCAGCCACTGGCAACGTGAACCTTAAAGGCATGTCTTACCAGCTATATGTAACATTCAATTTATCATTTTCATACAGTTAACGATTTCAAAAGCCACAATTTCATGCAAAAGACAAACTGAACAACATAAACTATTGGTGTCCAATCTCAATTTGCAAGAATACTGGATGTAATATTTTGTGTCTGAAAAACCTGCATCACACAGATTCTCAGAACACAAGGTACAATACATACGATACAATGTGTACAATACACACCGACACATCAACACACCAACCTACCTGGTAGAACACCATATTATTATTGATGTATTGTAGATGCCTTGGAAGAAGTGAAGGCAGAATCACCACGGACACTGTCCCTCGCTCACTGGTAGACATCCGCTGACGTGTCTCCTGTCCCTTGTTCTCCGTCACTGATTGGACAGACTGGGTGAGAGTGATGAGCTCCAAGATGGTTGCTATGGCAGCACTCTGTATCTCGAAGCAGTCCACAAAACAAGCACATGTGATCAGGTCCTGTAGCCATTCCGGAAGAGCACTGCTGTCCTCTGAAATATGTCAAATAAAATTGCAAACCTAGAAAGAGTATGTTTCTGTTAAAGATAAAGTGTTGACATGGTTCCACAAAAGCATTAAGCTTATGAACTTTCAGAGATAAAAAGAGACCAAGTGTCACTGTGCAAAGCAATCCCAGCACTGAGCTGAACAAACCCCAATACCTTTACATAGGCTTAGGACAGTCATAGCTATAAGATTGTTTTGTACAACAGAACCCTGGAAGATTAATTGGTAATTAAGTAGTAAGGGAATTAAATCTTTTTCCATCATTCAAAGATGACACACAAACATGTTTGTCCAAACATGCATACACATTCTCATTCCATTTTGTCTTCCCAATTTTGCCTTTCACAATGTGTCTGTCTGTCTATATTTATTTTCAACACCATTTTATGAATAAATGTTTCATGAATTCATTGAATAACAATTTTCATCAGAGACTGTTACACATGTAATAACGAAAAGAATATGTTACTAACTAAGTTTACCTGAGTGACAAGTCTGGTCCATGACCTTTTGATAGTCTGTACAGAACATTGGGAAGCTGGAGAAGTCCACCAACAGTCGACAAGCCTGACCAAATGCCTCAAAACTCTTCTCCATCAACCCCTCCGCAGACACCTTCAACCCTGACACATCAGCATAGGGGCGGTCATCTCCACTACACGTAGAGTTCCCATCCAGCACCGAGTCCTTGTCACTGGACCGGACAAGTTCTGGGGACAAAGTGATGATGTCAACACATTTTGAGGACACAGCTGAGCTCTTCAGCACACGCTTGCTGGTATAAACATGGAAGAAATCCTGGAAGCTGTGAACGCAGGCCTGCATCAAGGTCACGGGGTTTGCTACACTTCCTTGTCGCCTCAGCTCGGGCATCGTGGGTTTGGCCTGGCCTTGGCTTTTTGTTTCAGTTCCGTCTGGTTTTGAGTCAGTTTTGTTAGACGTCCCATTAGTCTCAGCATGAGATTTTGTTTTGGAGCAAGTTTGATCTACTGGTGTCTTCAGTGGACTGTTAGCACCATCTACGTCACTGAGGGCACTGAAATAACTCTCATCCTCCTTCTCGTCTTCCAATTTATTTACTTTCTCTTCTTTTACACTTTCATCACCTTTCTTTACCTTTTTCGTACCGTCTTTCTCACCAGACACTTTACTACTGACAGTTTTACTGTTTTCAGTTCGTTCCTTCTCTTCAAGCCTCTTCCTAACAGCAAGGTCAATTTCTTCTCTTGTGACCTCTGACCCGACCATGACCTCAGGGTCTTCACCTTCAGCAGTTTCCAGACCTGTTGTCATGGAGGGCTGAACCTTCTCCAGAATCTTGGTGCAGAGTTTGAGGGTGGCGGTAACCTCGGCCTCGGTGATGTGGTTCACATGGCCAGTCACAGACGCGATGATGTGATGCAACAGCTCAGGGAGGTATTCGGTCTGCGTCTCCAGATACATCTCCTGATTAAATAAATGTTCATTTAAATCATCTCCATTCATGATTAAGCAGACTGCAAAATACCACCTGTATAATAATATTTCTCAAATGATATCTTTTTGTTCTTCTATATTGTGTAAAAAGAAGATATAGCAAGTTTCATTGATATCATGGTTATTGTATCGTCTAACCTAAAATCTACACAGATATTTATTCCCTGATGATTCTCTTGGAAACTTATTGACAAAATGGCAGCAAGATCGATGAGTATTTCTTTCACATAGTTACAATGGTTATCTCCCCTGTATCCTTGACAACAAAATGGCGGCAACTGACTACGCTGAGTAATATTCACTTAAGTAAGTAGATAACAAAATCTACATAAACAATCAGTGTTAGTCTCTGACATGACTTTACTTCTCACTATGACTGACTGACTGACTGAGTTTGGTTTTACGCCGCTTTTAGCAATATTCCAGCAACATCACGGCAGGGGACACCAGAAATGGGCTTCACACATTGTACCCATGTGGGGATTCGAACTCGGGTCTTCGGCGTGACGAGCCAACGCTTTAACCACTAGGCTACACCACCGCCCCCTCTCACTATGACACAACAGGTATCATAATAAAGAAATCTCTATCACAAATATCATGACACACGTTTTTGGCCACTACACAGCCTTAACACAGATCCATAAACATAACATTAGGCAACTTGAACTGGTCATCATGTTTACATATCAGAGATATTGAGAGATGTTTTGAAAAGTATAGACATTTTATAAAATCAGTTGCTGGGGACACACAGAATCCCCACGGGAACTGCCAGACTTACCAGAGAGACAATATCCAGCAGAAATTCCACAATGCTGCACAGTTCTAGTAGAGATGGAGAGTCATTTGCCTCATGACTAGACGATACACTGGCCCGCTGGGCTGTCTTTGTGGTATCACATGCACTTGTGAACAACCGGGACACAAAGTCCCATATGAAGTAGGGCTCAAACGATCCGAACAGCAAGTTAGCAGTTTTGATCATTTCACTGCTGAGTTGATCATCTTTGTCTGTGCTTTCATTGCTGCTTTTGCCATTCTTCCGAGGTCGTGAAGTATCGCTCTGAGCGCTGGTGTCAGGAACACCTTTACACTCCCGGAGTAGACATCGGAACACTGACAACAGAACACTTTCCAGGATGACTGGGCCGATCTCTGGTTTGTCCAGCAAGCTGATGAGTATCCTGAATGGCTTCAACACAGATGTCCTTGTGCCTGTGTGAAAGTCAAACCCATTTGTGTTGGTCAGCTTGCCCTTCAGAGCCTTCACTAACAGGTCTTTTGAGTACTGGTGAAAGTATCCTAGATCCATTTCACTGGATGTAGAAGTGCTGTCTGACCGATGTATTCGGTTGGTCTCTGTTACTGTCACCGTAGTGCCGGTGGTGGTAGTTCCTAATAACCACCCATACAGTCGACGGTTGAGTGACATGTCGCGTCGGAGAACGACGTTGATGGCTGACTTGACTAACTTGCTCATGTCTTCCTTGGTGAGCTGGGCGTTGTGCATGGGGAACGCTAGAAGCAGAAAGTCCAGGAGGATACGCTGCACCAGAACACTCGTGTCCTGCAGGGAACCGCAGATTGCCTTCACCTAGCAGCAGAGAGGAAGACAACAGTGTTAGAAATGATTGATGAAATGCAGTCTTCAGCAACTTCAACAATCATGTCTACCCATATGGGTACGCTCTACCCATATGCCACCCACCCACAATCAGATCTACCCATCTACCCAACATCAGATCTACCCAGCCACCCCACAATCAGGTCTACCCATCTGGCTCCACCATCAGGCCTACTGACCATCAGGTTCTTCCCATCTACCCACAATCAGATCTACCCATCTAACCACCATCAGGGCCTACCGTCTACACACCACAAGGTCTACCCAGCTACAGACCATCAGGTCTACCCATCCACCCACCATCAGGTCTACCCAGCTCCACATCATCGGGTCTACCCAGCTACCCATTATTGGGTCAACCCATCTACCCACCATCAGGTCTACCCATCCACCCACCATCAGGTCTACCCAGCTACTCATCATGTCTACCAGCTACCCACTATTGGGTCAACCCATCTATCCACCATAAGGTCACCCAGCCTACCCATTATCAGGTCAACCCATCTATCCACCATAAGGTCACCCAGCCTACCCATTATCAGGTCTACCAATCTACCCACTATCAGTTCTATCCATCTACCAACCATCAGGTCTACACAGCTATTCATCATCAGGTCTACCCAGCTACCCACTATCAGGTCAACCAATCTATCCACCATCATATCTACACAGCTATTCATCATGTCTACCCAGCTACCCACCATCAGGTCAACCTATCTATCCACCATAAGGTCAACGAGCCTACCCATCATCAGGTCTATCAATCTACCCACCATCAGGTCTACCCACCATCAGGTCCACCCATCTACCCACCATCAGGTCCACCCATCTATCCATCATCAGGTCTACCCATCTATCCATCATCAGGTCTACCCACCATCAGGTCTACCCACCATCATGTCTACCTATCTACCCAAAATCAGGTCTACCCTACATCAGGTCGACCCATCTACCCACCATCAGGTCCACCCATCTATCCATCATCAGGTCTACCCACCATCAGGTCCACTCATCTACCCACCATCAGGTCTACCCATCTACCCATCACCAGGTCTACCCACCATCAGGTCCATCCATCTACCCACCATCAGGTCCACCCATCTATCCATCATCAGGTCTATCCACCATCAGGTCCACCCATCTACCCATCATCAGGTCTACCCAACAGCAAGTCCACCCATCTACCAACATCAGGTCTACCCATCTACCCACCATCAGATCTACCCATCTACACACATCAGGTCAACCTGTCTACCCACCATCAGGTCTACCCATCTACACACATCAGGTCAACCTGTCTACCCACCATCAGGTCTACCCATCTACCCACCATCAGGTCTACCCCTCTACCCACCATCAGGTCTACACCATCTACCCATCATCAGGTCTACCCCATCTACCCACCATCAGGTCTACCCATCTACACACATCAGGTCAACCTGTCTACTCACCATCAGGTCTACCCACCATCAAGTTTACACCATCTACCCACCATCAGGTCTACCCATCTACCCACCATCAGGTCTACCCATCTACCCACCATCAGGTCCACCCATCCACCCACCAAGTCTACCCATCTACCCACCATCAGGTCAATCCATCATTACTTCTCCCCATCAACCAAAGCTACAAACCACCAGGTCCACCCATCTACCCACATCAGGTCAACCTGTCTACCCACCATCAGGTCTATCTCCAGCCCCATCATTTCCAGCTGGTCCTCCATGGTCTGCTTCTTGTTGAAGTGGGACACCAGGAACGTGATGGCCGGGAGTCTGACACTGGGGCAGGACAGGACGCACTCCCACAGACAGGTGTAGAAGAAGCTGGGGACTGCGGCATCACGGAAGTCCTCCAACAGCACATTAGTCCTGAACAGAACACAGCCTTATAGACTAGACTGACTGACTGAGTTTGGTTTTACGCCGCTTTTAGCAATATTCCAGCAACATCACGGCGGGGGACACCAGAAATGGGCTTCACACATTGTACCCATGTGGGGATTCGAACCCGGGTCTTCGGCGTGATGAGCCAACGCTTTAACCACTAGGCTACCCCACCACCCTTTTTATAGACTAGAACACTACACAAGGATTTATCATTATGAAAACTATTTTACTTACCTATCAAATTATTACCTGATCTGAATACACAATGCCATCTAGGAAGCTGTCAAATTCATCATGTTATATTTAGGGTTACCCATTATTATTAGTAAAGTTAATATTTCCACTTCTCCTATAGATATGGAGGGTGATCACCAAATCATATGAAACACTAAGTTCAAATGTGTTCAAGTTAATGGTTGAACAAAAATCCCTCTTTCAAAACTTGAAAATCTGAACCAATATTTGCACTGCCCCTCTACTTTAGACAAAGAAGCTGTTTTTTAAATTTGAAAATATTTTGACGTTTCTAAGTTCAAATAAAAAACAATAGTTTTTAAGTTATTGGTTGAAGAAACTTTTGTAAGTTACCAATTTTGAAAAGCTGATTTTCTTTAAAAAATTAAAATATATGTCAGAGATATATATATAGTCTCCATCTCTCCCACTTAAATTCAGAATAAGGTTTACTTAAACTGCTCGAAAAATTTATATATATATAGCAGCCTCTGCCATAGTAACACCACAAGTGGAAGCAAATATTAGTCATACTTGAAGTTGGCCTGTTTGAAGTCCCTCCCCTACCTACCGTTCATAGTTCTCTGCCCCTTCCTCAAGGCCAGGCAACAGTCCCAGTAGAAGGCCATTGAGTCCAGGCTTGATGTGCTTGCCGAGCGGCACGAAGTGTTTCTCATACACAGTCAGCAACACTGGCTTTACGCTCATGGCAGCATGGCTGAGCAGCGGGAACATGCCAGCACTGTAGATGAACAGGTCCACTGCCAGACGTTGTGTTCCTATACATTTGAAGATGATGTCATATGTCTCCAGGGCCTTGAGATGAACACCGCTTGGCAGGGCAGGGTGTAAGCACTGAGCGTGGCGTTTACCAATTGTCACTTTCTTGGGTACAACTGGGTACTTCATGTGTGCCAACAAGACCTGAAAGTATCAAAGGGACAGTGAGTTAAAGGGTAACTAGCATTATCACTAAGGTACCATAATCCCCTGCCGCAAATTATCAAAACCAACTTAAAAAGTAATGAAAGTAAAGGTTGTAGTTTAAGATGAAGCTAAATGTCAACAAAAGCTTGACCAGTCAACCTGCACCTTCCCTAGATGAAGGTTAGTGTCAAACATGAAGAAAATCCAGTGAATGGGTCCTGAGGTATCTCGCTGACAAGCTTAACATGCAGGTTAACATGCTCAAATCTTCAAAGTGTCGCTGTGACCTTGACAATTAAGTGAAGGTCACCAAAATCGACTGGGCCCTGCATCTTCCCAAGATGAAGAAAATTCAGTGAACGGTTCTTGAGATATCTTGTTGACAAGGGTAAAACGTTAAAGTCGCCTTGTGACCTTGAAATGAAGGTCAAGATCACCAAACTCGACTGGGACCTTTTGCATACTGTCATGAACCTAGGTACCAAATATGAAAAGAATCTAGTCAAAGGTTCTTAAGATATTCCAATTCGTACGAACGGACGGACGGACTGGACGGTACGGAGCCTAATACTATATCCCCGCTTCACGCTAAACATGCGGTGAGGGATAATGAATAAAGGAGTTTAGTGTCATGCTGCTTTTAGCAATATCATGGCAGAGACACCAGAAAGAGGCTTTTTATCTCCTGACAAGTCATTATTCCATTAACAGATCGGCAAGAGTAGACTAATGAGATTTCTACTGTCCATATCTGCCATCTGGAAATGCCACCTGTTCAAACAATGACATGAAGGGATAGGAAACTCAGGAAAAGAACCAAATGGTTGGTGAGTGAGTATGAGTTTCATGGAGTTAGAGTTTTTACTCAAATGGAGCAAATGCACCAGAACTTTTTGGGTTCACACATTGTCAAATTGTCAAACTCAGTTTGAAATTTGAGTAAAAAATGAAGCCTGGATGTACCCATGTGGGCAGCCTGATTGGCATGATGAGCGAAATGCTTTAACCACTAGGCTACCCCACCGCCCCTGAAGGGTAATGAAACTGTGAACACTGTTTAGGGTTTATTAGCTGAGTCAGATTTTCCTGGGAAGCCTCATGTGATGCTGATGACAGACTTGAGTCAGCTGGTTGTGACTGAGTATAAACCAAGGATTATAATCTATGCAAATCTAGGGTTGAACACCCATTATATTCCAGTTATATGACAATCAGGACTGTAATGTCATATCAATGCATCACAATTATGTCCCCTAAAATTGTATCATATCAAATGAAATTGTATGGTCGATATTGAACACCCATTATAATCCAGCCATATGACAATCAGGGTGCCGTTCCACTAACCGATCTTATCTAAGATCAATCTTAGCAAGTTACGCCAATTTTACAATCGTCTTAGCTAAAAGTTACACCCGTTCCACTAACGGATCTTAGGCCGATCGTAGCTGGTCCCGATCTTACAATCCGATCCAAGCTTAGATCGAGACTCTTTCGTTAGAGAGATAGAGGAATGCGAGGCACGAGTTATTTCCCTTTGCATAGTCTAGCAAATGATGGAAGTAGTTTACGAACCAACTGAGTGAGTGAGTGAGTTTAGATTTACGCCGCACTCAGCAATAGTCAAGCTATATTTCGGAGGTCTGTAAATAATCTAGCTAATTAAGTTGCATAGCGTTCACTAACATAAGCGTTCATGTTAGTGAACGCTATGTATCTTAGCTATAAATAATCGAGTCTGGACTAGACAATCCAGTGATCAACAGCATGAGGATCGATCTGCGCAGTTGGGAACCGATGACATGTGTCAACCAAGTCAGCGAGCCTGACCACCCAATCCCGTTAGTGGCCTCTTACGACAAGCATGGGTTATTGAAGTTCAATATTCTAATCCGGGCCTTCATGGGTATTTTTCCAACCAAGCGTAAACGTGGAGAAAAAACCTAGAGCAAAATATTAGGGTAGTGAGCACTTTGGTTTCAGGTGCAAGTGTGTGTGAACGCTGGGTATCAGGCTTAATATAATAATAATATATGCATATGTATAGTGCGCCTATTCCACATCCTGGGGCATGCTCAAAGCGCTATGTACAGATAATTTACACGAGAGTATTTACAGACGAGATTATAAATAATATACTGAGAACAGGTTTTAAGTCTGGACTTAAAAAATGTCAATTGTGTCAGAGCTTTTATTATGTGCCTGAACCTTGTCAATCAGAATAAACAAGGCGTGACGAGGCATCCTCTATAATGTATCTAGAATCTGTCAGTGGTCTTGAATAAAACGCGGCCTGCCTTTAGAATCCCCCACCAAATAAGGCAGGTGAAATCAAACATATTTGTATCTTTTGTTTCAGAACATTGTTCACTTCAAGGCTGTCCCTATTCTTAACTATGACGTTGCAATATTGTTGCACAAATGTGTTACACCGACTGGCTCGGTTGTGTTCCCATGACGACAGTGGTCAGACTGGCCTGACATCTGTAAGGCTTCAGTGCAGTGTTTGTTTCTCATGATCACAGAAATATACAAATTCATTTCATGGGGGATTTTAGGGGGCGCTCACGGTGAAATGCTCGCTCTTATTTTTCACATAGAATAGGAAAGCCACCATTTTGGTTTCTCTACGATTGATTTTAGCTATCCTAAGTTGGTCATGAGCAACTTAGACTTTGAATCTTAACTTTACGATTGACATGGGTAAGATCGGTTAGTGGAACGGTATGCCGATCGTAACGTCATGCTAAGATTGGGATTTTAGGGGGTTACGATTGGCATAGGGCTAAGATCGGTTAGTGGAACGGCACCCTGGACTGTAATGTCATATCAATGCATCACAATTATGTCCCCTAAAATTGTATCATATCAAATGAAATTGTATGGTCGATATTATCATGATCATGACAATTATGGATAATAATCAATCATTTATCTGGAAACATTCCAGCCTGTAACATCTGCACCCTTACACCCCAAGAAAACTATACATACTTAATTAATAAATGTGAAATTTCTATACTGCAGTATTCAGGGTTCTGAATGGAAATCTCTCAGCAAATTGATGAATTAATTCAGGTAATAAATATGAGGATCTAAATACATATATATTAACTGTCTGTATCTATTGTAGCTTGCTCTATTGTAGAGCTCTAATGCAAAGTTCTATAGAGCTCTATTGTAGCTCTACAGAGCTCTATTGTAGCTATGTATTTAGTGCGTCTGATTGCGACAATCTATCAAGACCTACCTGGAAAAGCTATCAAGCAAACACGTTCTACTGTACGTCCTATTGTGATGAGATATCAACCAAATCTCCTTCAAATCTAACGAGTCCATGAAGGTACTAGTATCGTTTTGCATGTGGTCAGGCAGCGTGTGAAAAGTCATACTGTTGTGTCTTCCGTGAAGCAAGTCCTATTCTAGCTGTCTGTACCAGCTATCTCATGATCTAAATGTCTTCAACCCAAACATTATGTCTGATAATGCTGAGAATGTCTAAGGGTTTGGCCATGTTGACGGTCTCCCAATTATGTTACTGTTAAAAGTAATGAAAACAACACACAGATGAATACTACATCCTGCAGCCACAGCCACCATGCTATCTGGCTACACAGGAAGTTCACATAATTTGAGATTCTATGGATGATTTTACACATCTTAAGTTAGTGAGCGAGTAAGGGTTTACACCACTTTAGCAAACGTCCAGCAATATCATGCCAGTGATCTTGCTGGGGAAGCGTTTGGTTTAAAGCAATCACAAATCGTGCTGAAGACTTGAGTCCGATTCCCCAGAAGTGTTTGGGGCCCATTTTGGTGTCCCAGCCATGATTATGCTGGAATATCGCTTAAAGAAGCATAAACCACTTGATTAAACAGGCTGCTGAACCGGAGTAAAGTGTCAAATTTTAACTTGATGTGACTCATACAATGATATAACTACAGAAAGACATTCAGAGAGAATGATATTCCATACCATTTTGTGACAAAATTGATCAGCATTAAAGTCCATTATTAGTCTCTCCCAAGATCACTGACTAGGTGATGCAGCCATGTTTACAGACGAAACTTACATTCATTTCATAATTCAACGCCATGAAGTTACTGAACATACTGTTCAATATCTTGCACTAACAACCACCACATATGAAATTCTGAAAAACAAACAGTTCCATGTTTTTACCAGCCTTTGATGATTATTACTGACCTTGTTCAGTTTTGCGAGTGCGGAGATGAGGTCGGCCCACTCGCTGGTGTTCTCGAAGCTGCGCAGAGCCTTCTCCACCTGGCTGATATAGTTGCGATACTTGGAGTCCGACAGTAAGTCGCACTCCTCGATCGTCAGCATACTCATCTTGATGCTCTCTTTCCTCTCTAGCACTGAAACAAAAAGATGGAGTTCAACAACAGGTTGCATTAAGAGATCAGTGGCCATATAACAAAGACACAGCCTTCAACAAACAGAATTCAACAAACACTTGGCATTCAACAAACACCCAGCATTCAAAAAGCAGAATTCAACATGCACTCAGCCTTCAAAAAACACGCAGTAATCAACAAACAGAATTCCACAAACACTCAGCATTCAAAAAACAGAATTAAAAAACACTCAACATTCAACAAGCAGAATTCAACACACACTCAGCATTCAACAAACAGAATCAACACACACTCTGCATTCAACAAGCAGAATTCAACACACACTCAGCATTAAACCAGCAGAATTCAACACACATTCAGCATTCAACAAACAATTCAACACACACTCAGCATTCAACAAACAAATTTCAACACACACTCAGCATTCAGCAAGCAGAATTCAACACGCACTCGGCATTCAACAAACAGAATTCAACACGCACTCTTCATTCAACAAACAGAATTCAACACACACTCAGCATTCAGCAAACAGAATTAAAGTTTTTAAACACACACTCAGCACTCAAAAAACAAACTCTCAGTATTCAACATACAGAATTCAGAGATAGTCCCAGTCAAACAGAATAGTTAGCATTGACCTAAAAACAATCAACAGTCAGCAATTAACACACATAGCCAAGCGCTGTGGACATGGATTACTGGTCAGAAATAAATATATACAGCAGTAATTAATCGTTTTTAATGGGCATGACGAGTGATGTGGCTGTGCAGCTTATTCATAATGGCAGGCAGTCAATTTACATCACAATGGGGATTTACAATAGAATAAGCATCATTAACATAGTTGCAGATCTTTGGTAGAGACATGTCATGGCAGCTTGGTAATAAGCCCTTGAAATTAAATGTTCATTCAGACAACACTTGTCCTATACATTGGCTAGGCTACCTTTTAGACAGAACAGGATAATTCAACAGTCAGCCATCAGCACTCAGCAATCAACAAGCAGTATTCAACAGTCAGCCATCAGCACTCAGCATTTAACAAACAGTATTCAACAGTCAGCCATCAGCACTCAGCATTCAACATACAGCATTCAACAGTCAGCCATCAGCAGACAGCATTCATCAAACATCATTCAGCAGTCAGCCATCAGCAGACAGAATTCAACATACAGCTTTCAACAGTCAGCAATCAGCAGTCAGAATTCAACAAACAACATTCAACAGTCAGCCATCAGCAGACAGCATTCAACAAAAAGCATTCAACAGTCATCCATCAGCACTCAGCATTCAACAAACAGCATTCAACAGTCATCCATCAGCAGACAGCATTCAACAGTCATCCATCAGCAGTCAGAATTCAACAAACAGCATTCAACAGTCATCCATCAACAGACAGCATTCAACAGTCAGCCATCAGCAGACAGCATTCAACAGTCATCCATCAGCAGTCAGAATTCAACAAACAGCATTCAACAGTCATCCATCAGCAGACAGCATTCAACAAACAGCATTCAACGGTCATCCATCAGCAGACAGCATTCAACAAACAGCATTCAACAGTCGGTCATCCATCAGCCATCAGCAGCAGTCATCCATCAGCACAGCATTCAACAAACAGCATTCAACAGTCAGCCATCAGCAGACAGCATTCAACAAACAGCATTCAACAAATCAGCATTCAACAGCATTCAACAGTCAGCCATCAGCACTCAGCATTCAACATACAGCATTCAACAGTCATCCATCAGCAGACAGCATTCAACAAACAGCATTCAACGGTCATCCATCAGCAGACAGCATTCAACAAACAGCATTCAACAGTCAGCCATCACAAGTCAGAATTCAACAAACAGCATTCAACAGTCAGCCATCAGCACTCAGCATTCAACATACAGCATTCAACAGTCATCCATCAGCAGACAGCATTCATCAAACATCATTCAGCAGTCAGCCATCAGCAGACAGCATTCAACAAACAGCATTCCTTGTTATAAATACTCTCAAATCAATTTCCTCTTCTCTAAATCATCCATACTGAGGATCACTGAAAATGTCGTCTGCTAGCAAGTAAACAAAGGGGGATAACTCTTCACAAACTAATGAAAAAGGATTAACGGAGTTGTCTCTCTTGAAAGAAACCAAGCACTTGATAGCTGGTCAAGGTTGTTTATACTAGAAATCCAATTAAACATATTCCTAAAATTCTCAATAATTTCTGGTCATACTATATATAACACCTGTCTGGACAAGTGCAGGTAACTTTGACATCTGAATATGTACAGAGCATCAACTTCCATCTGTCAGCATACATGGCACAAGTTATTACCATATACATGACATATGCATGGAGTATTTGGTACAACATATTCCTATGTAATGTATACATCAAATGCATGATACACATGACATGAGATAATACTAAATGTTGAGTAGTTCCTGTATATGCCAGATTACCAACACATGATGGCCTATAATCAACAGCAGGTCATACATTATGTGAAACAATAGAATTAGGGCCTCTATTACCACACTGAATCTCAAATAACTTTCTCCCAATACATAATGTGACATGCTGGGGATTAGTATTGACCACTTCCACCAAATTTACATATCCTAAAATAGCATATATCTTTTATGTTACTGCTGGCTTTTCAGTGTAACACACAGACAGACAGACAAACAAACAGACACATATCAACACTATGATAATAATCTTCTAGTTACCAGGTGGGTTAAAAAACTACATTTTGACAATGTGGGCGTCGAATACCTGGCACAGGTAAAAATGACAGTGAGGTTTAAAATGGCTTTTAGCAATATTCCAGCAATATAAGGTCAGGAGACCCCAGAAATGGACGTCACACATTGAACCCATGTCGGGTGATTCAAATCAGGGCTTTTGGATGACAAGTGAAATCTTTAACCCGTACATTACCCCACCTCACCAGGAGAGGAACAGGTGAAGTTAATAACAGAGGTACAGAGAAGCTGCGTATCTGCGTATATTACGCAAATATTTATGTGAAAACTCAATTCCTATTAAGTCTAATGCATACAAGTACGCTTGAAGTTTTGTAAATACTCATAAATGTGATCTTACATGCGTACACACAAAAATGTCAAATCGTGGCTTGCGTCCTGGTGAATAGATAAAATAACTCAAGTATATTGAAAGGTTCTATTTCAGGACATGAACTTGACAACTTGCAGTCTTTCTTATCTTTTCTCATATTACAGATCAAACATAAATCACAAACACTAACAATTAAACTTTATTATATTTTTAAAATTAATGGAAAATGGCAAAATACCCAATTGAGTTTGAGTGAGGTGAGTACAATTTGTTTGGTTACTCAAAGGAAAATTAGGATACCCTGAGATGAAGACAAGCGAGTACATAACTCACTGACCCAAAAAGTTATCTGTAGCTCTGTAATAATCCTGGGAAACGGAGTAGCTGTATGGGTGTCTGACAAACTCGGCTTCAGGAGCACAGTGATCCAATGATCAGATTAACAATGAAGCATCTGTTTCAACACTAATGGATTCCAGCCCATGATGAACATCAGCAGCAACATCATGTATTATTCAGCAAATCAAACAATAAAATCTAACAATCAGGGAAAATGATACTGCCAGTGCCTAGTATAATTTACTCACCATCTTGATTACAAATGACAGTACACTAGATTATTCTCCATAGATCATCAGAATGCTACACAATCAACTGTCAAGTATTTTCATCAGATACCAAAATCAAATTGTTTAGCATGTTAAATACTGTTTTCATCCAGTATAGTTTTCCAAATCTTCTAGATATACCAGAACTCACACACTCACTGAGACTGGACTGAAATGACCACTATGAAGGAAACGCTTGTTTCATCACAGTCCTTGAACATCACCATGACCACTCCAACACTTCCTGTTGATATACACACAAGTCACATTCTACAGCAACTAACATGTTTGATTTTGTCATAACATGGTTCAAAGATCCGCCATCCTTAGATTTAACTTTTAATATATTTCATTGAACGAACATATTAATATTTGAAGCGCATTTAGAAGTGGAATGCATAAGAAAAGCAAGATTCATGGATGGTTCAACTTCTGTATTGTGAATAACACGACGTTTCGGAGTTATTCACAATAAAGCAGTTGACATCCATAAATCTTGCTTTTCTTGAACACAATAATAGCGCCCCCATCATAGGATTTTACATTATTGATGAGTGAGTGAGTGAGTGAGAGTGATTTATGCTGCTTTTAGCAAGATTCCAGCAATATCACGGCGGGGGACACCAGAAATGGGCTTCACACATTGTACCCATGTGGGGAATCGAATTTGGGTCTTCGGCGTGACAAGCGAACCACTAGGCTACCCCACCACCCCGGGGTGTGTCAGTCCTAAGTCTTACTTTTCCATATCGGTTCAAGAGTGTTTTTGTTGTAACAATTGGAAATTTTAATATAAATTGTATATTTATATACTTATCCTATCTTACGACTTGCACCTCTCTCTCTTGCTTCGACTTTTAGTGGAACGACTGTAAACTTTTTTCCATAGGCCTCCTTGTCCATTCGCCCATGCACTCCATGCTGCTCTCCTTAATTAGCTTCCTAGTTCCTAATAAAGCTTGCAGCATGCCCTACTAATTACCCACGTGACTAGGAGGCCTATGGAAAAAAGTTTACAGTCATTCCACTAAAAGTGGAAGCAAGAGAGAGAGAGGTGCAAGTCGTGAGATACGATAAGTTTAAAAATAAGGTATTTCATTTTACCTTACCAACCACTGTTTGCAATTTTATTTTAATGTTTATCATGTTCACTTGACAACTTATTATGTCTTTTAAAACAAAAATTCTAATCAACATTATAAAACAGACACACTAGACAAAGTGAATTACTGAACAAACAATCTTGATCAAAACCTAAAACACTGCACCACAAGAACAACAGGCAACACTACAGTAGTACTAATTCTAAATACGAGAAAACCGTCTTGTTATAATAACAATAAAATACAATGAAACCGATGCTAGGACTGGTATCTGCATTACCCGACACAATTGTTTAAAGGAAATATTAAAAACAAATGTCGTAACATGATCATATGACATGATTTAGTAACCAATTTGTCCTTTACACCAAACATACATTTGCCACACCTTCATTGTTTGTTTACTGTTTTTATGCCCCATTCAGCAAAATTCCAGCCTTATGACGGGCGGTCTGAAAATAATCAAGTCTGGTCCAGTGATTGACGTCACGAGCATCAACATACGCAATTGATATACGATGACATGTGCCAACAAAGTCAGCGAGCCTGAATTCCTGACCCAGTTAGCCGCGTCTTACGACAGACATAGGTTTCCTCTGCTTCTAGAACTGAGTGATAATGGCGAATGTTCCAATAAATTAATATCATTGATTGGTTGATGGAAAATTTCTAAACAAAAGACTAAAACTGTAACCTCTGACCAATCACTGTTCCAAATAATAATTCCATTATCAATGTGGCAGTGAGCAAGATTCGTAGAGGGCATCGAGGGCGATTGGAAGACAAGACTTCCTGAGGCCCAGATAAGCTGCGTATCCGGGTAAAATACGCATAGAAAATTTCCGATCACGCATTGAAAAATAATTGTTGCGTACCAATTACGCTTTTAAAATGTTAGATACACAAAAAGTTTAAAACAAATGGGTACGGAATATATTTATAAAAATCGCTCGCTTTATGAAAAAGACATCGATTGCTATCAAGTTGTACTGTTAGTATAGGACTAGTGTTGTACTGTCAGTATAGGATAAGGGATTTTTTTATGAAATCATTTCCATTATATTTAAGTTGGTTTTGATTAGGTATGATATAAGGCAGGACATACCTGCTTAGTAAACTTTCTCAATGACATAATACTTAGGTGAGTAAAATGACTGAAATACGCACATATTTGAAAGCAGTGGGTAACGGAAAATGAAATACCCACTCAACATTCATAATACCCACTCCCAAAAAATACAGTGGGTACAGTACCCACATGAGCTAAATCTTATCTGGAGCTCTGGGCCCCGTTCCTGAAAGCGATCGTAGCGCTAAGGTGATCGTAACTCCCATACTTTAACATAGACTTACGACTGTCGTAGCGCTACGATCGCTTTGAGGAACGGGACCCTGGACTTCCCAGTCTGCAACTGCTCCATTTTCTTCTAATAAAGTAAAACAACATTTTACTTAATATTATTTACTGAAAGTGGGTGCCACAAAATGTGGTACATGGACATCATTGTTCATTATGCTTATATATGATCGATCAACAAGTAGGCATGGTGATATTTGTATTTCATATGATAATTCATCCATATGGTACACGGATTCTTGCATATGATTTGCTTTTAAACTGCTGAGCCATTGTAAAACAAAACATTTCTGAAAACATGTTTTTCCTATAAACATGATAAAAGAATAGACATAAAGAGTTTAATCCAAAGAGTCCACGTGTCATACAATGCTAATTACACAAAATTCTAGACTTTAAAAAGTGTGTAAAGTAATTATTATTTAACACTAAAATTAAAAGTTATAAGTATTTCATAAACGTTTTATTATTGCAAAAGATATTTTGTACTGTCAGTCTCTCTAGATTTGCTTATCAACACACAGTAGCTAGAATTATATTGGTTTGTACTTGAGTGCACTTTGGAGCAAGGCTAGCAGAATTCCTGCAACATACACATATAACTCTGCTTCATCATTCTTTTGAGCTTACTACTTGTTTTCAGTGCAACAAAACCACATCCACACATGCAAAGACAAATCCATGGCAATAAGCTCTTAGCTACTGTTAGTTACAAGGTAGGTTAAAAATACCATTATGACAATGTGTTGTCATAGATATATGCCAGCAGTGTTCTCTAAATCTACGGTAATATATGGTAATCTGGACAAGTGCCATTATATAGTGCTAGCCACTGAGATACCAAACCACAACTAGACATGGACTCAGACACAGAAACTGACTCCAACTAGTCCAAGCAGATGGTCATGGTTTTAAGTCCTTAACGAAGAGCACCAGGCAAGATACCAACAAGCACCATCTAATAACGTCTTTTGCCATGATACCAGCTGGGATAAAACCACAACTGCCTGCTCTAACAAAAACACTCTATCCAGTAGACCGCAGAGGTAGTTTCAGATTAACCTGCTTTATCATTGTGCCAAGATTCAAAATGTTTCACAGTTGGTATACATCACAAGATTACATGAATGAGCCCAAACCAAATGACCCATCAGTGGCCATCACCCAACACACACAAAATAACTAATAATGATCATACTGATTTACTTTTCATCAGCCCAGAGTGTCACTGGACCCGTTAAAGCAGAATGAGCTGACAGAAAAGCATGATTAAGTATTATCCGATTTCAATCACCATGACGACAAACATTACACCATTATATCACTCTAATGCTGTTGCAATTAATTCTGAGTCTGGAATTCACTGAAAATGTAAACAAGTAAAGAAAGACGAAATTACAGATAATGCATTATGCAAAATTAGAGCAAAATTATATATTAACCCGGGGGTGGAAATAACCCATTGCCCGACGCCCGAGTCCAGTGTTTTTTTCTGTCGGGCAAGCAAATTTGTATATCACACTGTACCGGTGTCCAGTTGACTTTCCAATGGTAATTATGTTGTTTAAATAAAAAATCAACAAGAAAACGGCCGGTATAGTGGAAAAATTATCAGGGCCGATATAGTGGAAAAATTATCAGGGCAAGTGATTTTACATGTGCCACTGTACCGGAGTACACTAGCAATTTTAAAGTTATTTCCACCCCTGCAACCATATCAAGATGCCACAGAGTTACTCAGAGTAAACACTCAAATATGTTGCTTCTTGAAGTAAAGGCAACAGATTCTCGATAGAACAGCAGTCATTACACATAATCAGAGACAAATTGTATATCATTCGTCAACAGATATCATGGTGTTTGTCAAGCAATCACTTCCAAACATGTTGATTCTGGAAGTAGAATCAACAGATTGTCACAATGTCTCCACTTCTCGAAACTAATCAACATTAGACTCCATTGTGACCACCAAATAACCATTTATCAACTATACAAAACTAACAATAGGTACAGATATCATGGTGTTTGTCAAGCAATCACTCAAACATGTTGATTCGGGAAGTAGAATCAACAGATTGTCACGATTTCTCCACTTCTAAACTAATCCAGTTCAGGCGCCATTGTGACCACCAAATAACCATTTATCACCTACAAAACTAACAATGGGTATTGGGTATCTATTCTGCACAACACGCTTACATGTCATTTCCACTAAAAGCACAAGTTACGTAAATCTCCTACCCATCATGTTGTTGGTTGAGCATGTGTGTTATCCTCGACACCAGAAAATGATGAGAAATACTGCCACCTGTTGCCTGCCTGGTGCTACTGAAAGCAGTGAACTCATGACTAGCTGTCTCCTGTAACTTACACCACTTCCAGTAATGTGGCTGCATCACTGTTATAACCCAGGAGAAGAATATGACATCTGGTGACTGCTGTGATCTGATTAACGTTGCCATGGTAACAGATTGTTTACTCGCAGTTGAAATGCTAATGCTAAAATGCATTGTAAAAGAAAACTTCAGTAGGTTTTCAGTTTCATTTTGGTGTCAAAATAACCTTCAATTACCAGTTAATATTAACACATGATTAGGATATACTGTGAGCAAAACTATAGCAGACCATTTTTTCATTTAGGGGGAAGTGTTGGCGTAGCCTAATGGTTGAAGCATCCGCTCGTCACGTCAAAGACCCGGGTTCGATTTGCCACATAGGTACAATGTGTGAAGCCCATTTCTGGTGTCCCCCACTGTGATATTGCTGGAATATTGCTAAAAGCGGAACAAAACCATACTCACTAACTCACACATTTAGGCTAAGTATGAGGAAGAATTACATTGACTTTTCACACTAATAACTGAACTAAACATGGGAAAAAAGGTAATATAGACCCTTAAGTACAGATTCTTGGTGAGAATATAGGTACCCAGCAACACACAGCTGTCGAAAGAAGTAATCAAATAGTTCAGGTGGTCAAATGCATGAAGTTCTTCCACAAAGACTTGGATTTGATCAGGTTGATGCGTTGGTTACGATTGGTTGACTATGCATGTTGTCACTATAACTATGTTTACATTTGGAGGACCACTGCTCATCATGCCAATCACTGCTATCCACAAAGCATCTGTAGGGTTACCACTATATAAGTTAATGTTACTCTATACTATGCTTACGGATGGCATAGTGCTATCCACAAGGCACCCGTATGATTATGACCTAATGTAACTCTATACTATGCTTACGATTGGCATAGTGCTATTCACAAAGCATCCGTAGGATTACGACCTAATGTAACACTATACTATGCTTACGATTGGCGTAGTGCTATCCACAAAGCATCCGTAGGATTACGACCTAATGTAACACTATACTATGCTTACGATTGGCGTAGTGCTATCCACAAAGCATCCGTAGGATTACGACCTAATGTAACACTATACTATGCTTACGATTGGCGTAGTGCTATCCACAAAGCATCCATAGGATTACCACAAAGCATCCATAATGTAACACTATACTTTGCTTACGATTGGTGTTACACAGCTGGAATATTGCAGAGTGTGATGGTGAACAACAAACAAACCATTTCTCCACACACATTCTGGTCATGTGATCCTGATGACGAGACAATTCAATGATGATTATCTGGGTCTTATTCCACTTTGTTTCGCTGACCTATGACTTGTCTAACTCTCATTCTTAGCATACATGTATGATAGTCACTGTCCTAAGTTGATTTTGTGGAGAAGAGCCCTTGGGCCCCGTCCAACAAAGCGTTATTAGCGCTACGGCAATTGTAAGCCAATGTTAAAGAATTGAAGTTCTGATCACCTCAGTGTGATAATCACTTTGTTGAACACAACCAATGGTACATTTGCTAAAAACTATCCTAGCACAAGATGTTAAGTCCCATATGAGTATATAAAGTAACACATAGTCAGATGGTCATAGCGCTAAAATTACTTTGTGCATATGGCCCCAGATCTTTAGGTCTTTAAGGGCCTGACTTAGACAAAATCAACCTAGATATATAGCTCAGAGCTCGTGGGTACTGTACCAACTGTACTTTTTTGGAGTGGGTATTATAAATGTTGAGTGGGTATTTCATTTTCTATTACCCACTGCTTTCAAATATGTGCGTATTTCAGTCATTTTACTCACCTAACTATATGTCATTGAGAAAGTTTACTAAGCAGGTATGTTCTGCCTTATGTCATACCTAATCAAAACCAACTTAAATATAATGGAAATGATTTCATAAAAAAATCCCTTATCATTTACTGACAGTACAACACTAGTCCTATACTAACAGTACAACTTGATAGCAATCGATGTTTTTTTCATAACGCAAGCGATTTTTATAAATATATTCTGTACGCATTTGTTTTAAACATTTTGCGTATCTAAAATTTTAAATGCGTAATTGGTACACAACAATTATTTTCAATGCGTAATTGGAAATTTTCTATGCGTATTTTACCCGGATACGCAGCTTATCTGGGCCTCTGATAGACTCTCATGATTATGATTACCATCGAAAGAACTGGGAAGTACATAAACATGATAAGGATTTCCTTTATTCTAACCACTTGTTCCAAACTGAGAGTTAAAAATACAGTTGACTTCAACACCACACAGTATATATCCCCTTGCATCGATTGTGTTGATATGGGTCACATTTTATTATGTTTTTCTTTTGTTTATCATGCTTATAATATAAATAGAAATGCATCCTTTTCAAAGGGTGCCATAGGGCACCAGACAGTTAATTTTGGGTGTGTCTTTGTGATAATAATTGTGCCCATACCTTTTGATGATCCAATCAAACTTAGAACATCACAACAACTATGTCATCTCAATTTGTAATCAGTAAACATCCTGTAAACCGGTAAACATGAGAGCTGGATTTTCTGAACACTATCAGTATCATGACTGCAGGATTAGTTCCATTTCACTGGAACCATAAACTAACCCACAAACTATGTTATCATCCAAAACATGTTTTCCTGATAGGCACACTGCATTCATAATGGCCCATGTTAATCACGTTAATTTGTGAGATTGAGAGTGCCATTGATCAACATTTTCATGGGTGCAACAATAGGTTTTGAATCATCTGAGTTGGTCAAATGTATTGTATTTTCTTTTTAAATGAATCATGGTGAGTATGATTTTTATAATTTTAGTCATGCAACCAGGGCACACTGAAAATATTTCATTCATGCCCTTTCAATATTTACCATACCATGACGCAAATTGAACACTATTTTGTGATATGGATGAAATAATCTGGTGAGTGAGTTTAGTATTACGACGCTTTAAGCTATATTCCAGCAATATCACGGCGGGGGCACAAGAAATGGGCCTTACACATTGTGTAATCCTGATCCCATCCCTTACCACATGCTTGTCATCGTATCCCAATTGCGTAGAACGATGCTCATGATGTTAATCACCGGATTGTCTGGCCCAGACTCGATTATTTGAGTGCCATATTTGAACATTGCTGGGCTAGGTGCCATATAGCTGGAATATTGCTGAGAGCAACAAATGAACCAACAACCAACTTTCCACTCAAGCACCTCTCTAAAACCTGCCTTCAATATTTTATATCCATAAAACTATATATTGTAAGCTAAGTAAAGTGCAGTACTCCCAAACCCAATACAATGTTGTTGGATTATAATATGTTTTTGAAGGTCATACGCTTTTTGACAGTAGTGTATATTCATCATGTTCATGGTACATGTATAATGAAATGTGTTCATGAAACAGACATTGCACATACTCAGATGATGACTTGTGTTAAAAGATATAGTCTTTCATAAGTTATTGACTTGTAGTATAGTTGTTTGAGTGATTAGCAGAGAAACAACAGATTTTCCTGAGCCTTTGAAAAGCCAAGATATGACAATAATACACACAAGAAAAGTCACATAAAATTGTGGTTTTTATAGGGGGTGTTTGAGAGATTACTAACAGATTAGTTCAGAAGTTTGTCAGGAGCCACTAAATGGTGCTTTAATTTGCTTTAACATTTCAGCAAATACAGCATGAAATAAATCATACGATAATCAAAGTTTAATCTATGTACGCCTTCTGTAATAACAGAGTGACGATGTTGCTATGAATAAACATGGAGCATGTCCCTTTAACTAATTATATAAACATGCAGTTTCAGTTCGATTAACTCCATACTTTGATTAAATATATATACATACATCACGTATTACGAATCACACAACACCTGTAAATATCACGCCATACTTGAAATCACGTTGCAAATATCAATCATATGTTTTGATTTGCATATTTCATTATTTCACTGACATTACCTGATTACAGAGCTCCGTTGAATTGGAATATCTTGCTCATTCTTCTTCCACGAGATGGATAGTTCTACACTAGTGAGCAACACATCTGGTAGGTTCCATTCTTACCAAATCGCGTGAGAAAGGGTTTAAGATTCCTTGATCTAAATATCGTAAACAAGTCATATTTGACGCATAGCCACGAGTGAAAATCGAACCATACTCACGCAGTCAAAAACATTAGGTTCGCACTCAAAGACAACTTGTCCTCCCAAACAAATAAAACTACCAGTTAAATAACATCAGTCATAAAATATATATTTAAATGACCTTTCGAAAAATGCGTCCTGAAAAAGGAAGCATATTACTGATTTTTGTGTTTAGAAAATATTTTATCTAGAACGGGAGATATAAAACGAAACGAAATATTCCCAATATTAAAATTGACGAAATCATGAAACGAACACGGAGTGTTTGTGCAAACCTTAGACACGACGATCGAGTAAGTCTCCTGTAACAAAGTTTAAATAACTTTTTATTTCAGTTATTAATTAAGGTTTTCAGTTATTGCTTCTGACCCTCAGATAATAATGAAGTACGAATGATACACACATGATAATATTCACCGTGCATAATTGCGAACGAAATAATAAGAGACCGTTCATAATTTAAGGCTGGGTGATGGGGGCGGGGTGATGATGATTTTATTGGGGGACCCATTTTGTTCTGGAGAGGTGGGGGTCATCAATTTGTACACATGTTCTAGGGGGTCAGCAATTTTGTACAAAAAATATTTTAAAATTATGCTTTGGGATATGAGGGTGGGGATGTAATTGATTTTGTACATGACATGCAGGGGGATCACTAACTTTGTACATCAATTTTAGGGGTCATTACCGTTGTACATGCTTCGCCATAAAAATCATCATCATATACCTTGACTATCAGCTTGAAACAGGTTATTACCACTCATACCTCTGAGACCACCAATTCCTCATTAAATATTGTTTGGTGAAGTATAAATCTTCTTAACCAAATATCCCAACTTCTTCACAGAAAAACTCAAAAGCTGCAGAAATCTGTCCCAAAACATAGATCAACAGAGATCGTTCTCATTACATCGTATGAGCAGATGAGTGAGTATGGTTTTACATTGCTTTTAGCAATATTCCAGCAATATCACAATGGGAGATATCAGAAATGGGCTTCACACATTGTACCCATGCATGTGGGGAAAGAAAGCTATGGAAATCCGGTTGTCCGCAATGTACAATGTACTAGTACATATGTAGTTAGGTACTCAATATGGGAGGTAACTCTTGTAGGCTTTAGAATGTACCTTACTACATCAAGAGTTATCTCCCCTGGTGAAGCAGACAGCTTCCTTTGTTGACATGGCAGATTTGACAGCAGAGGAGAAACGAAAGCTGGTTCTAGATGATTTTGAAAGGGGTGTGACTAAGGCAAAAGAGTTAGCTGGTAGACATGACATTCCTCTGTCTAAAGTATACAGAACTTTGAAGAATATTCAGTCAGGAGTTGGGACTGAGAATAAGACAGGGGCAGAGAGGCCAAGGAAGTTCAGCGACTTGGTCAGATTGTGAGTAGGGAATACATTGAAAAGCGTTGAGAATATCAGAAATGAGATGATTAATAGAGGAAGTCCTCAGCTACGTAATGAAACCCATAGACAAGAATTACAAAGACTTGACTGGGTGAAAAAGCGCGGAATTCCCTCACCATTGATGAAAGATGCACAAAAAGAAAGACGTTTAAACTGGTGTAGGGATCACGAAATCAAGATTGGGATAATGTTTCTTTTCTGATGAAAGTTCTGTCTGGCTTTTTCCGAAATATTTGAAAATGTGGACAAAAGATACCATGAAACCTATCTACCAACGCCCAAAACATAGCCCGAAATTTCACATGTGGGGTCAGTGTGCGAAATAGTTTACAAATTTAGTATGCCAGTCGGGCTATAGCTATGCCTGCAAGTTACTAGTTATTATAGCTAAAATACATAGAGAATCTCACCCAAGTGTCTTCTGATATCAATTATATCAACACGAGTTGATAAAGTTACAAATATCCGAGGCTTGCCGAGGATATTTTTACTTTATCAACGAGTGTTGATATATTTGATATCAGAAGACACGAGGGTGAGATTCTATTTATCATCCAAAATCACTCTTCATTAATTTTCAATGAAAAATGTACATCTCTGAACATGGTACTGCCATTAGACTTGCAGTGCAGCGATGTCATAGCATTGTGACGTCATCAAGTACATGACGTCATAGCATTGTCAGGGCATTGTACAAAATCTACTGTCAAAACGATATCTCCTAGGAGATATCGTTTGATCTCACACAAGCGATATCTCCTGTGGAACACAGTTTTGGATGATAAATGGAATTATCATGAAACGGCCCTCCTGTTATCAGAAATTTGCGGTCCGCTGCAAATGATATTGGACCGCTCAACCTTAACGACGGGCCACTATCAGTTCTGTTGTCAAGTGACGTCATAGTTCGACATTAGTGGCTTTCGACTGGCAGATATTCTGGGTCAAACAAGTCAAAGCAACCCAAATTCCCGCTTTAAATAGCGGTCATATTGGCTTTCTTGTTGGTGCTAACCTTAACAATTGCACTATCAAGACTGTTGATGGACCAAAACCGAACACTGTCATAGCTTGACATGTTGCAGGCTATGGTCTTGTCAAAGGCCAAGGTCGAATATCGTCACTTTCTGTTGTGACGTCACTTGAATTGTTCGATGACGTAATTGCATTCGGGCAGTCAAGCCCGTCAGAAGTTGATTTGGGTAAACTTACAGTCAAATTCCTTCATTGTTTCCTTTTTCTTTTCAACACAAATTCCATGTATTTTAGCAATAATAACGGTAATGCTATTTCTAAGGGCATTATCATTTGCAGAAGCCCTCGGTCTTTATCAACTGCCCTCCTTCGTCGGGCAGTTAATGGAAGACCTCGGGCTTCTGCAAATGATAATGCCCTCAAAAATAGCATTACCCTTATACTAGCCCACAAAATAATTCACTAACCCGATATTTGAATGTAGAAACTAAGCAAAAGATTACAAAATGGTTAAAATACCATCATTTATCAGGTCATAATCTTCCATGATTTAAAAGTGCATTATAACTTAACAAGTCGGAGAGAGTGATATATTACAAAAATGACCCCACGAAAGTTCACTAGCCAGTCGGGCCAGTGACTTGGAGATTTACTGGCCCGACTGGATTTTTAACAAGCCACGGGCTAGCGGGACAGTGGCTATTTCGCACACTACGTGTAGGGTGGGAGTGACGCCGTTGTTTATTTTCACTGGAAATTGAAAAAACAAGACGAAGGAGTCACCTCCTTCCAACGGCCCGAAAACTGTATGACGATAATAGGATTTTCCAGTATGATAACAACCAAAACCACACTGCGGACTACACAAAACAGTGGTTGTCAGACGAAACTGTTCGAGTTTTAGACTGGCCCAGCTACAGCTCAGATCTTAACCCTATTGAGAATGTATGGGGACTAATTAAGGACAGAATAAACCAAAAAGAACTTAGAAATATTGGGGATATGAAGAAAGAAGTGGTCGAACATAGGGATACATTTCCTACAAACTTTGAACGGTAATGTACCTAGGCGTATTCAGTCGTGTATTGTAGGGCAAGGAGGTCTCACAAAGTACTGAATTGACACTTATAGACTGTAAGAGAATCATATCTGAATATATTCATTTAAGTAACACTTCTATAGTTTCTATACATGTATATACAAATGTATTAGATATTTGCCGAAACAACTTTCTCAATAATTTCTGGGAATACTATACATTCGAAAACTGTTGATCAATCCTACTTCATTGAAAGAAATGATAATTAATTGACACTGACTCAAAAATCCTTAAATTTGAAACTTGGTAATAAGTATCCCTTTTGAGAGAAACTTCTACAGTCAAGCCAAGAGCTCTTCACCTTTCAATAAATATCGATGGGTATATAAGGAGAGCGATCTGCTACATCGTCGCTATAGGCTACATCTTCGTCATGTCGAGAAGAATTTTAATATGGTTCAAATGATCGTAAAACAGCCCGATTCTTATTTACCTCCGAGTCATTTATTACTGAATATCTTTTAAGCCACACACAGTAAAATTCGTTTTTATTTAGAAAAACAAAATAAAATAAAACAAAAATCCGAACATATCTGTCATTTCTTTTGTTTTAAATAACTTTTAGTGTCAAATTAAGTAATGATTTTTTTTAGTACAAATATACTGCGAAGATCTTTAGTTCCATTTTGAGGAGAAAGGAATTCTCTTTCGAAAGTGATGTGGGAAAAATAATGTTCCCAGATTTAACTCTGCGCGGGGCCGTTGCCTCACACATCGTGGCAAGGAGCCTGGCAAGCCATGCGCAAGAAAACACGTGCTTCCGCTGTAATCATCCACATTCAGTAAGGCACCATGGAAAACGACCTAACTGCTAACAGGTGACTATTATTGCTTATATTATTATTATAAGACAACCAAGCTACATAGACGCTAGCCTGGGGAGTACTGCACTTTACCGGGCGCACTTTACGGACTCTACCAACTTGTAAACTACACGCTCTTTTTTCCCTGGACTCTACCAACTTGTAAACTACACGCTCTTTTTCCCCTTTTCCCTTATCGATACACTAGTAACACTTCAAGATAAAAAGTCACTTTCAGAATATGTCATCATTTATATGATGCATATATACATGCATGTTTAACATTTTCAATAACATAACATTTAACTCATTTTATCATGTTCATGTGCAGTTCAGCCAGCTTAACGTCTTGTAGGAACAAGACATTTAGCTGGCTGAATTAGTTTATGTGAAGCATAGATACTTTGTTTTTACATAAGTATTTATGTTTTGATGTTCACAGCTGTTTCCTGAAGTTTAAAACATGTTGTCTTTTGATGACGTTGCAGTGTTTATGTAAATAATCACTCCCAAGTTTGAATCATGTTAATATTGTTTGACCCATATTAGACAACTTGCCCACATATCTTTAGAAACATTTTCAGTTGTGAACATGCAGTCGGCTAGTAAACATGCCAGAATAGGTGTTATTTACATTCAAATAATTGTTGTCAAGATAAAATGTTTTTCAGATGACCCATATTAGACAACTAGCCCACATATCTTTAGAAACATTTTCAGTTGTGAACATGCAGTCGGCTAGTAAACATGCCAGAATAGGTGTTTATTTACATTCAAATAATTGTTGTCTTTTTCAGATAAGTCGATCATGGGTTTGACCAAGCAGTATCTGCGATATCAACCTAGTGCTGTGTTTGGTATTGTAGGAAGTCAGAAATCTAACCTTGTATTTCTTGACATCCGAGGAACTAGAGGAAAGTATTGTGCAGTTGGAGCCTGTGAGAATGTCCTTATTTGGGATCTACGCACAGGAGAGAAGGTATCCCATTATTCTGCTTGATTCAAAGTGTTAAACAAAAGTGGAATAAACTGACATTTGTTATGTAGCAGACAAAGTATCTTTGACCTTCGGTTTGTATAAAGCTTCCTTTAAGTTGACTTTATCACAGATTTAGTGGTCACAATGACATAAAATGGTGGGATTGTGAGTGAAAGAGTGAGGTTTAGTACACCTCTTTTAGCAATATTCCAGGTATATATTCACGGGGAATCACCAGAAATGGGCTTCACAAATTGTACCCATTTCGGGAATCGAATTCAGGTCTTCGACGGGACGAGCCAAAGCTTTAACCACAAGGCAACCCCACTGTCACCATTGTGAATGGAATTGGATTTAATGAGAGCCAATTACCAAATGTTGAAGCTCTCTCTGTCATAGTGAGCTGTATTTAGTAATGGGTTAGGGAATTTTTTATGCAACAGTTAACAATATTCCATAGGGGTGCAACAGTACGTATTGCGGTACACAGCTCTCTGTTCGGAACATTTCAGTTTGGTTCATTAGCAATGAAAATTAAGTTCCGATAAGAAATCTTCATGGAATTGGGGCCCAAACTAAAGTGCCTGTACACGAACTCGTTCATCCAATCGAATTAGCATGAGTTGTTGACAATAGCACTTTGGCACAGAAATGTTAGAAACGGTAGCTACATGAACATGAAGACGTCATCTAGAATTAAATTACACAGAATATTTGTGATGACATTCCGAAAGTAATGTGCATAAGGTGAGTAACTGATATTTTCGGTACCAAAACCAAACATACCATATTTTCAAAGTGAATATTGGTGTACCAAACCGAAAACAAAATAACAAACGGTCTAGCTGCTTTCAGCCCTATACCACTGCAGTCGGTATGGACCCGTGTTCAGCCCTAATATACCAGCTCCACTACTGCAGTCAGTATAGTTATTAAAAATGGACCATGCAAACCAAAGTGTCAGCAACAATTCACTTCAGGGTACAATCATGCACAATATACCAACTCACTCTCTGATCATCCAATCCTGATTTTAATCCTTTTACAACAGTAATGAGAAACTAGGGAGGTATTCCGACCTGGAATAACTTCCAAGACCAGTTGAAGATCAGGTCACATGGTCATTGCACAAGTATTCCTTTATGTTGAAGCTGTTGCAGTCAGGGTTAGGGTTCTTCTACTTCTACAAAGGTTTGTTATATTCGGTATAGCAGTGTAACAAATAATACTGAGCCTAAGTTTACTTAGACTGAAGCTGTTGGGGTTTAGCCAAATAGTTTGCCTAAACAGTTTCTTTTGGATGGGTCAAAATTCCCCCATTATCATGATGTTAGAAATGTACTTGCCTCAAACATGGGTGTGTCCCTATGATTGTTTGTAGTGGTGTTCTAATGATCTAAAATCAATCGAAAGAAGGATTAAAAATATTATCAATTGTAAATGACATTTTCAGTTAATCAGAATTTTGTCGTTTTAGTATAACACACCTGAATGAAGTAAACAAACAATTAAATTTGACAAATATTCATGAACAAACATGCTCAACAGCGTTAAGCTGTGCGCATTTTAAAATTTTAACCACTTTTATTGTTCAATTACAGTTCAGTGTCTTTCTTTGATGCGTGCATTTCATTGCATGACAGTATTAGTTATAAAAATCATTAATTAGAAAAAAACTGGGGTAAAACCCTTAGAATTGGTGATTACATTAAAAATGTATATATTTCGATTATAATCGATAATCTTTCACCACAATCCTCCGATAATCGATAGTGGATTTGGTTTCCGATTCCCAACACTAATTGTTTGTGTGAGTCTCTCTTCACCAGAATCAGTTTTTGGGGTTTGTCAGTACCATACCAGAGGGTTTCATTAAAGTTGTAAATGTCTGACACCTTCATCAATGGGGGCCTTGTGGTTTGAAGCATCCGTTTGTCACCTCTCTGAATATCTGGGTTCAATTCACCATGTCGTTACAGTGTGTGGGGCCCATTTCTGGCCTTCATTGTGATATTGATGGAATATTGCTAAAAGCGGTGTAAAATCATGCTCACTCACTTAAAATTCCCACATGTAGCTGATGCCATGATATCTTTGATATAACTGGAATACATTTCAGAGTGGCATGGAACTCAATTAACTCACTCATAACAATTAATTCTGTTTCCAGTTTAGCATTCTGAAAGGCGACAAACACGAAGTATCGATTATATGTCGCTGTCCGGATAAGCGTCATCTGGCTGTGGGGTACGATGACGGAACGATTCACGTATTCGACCCTACGTCTGGTGACCTACTCATAACGTTCAGTGGACACAAGTCGGCTGTTACAGCTCTACGATATGACCGGCAGGGTCTGCGACTTGTATCAGGAGCCAGGGTAGGTGTCATGCAGCCCTGAATAACATGTACTGTAATATGAAATGTGCCCAAAAAGACAAGTTCAATAGCAGATGTAAGGGGCATGGGTGGCATGAGATGCAACAAATCACTGTGCAGAGTTGTGTCCCTTAAGAGTGTCAGGATGTGACAATGATAACCTGTGTCACTTGAGGCTTTTCTCTCACATTAAGCATGTTCAGCCAAAATAACTTTAATACTGGTTAAAATTATGTTGAACCTCAGTGTCAGGAATGTAGAAGTTCATGCAAATCTGCATGACACTCTTTACCAAGAATGTAGGGCCGGGACCTTGGACACTGATAACAGCAGTATTTTGAGGACTCGCTGTACAATGAAATCAGATGCTTTATGTTTATATGAGTGAGTGTGTTTAGTTTTACACATCACTCGGCAATATTCCAGCTATATCTTTGCTTGACAACGACATTAGAATCTATGTCTAAACGTCGCCTATATAGAATATAGAAGTTGTATGTCCTTAAAACTAGTCCTCATTCTTTATATGGCAGTGGTCTGTAAATAATCGGATACAGTGATATGTGTCAACCAAGTCGGTGAGCCTGACCACCTGATCCTCTTAGTTGCCTCTTCCTACATGCATGGGTTACTGAAGACCAATTCTAATGAAATGTAATGATTTTGCAAGAACAAATTTCATGGAGATATTTTCATGGTTATTTTATCAACTTTTGCTTAAAATGTTTTCTATATAACAGAGGCCCAGATAAGCTGCGTATCCAGGTAAAATTTGAGTGAAAATTTCCAATTTTGCATTGAAAAATAATTGTTGCGTACCAATTACGCATTTAAAATGTTAGATACACAAAAAGTTTACAACAAATGCGTACGGAATATATTTATATAAATCGCTTGCGTAATGAAAAAGACATCGATTGCTATCAAGTTGTACTGTTAATATAGGACTAGTGTTGTACTGTAGTATAGGATGAGTGTTTTTTTATGAAATAATTTCCATTATATTTAAGTTGGTTTTGATTAGGTATGACATAAGGCAGGACATACCTGCTTAGTAAACTTACTCAATGACATAATACTTAGGTGAGTAAAATGACTGAAATATGCACATATTTGAAAGCAGTGGGTAACGGAAAATGAAATACCCACTCAACATTCATAATACCCACTCCAAAAAAATACAGTGGGTACAGCCCTCACATGAGCTAAATCTTATCTGGAGCTCTGATATAATTAGCAATCTTAAAAAGTTTTAAGGCCGGTTTGCAGTTTGTCATTGAAATTTGTAAGTTGTTGTATTTTTGTTGTTTTTTAAATTTTATGAATAATGAGCTGTTGAAGTTCAAGGAACTTTGTTTTGTTTCCAGGATACTGATGTGATTGTGTGGGACATCGTCAATGAGTCTGGCTTGTTCAGGTTGAAAGGTCATAAAGGGCAGATAACCCAAGTTTGCTTCCTGAAGGAAACTAATGTGCTGGTCACAAGGTAGGCATTGTGCACATTTGCTGATTCAGTATATATATTCAGTACGTTCAGATTCGCAACACCACCACATTTCTATGGACGGTCAGTGGTTCTTCGCACAACACATGCTGAACACCGGTTTGATTCCCCACACAGGGTTTAATGTGTGGAGCACATTTCTGGTGTTATATTGCTGAAATATTGCTATTGATTAAAACTGGACACAGGGACACTGTGTCACTCACTCATTCACTCACTCACTCACTCATTGCTGACTCACCACTACTTCACTCATCACTCACTCACTCACTCACTCACTGGACACTCACTCACTCACTTCTTCGTAATAACCCAGTCTTGTGGTTTGACGTCAATAATCCTCACATTAATTATATGCTTGTAAAAATATTGAGATACATCCTATCCTCTATATCTATTAATTTGTGGACACTTTTATCATCCAGTTCCAAGGATACATTTATCAAGTTTTGGGACCTTGACACCCAGCATTGCTTCAAGACGCTGGTTGGACACCGCAGTGAGGTAAGAGTGGGTCTGTTGTATTAACAGACTTTACCAGATCAGTCTGATAGTGGTTAGTCATTGGATGAAGTACTGTGATGAATCCTTACCTGAGATGTCCAAATGCTAAACATTCACTAATGGCATATCAGCGTGTGGTCAACAGGTCATGCTAATGTCTCTTTTTGCTTTCCACTTGAAGTCTTGGCATCTGTTATTTTACATAAGCATGTACGTAGGTCAAGCTGTACTGACATGTAAAGCTCATTTGAAGTACATTATTGGGATATGGATGTACTACACTGACCCAGATGACATTATCCAATTGGATCAGAGCTTTTAGCTGTGTCGTATCCTTCAGAACTGATTGTGTACCCAAGTATGTAGGTTTCATTGAACATCTAAGACTTGTGTTGTGTTTGGCTTTTCTGCCAAAGTAAACTTTCATGTTGTGTAAGGGGCGGTGGGGTAACCTAGTGGTCAAAGCGTTCGATCTACTCGCCAAGGCCCCGCTTTCGGTTCCCTACATGGGTACACTGTGTGAAGCCCATTTCTGGAATATTGTTGTGATATCTCTGAATTATTGTTGAAAGTACTGACAAATCCCAACATGTTTAGGTCCAGGTTAGAATTGGCCTTCAGCAACCCATGCTTGTTGTAAGAGTTGACTGATATGATTGATTGGTCAGGCTTGCTGATTGGGTTGATGCATGTCATTGTCTCCAAATTGTGTAGATTAATGCTCGAGATAACAGTCACAGGATTGTCTGGTTCAGACTTGATCATTTACAGACTGTCATGAAATATTAAATTGACCTGTTTATGTGGTTTCCAGGTGTACGACTTTGTTCTGTTGAAAAATGACCATCGTCTGGTGACAGGCTCTTCTGACAGCGAGCTAAGGGTGTGGGACATCACCTTTAAAGAGCAGGTGGGTGGTCATGAAATAATAGGGAAATATAGATGAAATCTTTATTGAATGTAAATAATTTTTCATCAGACTCCAAACTTTATTGACAAAGATCCTTTATCTTAGTGTAAATAATGAGAAAGGAAGTATCCTGCAGCGTTAAGAATATTTTGTCAATTTAAAAAAAGATTTTCAGATTTAAGAATAGGATTACGTGGTCATGACAGGGGTGGAAATATTTTTAAAATTGCTAGTGTACTCCGGTAGAGTGGCACATGTAAAATCACTTGCCCTGATAATTTTCCCACTATACCGGCCGATTTTTCTTGTTCATTTTTAAATAAACAACATAATTAACATTGGAAAGTCAACAGGACACGGCTACAGCGTGATATACAAATTTGCTTGCCCGACAGAAATAAACACTGGACTGGGACATCGGGCAATGGGTTATTTCAACCCCTGCATGAGAAATGTGGTGAAATGGTCGATATGTCTATTTTACAGGATGCTGCAGATGCTGCTGAGAGTCCAGGGAAGAAGTTGAAGCTGGACACAAGTGAAGATGAAGAAGATGAGGAGAGGAGGAGGAAGAAAATGAACTGGTAAGCAGCTTATTCCGATAAATGATGTATGGCAACGAGGTGTGTGTCGAGTTCGGTTCCATTCATGGTTGTGTTGCTGTTGGCTACTCTGTTAATGGGTCGTGGATCGCAATGTTCATAGTGTTAACTCTCCAAGTGCGTGGACAGCAAGGATACGATGGTGATTGTGTGGTCACAATGGCCAATTCCTGCTCCACAACCTGTAAAGTCTGGGTTAGAATTGATCTTCAGTAACTCATGCTTGTCGTAAGAGGCGATTAACAGGATCGGGTGGTCAGCCTCACTGACATTGTTGACACATGTCATTGTATCCCAATTGCATAGATTGATGCTCATGCTGTTGATCACTGGATTGTCTGGTCCAGACTCGATTATTGACATACCGCCACCTCACTTACTCAGTCACTCACTCACTCACTCGCACTCCACAATTTCCAGGCCAATGCCCTGTCTAGATCTAACTAAGTATTGCACCTAGTGTTGTATGTTAAACTGCTACATTGTCACATTTTTTATTTTGTTGTCACATGTGTCCAAATGATTAGGGTCCCAAGTAGCTGATAGGTTGATTTGTTTTGGAAAATTGATTAAGCAAACTAAAATGGGTTAGGGATATATTGAATATGATTTGCACCAAGTTCCCCTTTAACAGCTGACTACCGTGTAAACCTTTAACCCATCCTCCTTTAACCCTGGTATTGTATCCATTCTGTCAGCTAAATACCCTAGACATGTTCTCCAACATGGCTCCATTCTGAGCCCAATTCATAGGGCACGATGTCGGAATGAAACCTAAGAACCATCCAGAAATAGGAAGTAGTGAAGGTTTGGGGGCAAATAAGTGTGTCATCAGACTTGACTGCTTCAAGTCCGCCTACTTGAAGCTGGAATGTTGTTTTGAATTACAAGAAGACATTCTTTGTATGTAAAGAGCAGAATGTTTGAGTGTATCATGACATGGTTACCATGGTTACTTTTGGTTTGACAGAGCATCCTCAAGTGCACTAAAGTTGGATCGGTGATGCGATCGGGCAGAGACAGAGTGGTATCCATGGTAACTGATGAATCAGAAAGTGTACTGGTCTGTCATGTGAGTAACTTACTTTATCCAGTTCTTGATTGATGAATGTGCAGTTTTAGCACATTTGATGACATAAAGCATGATCCGTGCATTGTGCCAACCAGAAACAAAAATGGTTACTAAGCCTCTGACTGATTCAGTTGTCTAAAGTGCCATGATTCCCTGAATTGTGTCCCCTGGGAGACCCAGGATCTGCTGATAATGGGTTTGATTCCCAGATGATTCGCCAAATTATCCAGATTAAATTAATTTTGGACAGCATATTCCTAGCTAGCTTATTCTGAGTGCAGCATACTTGGTCGTCCATCGATCCGATGAGGACTGACCTCATGTGTTAAGTCCTTTTCTTGTGTGGGCGCAGAGATGGCAGTTCAGGACGATCCCTGATCGGCAGACACAGGTGCAGTGGGGACACGGGGTTGTCAGTAGTGGGCATAGGAAACTGTCGCGGCCCTTTTTGTTTTGCCCTGCCCTTTTCGCCTCAATCCCAGTTTTTTCCAGCTGTGCTTGATTTTACAACAACCCGTGTGTATTTTTCGATTTTATTAAGGACGGAGTTCTCTCCCTTTCAAGGAGACGCCAAATTGTTTTGATAATGATTAGGAAATTGGCATTTAAACCATGCGAAGTCAAATGTGTTTAGTTCGCTTTTCTTAATCACAATGCCTACCAAGGAAAGAATCAAATGGAAAAGAGAAGAAGGTGAAGGTTGAAGCAAGGAAGTGTCGCCGACTAATAGATTTCTTCGCTCCTAACAGGTATGTGCCTCTAAGTTCGTGATTTTTTAGGCCGTTGATTTCCCTTTCAATTTCACATGCCTTTCAAATAAGACCTTCATTTATTAAAGACAACGATGTGTGAACTACATGGAATGTATTTTGCATGCGTTTGGGGACCGATATTCATGTGACTGTGCTGTTTAGGTGAAATCTGAAACTCGAAAATATCCGCCATTTTGAATCCATCGGCAATTTGAAATTGATCTTGAATTATTTTGTTGTTTGTCCTGGGAAATGAAATAGTTAATACAGCTTGCATAACAGCTTCACTTGGTAGCCTTGTTTTTAGTGTTTACTGTCGATTTCATAAAAATGTAAGTCTTGAAGGCGTAAAACTATTTTACGATTTCAAACAATGGGAAGCCACACCCTTGTCGAGGCTCTCCACAGTAGATACTTACGTTCAGGTGTATTATTGTGTGATATTTTTGTTTTAATAATTATGATTGCAAATTTAATATCTAAGAATATTTTGAATATGGTATATGAACTTTGTAATTTTTTTTTTTTTCAGACCGGACGGGAGTCAGAGGTAGTTTCCTATGAAAATTCAAGGGCACGAGACAGAGTCAGTTATTCCAACACAGAAGAAAGATGGTGGTCACAAGACTGCATTTGACACAAAGTGGCAACAAAACCGTCCCTGGTCGGGGGAACTCAGAAGATGACAAAAAGAAGGGAATGATGTTTTGTTCATTATGTTCTAAGTGGAACACCAAGGGCAGAAATGGACTTAATGTCGACCAAACACAGATTGAGTGGAGTCAAGTAAAGGAGCTTGACACCAGTTCACCCTCCACCATTTTGAAGACTCAAGCCTCAACTTGGAAACTTGAATCCAAACATTGTTCAATTACTGTCCATTCATGCAACTGTGATTGTCCACTTCTGAAGTTGAGAGAGTGTTCTCAAAAGTGAAACTGATTGTGACAGATTATAGAAACAGACTCAGTGTTCAAAATTGCAATGGACTTCTCATGATTAGCCTGAATGCATCGTCAGTTTCAGACATTGACTTGAAAAAAGTTGTTAACAGATGCTTGGCAAGAAAGAAAAGAAGACTGTAAATTGTTGTTTTGCGTGTTTTGTGAAATTGTAAACAAATGTGACAACAGGTTAATGTCTGGAAATGCTTTTTCCAAATTTTGATCTTAAAATACAAAATGAGAAGAGTAATAAATGAACTTTAGAAATAAAATTATAAGAGCATTTGACTTCATATACATTTTGTTATTGTTATTTTTCAATAATCCTCACCAAAGTGCCCTTTTAGATTATGAAGTGCCCTTTTTGTTTAATTTACCCTGCCCTTTCTGAATCCTAGGGGAACACTAGTCAGGGTTAGCAATTGATGCCTTTCTTCGTGTACAAGCTTTGTGCTTCAGCTACATCAGCTCACCTCTTCTCCTCAAAGTTGTCTCATGCCTGGGTAATGAGGGCGCCAGCCTGGCCTGTCCATAGCATGCAGCTCTGTTTGGGAGGGATGCCAGAGTGTCTTATGTTGGATTTAATACAGTCTTTGAATCTCTTGTGTGGTCTGCCTTGGTTCCTATTCCCAGAGCAGAGTTTGCTGCACATGGGCTGCTTGGGCAGCCTGTGGTTATCCATCCGGATCACTCGATGCTGATCATCTTGGCTCTGTCCAGGAGCCCAAGGTTTGTGACCCGGTCTTGCCAATGAATGTTCATGATCGACCACAGGCTTTTCATGTGGAACTTCTCCAACTGCTTCGAGTGTCTTTTGTACATGGTCCATGTCTTACATCCACAGAGAAGGCTAGTGAGAATGACAGCCATGTTCACTTGAGCTTCGTTGACAGCTGGATGTTGCGCTGGTTCAGGACACTCGGAGATGACCGCGAGCTTGGCTGGCTTTGCAGATCCTGGCGTTGAGGTCCTTATCGAGTCTCCCGTCGTTGCTGATGGTGCTGCCGAGGTACTTAAAGTCGTTCACTGTCTTCAGCTGGGTGCCCTCGATAGAGCTGGCGGGGGGAGAGGCGGTGGAGGCTCTCGCTGGTTGGAACAGTACTTCTGTCTTACCCAGGCTGGATGCGTCTGCGAACTTACTCATGATGAGCTGGAGGTCAGACTTCTTGTGGGCCATTAGGGCACAGTCATCAGCGAAAAGCGCTTCCAGGACAATCTTCTCCATGACCTTGGTCTTGACATTCAGTCGGCGGAGGTCGAACAGAGAGCTGTCGAGTCTGTATCGCAGATATAACCCAAGGTCCAAGTCCCTGGTGGCTGAGGACACAGGTAAAAAAGAGGTTGAAGAGGATTGGGGCCAGGACTGCTTGAAGCCATTGCTGATGTTGAATGGTTCTGATACCTCTCCACCTGAAAGAACCTGCCCAGTTATGTTTTGAAACTGGCATATAAGTTTTATAAACTTGTCTGTGCATCCGAACTGGGATAGGATGATCCAGAGGGCTTCCCTTTTTACCGTATGGAAGGCCTTTGTCAAGTCGATAAATACCGCATACAAGTCCATGTTTTGCTCTAAACATTTCCCCAGTACTTGGTGGACGGAGAAGATCATGTCCACTGTGCTGCGGTTTGGGCAGAATCCATGCTGTTTCTGGCAGGTTCCCTTTGGAGATGTTCTCGATCAGTCGGTTGAGGACCCGGGCCATTACTTTCCCAGCAACAGAGAGGGAGATGCCCTGACAATTGCCGCCGTCAGTCTTGCTGCCCTTATTCTTGCTGCCCTTATTCTTGAACAGGGAGACAACAGTGGCATCCCTGAAGTCTTTTGGCAGTTCTGGATTTGAAAGTTTCAAGGGCCACAGGACCGGCAGATTTGAATATCTTCGCCGGAATTCCATCCATCCCAGGTGCTTTGCCAGAGCTGGTCTGCTTAATTGCCTTCGAGATTTCGTCCATTGTAGGGGGAGGTCGAGGCAGTGGACAGTGGGTTTTGTGGGATCAGGTCAAGGGCATAGGGGTCTACAGTGGAGGGCCTTTTGAGTAGGTTGCTGAAGTGATCTCTCCATCGCACATTGATGCTGCTCTTCTCCTTCAACAGTGTCGAGCCGTCTGCCGACAGGAGTTGGGTAGTACATGGCTTGGAAGGTCCATAGACTTCCTTGATGGCTCTGAAGAACATCTTGGAGTTCTGCGTGTAGGCGCATCTCTGGACCTCTTCTGCCTTCTTCTCCCACAAATTCATCCTGCATTTTACGAATGTCTTTGTTTTACTCGTTTCAAAACAGTGCTGGGTGCTGAAGGGGTGGAAATAACCAATTGCCCGATGTCCCAGTCCAGTGTTATTTTCTGTCGGGCAAGCAAATTTGTATATCACACTGTACCGGTGTCCAGTTGACTTTCCAATGTTAATTATGTTGTTTATTTTTAAAATTCAACAAGAAAACGGCTGGTATAGTGGAAATTATCAGGGCAAGTGATTTTACATGTACCACTGTTCCGGAGTACACTAGCAATTTTAAAGTTATTTCCACCCCTGTGCTGTTGTACAAAACAACCTTAGTGCTAAGACTACCTTAAGTCTATGTTTATGGGAGGTACGCCACCTTAGTTAAGACTAAAAGCTATGTTAAGACTACCTTAAGTCTATGTTAAGTCTATGTAAGGTATGGGAGTTACTGTCACCTTAGCTAAGACTACCTTAAGTCTATGTTAAAGGTATGGGAGTTATGATTACCACCTTAGCTAAGACTACCTTAAGTCTATGTTAAGGTATGGGAGTTACGGAGTTCACCATAAGTCTATGTTAAGGTATGGGAGTTAAGTTACCTACCTTAAGACTACCTTAAGGTATGGGAGTTGGGAGTTACGGTCACCTTAGCTTAAGACTACCTTAAGTCTATGTTAAGGTATGGGAGTTAAGGTCACCTTAGCACTAAGACTACCTTCAGTCTATGTTAAGGTATGGGAGTTATGGTTACCTTAGCACTAAGATTGCTTAGTACAACGGCACCCTGGTGCACTGGTTTCCTGGGGCCAGTAGTGGTTTTTGCTGACTCAGTCACCAGTGACTTGAACTGCTCCCACCTTTGTGTTGGGCAGCCAGTCGGGGTTAAACAACAAACAAAAGACGTGCAGACAAATGTGCTTTCACACAGATATTAAATGTGATGACATATCGTTTATGTATTAGATTGACTTCAGGGGGATGTTTTCTTGTGTTGTAGGGCAATGATGCAAATGTGGATGTGTTTACCCTCCCATCTCAGGAGAAGCTCAAGAAACACCTCGCCAAGAGGGAAAAGAAAGCCAAAAGAAAATTAAAGTAAGTCCCTTTTCATCCATTGGACCATACATTATGGTAGCCACAGTACCAGGATGTTGAGTACGGGCTCAGCCAACATATGCTGATCCTGAAATAAAATCCTGGGAAAGAGACTCAGTATGCAGGTTTTAGTGTCTCTCTGTGTGGAGTGTTCACGACAATGCTACTGACACAGTGTCCGGAGTGGTACTGTCTATTAAATTATGCTTTGTGCTGAACATGTACTGTACATTCTTCTTAGTAATGAGGATCACTTGATTGGACCATTTACTAAGCTGACAATGGGATAATCCATTGACACAACATGAAATGATAATGATATGATTTATTGAAGGCATGATGTTCAACATGATACAATGATGACAAATGGTGGTGACATGAGAAGCTGTCAACATTTTACACTTTTTACCCTCATCTGTTGTGAATCAACCAACTAGTGTACCATCTGTAATGCAACACAGCAGTAATTACATCTCTTTCATAATTTGGGGGAATTTTAGCAAAATGTCATCAAAATTAGTAATGAAGTTTAAAAGAAAACATTTAGCTCTGACATAGTCAGATTTTGATGAATCTAAACTGAAATATGATTTCTTCCTCAATTCATATGTCATGCCAATCTATGAAAAGAAAATCACAAGGACTAAATTTTCATTGATATGGTATTAAAGAGGTTATTGTTTAGCTTATATAGTGTGGTATGAACATAGGGCATCTTGTTTATCTGGTAGTATGAAGTGTTGCATCAGTCTAGTCGACTCAAGTTACTATAGGATGTGTAAGCCAAAATAGAAACTTAAAGAACATTTTCAGGCTTTTGTGTCCTGAGTTGATGATCATAATAGTGATCCTAATTTGGAAATGTCATCCGTGGCAAGGAGAACACAATGCTTCATGTCTTATGCATATCTGCTCTCACAGGGAGCAGGATGAGGTAGGGAGGTTACCGTGGAGATCAAGCTGATGGACGAGATCAAGAGAATGACTGCAGTCAAGATGGCTGCCAAAGTGAGGGCACTTGATATTCTTGGGGAAGAAGGCAATTCTCTGAAGGTGAGGAAATTCCAAGTTGTGGATCTTCTCTGTAATTTGGATTAGACAATTGAAAATTAGAAATCAAGAAAGTTTGATTAAATCCTACTTATCTGCAAACTCCAGTTTGAATACGAAGGGGGAGGTGGGGTGGCCTGGTGGTTAAACTGTTCACTCATTACTCCAAAGACCCAGGTTCGATTCGCCACGCCATTTCTGGGGTCCCCCGCCGTGGTATTGCTTGAATATTGCTTGAATATTGCTAAGAGCAGCATAAAACTAAACTCACTCACTCACTCACTGATAAAGATGAGAATTAAATGGGATTAAAAGGGGACATGCATGATCAACTCGTTTGGTAGTTTTAGCAACCTCTGATAAGTAGTTTACTGCTCCACTTTTACAGACATCTATTGCTTGCTAATATATACCTATCGTTTACATTTATCCAAAGTCTGATGCTGGTTTTGTGGGTTAACGTCGACATATATATATACCCTGTTCCCATATGATATCCCTTTGAATGCATGCTGCAAACCTTTTCTTATCCAAGCTTTTTTGAGGTGAGTAATATATACACAAGGAAAAGACTGATAGTGACCCAGGGCTCCAGATAAGGGCTGTATCGGTGTATGTACAGATAAAAAATATCCACGATAGGGTAGAAAATAATTTAGAAAACATAGCAGATACGCACCACAGCAATGGTGTACAGTCTTAGAATCATTTACAGACGTATTTATCTGAAAAAGTATTGTTTTATTGTTTATTGACCTGTTTACACAAGATTAGCAATGTTGTGGTGCATATATGAAACAAAACACAAGATTACTGATACTCAATTAATTTCCATTCAGTACTCTAAATGTACACTGAAGATTTTCCAGTACTCCTATATAGAACAAATAAGGAGTACATACTTCTGATGTTGAAAAATTATCTGGAGCCTTGGTGACCACAAAGTTACCTATTCGTCTTCAACCCAGTTTAATGAGAACTGTCATTGTCTGTAGTGCATGTGCCTGCTCAACAACAACTCCATCCAAACATCGACCATACACATAGACAACAAGAAGGCTGAGTTGTCTGATGTCAAAACCCTTGGCCTCCCAGCTCACCGAACCACACCGAGGACGACATGCTTCAGCTCCGACAACCTGGCCATATTGTCAGCCAGCAGCGAGTCCATCAAGATCTGGAACAGGTCAGTGAACCTGCCTTCACATAGCCGGTTATGTTGACCAGTAGACGCATTTATGACAAAAAGATCTTTTGTAACCAAGCTCAGAGAATCTCATTACCATTGTGACCGATTTACTTCTTTGTTTAATGGTTCATATCGCTATAATTGTTTTCAAATCTAGTATTCGCTTTCCAGTGAAGATCCGGGTTAGAATTGGTCTTTAGTAACCCATGCTTGTCGTAAGAGGCGACTAACAGAATGGGTGGTCAGGCTCACTGACTTGCTGTGATGTGGAGTCATTGTATCCCAGATGTATAGATCAGTTCTCATGTCAATCACTGGATTGTCTGGTCCAGACTTGATTATTTACACACTGCTGCATTTAACAAAAAGAACAAATTGTCCTCGCCCTGATTATATTTCTCAGCCCCATGCTCAAGTTTCTCCATAGTAGTAAACACCTTAAGCTACCGATGAATTTCACTTTAAACAGAAAAGTAAATCAAATAAAGTGAAATTAAGATTGCGAATCCTCAGAATTTTACCTTAATAAAATTAAACATATAAATTTCAGAATTCATAGATTGGTTTTTTCAACTTAGGATAAAAGTTGTTTAACAGGCGATCATAGATTCAAATCGCTATTATTGGTTTGTATTACAAGGGAGTAAACGAGTAATTGGAACAGTGATACAAATGCAGATTGCAGTGCAATGTGATGAACTTAACCAACCCTACTTGTTCTCGGTGTTTCATTTAATGTGCATACCCCTTGTAATTGGAATATCTTAAGAACCGTTTTCTAGATTCTTTTCATATTTGGTACCTAGGTTCATCACAGTATAAGAAAGGTCCAAGTTGGTTTGGTGACCTTGACCTTCATTTCAAGGTCACAAGGGGACTTTCACGTTTTACCTGCATGTTAAGCTATCTCAAGAAACGTTAACTGGATTTTCTTCATATTCAATGCAAAGCTTTATCTAGGGAAGGCGCAGGGCCCAGTCGATTTTGGTGACCTTCACATAATTTTCAAGCTCATGGCCACACTTTGAAGATTTCAGCATGTAAACCTACATGTTAAGCTATCTCAAGAACCGTTCACTGGATTGTCTTCATATTTGAAACCAAGCTTTATCTAGGGAAGGTGCAGGGCCCAGTCAATTTTGGTGACCTTCACTTAATTTTCAAGGTCACAGAGACACTTTGAAGATTTCAGCATATTAACCTGCATGTTATGCTTGTCAGCGATACCTCAAGAACCATTCACTGGAGTTTCTTCATATTTGACACCAAGCTTTATCTAGGGAAGGCGCAGGGCCCAGTCGATTTTGGTGACCTTCACTTAATTTTCAAGGTCACAGAGACACTTTGAAGATTTCAGCATGTTAACCTGAATTGTCAGCAAGATATTTCAAGAACGGTTCACTGGATTTTCTTCAGACTTTCAAGACTTCCCTTAAATGTTTTTCAATAAGCAATTTCTTTAGTACTATTTTTGCATATTTCATACACTATGACATTCATGTCAAGGTCAAAGTCAGTCTTGAAAATATGTGTGTGTTTGAACACCTAAAGAGCAAGATACCAAGAAAGGTTGACTGGTCATGTTTTTGTTGACATTTAACTTAACCTTCCATTACTTTTGCACTACAGACATTAGTTTGATTTGATAATTTGCGGCTGGGGATTATGTCACCTTAGTGACAATGCTTGTTCGATTTACGTTTTTGTTTAAAGTGAAATTCATTGGTACGGTTTCACTGCAAACAAACTATAATGTGATGTTACATAGCTGAAATTCTGACCAAAGGTACATGAGTCCAACTGCTTACTGTGTCATGTCTGTCTTCATGTCCAGGGACTCCCTGCAGCCAATCCGCACCATGGCGTGTGACTACGCCCTTGCCTCCATGTTTGCCCCTGGTGATAGACATGCGATCATTGGCACCAAGGTGAGTCGAGTCATTCATTGTCCCCTGGCTAGCTTAACCTGGAGATGATCATAACTCCCATTGACATTCGGGGCTCAGTTTGCCTTTTTTTATAGTCTTGGTAGATATTTATTAAACAGAACCTTAAAGGTCACATGCAACCAAAAATCAAACATAATTAAAACACTATCACTTCTTCATGACATATAATATCCGCCTGTAATCATTTTGTTTCCAGAGCATAACTCAAGTGTAAAAATGCGCCTTTCCATATTTTCAACAAAACTTGGTAGATATATCAAACAGATCCTGACAAGGTGGTGCCTTTTGCTATTTGCAGAGTTTTTTGTCATTTTTATTTTTGTAGCAGACAGGCAGGCAGGCAGACACCGGTTTCCATGGAACACGATTTGGACTTAGTCCCAAAGGGACTCGGTAAGGGTGGGGCTTCGTTTCATATAAAAGCTCTCGCCTCGTGAGACATATGAAAATAGCTCAAGAACCGTATTCACCAGAATATTTTTTCAACAAAACTTGGTGAAGTTATATCAAACAGAACCTTGAATTTGCATTTTGATGATTTGGTTCCATACCTAAAGGTATTTGCTACTTGCAGAGTGGTTTTGGCATTTTTATTTTTTTTTCCGGTTTCCATGGAAACGATTTCGGTGACATCTTTGATGATTTGGACAGTTAGATTGTCTTCCAGTCCCAAAAGGGAGGGGTGGGCTTGGTATTCTTCTGAAGAGCACAACTCAGGCCTTTGCTGATTTTTCACAATTTTAAAAGCGTTCAGCTTATCTTTTAACAGAACTTGGCAGAATCCCAGAAATGAGAACTTTTTCCTACAGGCCTCTCTTGTCTTTGCCCTCTCTCCTTATAGGATGTGTGGTGAAAAGCTTCATGAGAGAATCCCTAGTCCCAGGGGAAAGGCGTGCAACATCATGAGTCCCCTGTCTACCCAATTTTACTTGACTACCTCCAGAGTGATCATTCTCTTGGCTTGGAGCCAATGACAGTTATATGTAACTGGCCTTTAGGACATGCTTGAGTGATCAGTTTGTTCTTTTGAATTTGTTGAGGCTGTGGGGATATATCGGTCTCTGATGATTCTTGTTTCAAATTAGGAAACAAAAGTTTGACACATTGATGTAATTGATACAAAACTAGGCATAACGTTTGAACTTTGATGAACGCATGTCTCTCCTTCACTACAGAGTGGGAGGCTGCAGATATTTGATGTGTCATCGGGATCCTTGCTGGAAAACATAGATGCTCACTCTGGTCCCCTGTGGTCCATCTCCATGGCCCCGGATAAGGTGAGACTTGCCGACTGGCACAACATGTTGGTTCTACCTGTATCGATATTGTGATACTTGGTGATGATGTGTAATGTTTTGAAACATTTAATGTTCACCATTCTTTGTGAATTTGCTCTTGAGAGACCTGGCTGAGAAGTCATATTGATCAACCATTCTTATGAGCATTTTTATGTCAATTATGTCCATTAGTACCCCAAGGAGGACTCTCTTCAAAGAATCAGCAACCTCTACAGGTTGGGACCAGTGAAGGTGCAGGTTGGAATATTGATCTTCAGTAACCTGTGCTTCTCATAAGAGGCAACTAACGGGTTTGGGTGGTCAGGCTCGCTGACTTGGTTGACACATGTCATCGGTTCCCAATGGCGCAGATCGATGCTCATGCTGTTGATCACTTGATTGTCTGGTCTAGACTTGATCATTTACAGACCGCCCCCGTATAGCTGGAATATTGCTGCGTAAAATTAAACTCACTCACTCACTCACTCACTCACTCACTCACTTTACAGGTTGGTGCAAGTTTTTGTTGGAATTGCTGGTTAATATTTCAAGAAAGCATTTGTGTTGATTGTGTAGTCGGTGTGTATTGTGTGATCTGGAGCTGATCATGGCGGTTGTTGCGATTCCTGGTGTCTGTGTGACATTGAATCCCTCATGGATTTTGTCATGAAATCCACCTGGTAGGTTCTTGATTTATGAGAGGTAAGTCAGTCATGCAGGTTGTCTGGTTCTGGGAGCATATCGTATCCTGATTGTGTTGATTGTTGCTCATAAATATCAAAGTCTGGGTTGTCTCACCTCACTCACTCACTCACTCACTCTTGCTCCAATCTACAGAGAGGCATAATGAGTGGCAGCGCGCTGATCACAACGTCAAATTCTGGAACTTCGAGCTCATTACGGACGAAGATTCAACAAGGTAACAATTCAATTGAATATGTAATTGCTAGTCATAGTTTTGTACAGGTTATATCGTGTAATCTGAAGCTTCTAGCTCATTGAAAATGTATGCCAAGTTAGTGGCGATCCAGTTAAGGTTAAATTGCTAACTTTAAATCTGCGAGGAAAACGGAATTCTATAAGTTGCTGTGCATTTCAAGTTGAAGGATATTTTTTCAGATTCAGAATATATGTTATCCAGAGTTCTAACCCCGCTCCAATTCTGAAACCAGGGTTTGACACAAAGGCTGGCATGTTAGATGGATGGTAGTGAAATACAGGCAATCGTAGCCATCGCTTTTAAGTTTCTACATCACCTGAAGGCTAGTAGAGGAAATAGGGACCAGACAATGACCTTGAAATCTGTGGTTTAGAAATGAGAGGTTAAAAAGCAAATTTATCCACCATGTTCAGTAATGTATTCTATGCTTTACTGGAAAGTTTGATAAGGGTAATAGTAAGGACATTTGTAATGCACTGAATTTCGCACCACCGAGGGACACGCTCAAAGCGGTAATATACAATCTGATCGTTATTACCCCGGATAGTCCAAGCTGCTTGTGAGGCGCTAGAAGTTTAATAGTCTCATGACATTCGTAACTACTCGTCCCTTTCCGTAAACAGAAAGAATACTTCGTACCCCTCTTGTAGCCATTTTATTGAATGTGGGTCTGTTTGAGCGCAAAAGCGCAGAGAGAAAGAATTAGTCTAGCCTCCAAACTATTTTCAAGGGCATGTAACTCTACTTTACTTGGAAAACAAACATGGCATTCACGCCAAGGAAATTTTTCCGAGTGAACAGTGAATACTTTCCTACGCCATAATGTTAATATATCTTGGTTATAAAAATTCAGGAAACCCAGGAGGACTATGCAATAATTAAAATATACTGGAAGTGTCAGGGAAAAGATTATGCAAGCCGAAATGAAAATTATTCCAACAAACTATTTTGACCCTATTTCTTCTCTACATTATTATGCACATTCTGATTGGCTGGGGAAATATTAGACCGGACATGGCTACGAGAGGGGTACGAGTCTTCTTTCTGGTTACGGAAAGGGACAAGTAGTTAGAAATGAGTCTGATTACTTATTTCACCGAGTACCCATGCTCTCATTCGGAGGTCCATTTACTGGTGGTCTTGTCTTGTGAACCAGACCAGGTTGTACCAGAGGTAATGTTTGGTAACATGGCTACCTTTTAATGCCTGGGAGAGAAACTGCAGCTTTTGCTTCGTGACGTAGGCCGACCTGGCTTACTGTTACCATAGGGCTGGAGACATGTAATGTGTTGCTGGGATACTGGATACACAAGATTGCTGCTGAGAATGCATTGAAAGTGGCTTGAGTTTATTCCTATGGTCACTGTGGTATTGTTTGGTACTCATGCACTTCATCAAGGTAACTATGGGGTTAAAATGTTTTCTGTTACCACTGAAGACCCGGTTTTTATTCCCCACACTGGTACATGGTGAGGCCCATTTCTGGTGTTCTCCACCCAGATATTGCAGGAATAGTCCTCAGACTCTGACCCAGATTATAAGCAGGTACTAAGTTAGTTCTATATAGACAAAAATATTGAGGAAGATGTTCATGTATATGCCATCCACTACAAATGTATTGGGGTTTTTTCGCCAGCAAACGTCTGACTCTGGACCACAAGAAGACACTGAAGATGGATGAGGATGTGCTGTGTGTCAAGTACAGGTGAGTTGTCGGCCATGAATTGGTTTGATGCATGGTTTTACGGGTTATTATGTCTTAATAATATTTTTATATATTTTATTTCATAATTAAACTATGACCAGCAGGATTAGAACAAGCCCCCAGCATCCTATGTTGATGTAAAGAGGGAATGTGTATTGGGTGGTCAGGCTCGGTGACTTGATTATGAGTTGTACCCAGAATGCATGTTCCGTTGCTTGTTGTTTATCAAGATAGCCTGATCCATGATGCTGCAATATTACTCAGTGCTGCTATTGTAACTTGTTCAGCAGAGTTGAGGCCATACCTGCCAGGATGACTAACAGGCCGCCATATAGCTGAAATATTGCCGAGTGCAGCGTAAAACTAAACTCACTTGCTCACTAACAGGATCGGGTGGTCAGGCTCACTGACTTGGTTGACACCAGTGTTTAAAACTCCCAAAATTCCAAGCCAAACAGCCTGACTGGTAACTTTAAAAAATAACCAGTCCAGATACAAACTTGCCTGTCCGGTTTTCAACAATAAACTGAAATTACACGTGTTGTGATTGGTTATCGTAGCTTGAACTGTCCAATCGTAAGTAGTTCAATATAATTTTCATGATACCCTTAACACCTTGAACTGACGACAAGAGAACCTGTCTGATAATATGAAATATTTACTGTTAGGGGTAAAAATATCTACCAGATCACCGGACAGGCTACTTTTGAAATTTGACCGTCCGAGATAAAAATAAAACGTTCCGGACGGTCGGAAGGCGGAATTTTAAACGCTGTTGACATATGTCATCATTTCCTAATTGCGCAGATCAATACTCATGCTGCTGATCACTGGATTGTCTGGTCCAGACTCGAATATTTACAGACCGCGGCCATATACCTGGAATATTGCTGAGTGTGGCATTAAATAAACGTACATACTAGTATGCAGTGGTATAAACGCAAGTACCCGACTTCCCCAAAAATGATCTTAGGGCTGGGAGCACCTTTCATCGTTGGTTTCTACAGAGCAGGACAGCGTCAAACCACCATAATAGAACAACTCAAATACTGTCCAAAGCAGCATGGTCCCTTGTTCCGTCTCCAGCAGACTAGCTGAAAATGCTTCTATACTGTCAAGGGTGGTAGGTTAGTCAAGTGGTTAAAGTGTTCACTCGCCATGCCGAAGAACCAGGTTCGATTCCCCACATGGGCACAATGTGTGAAGTCCATTTCTGGTGTCCCCTGCCGTACTATTGCTGTGGCAGAATAAACATACTCACTCACTTCTGTGCTTTGGAAGAAAATATTGCTATTGATCAGTTGTGGAAGTTGATCCAGACTGTTGAGTACAGAGGCAGCCACTCCATGCTGCTGATGAAATGAAAGTCTGGGATAGAAACATCAGAACTGAGATGCCACCACACTGCAGACTGGTAGTGGGGTGTTCTCGGTGCTGGGACATTGTTGCTAAACCCCACCAGACAGAGATCAGTGGAAGATGGTTGTGTTAATCAGTGTCTGTCTGTTCCAGTCCTGACCAGAAGTTAGTTGCTGCCTCATTGATGGACAACACAGTGAAGGTTTTCTTTTCCGACACACTCAAGGTGGGCTGACCTGAATGTCTGATTTATTTATTTATTTATTTATTTATTATTATTTTATATATATATATATATCAGATTTCTTCATGCGCCTTTTCCACACGTCAGCAGATATGCTCAAGGCGCAACAAGGCGTAACAAGGCAACAATGACAGATTAAAAGAGTCTCCCACATTTATACAGCAATATGTACCCGTCCAAATAGAGTTCCTAATAATACATTGAAAACAGGTATGTTTTGAGTCCTGACTTGAATGTGGCAATACTATCAGAAACTTTGAGATTGTATGGTTTGAGATTGTATGGGAGTGATTTCCACAAGGTTTGGCACAAACAGAAGCTCTTGATTGGATGATCAAAGGCAGCGTTTGTTTGAGTAAGGAGTAAGCAGGTCAGAGAGATATGGGGGAGCAAGTCCGTGACGGGCCATGTAGGTCAAGTAGAGGATTTTGTAATCGATTCTTGCCTTGATGGGGAGCCAGTGCAACTGTTTAAGAACAGGTGTGATGTGGCCATGTTTGGGAATCCGACTGATAATACATGCGGCCGTGTTCTGCACCTTCTGTAACTTATCCAATAGCCTCTGCCTGATCCCAAACAACAAGCTGTTGCAGTAGTCGAGCCTTGAAATCACAAGCGCTTTTTGTTGCTATCTGTTGATTAACATACCATCTTTTCATTGGTGGCCACATGAAACAGGAGAGCTTCAGGTTTAGTTGGAATTTAACTGCCCTCAGTGATTAGCCTTTTGTTATCTGTGAAAAAAATCATTGACATGGCTTTTTAAAACCTTTTGGAGACATTAATTAAAACAATACATTGCTTAAACTTTTCTTATTGGGCTGTCATAAACAAACTCTGTTCAAACATAAAGGGGGCGGTTAGCCTAGTGGTTAAAGCGTTTGCTCATCACACCGAAGACCTGGGTTCATTTCCCCAGATTGGTACAATGTGTGAAGCCCATTTCTGGTGTCCCCTGCCATGATATTGCTTAAAGCGGCATAAAACCATACTCACTCACTCGCACATAAAGTGTTGAGGTAATTAATTGTACACAACTGATGCAAAGTATATACAACTGTGTTTTTATTTATAACACTATACATTTAACCAATGCATTTATCTGTGACATAAGGTTATGCCATAAGCACATGTATATCATACTCCATGACGTGTATTCAAATTACATAATGTGGTCTTGAAGTTGGAGCACAGTCCTTAACCCTACAAACACGGTATCTGTGACATCTGCACTGTTTCAGTTCTTCCTGTCGATGTATGGTCACAAGCTCCCTGTGTTGTGTATGGACATATCATCCGACAGCACGTTGCTGGTGACAGGATCCGCTGACAGGAACGTCAAGATCTGGGGGATGGACTTTGGGGACTGTCACCGGTCTATATTTGCCCATGATGACAGGTGAGTACATCATGTCTGATGGTTCCATGTTCAACATGTATATGACGACGTAGTGTTCTTGATAAACCAGTGAAGCGTTACAGTCATAAATCAGTGATGAGTTATGATCGTTGGTCGGGTTGTTGTTTAACGCTGTGGACCAGACAATCCAGTGATGGACATCATGAATAGCGATCTACGCAATTGACGTGTGTCAACCCTGTCAGTGAGTCTGAACACCCGATCCTGTTAGTCTCCTCTTACGACAAGCATGGGTTGCTAAAGACCAAATCTAAGCCAGATCTTCAAAGATCTGAAGAGTTATGAGAGTATTTAAGTAGAATGTTTGATGTCAGCTGGGCTATCCAGATGAGGATTCTACTAGACTCGACTTTGGTCCACAATGATTCTAATATGGTGGACAATTGCTTTTTATCCCCCACAACACGTTTTGCAGGGAGTATTAAAATGCACTCAGTCAGTGCGTCCATGCACATTTGTCTTTTCTGGAGCAGAACTTTTAAACCGTTCAATATTTCTTCACCAAACTTGGCACATAGGTCTGGTGGTGAACTGGTGCCTTTTGGTAGTTTTGGATTTATAAATAAAATATTTTTTGCGTGTCCATGGCAACAAGTTTTATTTTGACTGAAATTGGTGGTTGTGCTCTTTTCCGGAGCAGAGCTTTAAAACCGATCACTATTTCTTCTCCAGACTTTCCACATAGATAGGTGTGGTGGGGTACTGGTGCCTTTTGATTGTTTTGGAATTCTGAATAAAATATTTTTTGTTTCCATGGCAACAAGTTTGACTTAGACTGAAATTTGTGGTTGTGCTCTTTTCCGGAGCAGAACTCTAAAACCGTTCACCATTTCTTCACCAAACTTGGCACATAGATCGGTCTGGTGGTGTACTGGTGCCTTTTGGTAGTTTTGGATTTCTGAATAAAATATCTTTGCATTTCCATGCCAACAAGTTTGACTTAAACTGAAACTGGTGGTAGTGCTCCTTCCTTTTAAAGCCTTTCAATACTCTCCTTCCACTTTTCTATATACACACCAAAACATTTGACATAATCATAACTCGTAGACATATTCATGAAGAGTATTTTGCCATTGCGGGGGGATATTGATGACTTTGTCTTCTTGTTCTAATGAACAAAGTACCCGTGAAGATCTGAGTTAGAATTGATCTTCAGTAACCCATGCTTGTCGTAAGAGGTAACTAACTGGATCGGGTGGTCAGGCTAGCTGACTTAGTTGACACATGTCAATGTATCCAATTTGTGTAGTACGATGCTCATGATGTTGATCACTGGATTGTCTGGTCCAGACTAGGTTATTTACAGACTGCTGCAATATAGCTGGAATATTGCTGAGTGTAGCGTTAAACAACAAACAGTCACTCAATCAAATGAACAAAAGCTTCAGCCTTTAATCTGAATCATATTTTGGCCACATTCACAGGTAATAATCATCATGGCATCAGATCATGTGAACTGAACAATTGTGTACAGCTGACAGATCTTGTACCACCGACTGTGGATGTGATTAACATGTAGAATCATGTTTATATATGGAGGTTAGAAGGGCCAAACATGCATTGCCATACCTCTTTAGTGGTTTAACTCAACACTGTTAAGTATACAAATCTTGATGAATTGTAAAAGATATTATGAAAAACCAGGTCCATGGACTAGCAGTCATGTTGTGTGTCCATTAAACAACCTGGGACAGAAACTGCAGCTTTTGCTTCGTGAGGTAGGACGACCTAACACCAGACATGTAATGTATTGGTAGGATACAGGATACACAAAACAAAGGGAAACTTTCTGATAAAATTGGCTAAGTGATGTGAGAATTAATGGGAACATTATCACCAAAAGTATTTGGTAAAGAAAGAATAATACTGATTAGAACAGCTCTTTGAACCTCACTTTAATTTGTAATTCCTTGATGCTGCCTCATGAACATGATGTGCAGTAGAATATGGGGGACCCGCAGTGTGTAGGAACATGTGTGTTCATTTACTTAGTTCTGAACTGACCTACATGTATTTACTATTCAGCCCTGCACACGTTATTTCACCCAATTGCATAGATTGATACACATGCTGTTGAACACTGGATTGTCTGGTACAGACTCGATTATTTATAGACTACTGTCATGTAACAGAAATATTGCTGAATATAGTGTTAAACAATAATGAAATATGTTATGTCGCCCTGATGTATGTATTTTGAGGTACCGTTGCCATAGCAACTAACGGATAATAATTCTGTAATCGTCAGGAAACCCAGGCATCTGTACTGACATCTGTGTCCATTGCTGGCACAGGTGCAATAAAAACCTGGAACAGAAAACCTGGCCTTTGATGATGTGTAAGAGCTTTACTGGCCACTTAATGTCCGAGGTCAGAGACAGTCATGTTTCATTGGGTATATATCGATAATGAATTGGTTTGCATACATTTCAAATGAATTGTGTTCTGTCATTTACTTCTAATTTATTCATATTTGTGCTTGTGACACCATTATATGACATTACCTATGAAGCTGCTTAGAGGATTTGGAAGCAGGAAGCAGAGACATTTTAATAATTATGTCCAGATTCATCAGGTCATTATGGTTGATTTTACTAGGTATGTAGAACCTCTGCTATCCATTTAAAAAATTACCTTTCAAGTCTGTGCCGACTCACTTGTAGATTCATAGTCTTACCACATGCCCAATTGTTTGATTGTGAACACTTGAAGGGCATAATACAAGTTGTATTTCACATGTCGGTTGGACATTTCATAGAAGTGACTGAATTTTAGATCTGCATTATATTTAAGCTAGGTCCATTGATGACTATTCTAAGTTAGGAAACAGGAGGAACAATATTGATAATCTTCAGGATACAGTTGTATTTGACTTTTTGGTTATGTTACGTTCTCAGTTGTGATTTGTACTAAATTTGGATGATGTACTAAGTGATCTTAGAGCTAACATTGACTTATGACAGTCATAGAGCTAACATTGACTTATGACAATCATAGCATGAAGGTTGCTTTGTACAACAGCACCCTGGTCGATTTGCTAGTGATGACAATATTCTAAGGCAGGAATCATTAACTAACTGAATGATAGTGACAATTTACTGGATCAATGAGAAACCAGGTCCATGGACTAGCGGTCGTGTTGTGTGTCGACATGGCTGCATTAAATACCTGGGAGAGAAACTGCAGCTTTTGCTTCGTGACGTAGGCCGACCTGGCTTACTGTTACCATAGGGCTGGAGACACTGGTTATGTCAGGTAGTTTCTATAACTATATAGTTTATAAGGTGTCAGCATTAATGTTGACCAATACGGACCTAGAAATGACCAAATGAAACTCATGACCCCAGCTCCTCATCCCCACAACGGTAATGTTATTCATATGGGTTTTGAAACTGAACTTGAGATCTTGGTGGTGGTGTACTGGTGCCTTTGTGTCTGAAGGATCATTGTTTGGATGGTCCAGAATCTTAAGCAAACTCTAAAACCTTTACTTCCTAGAGATAGATCTGGTGGTGTACTGGTGCCTTTGAAGTTCAGAGTCAGCATGCCAGTATATAGTATTAAATACTTCAACATGCATGTAGTAATATTGCTGGGGAATGTATTCTGATTTTGCAGATCATACTTGTCAAGATGGATCTATGCTTTATGCAGCAACAAAGTGTTATAGTCTCTGGGTGTGATTTTGCAGCATACTTGTCAAGTGGTTAAAGGCAGTACTCAGCAATATTCCAGCAGCAATATTCCAGCTATGGGCCGGTCTGTAAATGATCAAGTCTGGAACAGACAATCCAGTGATCAACATCATGATCTACACAATATGGATATGATGATATATGCCAACCAAGTCAGCAAGCCTGACAACCTCGATCCCGTTAGTCGCCTCTGTCCATTACTGGCACAGGTGCAATAAAACCTGGAACAGCAAGCATGGGTTACTGAAGACCACTTCTAATGTTATTGTCAGGAAACCCAGGCATCTGTACTGACATCTGTGTCCATTACTGGCACAGGTGCAATAAAAACCTGGAACAGCAAACCTGGCCTTTGATGATGTGTAAGAGCTTTACTGGCCACTTAATGTCCGAGGTCAGAGACAGTCATGTTTCATTGGGTATATATCGATAATGAATTGGTTTGCATACATTTCAAATGAATTGTGTTCTGTCATTTACTTCTAATTTATTCATATTTGTGCTTGTGACACCATTATATGACATTACCTATGAAGCTGCTTAGAGGATTTGGAAGCAGGAAGCAGAGACATTTTTAATAATTATGTGCAGATTCATCAGGTCATTATGGTTGATTTTACTAGGTATGTAGAACCTCTGCTATCCATTTAAAAAATTACCTTTGAAGTCTGTGCCGACTCACTTGTAGATTCATAGTCTTACCACATGCCCAATTGTTTGATTGTGAACACTTGAAGGGCATAATACAAGTTGTATTTCACATGTCGGTTGGACATTTCATAGAAGTGACTGAATTTTAGATCTGCATTATATTTAAGCTAGGTCCATTGATGACTATTCTAAGTTAGAAAACAGCAGGAACAATATTGATAATGTTCAGGATACAGTTGTATTTGACTTGTTGGTTATGTTACGTTCTCAGTTGTGATTTGTACTAAATTTGGATGATGTACTAAGTGATCTTTGTGCTAACATTGACTTATGACAGTCATAGCATGAAGATTGCTTTATACAACAGCACCCTGGTGGATTTACTAGTGATGACAATATTCTAAGGCAGGAATCATTAACTAACTGAATAATAGTGACGATTTACTGAATACATGAGAAACCAGGTCCATGGACTAGCGGTCATGTTGTGTGTCGACATGGCTGCATTAAATACCTGGGACAGAAACTGCAGCTTTTGCTTCGTGACGTAGGCCGACCTGGCTTACTGTTACCATAGGGCTGGAGACACTGGTTATGTCAGGTAGTTTCTATAACTATATAGTTTATAAGGTGTCAGCATTAATGTTGACCAATACGGACCTAGAAATGACCAAATGAAACTCATGACCCCAGTTCCTCATTGTTAATGTTATTCATATGGGTTTTGAAACTGAATGAGATCTTACGCCTTTGTGTCAAGGATCATTGTTTGGATGGTCCAGAATCTTAAGCAAAAAGAAAAACAACCTTCACTTCCTGACTCGCCTTGAAGTTCAGAGTCAGCATGCCAGTATATAGTATTAAATACTTCAACATGCATGTAGTAATATGCGGAATGTATTCTGATTTTGCAGCATACTTGTCAAGTGGATCTATGCTTTATGCAGCAACAAAGTGTTATAGTCTCTGGGTGTGTGTGTTAAAGGCAGTACTCAGCAATATTCCAGCTATATGACGGCGGTCTGTAAATGATCAAGTCTGGAACAGACAATCCAGTGATCAACATCATGATCTACACAATATGGATATGATGATATATGTCAACCAAGTCAGCAAGCCTGACAACCCGATCCCGTTAGTCGCCTCTACGACAAGCATGGGTTACTGAAGACCACTTCTAATGTTATTGTCAGGAAACCCAGGCATCTGTACTGACATCTGTGTCCATTATTGACACAGGTGCAATAAAAACCTGGAACAGCAAACCTGGCCTTTGATGATGTGAAGGAGTTTTTGTAGCTTCCTTATCTCACAGGCTTAGAGACATTGGTAATATATATATAGGTGTGTGGATTATTTATAATTGTTAACTAATAGCTCTTTGAATTTGAGGTATTGGTTGCTGTTCAGTGGATAGTGGGTAGCCCAGAGAAGTGTTCACTCGCCAAGCCGAATGCCCGGGATCAATTCCCCAAATGGGTTACAATATGTGAAGCCAATTTCTGGTGTCCCCCACCATGATATTGATGGAATATTGCTAAAGGCAGCCTAAAACTATACTCAATCATTGATTGTAGTACAAGATTAATTTACTGCAAGTCAAACCTCCCCTTCCCGCTGTGTTATTCTCTGTCCAGTGATGACATCATCCTTGCGCACTCAGTGCTGGCGATGTTCCTGTTAACGTTGTTAGTGTGCCGACAACCTAGGGACCCGTGTCTGTCATGTAGATGGAGGCGGGGCTGAGGACAGCTTTGAATTCACATGAGAATATTTAGAAGAAGCCTCCCCCACTGTGATAATGCTGGAATGTTCCAAAATATAATAAATTAAACAAGCCTTCTATTTCATGTTTTTGTCCCACGTAAATTATTTTTACTTGACCCAAAAGGTGTTGAACATTGATGAATTGTACAAGATATTATGAAAACCAGGTCCATGGACTAGTGGTCTTGTGTATCATCATGGCTGACTTAAACAACCTGGGACAGAAACTGCAGCTTTTGCTTCGTGACATAGGCCGACCTGGCTTACTGTTACCATAGGGCTGGAGACATGTAATGTGTTGCTAGGATACAGGATACACAAAAGAAGGGGAAACTCTTCAGATGAAATTGGGGAAGTGATGTGGGAATTAATGAAAACACATTTAGACTGATCTGGCTTACTGTTACCATAGGGCTAGAGACACGGAACAGGGTTCGGTCTTACTTGGGGATTTAGAAGGTGCATGAATTAGGAACATTATGGTCATGTTTGTTGTTCAATGCCACACTCAGCAATATTCCATTATATAACAGCTGTCAGTAAATAATCGAGTCTTGACCAGGCAATCCAGTGATCAACAGAATGAGCATCAATCTATGCAATTGGAATATGACGACATGGGTCAAGCAACGTAGAGTGCCTGAGCAGTCGATCCTGTTAGTTGCCTCTTCGACAAGTATGGGTTGCTGAAGACCAGTTCTAACATGGGTATTCCCGGATCGTTTGTTGAATGTTAACTATTGCCCAGTCACCCCCAGGTATCAGTACTGACATCTGTGGTCCCGGTGACCTGGGTGTAATAAACGCCTGGGATAACAACAGCTGCATCTTGTCACGTGCTAGCTTCACTATTGAAGTGTCGGCTGGAACAAGAGGCTAGGACATGAGACCCTTTATCATTAGCATGTGGTGCACATGGTGTCTGGGTCAAATTGAAAAATAAATGTAAAATTATAAAAACATGCTTTAAATAAGTGATTTCTGACAGGATAAACCCAACAAAAATGTGATAAAGATTTTGGAGTAGTGCCAAGTCTGAGGGTGTAATGATGGAACTACTGTGATATTCTTTTTCTTTTTATCCCCCGCAACGCGTTTTGGGGGTGGGGGTGGGTGGGTATTAAAATGCACTCCGTCCATGCGTGCCACCGTGCACATTTGTCTTTTCCGGAGCAGAACTTTTAAACCGTTCAATATTTCTTTACCAAACTTGGCACATACATATATCTGGTGGTGTACTGGTGCCTTTTGGTAGTTTTGGAATTCTGAATGAAATATTTTGGCATTTCCATAGCAACAACGTTGACTTTGACTGAAATTGAGTTGGTGCTCTTTTCCGGAGCAGAACTTTAAAACCGTTCAATATTTCTTTACCAAACTTCTCACATAGATAGGTCTGGTAATGAACTGGTGCCTTTTGGTAGTTTTGGATTTCTGATTATAATATTTTTTGCGTTTCCATGGCAACAAAGTTGACTTTGAGTGAAATTGGTGATGGTGGTCTTTTTCTGGAGCAGAACTTGAAAACCATTCAATATTTCTTTACCAAACTTCTCACATAGATAGATCTGGTGATGAACTGGTGCCTTTTAGTAGTTTTGATTTCTGATAATAATATTTTTTGTGTTTCCATGCCAACAAGTTTGACTTCAACTGAATGTTGTGGTAGTGCTCCTTTCTGGAGCAGAACTTAAAAACCTTTCAATACTCTCCTTCCACTTTGCCATATACACACCAAAATATGTGACATAACCATAACCAGTAGACTTATTCATGAAGAGTATTTTGTCATTGCGGGGGATATTCATGACTTTGCCTTCTTGTTTTATTTCTTTCAATTCTGTTATTGCAGTAAGTTTGATAATGCGGACAGAACATATTTTGTAAGTTTATTTCACATGAACACTTAGGATGGCGGGCTAGGCAGGTGGTTAAAGCTTTTGCTCGTCAGGCCCAAGACACAGGTTTGATTCCCCACATGGGGACAATGTGTGAAGCCCATTTTTGGTGTCCCCCCGCCCTGATATTGCTGGACTATTGCTAAAAGCGGCGTAAAAATCATACTCACTCGCTCACTCACATCCTATGTTGGTAGATGGATATTCTTAGATGAAAAAAGCTGTTATCAATCATGTATTGCATGAGGTATCAGATGCCATCATTCTGATGTCATTTACCAGTGGTCTGTCAATATGGCTGCTGTCACACGATGAATGAGACCAGGTTGTACCAGTGGTAATGTTACTGTAACATGGCTGCCATTTAATACCTGGGAGAGAAACTGCAGCTTTTGCTTCGTGGCGTAGGCCGACCTGGCTTACTGTTACCATAGGGCTGGAGACACTGGCTAGGTCAAGTAGATGCTTTGTCTATATAGCTTGTCAGGCTTCAACATCAATATTAACCCAGAAATGCCAACCACTCCGATTTTGGCGGAGTTACTCCGAGTTTCAAATACAAAATCTGCTCTCCGATTTCTCTTTAAAAAACTCTTTAAGCACATAGCACCATGTTTCAGCATCATGTGCATACAGTTCGTGCCCCGGACTCACCTGTTCTTCACTGGAGGCAAGGACAGGAAGCTCAAACAGTGGGATGCTGACAACTTCGAACTCGTCTCGACACTCCAGGTAGGAAGTTGTTCTGCTCCACGATCGAGACCAGCACATTTAAGGGTTACTTCTTTTCAACAATTTTCACTTGTCAGAGGGGTAGACAAAGCACATTATCTAAACGACTGTCAGACTTCCATTTTTGTTGAAACCTTTGCAGCTGAGTGGGTTACATTGCTGACTTTGTGTGTGTGCATGTTGGTGCCTTACTCTGAGAGTGTGGGTTCGAATCCTGGATGGGACTCAACTCTAAAAAGTACTAGAATCAGTTCTTTTCTGTTTACTTGGAAAGCATAATTTGATATTAATTCTAAATGTAGCATCATTACATTTTACCACTTTCTAAATGTTATTGCGTTTTATAATTGTTTTACCCAAAAGTACTAGAATCTTTACTTTACTGAGAAAGAGTAATAGGCCATAGGGCCATAGAAATATGCCAAAGGTTACTTTTGACTCGTTTCTGATAGGCATTGGGTATTCATTCTTCTTGATGGGTAGCTTATAATAAGTAATAGTGTTTCTAAGATGGGGTCCTGTTTGCAGGGTCACCATGGAGAGGTGTTCAGTCTCAGTATCAGCTCCAGTGCCAACTTCGAGGTGTCCGGTTCCCAGGACCGGTCCCTCCGTCTGTGGGAGAAGACCCAGGAGGTGTTGGTGCTGGAGGATGAGCGAGAGATGGTAAGTATCCACCAGAAGATTGACAGTATTCATTGAATGGGGACCACTTTAATTTGGTTGCTCAAATTTCAACACTGTTGCAACGATCGATATTTTCAGTCTTGCACTCATGGCAGGTGTCAGAAACTTTATAAGATCTGTTATATGTCCTCTGTTATATGTTATGCCCTGGGAGAAGCTTGTAGGCATAACATGAGTATTTTAGTGCGAACCCAACCAACTTGTCAATGTAGACTCCTTCAACTTGACAAGGAGTCCTAGGCAGCGTAATACCTTGTACCTCGCTCTTGCTGTGAAGATAATTTTGGCAATCTATCACATGGATGATTAAATGTCATCAGACCCTAAAAGAATTTCTATTGAAGAAAAACACCCAACCAGAAAGAAGTCCCCTAATGCTGTTGAAGGGGCATATATTTATTATGCGTACATTGCATTTTTGTGTTCCAGGAACGTGAGCAGGAGTTTGAGGAGGCGATATCCAATGAAATGGAAGCAGTGGTGAGTACAGTCTGAGACAGTTTGATAAGCAAGGTTGTCAACTGCACTGACTCTGTAGTGATCTATCTTGTCCATGTAAGAAGATAATGTTTTGTACAAAGTGACCTGTCATGGACTGTACCCCTGTGAAGTTGAGGGTTAGATTTGGCCTTCACAAGTCCATGCTTGTTCACAACGAATGGGAAAGGCACTTTCTGACTTGGTTCATTCATGTCCTGTAACCGAAATGTGAAGATACTGTTAATTACCAGATTGTTTGGTATGTATTTGATTATTTACAGACAGTCATTGTATAGTTGGAATATTGTTGAATATGGCATTAAATGAGTAACAGTCAATATATTGATCATGAGCTGGTATGTGTTCCAGGTACCAGGGGAGACAACTACTGAGGTCGCTCTCGCTGGGAAGAAAACAGCGGAAACTGTTAAAGCAGTGAGTGGCACACAGTGTTTATGTTTGCATAAAATCATCAAGTTATTACTCTCACAGAAAGGATCTGTAGTAGTTGACACTTCTGCAATCATGCCGACTCTTTCTGGTGACTAATCTAGTATAGTGACTACAAATAAACTGTTTATGCAGCAGTGAATGGGGCGGTGGGCTAGCCCTAATGATTAAAGCGTTTGGCTCGTCAGCGAGAAAGACCCGGTTTGAATCACCACATGGGTACAATGTGTGAAGCCATTTCGGTGTCCCCCGCCGTGATGTTGCTGGAATATTGCTAAAAGTGGCGTAAGAGCAAAACTCAGTCAGTCAGTCAGCAGTGAATGGGTACCTGGTGAGATAAGATGGTCTTGTGACTATTAACTTTCTACCACGTCGCCGACAGTTAGGGTAACTGGGGTAATATAATGTCTGCTATTTCATTATGATTTGCCCTTGATGCCACTGAGCCTCTTTGAGGTGGATATTAAGTACTCTACAAATGCATTTATATTATAGCCTTGTGACTGCAGTTTAACGTATGTCTGCGCAGGCCGAGCGGCTGATGGAGGCCATTGAGGTGTACAAGGAGGAGAGTGCCAACATACAGCTACACAAGGACGAGTGTCGGAAGACTGGGAAGGAGGTCAGACATTGGAGTGGAAACCTTAAGTAGAATCATGTATATGACTGATTCATTGAATATTTCACCCTATCGCTGAACAGAAGACAGATAAACTAATATGAAAGAACAATTTTTTCTAATTTGGGATAAGGTACCGGTATTCAGAAACATTGCATTGCATGATATACCATGATATACTGCTCAACAGATTATATCATGAATATACATTTGACATATTACAAGAATAGGTTCTGTTTGAACCAAGAAAAGATGAGAAATATCCCGATAACAAGTGGATTGGCATATATCGCTTTTTCACTCGTAGCTGGCTCCTCCCCAAGTGAACCCACTCATCATGGCATATGGAGTTACCTCCCCTACACGCTACCTGCTGGAGGTCATCAAGAGAATCAAGTCAAGGTTGGTACAAGGAAGGAATACATGATCTAACCATTTCAGCGTGATTGGGGGTCTGACAGCTGAAATTGTGGAAATTTATCACTACTATATGGTGTATGCAAATTTGAGGCAGTTGTACATATTTTTTTTAAAATCTATAAATTTAAGCATTATTTAGAGACTAATTGTTTATTGAGGGAATTATCATTTTAAATTATCAGTCCTTTATTACAGATAACAAACAATTTGAAAAATCTGTCATACTCAAGCGATGTTCAAGAAGCTAAAGACAGTTGTAGCATGAAGATTGTTTTGTACAACAACACCCTGGTCGATTTGCTAGTGATGACAATATTCTAAGGCAGGAATCATTAACTAACTGAATAGTAGTGACAATTTACTGGATCAATGAGAAACCAGGTCCATGGACTAGATGCGTCGTGGTTGTGTGTCGACATGGCTGCATTAAATACCTGGGAGAGAAACTGCAGCTTTTGCTTCATTGGCGAGGGCTGACCTGGCTTACTGTTACCATAGGGCTGGAGACACTGGTTATGTCAGGTAGTTGCTTTGGCTTGTCAGGCGTTAACATTAATATTAATCCATACAGATCAAGAAATGACAAAACAATAAGTTCTAACAATTGTTATTTGTTCACATTGGTCTCCAAAAAGTACCTATTTACAGGTGAAATACTCCGTCATGGACTAGATTTTAATTATAGGTTAACGTGGGAGGCTTGACTACTAACCCGGCGCTCGTGATAAGTCTGGCAGTACTGTAGGGGTGATACAGATGTAGGTATTTCCATCTGGGAGATTTCTCTAGGAATGTGTTACCTATGTTATCATTGATGTTGCAGTGAGCTGGAGGAGGCATTGTTGGTGTTGCCGTTCAACTATGTAATGGACCTGCTGAAGGTGCTGGACATCTTCCTCCAGGCGGATGGGAGCCTGAGCTCTCCTGTCGATGCCTTCTCTTCCTCCTCAGGTAGGAAGCATTTGGGTTGCGCAATAGACTGGTAGTGAAATGATTCCTAAATGTGTTGAGAATCCAAAAATGATTCCTGTAGTTATATGGGTGAATTAGGGAGACAAGGGTGTTTCACATGGAAGTGTTCATGATTGATTTAAGTCATGTTTCATTTCAGAGTGCACCATGGTCAGATTACCTCAAGCCAGACACTGCTTCCTGTTATAGACAGACTGAGATCAAGCACCCTCTCACAGGTTACACAGCTAAGGGTAAGCACTGTCTCACATATCACACGGTTCAGGGTAAGCATTCTCTCACTGGTCACACAGATCAGGGTAAGCACTCTCACATCCCAGGGTAAGCACTCTCACAGGTCACACAGCTAAGGGTAAGCACACTCTCACTTATCACACAGTTCAGGGTAAGAGTTCTCATGTGTCACACAGCTCAGGGTAAGCACTGTCACAGGTCACACAGCTCGGTGTAAGCATTCTCTCACTGGTCACACAGCTCAGGGTAATCACTCTCACAAGTCACACAGCTCAGGGTAAGCACTCTCACAAGTCACACAGCTCAGGGTAAGCACTTTCTCACAGGTCACTCTGCTCTAGGTAAGCACTCTCTCACAGCTCAGGGTAAGCACAGCCCAGGGTAAGCACTCTCACATCCCAGGGTAAGCACTCTCACAGCTCAGGGTAAGCATTCTCTCAGGTCACACAGCTCAGGGTAAGAACTCTCACAGGTCACACAGCTGTCTAATGGCTGGGTGTAAACTTTCTTTCATGGGTCACACAGATCAGACTCACACAATTGGCCACCAGACATACACAGCAAGGTATGTCTCCACCCCGACCTCTACACACCTTCAGACAACTCTAGACTCTGGTCAGTGTAAGCACACAAACTGCCATATCAGTATTAAACCTCGGTTTGTTTCAGGATCAGATCGGGTTCAACTTGGCTGGGCTTCAGTTCCTACAGAGTCAAATTGAGAGGTCAGACGAAGTCGTGTTCTTCAAGGATGCAACAGACAGACTTCGAGAGAAGAAAAGGAAGAAGAAAAAGAAAGTCATACTTGCAATCAAAACATGACATTGTATATTGTTGAAATAAATTGTTTTATTATGAAGAATAGACTGATCTGGCTTACTGTTACCATAGGGCTAGAGAAACGGAACAGGGTTCGGTCTTACTTGGGGATTTAGAAGGTGCATGAATTAGGAACATTATGGTCATGTTTGTTGTTCAATGCCACACTCAGCAATATTCCATTATATAACAGCTGTCAGTAAATAATCGAGTCTTGACCAGGCAATCCAGTGATCAACAGAATGAGCATCAATCTATGCAATTGGAATATGACGACATGGGTCAAGCAACGTAGAGTGCCTGAGCAGTCGATCCTGTTAGTTGCCTCTTCGACAAGTATGGGTTGCTGAAGACCAGTTCTAACATGGGTATTCCCCGGTCGTTTGTTGAATGTTAACTATTGCCCAGTCACCCCAGGTATAAGTACTGACATCTGTGGTCCCGGTGACCTGGGTGTAATAAACGCCTGGGATAACAACAGCTGCATCTTGTTCGTGCTAGCTTCACTATTGAAGTGTCGGCTGGAACAAGAGGCTAGGACATGAGACCCTTTATCATTAGCATGTGGTGCACATGGTGTCTGGGTCAAATTGAAAATAAATGTAAAATTATAAAAACATGCTTTAAATAAGTGATTTCTGACAGGATAAACCCAACAAAAATGTGATAAAGATTTTGGAGTAGTGCCAAGTCTGAGGGTGTAATGATGGAACTACTGTGATATTCTTTTTCTTTTTATCCCCCGCAACGCGTTTTGGGGGTGGGGGTGGGTGGGTATTAAAATGCACTCCGTCCATGCGTGCCACCGTGCACATTTGTCTTTTCCGGAGCAGAACTTTTAAACCGTTCAATATTTCTTTACCAAACTTGGCACATACATATATCTGGTGGTGTACTGGTGCCTTTTGGTAGTTTTGGAATTCTGAATGAAATATTTTTGGCATTTCCATGGCAACAACGTTGACTTTGACTGAAATTGGAGTTGGTGCTCTTTTCCGGAGCAGAACTTTAAAACCGTTCAATATTTCTTTACCAAACTTCTCACATAGATAGGTCTGGTAATGAACTGGTGCCTTTTGGTAGTTTTGGATTTCTGATTATAATATTTTTTGCGTTTCCATGGCAACAAAGTTGACTTTGAGTGAAATTGGTGATGGTGCTCTTTTTCTGGAGCAGAACTTGAAAACCGTTCAATATTTCTTTACCAAACTTCTCACATAGATAGATCTGGTGATGAACTGGTGCCTTTTAGTAGTTTTGATTTCTGATAATAATATTTTTTGTGTTTCCATGCCAACAAGTTTGACTTCAACTGAATGTTGTGGTAGTGCTCCTTTCTGGAGCAGAACTTAAAAACCTTTCAATACTCTCCTTCCACTTTGCCATATACACACCAAAATATGTGACATAACCATAACCAGTAGACTTATTCATGAAGAGTATTTTGTCATTCGGGGATATTCATGACTTTGTCTTCTTGTTTTATTTCTTTCAATTCTGTTATTGCAGTAAGTTTGATAATGCGGACAGAACATATTTTGTAAGTTTATTTCACATGAACACTTAGGATGGCAGGCTAGGCAGGTGGTTAAAGCTTTTGCTCGTCAGGCCCAAGACACAGGTTTGATTCCCCACATGGGGACAATGTGTGAAGCCCATTTTTGGTGTCCCCCCGCCCTGATATTGCTGGACTATTGCTAAAAGCGGCGTAAAAATCATACTCACTGGCTCACTCACATCCTATGTTGGTAGATGGATATTCTTAGATGAAAAAAGCTGTTATCAATCATGTATTGCATGAGGTATCAGATGCCATCATTCTGATGTCATTTACCAGTGGTCTGTCAATATGGCTGCTGTCACATGATGAATGAGACCAGGTTGTACCAGTGGTAATGTTACTGTAACATGGCTGCCATTTAATACCTGGGAGAGAAACTGCAGCTTTTGCTTCGTGGCGTAGGCCGACCTGGCTTACTGTTACCATAGGGCTGGAGACACTGGCTAGGTCAAGTAGATGCTTTGTCTATATAGCTTGTCAGGCTTCAACATCAATATTAACCCAGAAATGCCAACCACTCCGATTTTGGCGGAGTTACTCCGAGTTTCAAATACAAAATCTGCTCTCCGATTTCTCTTTAAAAAACTCTTTAAGCACATAGCACCATGTTTCAGCATCATGTGCATACAGTTCGTGCCCCGGACTCACCTGTTCTTCACTGGAGGCAAGGACAGGAAGCTCAAACAGTGGGATGCTGACAACTTCGAACTCGTCTCGACACTCCAGGTAGGAAGTTGTTCTGCTCCACGATCGAGACCAGCACATTTAAGGGTTACTTCTTTTCAACAAGTTTCACTTGTCAGAGGGGTAGACAAAGCACATTAACTAAAAGACTGTCAGAGTTCCATTTTTGTTAAAACCTTTGCAGCTGAGTGAGTTACATTGCTGACTTTGTGTGTGTGCATGTTGGTGCCTTACTCTGAGAGTGTGGGTTCGAATCCTGCATGGGACTCAACTCTAAAATGTACTAGAATCAGTTCTTTTCTGTTTACTTACATAATTTGATATTAATTCTAAATGTAGCATCGTTACATTTTATCACTTTCTAAATGGTATTGCGTTTTCATAATTGTTTTACCCAAAAGTACTAGAATCTTTACTTTACTGAGAAAGAGTAATAGGCCATAGGGCCATAGAAATATGCCAAAGGTTACTTTTGACTCGTTTCTGATAGGCATTGGGTATTCATTCTTCTTGATGGGTGGCTTATAATAAGCAATAGTGTTTCCAAGATAAGTTCCTGTTTGCAGGGTCACCATGGAGAGGTGTTCAGTCTCAGCATCAGCTCCAGTGCCAACTTCGTGGTGTCCGGTTCCCAGGACCGGTCCCTCCGTCTGTGGGAGAAGACCCAGGAGGTGTTGGTGCTGGAGGATGAGCGAGAGATGGTAAGTATCCACCAGAAGATTGACAGTATTCATTGAATGGGGACCACTTTAATTTGGTTGCTCAAATTTCAACACTGTTGCAACGATCGATATTTTCAGTCTTGCACTCATGGCAGGTGTCAGAAACTTTATAAGATCTGTTATATGTCCTCTGTTATATGTTATGCCCTGGGAGAAGCTTGTAGGCATAACATGAGTATTTTAGTGTGAACCCAACCAACTTGTCAATGTAGACTCCTTCAACTTGACAAGGAGTCCTAGGCAGCGTAATACCTTGTACCTCGCTCTTGCTGTGAAGATAATTTTGGCAATCTATCACATGGATGATTAAATGTCATCAGACCCTAAAAGAATTTCTATTGAAGAAAAACACCAAACAAGAATGAAGTCCCCTAATGCTGTTGAAGGGGCATATATTTATTATGTGTACATTGCATTTTTGTGTTCCAGGAACTTGAGCAGGAGTTTGAGGAGGCGATATCCAATGAAATGGAAGCAGTGGTGAGTACAGTCTGATACAGATTGATAAGCAAGATTGTCAACTGCACTGACTCTGTAGTGATCTATGTTGTAAAGGCCAGTCCATGTAAGAAGATAATGTTTTGTACAAAGTGACCTGTCATGGACTGTACCCCTGTTAAGTTGAGGATTAGATTTGGCCTTCACAAGTCCATGCTTGTTCACAACGAATGGGAAAGGCACTTTCTGACTTGGTTCATTCATGTCCTGTAACCGAAATGTGAAGATACTGTTAATTACCAGATTGTTTGGTATGTATTTGATTATTTACAGACAGTCATTGTATAGTTGGAATATTGTTGAATATGGCATTAAATGAGTAACAGTCAATATATTGATCATGAGCTGGTATGTGTTCCAGGTACCAGGGGAGACAACTACTGAGGTCGCTCTCGCTGGGAAGAAAACAGCGGAAACTGTTAAAGCAGTGAGTGGCACACAGTGTTTATGTTTGCATAAAATCATCAAGTTATTACTCTCACAGAAAGGATCTGTAGTAGTTGACACTTCTGCAATCATGCCGACTCTTTCTGGTGACTAATCTAGTATAGTGACTACAAATAAACTGTTTATGCAGCAGTGAATGGGGGCGGTGGGCTAGCCTAATGGTTAAAGCGTTGGCTCGTCACGCCGAAAGACCCGGGTTTGAATCACCACATGGGTACAATGTGTGAAGCCCATTTCCGGTGTCCCCCGCCGTGATGTTGCTGGAATATTGCTAAAAGTGGCGTAAAACCAAAACTCAGTCAGTCAGTCAGCAGTGAATGGGTACCTGGTGGGATAAGATGGTCTTGTGACTATTAACCTTCTACCACCTCGCTGACAGTTAGGGTAACTGGGGTAATATAATGTCTGCTATTTACGTATGATTTGCCCTTGATGCCACTGAGCCTCTTTGAGGTGGATATTAAGTACTCTACAAATGCATTATATTATAGCCTTGTGACTGCAGTTTAACGTATGTCTGCGCAGGCCGAGCGGCTGATGGAGGCCATTGAGGTGTACAAGGAGGAGAGTGCCAACATACAGCTACACAAGGACGAGTGTCGGAAGACTGGGAAGGAGGTCAGACATTGGAGTGGAAACCTTAAGTAGAATCATTTACATGACTGATTCATTGAATATTTCACCCTATCGCTGAACAGAAGACAGATAAACTAATATGAAAGAACAATTTTTTCTAATTTGGGATAAGGTATTCAGAAACATTGCATTGCATGATATACCATGATATACTGCTCAACAGATTATATCGTGAATATACACTTGACATATTACAAGAATAGGTACTGTTTGAACCAAGAAAAGATAAGAAATATCCCTTTAAAAAGTGGAGTGGTATATATCGCTTTTTCACTCATAGCTGGCTCCTCCCCAACTGAACCCACTCATCATGGCATATGGAGTTACCTCCCCTACACGCTACCTGCTGGAGGTCATCAAGAGAATCAAGTCCAGGTTGGTACAAGGAAGGAATACATGATCTAACCATTTCAGCGTGATTGGGGGTCTGACAGATGAAATTGTGGAAATTTATCACTACTATATGGTGTATGCAAATTTGAGGCAGTTGTACATATTTTTTAAAATCTATAAATTTAAGCATTATTTAGAGACTAATTGTTTATTGAGGGAATTATCATTTTAAATTATCAGTCCTTTATTACAGATAACAAACAATTTGAAAAAATCTGTCATACTTGCGATGTTCAAGAAGCTAAAGACAGTTGTAGCATGAAGATTGTTTTGTACAACAACACCCTGGTCGATTTGCTAGTGATGACAATATTCTAAGGCAGGAATCATTAACTAACTGAATAATAGTGACAATTTACTGGATCAATGAGAAACCAGGTCCATGGACTAGCGGTCGTGTTGTGTGTCGACATGGCTGCATTAAATACCTGGGACAGAAACTGCAGCTTTTGCTTCGTGACGTAGGCTGACCTGGCTTACTGTTACCATAGGGCTGGAGACACTGGTTATGTCAGGTAGTTGCTTTGGCTTGTCAGGCGTTAACATTAATATTAATCCATACAGATCAAGAAATGACAAAAACAATAAGTTCCTAACAATTGTTATTTGTTCACATTGCTCTCCAAAAGTACCTATTTACAGGTGAAATACTCCCGTCATGGACTAGATTTTAATTATAGGTTAACGTGAGTGGCTTGACTATAGCCGACGCTCTCGTATAAGTCTGGCAGTACTGTAGGGGTGATACAGATGTAGGTATTTCCATCTGGGAGATTTCTCTAAGGAATGTGTTACCTATGTTATCATTGATGTTGCAGTGAGCTGGAGGAGGCATTGTTGGTGTTGCCGTTCAACTATGTAATGGACCTGCTGAAGGTGCTGGACATCTTCCTCCAGGCCGGATGGGAGCCTGAGCTCTCCTGTCGATGCCTTCTCTTCCTCCTCAGGTAGGAAGCATTTGGGTTGCGCAATAGACTGGTAGTGAAATGATTCCTAAATGTGTTGAGAATCCAAAAATGATTCCTGTAGTTATATGGGTGAATTAGGGAGACAAGGGTGTTTCACATGGAAGTGTTCATGATTGATTTAAGTCATGTTTCATTTCAGAGTGCACCATGGTCAGATTACCTCAAGCCAGACACTGCTTCCTGTTATAGACAGACTGAGATCAAGCACCCTCTCACAGGTTACACAGCTAAGGGTAAGCACTGTCTCACATATCACATGGTTCAGGGTAAGCATTCTCTCACTGGTCACACAGATCAGGGTAAGCACTCACATCAGGGTAAGCATCCCAGGTCACACAGCTAAGGGTAAGCACACTCTCACTTATCACACAGTTCAGGGTAAGCATTCTCACAGGTCACACAGCTCAGGGTAAGAGTTCTCATGTGTCACACAGCTCAGGGTAAGAGTTCTCATGTGTCACACAGCTCAGGGTAAGCACTGTCACAGGTCACACAGCTCGGTGTAAGCATTCTCTCACTGGTCACACAGCTCAGGGTAATCACTCTCACAAGTCACACAGCTCAGGGTAAGCACTCTCACAAGTCACACAGCTCAGGGTAAGCACTCTCACAAGTCACACAGCTCAGGGTAAGCACTTTCTCACAGGTCACTCTGCTCTAGGTAAGCACTCTCTCACAGCTCAGGGTAAGCACTCTCTCACATATCATACAGCTCAGGGTAAGCACTCTCACAGGTCACACAGCTCAGGTAAGCACTCTCACATCCCAGGGTAAGCACTCTCACAGCTCAGGGTAAGCTTTCTCTCAGGTCACACAGCTCAGGGTAAGAACTCTCACAGGTCACACAGCTGTCTAATGGCTGGGTGTAAACTTTCTTTCATGGGTCACACAGATCAGACTCACACAATTGGCCACCAGACATACACAGCAAGGTATGTCTCCACCCCGACCTCTACACACCTTCAGACAACTCTAGACTCTGGTCAGTGTAAGCACACAAACTGCCATATCAGTATTAAACCTCGGTTTGTTTCAGGATCAGATCGGGTTCAACTTGGCTGGGCTTCAGTTCCTACAGAGTCAAATTGAGAGGTCAGACGAAGTCGTGTTCTTCAAGGATGCAACAGACAGACTTCGAGAGAAGAAAAGGAAGAAGAAAAAGAAAGTCATACTTGCGATCAAAACATGACATTGTATATTGTTGAAATAAATTGTTTTATTATGAAGAATAGAAAGTTATTTGTTGGGAAGGTATGGGCCCTGTTGCACAAAGCAATCTTAAGGTGACCGCAATGCCCATTCTGAAACAGACCGCCACCATATAGGTGGAATATTGCTGAGTGCGGCGTTAAACAGAAAAGCACTAAACATTCTTAAATATTGGCTTACAGTTGTCAAGACCACTTTGTGCAAGTGGGCAAAGAATGAATTAGGAGATAACATCATGTGTTGGCCAATTTCCGGATGTTATTGAGTATTTGAAGCACGGGAATTCATTTGGAACTGGCGTCATGGAACACATGATGTTTATCGACATTGTAAACACAAAAGTAAACCAAAAGGTCCACACACGTTTTTGTGTCTGCACTCATTGACATCGTGTATGGGTACAGCAGTGAAATGTCATCAACCGGCCGTTTCGGCTGTCTCCCATGGTAGCATCTGGAGCTGCTCATTTGTGACATCATTTGGACTTTACGTCACAATATGATTTGAATGACGTCATTACTGCTGACGACGTAACAATACAATGGCGTGAGCGATGTTTGTATGTATTAATATGCAGCGAATTTCCGGGAATCGAATACCATTTGATCACGTTTTTCAACCAATCAGATTAAAGAACACAGTGACTTTTGGTTTACAATTCCAATATAAGGTGTGTTCTTGTCTGTTCGAATCCTGGGTACAGATACACGAGGCTCCATTTTGAAAGTGCTCTATAGTATATATGGCAGTGAAGATCAGGCTAGCCGGGTGCTCATGGTGTTGATCACTGGATTTATCTGATCCAGACTGGGTTTTTTTAAAGACTGACACCATATATTGCTGAATTTTGGAATATTGCTGAGTGTGACGTAAAACAAACAAAATATTACAAGAGGTTTCCAAAATCTTTGGATTCCTAAGTGCCTGTCTCCAAGAAGCGATAGAACATGGGTTGCCCTGTAGGAATTGGATTGTATCACTTTTCATTATGGTATCTCATCAATAAGCAAAGTAGCATAAATCCACAAATTCTAGTGTTAATTAACCACTTGACCTGGCTGCAGTGTGACAAACAGATCACGATACTAAATGCTGATTTTATAGATCAGGACTAGCATTGGTAGACCATGGCAAACACATGACACATTGATTGGTTGGTGTAAATACTCAATTTATGGCAGATCCAGTGGTCAGTGTTTATAATGCCTTTCGATTATCTATTGTTCATTGTCTATTTACTTCACCCACGCTGAAGATTCCCCACATGGGTGAAGTCCATTTCTGGTGTCTCACGCCATGATAATACTGGAATATTGCTAAAAGCGGCATAAAACCATACTCACTCACCGTGGTTAAAGATTCAGATTAATTCATATTCCCTATAGTCTGGGTTTAACTCCCCAACATGGTTATGATGTCTGAAGACTTTTTCTGGTGATTGATATCACTGTCAGATATATTACAAGTGGCAGAAACCCATACTCAGACCAAGACTTAATGACTTTGCACAGAGAAAACAAATACAACATATGTATATCAGGCATTTATTTGCATATTTCTGTACATGTAGAACTACAACAGCATCTACAAGAGACAGAATTCCACAGAAATTCATAGTATGATGACATTGATTTAGATGTATTGTCGAGGAAATGAAGTTCAGAGGTTGAGTGACGGTACAAAGGCAAGAAAAAGGGTCAAGGTGAAGACTTGGAGCACAGCTAAATACTTAAGTATCAGGAAAAGGATGTCTGTAAAGTATACAAGTATCGAAGAAATGACACAGAGAAACTTACACAAATGTACACTATAAAACCATTTCAAGAGTTCCCTCAGGTCAGATGAAATGGTTACAGATACATGCACTATCTACGTTGAATATGGTGTTCTCATGATGAGGAATAAAGATACATGATTACTACTACGGTAATAAACACTAAGTATTCAAATAAGAAATACTAATGTGCTCCCTCGAAAGGGTGATTATAATGTTTATTCCATGCCATTCAGCTGAGACTCAAAGGGAACAGATGTAATACTGATGTGCTATATTATTCTGAGTTGGTAATCAATCCTCCATTGTACACGGGTAGCGTATCTTCGGGTTCTATGAAACTGACATACAGTGGAAACCGCCTAAGTAAAGACCGCTGAACTAAACAGACCTGATAAGTAAACACTATTCTTTCGTCCTGGCAAATTTCTTCATTAATTATCACTATTAGAGTTTGGTTAACTAAAGTCGGATAAGTAAACAATACTGCTTAACTAAACGTCTTCTCACGGTCCCTGGAAGGAAATTACTTAACAAAAGAGACTGGATTACTAAATTAGTGATTACCACATAATCCGACATGAGAGGCACGTGTCAGTCTCCAGCTAAACAAACATCCTACTTACAGCTCGCTGGCATCATGCATCAAATTATAGGTCAAATTGCGTGCTGATTGACCTAATGATCTAAGATTGCTTGAATTTGTACAGATGGCATTCTTATATTTCATTTTGGTACACCTTCATAAAACCCTGGATACATTCCCATTTGCAGTCTCAAATTATCTATCCTTGATTTCCATTAACATTTTACAAATAAAACTTTGACAAGAGACAAGGAAATGGAGGACTCTCCCCACTGCCAGTTTTAATCCACATAAAGATACCCATTCCATCAAATCAAATTCTTTCTTTTGCATGTCACTCAGTTATTACCCAAATTTGAAACAGAATTCAAATTTCAGTTGTCGCTATGATCATTTGAAGATATGACCAATAACAAAATTTAGCACTTTTACCGAAAGAAATAACACAATGCTGGAAAATAATGCAAAATGAACTGTTGGAAAGAAAAAGATCACAGAAGTATGACTTTAAGTTTTCAAAATGTATTGCAATGAGTGGCAAACAATCTATTTATATTGGTTGAGGTGACGAACACGCAAGTGCATACACACCAAGATGAGATCAAGAACACTACTGTAAATTATCTGTACTTCTTGAAGATCCGCCATATAGCTGGAATATTGCTGAGTGCAGCATTAAACAACAATTAATCTTACTTACATGAATCCTCAACTATAACAATATATTTTTTCATTCCAATCTGTGAACAATTTCGATGCAACAATTCTATTATTTCTTACTTTTTTGAAAGGCACTTTCATGGAAGACAGTTTTTCAATGGTAAACAGAGCGTGACTTCCAGTTCTAGCAGAAAGGTAATGTACAAATATACACAATATACAACATTCATCGTCTGGTATTGGCTTGACACTGTGACACACACTCTCAAAGCAACAACTACAGAACTAAATGTAGCACAGCAATCACGGAAGTGTAGTTTGCCCTCAGTCTACCACCTTCATATAACTGATCAAACTGCAAAACAAGAACATGATACAAACACCTACAAATCTGGATCTGCTGGCAGAAAACAAACCCAAACTGTAAGGTTGTTTGAGTGTAAACTCTACAGCGGCAGTAATGACTGGCTACAGTACCACTTGTTTACTGGAAGGGTTCGCCAGTTCTAATGTTACACCCAATAGTCTATATGTTCATCTCTGAGGCTGTATCAACACTGAGGAGTGGAGACAGTGGGTAATTGGACTGCATCTCCTCGAGGATCCTGTCTAGATCTGTTTCCCGGACTCCTCGTGAAGCACAGTTTGGGTCTCTGTTTTCACAGTCATCGTCAAGCACACTATCAATATCTGTCTCAAACACACCAGTACTCATAGAGGGCCTTGTTTGCTCCATGACCTTCTCTGTGAGTGACCTTGAACAGGATGCCTTCTTGTCTGAGTTTTTACCTTGACCTCTATCACAGGTCCCAGAAACTGGAGTTGTCTTCAAGATGCTTCTCACCTGCCCTGTAGGTGTCAGAGGGGTTCTGGGACTTTGTGGATTGTTGCCATTGGTTCTCTTAGCACTGAACGTTCTGGGTGGTTTCCTTGGCGATGGTGTTGAATGACTGACACAGTTCTGGTTCAATGATCCAAGCACTCGTGAAACTGATCCAGAGGAGCTTGGGGACTTTCTCTGCACGTTCTCTTCACTAGACACCTCGCTGTTGGACCTGGAAGATCTGTCACTGGACACAGAGCTGCTGTCACTTGCCGAACTGGACACAGAGCTCCGGTCACTCGACGATTGTCTCTGTCTCGCCTTTTCAACTGCTTCAGCAACTTTGCCTTTGTTTGGCTTCGGTTTCAATGCTGGGGGCTTTTTCATGATCTTCTTTACTCCTGAGTTCTCCGACACACTGCTTGATGTAGAACTGGAACTACCACCAGATTCTTTCATTTCTTGAATGTTCCTCTTCAGATGTTTAGCACTGTTTTCAGAATGATGTCGGTTCCTTGTATCATGTTTTGGTGTGGTCCTCTGGTCAATAACATCTTCAGTATACAAGTTTGTGTTCAGGCCTCTGCCGAGATTCCGATGTCGTCTCGGGACATCTGCTGTGATGTCTTCCACAGATGAGGCATAAGCAGACTTCAGTGACTTCATTGCACCAGACAATGCTTGACGGTAGGTGAACACATCATCCTTCTCAGCACTTGTATCCAGGTCTGTGAGTGCATCTTTCAAGTAGTTGTGATTGGGTGTGTCACCAGTAGATGAGGGTTTCTGATTGGGTGTGTCACCAGTAGATAAGGGTTTTTGATTGGGTGTGTCACCAGTAAATGAAGGTTTCTGACTGCGTGTGTCACCAGTAGATGAGGGTTTCTGATTCATGCTGGCTTCACTCTCACCAGACAGTTGGCACACATCAGGTTTGTGAAGCTTTGACTTCATTGGTGGTGGGATCATCACAGGCCCTACGGAGACCCTTCGAGAACTTGTGGACATTTCTTTGACTTCAGCAACCTGAACTGGAACTGCTAAAACTGAGGCTTGGGGAGCTTTTGACTGGGGATTTGGTTCCATGTCTTGTGATCTCTCCTCGGATTCATCAACAGCTTCCAGGCTTGAGAGTGCAAATGGTGTGATTGGAACAAGGGTTGGAGGAGGAGTTTCTGTAGCAGTACAGTCCAGGGACAGGAGTGACTTAGGTGTAGTGTGACAGTACTGGGGCATGCCCTCCTCTAACACCTTAGATGACCTTGGAGTGCCACATTCAGCTATCAACGACGACTGAGAACCAAAAGCTTCAATAGATGGTCTGTATTCATTCTCCATTGGTGGCGTATCCATCAGGAGTTCTGGTGGTGGGGGTGGTAGGAGGGAAAGTCTGACTGGGGGATAGATGTCTGACACCAGATCAGGAGGTGGGGGTAGGGTGGATGGATCTTCATCAAGAAACGCTTGGATTTCTGGGTCTGTTATCTTCACCTTCACCTCAAAAGTCTCAGTCTCAGATTCTTCATGAGATGAGGAGGAGGACGAGGAGGAGGACGAGGAGGAGGAAGAGTCTACCTCTTCTTCTGGATCTAGTTTAGGATCACACAGATCAGGCATGGACACCGCCATTCTCATGGGACTTTCTGTCTTTTGAGGGCTGAACACTGATTTAGATCCGTTGCTAATTTTTGCTGGAGATGCAAACTCAGGGCCATCTTTCTTCATCGAGAATACAGAAGCTTCTTCATCACCTTTAATCACCTGGTATGGCCAGGACTCCAGAGGAGACTTCCGTTTTGGAGGCAGAGGAGGAGGTGGGGATGTTACCACTTCAACAACCTTATCCTTCTCAGCAGAGATCCGCTTCTTCTTCACTGGCACAGCATATATCTCCTCCACACTTTTACAGCCATCAGTTACTGGACGAGGGCTGTCGATATGAAGCCCGGAGTCCAGACTCTTTGACCTTGACACTGACAGACTCCCACTGAAGAATGGGTCTGGGTCTGCATACAGAGGGTCGTAGTCAGAGACCTCCAAAGGGTTAGCATCCTTCACCTCCTCATAGGGGACGGAGGTGTCCAGCTTCACCTTGGTTGACTGGCTGGTTCGCTTTGGGGGCACAGGTTTCAAGGATTTCTTTTTGCCCTCTTTTTCCTCTGCTGGGCTGCTCGGGCATACGTTGAGTTCTCCTTTAGAAGTCCATGACAAAACAGTAACCTTGTAGGGATTGTCCTTCTTCAGTCTGTAAGGATGAAACAAGGAAATTAAACTACTATTTCATGCAAGTCTAAAAGATAGTTTGCATTCATTAAATATTTATTAAATACTTTATCCAGACTTCTCATGCTATTGTTTATACTATATTGTATATCATGTGTCTTATTCAATATGCTTACTTCACATAGTTTCTTAAACAGGTCCAGTTACATATAAAAGGTTTATCACAAATAATCATGCAACTCACTTTGATTTCTTTGGAGTTGTATTCTTACTTTTCTTCTTCTTTTTCTCAGACACAGGTTCAGGTTTGTCCTGCAAGACAGACAATTACACATTAACAACTTCCCAGTCTGAGTAATGTTTTACAGTGCTAGAGATACACCACACCACAGTTGTACACTACACCCCACTCAGATACAGTATTCAGATGCCAAGCCAACCACCTTTTGGTATGACCAAGGATGAAACCCCTGACCTCCAGGTTTCCAGGAGGATGCTCCATCCATGAGGCCACAAAGAGAGGTTGTATGCTTGTCTCAGATGTTGTCCTGGGTGCTGTTGTCCAAAACAACCTTAGCGCTAAGACTACCTTAAGTCTATGTTAAAGTATGGGAGTTCAGTCACAGTCACCTTAGCGCTATGGGACGCTAAGACTACCTTAAGTCTATGTTAAAGTATGGGAGTTCAGTCACCTTAGTGCTAAGACTACCTTAAGTCTATGTTAAAGTATGGGAGTTACGGTCACCTTAGTGCTAAGACTACCTTAAGTCTATGTTAAAGTATGGGAGTTACAGTCACCTTAGTGCTAAGACTACCTTAAGTCTATGTTAAAGTATGGGAGTTACAGTCACCTTAGTGCTAAGACTACCTTAAGTCTATGTTAAAGTATGGGAGTTACAGTCACCTTAGCGCTAAGACCGCTTTGTACAACGGCATCCTGACTGATTACTTTGATGCCTGAAGACAAATATCTTTCAGTCGCATATAGATGGGATAACTTGTGATGGTGTCAAATATACACTTTCTGCCTAAAGCCCTGTTCCACAAGGCCACTGTAGCACTGTGACTGTAGCAAGGCTATGTTAAGTGTTGTCTTAGCACTAGTCGGCCCAATGTTCTGCAAAACGATCACAGTTCCATGACTCCAGGATGTTTATGTTAAAGAATAGGTGCCTTACTTGTAATAGTGCTATGATCACACCAGGGCCTTGTTCCACAGAGCAATCATAATGCTATTACTTTTGTTAAAGTATAGGTGTAACAATTGTCTCAGCGCTCTGATCAGTCCCCTGTTCCCCAAAGCAATTGTAGTGCTGTCTGTAGTAAGTCTGTGTTAATGTATAGGTGCCACAATCATCTTAGTGCTAGACCATTAGACAAACCAATAGTTTAATCTGTGTTAATGTATAGGTGCCACAATCATCTTAGTGCTACCATCACTTAGCAAAAATGGCTCAGAGACATAAGCAGGTTTGAGACACAACATGCATTATTACTGCATTAAAATAACATGGTGTTGGAGCCAGGTGTTGTCAGTCTCTGTCCAAGTTCTGCTCATGTTCAACACTCAGATAGCTTGAAGTTACTGCATGTGTTTGTCAGGTAGATGTAGGCGATCATTACCTTCTGGATGTTGCCATCTGTACAACTGTTCTCTTTGTCCACAGCATCCGAGTTCTTCTGGAAAATACCAACAACAATGTATCAGTGTCGCTGATCACATGATCAATATATGTCCACTGACAGATAACAATGATTGCTACGCTAATCCAAATTATAATCTGTGCCTCTGCAATCTTCCTAGTTACTTCCGAAACATCTTCATATTGTTATGTTGTATTGTTCCAAGTATTTTACATTGTGCAAGTGATATTCAGTGAAGAGTAGTGGTGTGCTGCATTTAGACAGAACACTCTGGGAAGTACTACGGTACAAGAAGCTTATTCCAGAATCATCTGCCTTAGTGTAGAATCTTCAAGCATCTTTTTCTGAGGCATATAAGGATATAAGGCACATAAGGATATAAAACAAGCTTTGTGTTTCTATATATCCCGACACTATCTACCATATCCAGCTGTATTATATTCATATCAATCAAGTTGATTTTCACTCAAACAACGAGCATGAACACGTGTCTGTGCGTGTCGCTTCTTCTACTAGGCATCATAGTGATAGCCAAATGAGATATTGTGATCCAGTTTTAACCTCAAACCTCATGTAGACATGGTGTACTGACTGAGAGCAAAATGGTCCTTGTTTTATATCCTTAATATCAGTGTCAGGACGTTTATCAAATTGTAGTCTTATTATCCTGTATGACTGTTCAAGGTGAATAACTCTGACACGAGTGAGTGAGCGAGATCATATCAGTAATATTTCAGCCATAGTGCTGACATTAGGGGTTACTGTGTGTACTCACAATGTCTGGCAGTTTGATGATCCGTGGTGTCGACTGAGCTGTGAGGGGCTCCCCTGGAGACTTGCCAAACGTGGAGAACGGAGAGTCAAGCAGCACACCGCCCTCTAGACTCAGGTCGATGGGGTGATGGAAGCCAGGGATGTCAGAGAAGGGCGACCCTTCCACAAAGCTGAACCTCTGGTGACTGCGAGATGGGGGAGGTGTGTCTGTACCGGTGGAGCCACGGTAGTATTTCTGTGGAAGACAAAATTATGTCAAATGAGATATAGTAGAAATATGGCGAGCTGATATGAAGACAACCATCCCTTACACTAATAGAATCCATAGCATCATTCTATTTGACCATTTGTTGATGTTTATCCATGTTTTGTTTTTAAAAACATACAACATTTTTTTTCCACAAAAATAAAAATTAATAATCAAATAATGTCACAGTTCAAATGATAAATCCTACAATAAATGCTGTTTGAAAACAGGTTCAATTTACTTTAAACCTCATGTTGCTGGTTGTGTCAAATTGTCCCTAACACATTGCTGCCAAAGTTGGTTGTATGTGGCAAGACGAGGATAACATTTTATTACCAGCACTAGTTATGACTTCCTGCTGTCATCTCTAACTGAGGAATCGTTAGGTACTTTCATACCTGTGGCAGCTTTTCTTGTTCCAGAGTTTCATGAAATCTTTGAAGTAGGTCTTCAACTTTGGGGATTTCAAGTCAGCTGCTGTCTTTTGTTTCTGATGAAAGAAGAACATTTCAAAGTGCAAGTTAAACAAAACCATGACTCTATATCATATCTTTCATAGTCAATTAAACTTGGGATAACTTTATATAAAACCAATACAGCAAATGACCTATTCTGAAAGCATTACTTAAATCTTTTCTATTTCAGATACACGCACACACAAAAACTAACGGGTTAACTCTAAGAGGTGAGGTGAAATTGGGTTTAACGTCATGCTTGAGAATATTTCGCTCATATGACGACGTGCATGCATGTGTATGTGTATGTGCGGCTGCTTGTACTAGCCCAGACTGAAGCTGGTTTTATAGTGCTAGCCCACTGAGATACCATGCCGCAGTGAAGCATGAATATCCCACTCAGACACAGTATACTGACTCCGAGCCAACCAGTCCTTGTTGTACCCATTAATGTTGAAAGCCAGGCAGGGACCAACAAGTACCATATTTTAATGTCTTTTGGTATGACGTGGTTGGGGATCGAACCCGTGACCTTCCGCTCTCCGGGCGGACGCTCTAACCACTACACCACGGAGGCGGTCGGTTAACTCTAAGAACATGTGATAGGTTAGCATAATATTTTCCACAAAGGAAGTTTGTCAAATTCTTAAATGTTTCCTATTACAGTTCTATTCATTGTCAGTGTTGAGAGAATCCCTTTACCTCTTCTTTCAACCACAGTTTGAACTCTGCTTGCTTGCTGAGATAGTCATCCATGGATATCATGTCTGAAACACAACAGGTAATGCATATTTTACACATCAGCAATACAATGTATCAACAATGTCGGGGCGGTGGATAGCCTAGTGGTTAAGGCGTTCACTCGTCACACTGAAGACCCGGGTTTGATTCCCCACATGGACACAATATGTGAAGTCCATTTCTGGAGTCCCCCGCTGTGATATTGCTGAAATATTGCTAAAAGCGGCGTAAAACCAAACTCACTCACTCACTCACCAATGTCTCAAAGTTATTATGTAAATTTATAGACAAATAATGAACCCTCCATAGCAAGCCTTTACAAGTCAAATTTAGCCAATTTAGTAAGTTTTCATGTCTTTGAACAGTCTTTCATTGGGTACATATCGGTGCATTTTCTGCTGCAGAAAATGTCCTGTGACAGTTGTGACAATGTTTTAATAAAAAAATATACGAAATAAATAGAAAATGACACTTATTGAAAGACAATTGTTGCAGGAGCGTTTTGTATTTGTTTGTTGTTTAACGCCCACTGAGCAATATTCCAGCTATATGGCAGCATGAACAATTGAGACTGGACCAGATAATCCAGTGAGCAATTGGAATACCATGACATGTGACGACAAAGTCTGACTACCCGATCCTGTTACGCCTCTCTTAGGATAAACATGGGATGCTAAAGACCAATTCTTACTCAGATCTTCACAGGTAATTTCAGGAATGTATTGCTACCATGGCTGCTAGGTAACGGTACTTACTGTTCTCTATCTTCTTCTGCTGTTCCTTCTGTTTCTTGCGGTCTCGTCTGATTGACCTGCGGGCGAACATTCTCTGTTTGCGACTCACCTCGGCAATCTCACCATCTGGCAACAACACACAGTGAACGGTCATGATATATTCATCACCATGGTCCATATTTACACTACTGATCTATTTTCTGTTTAGTTTTTGTCTGAAATTCCTGGTTAATTAAAAGAAATGGTAATTCAGTTAAATTTTATACTACTATGATAAAGTTGCAGCATGATGCCCATAATATATTGCAATACAAATACACAAATCTAAAATCAAGCTACGTTTCAAATGAAAAGCACAACACAAATTGCTGCATTACTAGTACTGAAAGTCTACAGCTTAATTAAGTAGGATTTTACTCAAGTTTGAAAGGAAATCCAAATTATTTCATTTAAGTAATAAATATCTCTGAAAGCATGTACCATGTATTTATCAAGGGTTACCAGGACATGCTCAGAGATTGTCTCAAATGTGAGTCAGAAGTTCCAAATTATAATTAAATATGTACCTATTCATTTCAGTATAGTCCTACCAAATGTTATGGCTCTGTAGACCTTACCTGTATATAAAGGACCAACATAAATGAAGAAAAACTTTACTTCACTGCACTAACACAATGTAAATTTACATCAGAGTTTCGGAAAGGTCAATTTAAATTAAAAAAACTAATTTGGAACAAAATAACACTTTTATTATCCCATTTGCCTGCCATGTCCATATTTATAGGCCTATATAAACCCTGTGTTATCAACTCAACAGTATAACAGTAAAATCATAGAAAAAGCAGAGCCCTGCAATCTCCTTACCTAAATCAAGCTTACTCCACCAGTTTGCAGTACATGTAAACTTAGTGAATACAATAGCGTATTCCCTGTTGGTTGTGGTATATATGCCACCCCTTGAGACAACATGCCACTCCCACTTGACACCTTCTCTTCTCAGTTGTCACCCATCCACATCAAAGCTTGTTAATTACATAAGCCCATTGTTTCAACAAAGGGATCTGCATAAGCTCAGACTCCATTGTGCTGTTAGTGGGATATTAACAAGCTAATCTAGGGCAATATAACAACAAAGTTAATTGCTCCTGGGTAATTAAATTGGTTTATTACACGGGTATTGTACTGCTTGATGAAGTTATGTGTTTTACCACACTGGTAACATGTATTTGGGATGAGCACTATAAAATCTGTTAAGCGGGAATTATGGGCTCCTTAAAGACTGTCTTGATGGGCCTGTCTTGGTGGGCCTGTCTTGGTGGGCCTGTCTTGACAGCACAGAACTTTACAGAACTTGACAGAGAACAGTTTGTTTTTGAGGTAGCTACTGATATGTTTTCCCTTATAAAACAGCCTTAAAGTAAATATTTTTACTATCGGCAATAAGTGTCCTTGAAACATTTTTAGAAATTGTATCATTCAAATGATTTATCATAAAACATTACAATGACAGTTATGTGAGAGACTTGCTTAATATGCTTGAATATTTGCAATATGAATCTTGTTTTAGGTAATCAGGATGGAAAAGCAAGAAATAGTTTGGAAATATCTGGAATTTTTTTCTGGCTGTTGCCTTCAAACACAATGCCGAATGGCAAAATTACTAGGTTATATCATACATGTTACAGGATGGGAGGCATTAATTTGTTTATTTCCATTCTGTAGTTAGGGGATGGAAACATTAACCTTTTTAATTTTCTTACTCATTTATTCTGGCTGTTGGCAAATGTACCAGGTTTTACCATTCATGTTAGGGACTGTTCTAAACTTTATGGCTAGGTGTGTGTGTTTAATATTTTTATGTACAAAACTGCTGTACCCCTCCTGCCTCCCCAGAACAAAATGGGTGACACACACCCCCCACCCCGACCCTTTAAAAGCATCACACACACACACCCAGCCATAAATAATGAACAGTCCCTTATCATTGTTATCAGTGGTTATAGGATTTTTTTTTCTATAAATTTGCTTAATTTTCTAACTGTGGGAAGTACCTGACTCTGAGCTGGACTCTGATGGAGAGTCCCCATCCTTCTGTGGGGAGTTGATGGCAGGGCAGGAAATGCTCTGCTGGGACTGCTTGGCCAGGTTCTCACGACGCAGGAACCTGCAACAGTCGACCTTTACACTCAGCATGCTCACACACATAGACCATAGACCATTGCAGAGCAAAGCAAATCCACAACGATTCCAAGTCGTGTTGTGCAGAATTGCATCACCTGGATGAGTGAGTGAGTGAGTTTTTTACAGCTTTTAGCAATATTCCAGCAATATCACATCTGGGGACACCAGAAATGGGCTTCACACTTTGTACCCATGTGGGGAATCGAACCCGGGTCTCAAGCGTGACGAGCGAATGCTATTAACCACTAGGCTACCCCACTGCCCCTGGACATGCAAGAAACCTATGACTGTGACAACCTATCAGGATTGGAAATCATTTGACAGAGACCATATACCGTTCGGTCTCTGCATGGTTGATACATTCATGATGTACTTCCATAGATCTACTACTAGTATCAATGAAACACACACATTCTCAGTTTGGGTGAAAGATAATCACTTAGAATTGAACTTTCACTTTAAAAGGTCTACAAACACCATACAAGTAATTCAATCAAGTTGGAGACCTGGTTTTTAAAATGTTTTTGTCAGTCTGAGTATGTTACAATACAAAGCTTCAGCAGTAATTATCAGCATCACATACCAAAATCTTAGGCAATGTAAATACATAATATGAGAAGAAAATCTGTACAAAGAACATGTGACCTTGGTATAAAAGCCATAATGTACTAGTGTCTGCCTACCTGACTAAAATTACGTAAAGTGACATTTTCTAATCGTGCATACATTTTTCAATTCATTGTCTTGTGGAGTCTAAGTGGTTACTTTCAAAGTCATTCTGCATTATTTCCAGATGTGTAGAGCTTAGATCTTAGTCATATCATTGATCATGTGATTCACATTTCCACACGTGGAGAAGACATGTTAACATTGTAACACACTGACAATTACATTTTATCCATCGACTGTGTCAGTCTATAACGTGATTGCGACAAATGATAGTCACTACAATGTGCACGCATGTGAAACAACGTTTGTAAACATTCCCTAGTTCAGTTGCTGTGGTATAACGGACAAGATTGCAAATGACGTGAGATCTCATCTAAGCGTTATTGACCGCACTCCACTTTTTTACGCATGGTTATGTTTCTACTTGTTTTACCTGAACATCTTGTTCAATGTTACAAGTAATCCCCTTCTGTATCATCGATTGAGTATTTCATACGTTCAAAACTTCGACTTTCGCGGCCGACACAGAAACTGATGACGAAGTAGGCATGCCATTATTTTCTACTACTCTCAGTACGACTACTTACAATTGGTCAATTTGAATGTCAATATTAGTTTTACGGTTGCTATTTTCCTGTGTAATCACTTTTCGTAAATGCATTGCTTCATAAACTGCTCATATACACATGGCCTTTTAACGTAAAACAATTTCAATCAATGAAAAGCAATGTTATGTATATGCTTTTGTAATATGTTGGGTTTAACTGCTTTGCGTGTTACGTAATTCACAAGCACCTGATTTCATAGCCGAGAGCTACTGATTTCACATGACTTCTCACAGTTTAAAGTTCAGATAAGACTACACATTTCGACGCTGATTAATGTAGGTTGAAATTAACAACTCATTAATGTGTATAAGCGATAATGAATGAGATTTCCTGTGTTATTTGAACTGCAGCAGTATAACAACGGTGTCGAAATGGCATTTAACAGCATCCGCCACGCTAGCAGACGATGTTTTGTACAGAGCAGATCGCTCAATAGCGTGTTGTATAAGAATGTAATACCAGTTATAGCTCACCCAAACACTAAAGGAAATCTGCTGAAGGATCTTATGATTTTAATGGAAGAACATTTTCCACTTTAACTGTCAACAGTAAAACCATACATGAAGTGAAAGCAGACGACACTCGAGAATTCTTGTCCAAGTACGACACTGTCATGCTCGACTGTGATGGCGTGTTGTGGGAGACGGACCATGTCACCCCGATTCCAGGAATACCCCAGGCTATGAGCGTCCTCCGAGAAACAGGAAAGCAGGTTCTGTTCGTTACAAACAACAGTATTCCAGGGAGAAACTTCCTTGTTGACAAATTTCAGAGGTATGGTTTCAAGGGTTCTTTTGAAGAAATCTTCACAGTGTCTTACGCAGCTGCAGTATACTTGAAAAACGTTGCAAAAATTCAGGGATCCGTCTATGCCATGGGCACACCTGGCATGGAGATGGAGCTGAAGGAATTAGGTCTGAAGTACCACGGCTTTGGACAAGAGACCGATAAGCCAACACGTGACAATGATGAGCTTCTCGCCATGACGTTTCACGATGACGTTGATGCAGTGCTTGTTGGATTTGATGAATACTTTGACTATATCAAGATGTACAAAGCAGCAAGCTACCTCACGAAAGAGTCCTGTCTTTATGTTGCAACTAATAAGCTCGAAGGTGGCGTTATGATTGGCCCCAATAGGAGACAGCCAATCACAGCAGCGATGGTTCAAGCGGTATCGGTTGCTGCCAAGAGGGAGCCAACACTTGTAGGCAAACCTGATACACACATGTACCAGTGTATACAGGCCATGTATCCTAACATTGATAAGTCGAGAACACTCATGGTTGGGGACAGCGTGAAGGCAGATATTGGGTTTGCCAAGGAGATTGGTGTGGATTCCGCTCTTGTGCTGTCAGGAGGATCCAGCTTGGCATCAGTTCAGGACAATCCTGGTCTGGAGCCTGACTTCCTTCTCCAGTCACTGGCTGTTCTGGGTTCCAGTTAACCTTGAGGAGGGTGTGAATTTTATTAACAAAGACTTATTTAGGCAGTGATAAAAGGTGTGCTTCTGATCAACCTCTGTCAATACTTCTTGTATTTTATCAATGCATGGAGGTGTAGGATGGGAATTATTCAGCGTGTTGTGATTCGGCTGTCATGAAATAGTACCTTAACTTTTATGAAACACATTATACAGGAGTAAATCCTGCTGCATCAGGCAACAAACACCTAATTTTATGCAAATTGTTTGTGACAGGTTCTACTAGAAGAGCAGGGCCCCGTTCTTCAAAGGATCATAGTGCTAAGATGATCGTAACTCCCATACTTTAACATAGACTTATGACTATCGTAGCGCTACGATCGCTCTGAGGAACTGGGCCCAGGACATGCTTTTCCTTTACGCAGATCCATTCACTCAGTGATAAAAGGTGCACTTCTGATCTATCTCCATCAATATTTCTTATAAATTTTTGATACATGGTGCTGTAGGATTGACAAATAATCATCAGAATATTCAGGGCGTTGTGATTCAGCTGTCATCAAATAGTACCATACTCTTTATGAAATGTGTTTTAGATGCGATTAGATCTTGCAGTACTGTTGTTCAGCATCAGACACTTAATTCTATACAACTTGTGTGATTGATGGGTACTACTAATAGAGCAGGACATTCTTTTCCTGTCTGTGGACCCCTGTAGGCATCTCTCACTGACGAAAGGTGTGCTTCTGCTTCCCAATGCATGGTGGTGTAGGACTGACAAGTAGTCATCAGCGTTATTCAGGGTGTTGTGATTCAGCTGTCATGAAATAGTACATTACCTTTTATGAGTGAGTGAGTTTAGTTTTACACCGCTTTTAGCAATATTCCAGCAATATCAGGGCAGGGCACACCAGAAATGGGCTTCACACATTGTACCCATGTGGGGAATCAAACCCTGATCTTCAGCGTGATGAGCGAACACTTTAGGCACTAGGCTACCCCACCACCCCTCCTTTTATGAAATACATTTTACAATAAATACTTCTGTTTGGCATCAGGCAAGAAACACCTATTTTTTTATGCAAGCGGTGTGAGTGATGGGTACTACTGGCAGGCAGGACATGTTTTTTACCTTTCTGTGGATCCCAGGAATCATTACTCAGTGATCTATTTATAGAATTTCCTGCCATATTTTGACTTTTATACCCAATGGATTATTTTTTATCTGATAATCGAGATTGATTATTCTCTAGTATTTAATGTTTATCTAATGGGGATGGTATTTATGTAACTTTTTTCAATTCTACAGGTTTATATTGACTTTTTGATGACAGACATCAAAGTTGTTATATGCATTTAATTATTTTTGATTGGTGTAATGTTGTGTTTTTGATTTGCGAAAATCAACTAAGGCCAGATGAGTTTAGTTTTTAGCTTGATGGAGTTCCTAACAACAAGGGGAACAGAACAAGACTTTGTTATGTTAACAAAATACCTGAAAAGGTATTATCTTCAGGTGAAATCCTTGCAGACCAGTGAAGATCCGGGTTAGAATTGATTTTCAGCAACCCATGCTTGTCGTAAGAGGCGATGGGTGGTCATGCTCGCTGACTTGGTTGACACATGCCATCGTATCCCAAATGCGTAGATCGATGTTCATGCTGTTGATCACTGGATTGTCTGGTCCAGACTTGATTATTTACAGACTGCCGTCATAGCTGGAATATTGCTGAGTGTGGCGTTAAACAACAACCAACCAACTAACCTTTGCAGGCGTGAACTGGAGGGAACATTCAAAATGTTATTGGAATTCTCCAACTGTACATACTGAGATTAATGTTTTCTGAACACAGATGTTTATATTTGAGGGGGAAGCTAGAAATGGCTAAAAGTGCCAGGATCTCTACCAACGTAATTGGTACATATGGCCTTATTAGTAATTATTTACTTCCAACATTAATTAATACATCATTGTATTCCAGAATTCTATGTATTATCTGTACTCATGACTATATATGATTACATTGAGTATTGCATCCATTAGGCCGTTTCTTTTTTATTACACTGTTTACAGATCCGCCAACCCGAAATGTGAAGAAAGCGGGGAAAAAATAAATATTGTTTTTAGATTTTAATTTTGCCATTATATGCCACCAACCTGATAAAAAATAAAGAAAGTGAAAAAAAAGAAGAAAAAATAGCAAATTATACCTTTCAAATATTCCTTGAAACAGAGTTGAACAGAGAGAAAGGTAATGCCACAGGCTGCTCAGCTGGCATGCTGCACCTGGCATATAGGATATGCTAATAACACTCAAGTGTGCTAATAACATCTCCATATTCCCTTCTTTTCTTTTTTCCTCCTTACCAACCAAATTTGTTTTATCTGTAAACCAAGTAATAAAAAAAAAGGCCTTAGTTTGGCTCAGTTGCATTGTGACAGTGGTATGAATGACGAGTGAATTCCTTGCAAGAATATTTGTAATATTGGAATGTCAGTGTGTGAATTCTAGTACATCTGTTCTGCTTCAAATCAGAAACCACATCAATTTAGATTTTAGAATGTTTGTGTTCATTATACAAATGACTATAAGAAAGTTGACAATATTGTATGAGTATATTCCTACCATTTGCCTCTCACAACTCAGGAATATAGGGATTAAATAAACAGGTTAACAGCATTCTTCAGTCTTCTGTATTAATGGTATTATCTATATTTATCATGCTGCAATATTCAAAGTACTTGTAAAAATATAATAAACAATAACAATATGTACAACATGAATCACTGAAGAAACATCAAGATCCTTGGATCTTTTATTGTCAGGGATTGTGAAGAGACAATCAATAATCTAAAAATGAATAAAATATTGAAAGTAATGTTTTCTGGTCATAATTTGGTTCTCCAGACCAGACAACACCTGTGTCTGCCATGATAAAGGTAATAACTCTTGATAACAGTACATTATTTGAAGGTCTGTTAGAATATTGATCTTCAGTAACCCATGCTGGAATATTGCGGGATCAAGTGGTCAGAGCTGACTTGGTTAACGTCATCGGTTCTCAATTGCACAGATCGATGCTCATGCTGTTGATCACTGGATTGTCTGGTCCAGACTCGATTATTTACAGACTGTCGCCATATAGCTGGAATATTGCTGAATGCAGCGTAAAACTAAACTCACTCACTCATTCACTAACAACAGTTCAATACTTGAAGTAATGACTGCTCCCAACCTACCCTATCCATGCATACAAATTTGTATGTGTCTCATCTTGATCAGTGCTATATGTACACAGGGAAACATAGTATCGTAATACCTATGATATTTAACCCCCATATTGCCATTCATATTCATAAGTATGTTTGTATGATTATGTTTACCATTTGGGTGCACCATACACTGATATCAGATATGAACGTGACCGCGATCAAAGATGAGTATCATGTGCAATAGGTGTACCTGTCGTTAAGCAAGTATCAAGATTCCGTAAAATGTTCTTAGAGCTTGATAAATCAACTGATTTTGTTGTTGATAAGTAACTATGGGAGGGTCAGGGGTGTTATTGCAGTTGGCATAGGTTACACCAGATATTGACATTGTGCTTGGTTATTGAAACTTTTGTGATATCTTGAGGATTGTATGTCCGAATATTAATATGACCACACTTGTTAAAGTCATACGACCACAGTTATCAGCACTACAAGATAAGCTAGTGTTTTGTCACATTTGCATCTCTGAATAAACTACATTTTGTGTGCTACTGCTTCTAGATTTGCCATCTAATTATTCCTTGAGGGTCGGTTTATCCAGAAAGTAAGTAAGGTTTGGATAAGTTCCTGAGCTATGGTTAATGGTGGCATATTATAAGTTGTTCGCTGGTCACGTGGGGACATGGGTTGATGTACCCTCTATGTTTGTTTATATTCCCTGAACCCTCTTCGAACACTACCAACATGAAGTAGCAAACAAATTCCCACAGTTCGGCATTTCCAGCGGGTAACAAAAAATCAACTACTAATAATACATTTACTGTTAAGACAAAACAAATGATGGCCATGGTATAAAGTGAGTGAATGAGTGAGCATAGTTTCATGCCACTTTTAGCAATATTCCAGCAACATCACAGTGGGGGACACTAGAAATGAGCTTCACACATTGTACAAATGAGGCGAATCGAACCCGGGTCTTCCGCATAGACATGTAAAAGCTGTAACCATTATGCTACCCTAATGCCCCTCCATGATATAAAGAAGATATACTCCCTGACAGCTTAAAGTTCCCCGTATGGATCATCACATGGGACAAACACATTCATCAGACTTTCATTTTATTGAACTGAAGTAGACAAGTTATAATGCCTGCATCGACAATGACTTGACAATGGAAGAACTTTATTGCACACTTGGGGTAAACTCGCAATACAGTTTACATTAGCGAAGTATGTGTCTCTCATGAGATGAATGAAACCTCAAAGAAGAGAGTAGCACAATCTCAAAATAACAATAAAAGAAATAACTTCAGTGAAAACATTTGAACTGAATACTGCTATAGAATGACTTCTTTGAGTTGCATTTAGAAGTTTGTTTGATGAACAAAAGGGAACTTTCTATGGATATACAACTTCTTTATTATTAATGTAAACGACGTTTCGGTATAGATGCTAACACACTTTCTTGATATATCCATAGAACTTTCCCTGTTGTGCTATAGAATAAAATAAACTGAAGGCTCAAACACATTGCACATTATGCTGAGTTTAAGTCTTTGAGCAGTTCAATATCAACAGAATATCAACTGAATAAAAGTATCAAATATATAATAAACATGTATATCACATGACTTCACAGAAAAAAGAAAGTTTAGACAGTTATTTGTGTCCAGAATAACAAAGTATAAACGATATAGCCAATAATCAGTTAAAATGTCTCAAAGTATAAACAATGTAGCCAACAATCAATATATTTGTCACGAACTATAAACAATATAGCCAATAATTATTTCAATTGTTGCAAAGTGTAAACAATACTGTGAATAATCTGTTAAATCATATATTAAAGTACTGGCAATTTTGAGCAACTCTCTCTCAAAGTTCAGATGTCGCTTACTAAGGTCTCCAGGTGTTATCAAGGTAATTTGAAAGAGCTTAAGACCTGTCCTTAAAATGCAGTCCTGCTGTTCCCTTGAGTCAATGCCTGTAATAAATCTACACCTGGCCAAATATATTGTATGTCAATACCGTGACTACTGACCTGCAGGAAAACTGGGCCCAGGACGAATGACTTTGAATCCAGTATATGCATATGTGTAAAGTTGAAAAGTTGATTTTATGCCAGCAATAGACAAATCTGTGAGAACATACCAGTAATTACTTTTTTAGAAACAAACAACTCAGTTTAAATTGAATGGGAGCCCCATTGAGATTGAAGATTGAGAACCTGTGGAAAATCAAGGCTTACTTCAGACAGGGTTGAGTGAGTGCTTTTAGCAATATTCCAGCAATATCACGCCGGGGGACACACACCAGAAATGGGCTTCACACATTGTACCCATGTTGGGAATTGAACCCGGGTCTTCGGCGTGACAAGCGAACACTTTAACCACTATGCTACCCCACCGCTCCTCAGACAGGGTTGAAGCATTACAGTCATAGTATGGCGTTCACAACAGTACAAAGGTGATTTGGAATGACAAACATGGACTGAAGACAGAATTTTGCAGAAAAACTTATGAAATCTATCCTAAAATATATTGTTCACATAATTATACAAGTTATTGCTACATTAATTTTGGCTTAATTAATTGGATCGTGTTGACACATGTTAGTGGACTACATAACACCATGATAAACAATGAAAATGGATGATTGTCTCTAGTGGATGATAATTTCTTACAAGAAACACTAATATCTGGCTATTTATATTAACATGTACAAAGATTCATCCTGTGTGATTTGTCATTATTTCATGAAAAGATCGATAACATTTATTTTATACAAGCAGATTCAGATCTTCATTGGTATAAACACGTCAGACACTCGACAATATATACAAGTAACTCCCCACACTTCCACAGTTGAAGACAACACTCAACATATAATAAAACTGACTATTATGACTACTTCAACAGGAACACTTTCTTGCGCAGTATAAATTTTAGGGTAAGACTTCACTAAGCCTGACCTCCATAATGAAAGCTCAAATGAATCTTCTTGTTATGGGTTTTCATACGTTTAACCTTTGGTTTTTTTTATCATTGCATGAATAATTGTAAAACATACTAACTTATTAAAGACAACTTTATGTTAAACACAATCCATTTACTATGTCTGTGTGGCACAAGCCATCTCGTATAGGGACAACAAACACTGCCTTCCAAAAATGTGTGAATCCCAAAACATAATCTGAAGATAATAATTACAGAGTGTATATCTGGATAATTGTGACAGTTTGATACAGAAAATCTGAAAATTACTTTCTAGTGGATATATGAAACATTTGAAGACATTTTGTGTAGTGTTTCAAACAAAGAAGTATGTTGAATAGACAAAACAAAATATTTCAAGATGAGTATTTCCATTACAATTTTCAGATTCCAAAAGGGGAATCAAAATGAATATCTTTCAACAACCGTTCTTCTTCATCAACAGAGAACTTAGAACTTGATGTCACTGGCTTCCATGAAAGACAAAATTTCAATGTAATCAACACACTTGTAAATGAAAACTTTGCCAAGATAACAATTACACAGTAGTCAACTTACATTAAATACAATCTGTATAAACAAGATCTTCAACATCTCCTGCCTTAAAAGCATGGAGGAACAGTAAAGTGGTCATGAAAGCTATGAAAGGAACAGTCTATCAAGATAAGCCAAGATATGAAATACAACATTTTCTTTCTTTGATCCCTTTCAAGCATGTGCACAAATTTGCATGCGTTTCTCTGAATCGAGGTAAATTTTATCCATGAAATTAAAAAACAATTCCAAGCAAGGACAAATTCTGTAAGAAAAACAAACATCAACTTGATGTCATGTTCTCTGCTAAAATGTCTCATTCCGAAACATTGAAACGATACTTATTCTCGAAAGACAGAGAATATGAAAAATGAGTATCAAACCCAAGACCTATATAATGTTATATTCTGAGTTCTGAGGAGGTCGTCCCCATGTGACACTCCGACCTTGGCTGGAACAGCTGTGGGTGGGGGTGTAGTTGGGCGGGGGTGGGGTGGCCGCATACACACGACTGCCAGTGGCCTCGGCAAATGACTGACGGCGGAAGACTGGAGTACTATTACTATCCATAGACGTCTGCTGTTTCATGAGCGAGTTTGCACGCATCTGCTCCTCACGTTGCTTCTGAAGTGTCTGACGAAGAGTTCTACGTTTCTGGAGGAAAATATAAAATATATAATGAATATGCGGGACTTACAAAGAGTATCATAAATTCCACACAGTAATCATTGATTTTCACTTCACAACACTTACACAAAAATAGAAATAGCTTCTGCAAATAAAACACTAAGGTATTCATGAGGAAAGAAAGATATCGACTTGAAATAAGATTAAGTGAAAATGAACCAATAATTACCACAATATCCATTCCAGCCTTCAAGACACAAAATATAACCTATATGTACTCACAATATAAAAAATTGCAAGGAATAATTGTCCATTTCAACATTCAAATATCACAAAATTTTCATTAAATTTAGCATGAAAACAACTCCATAAAAAGCAAATTCAACACGTAGCTAATGTGCAGCAACATCTTGTGACATGTGACATTATGCATCAATATCTTGCAACAATAAACAAAGTTACCTCAATATTTACTAGGTAAATATTTACTGTTCAAGCCAGTGCATTTAATACCGCTAAGTGTGTTCATATTGCAATATCCGTACAAGCAGTGAAGATCACAAGTAAACAACGCCGTTGTCATTTTTGCCAGGCTCCGTCAGCTCATGAAGATACGCCCAAGTCTCCCGCAATTTCTTTTTTTTCTGCAAGTGGATAAAAATGGCCAACTATTTAGTATAAAAGCCAACACAGCTACTATTTCTACTTACAAAGAGCCCATTTGAAAAAATTGATGCATCTTGAACTGATCTCTTCCTGATTTCGCCAATGTCTCCAAAAGATTATATTTTATCTCTCAAAACAATAAGATAAATTAGAATGATTTTCGTAAAAAGAATGAAAATTTAAATACATGTACACATAAACTATTTCTCAATAAATTTGTTTTTAATCATCTTCAAACTAATTGAATGATAAAATGCAACATAACTTTCTGATTATATTTGGATATCAATAGAAAAACTTATTATTGATACTGATTCCTGACCACCACTTAGTCATCAATTTATTCAACAGGTGCTCTTTGTGCAAGTGTTAACCCCAGCCAGTGAGACCATGCAGTGAATTAGCCCTGCTCCAAGCAGCATGCCCCAGTCCGTGTCCCGTGTTAAAGAGCATCAACTCTATACAGCCCAGGTGGAGGGAGGCGGGGAAGGAAGGAAGAAAGGAGGAAGGTAGAGGGTGAGAGGACTGAAATAAAGAGTAGCATTATTGGTTGTCAAGACATATCTACAGACCTGTCACCTGGAATTTGTACGCTGACAATCAGGTTTGAGTAAAGTAGTCATATACTATTCAAAAGAAACTAAAGAACAACTGATTTTCATGTGACCATAGTTAAGTGTTTTAATTATTTATGTGTCTGTCTGTCCGTCCATCATCCATCCAGATGTTTTAAGGATTAAGCACAGTAAATAAAACTACATCAACAAAGAATCGGCAGTTCACGCATTTTCTCCAAAATTTACCTGTGATTGAGTGAAGAAATCCTTTGACAATATAAGGATCACAAAAGCTATATTCTGACATATGACAGTCAAACTACAACAAATTCAGCTTTCAGCAAGCCGATGTATGCCATTAATGATATGTGCATCAATTCCCTGTTAACACATTTTTTTCCCAAAGCATCAATAACGTTCATTGTCAATATTTTTTACAGTGAGTTGACAGTCAGTTCTAACACTATTTTGCCAAAATTAATATTAACCAAACTGAATGAAATTCCGAACGAAATTAATGAAATAGATCACAAACATGTATACAAGGTACACACTTCTATGACAGAATAACTTTAGTCATAAGAAAAATATGGATGTTCCTTAACTTCTTTTGAGCAGTATATATTCCATGGAAAAACTACCTACTCAGGTGAGCAGGTCAAATTCTACTAGTGTTTCGAGCAATGTTAATTGTTCATGTTAGTATCTATATTGTTCATAATTCAGTTAGAAACAGAAGAAGTGAAAAATAAACCAATATGTTTACAAACACATTGAAATTTGCATTAAAAAAAGAAAAATATTTAAAAATCTATCTTTTTGCAATATTTCAACAAAAAAATTGAAATCATATATTAGACATTTTCCAGTGACCAATATCAATCTTTATTCAGTGAACAAGTGGGGAGAATACAGACTATTCTGTAAGTGGTGAATTGAAGGCAAACGGCCACAGGCAAAACAGTAAACTTGTTCAATAGTAGAGGAATCCTTTACCAAGGCAACTCTAGCCTGTCTGACTTTGTAGACATGCAGCAATCAAAATGACCTCCTAACTGACAACTGTCCAATCTTTTCTATTAAAATAGATATCTCCTGACAGTGTTTACCTAAAATGACCTTTCAATGCCCTCATTAACCAATAGTTTTGACTGTAGCTTACAGTTATTCATGACACATGTATGTTGAAAGTAGTTTGAGATTGATATACTGAATTTCAGTATTTCATGTACACCTATTACATCATCAAAGGAAGTTTAATTTTTTAAAATTTTTTTGGTAAATTTAAATCTGCAAAACTAACAATGGTTCTTGAATGCTGTTATATAATAATGGACTAGTTGATTTTACTCAATTTCCTTCATTAAATGTCTAGGCTTACATTTCTTCCAGAAACTTTTCATCCATTTATGAAAATGTTCTAATGGAGTCTATAATTCATCTATATAGTGCTAAGACCCTCTCAGTGGCAAGATATACCTTGAAGCCAATTGTTCGTGTTACAAGCCCCTGTTTCTGAAGTGGACTCGTTTCATATGACCTGTGATCTCTACCCATGTGTTTGGATAATGAAGGGCAAGTAGGGTCATATACATATCTTACGTATGTCTCACAACATGGACAACATTGTCATGGATTGTGAGAGACACTATTGTTACATTTCCTGTGTTAATTGATACTCTACAGCATCATGGTTCAATTCATCCTGAAAATGTCATGCTGCAAACAAAAAATCTGCCTTTAAAAGCCTTAAAATTTGATTAAGCCTAGAATAAGCCACTCCCAAAAATCCACACATCTTCCCAAAACTGTTACTTCCAACAAAAATCGACTTAATGCCTGCCATTCTAGGTGAGAATATAAGGGCTCTGAACATTTTCAATGTGTAACATCTTGGCTCCCCTGTCCAACCAAAACTTGCTTTCATTCTGTTATAAGTGATAAATACACCCACTGATGTCAAGGCCATTCGATCCTGGCTCATAATGTCATTTACTGGATTGTCTAGTCCAGACTCCATTATATACAGACTGCTGCTGGAAAATTGCTGAGTGTGGCGTTAAACAACAAACAAATATGAAATCATTTTCATATACATTGAGATTTAACACTGTGTTTATCACTTTGTCTATATCAGTCTTACAGCATGGCCCTTGTTTGACATTAGTGACATGAAGAAAATCCACATTAACCACAACACAGTATGAGACTTATTATCCAGATGATTCTTACAGAAAACATGTGAATTATCATCTGAGTTTATCAGCGTTCGAAATACCTGCCTGCCCGACTGCCCAGGACGGGTTATTTTCAACATCGACTGCCAGATTCTCAAATTTACCTGCCCGGTGGTTGGGTAAAAATTTACACATGTATATGAAGATATTTTGTGGGCAAGTAAGTTTTGGTCAGGGCTGGCAAGTTTTACATCTAACCAGCCCTGTGGTCCGGCTGAAAGTTTTGGGAGTTTCATACCCTGAGTTTATGTTTCATGATTAGTTATCAGTCAAAATCAAGTTTCACCATTAAGGCTAAAATCAGTTTTGAATACAGTAGAAACTTTTAAAAAGTATTCAAATGTAACAAATGTTTCAAGAAAGCATAGTCCTAAACATAACAACAGAGTCCGTTTGTTGACAAACCTGATTATGCCAAAGCCCCTAAATGCAAACCAACAATGGCAAGTTGTGAACGTAATCAGTCTTTGCAGCATGGAAAGATGAGGTTGCAGGATTATTTCTCTAGCCTTGGGCAGTTATTGTTTTCAGGACAAGCCAACTCATGCTGGGAGATGGAATCCCTACCGAAACCTTGGCAGAACATCCTACAGATAAGTCTAGTTTGCCTGTGGACAGGCGCCTTCCTCAATGGCAGTTGAGGGTTCCTGTTGGTAGAAAGGTTTCACAATCTGGGGATACTAGATCTATTAAAAGTTTAACCAACAAAATATTTGTCTATTAGGCCTATAACTTAATCCTTCAGAAAACAGGTACTGTCAAATCAATCATTTGGAACTGTATCAGAGGTGGAAGCTACCGCTGTCAAAACAACTGATCTCTGGGAGATGGATGTAAAATATGGATTTGGAACTGAAATATAAATTTGAATATATATTGTGGAACAGGATAAAAGATGCAGTTGATGGATTTGGATAAGAAACTCAGATTTGGAGTTGGATATAAAATGCAGATTTGGATATAAAATATGGATTTGGATATGAAATATGAAAAATATTGCTATGAGTGTTCTACAAATGGACAAGCAAATGAAATTAACATATTTTGTGAGTATATATCCAACTTCTCATCAAAGATGAACTGTTTCAAACTGGGTCTACTGGTATGTAACTGTAACAAACCTATAACTACATATGCTATGTCAAGCTTAACCATAGATCAGGTCTGATATATGTATTAGTAGCTGAAAATATAAGAAGAAATATGGCTGAGCAGAATCAAAGGATCAGCACGACTCGAATAATTATTCTTTTTCTCCATGCATCGACTGAACAAACACTTGTTCTTAAGATCACATGACCAATTTGAAAGAGGTTAAATTTGGTTACATTTTTAAATTCCAAAATTGGCATCACTGATCTTGGCTACAGACGCTATGTTTATGAATGGCAACTTGATATGAGTCTGTTTTGCATTCACTATCAACAGGCAGTAAGTGTATATAAATGAAACAAATGTGTCAAACAAATTAAAAACTATTTAATTTGATAACAGACTATGTCGTAGTTCATTCATGAATTATATCATATTACATTATTATAAAAATGTTCAGATACAGAATTTTCAGAGTATTACAAATACATTGTCCTAACATCAACCTCGATCATTCAGGGTGACATAGTCATGATCACTGGAACGTTTCATAGTCATTTGCAGACTAACCTTGCTTCATATCTTGCTTCATATCTTACAATAACTATCTAATCAAATGACTGCTTTGGGAAGGGAAGATAACTCTGAAGATTAACATCAAAGCTTGATGCAGTTATCCAAAGATTTTACAAATGTCATTTTGGAGACACCCCAATAGGGCTGACTAAACATAATTATAATCTGAAATATTGTAATGGGAGGGATCATTATAAATGATCAATATGCAAACTGTGTCATTGATGACATCTTACATAAACTATTGTGATAAAACAAGGACTTCTCCCCATGGTGATAATCAGTGTCTCCATGCTTCTCCAGCAATGCTCTGTGTTAGTAGATATACAAATAATTGTAAATATATGTCCAGAGCAATGAACTTTAAACCAGCACGAGTATTAACACCATGTTGTTCTTACATAAGATATGAATCATGGTTACTCGGGTAATGACAATGAAACTGTCACCCATCTTGATGGAGAATGTCGTCAGTTTATGTACTTGTTACAACAGACAAAAGATGTCAAATCAGCAAATTTTGTCTTAAATTCTTAATAGCAATGCTTTTTAAACGTTAAGTCAAAATGATCTCATGTCTGAAAAAATATGAATTACACTGAAATCCTCAGCATGGACTTTTCACCTCATGCACTAAATAATGTATGGACCATAGTCTGCTATCCACAAACATATGAAGAAACATTCCCCAAACCCATGCAACATGTTAGGCAAGTAGAGCATGCTGTATGTGGCAGTAATCAGAAGCTTCGTATAAACAGTATGATGTATTTCAATGTTACGTCAATACACATTATGTTCAACAGCATCAGATAAATAATCCAACTTTAGTAATTTCCACAACACAAGGAATATGTTGTGTATATGCCACTCAATAGGTCATATATTATGATATTAAACAATATAACAAAGAATCGAAAGAGTGCACATTCATGACAGTTCATTTAAGTAGAAAGACTTGACACTGACATGACACTCAACAGAACGACATACAAACAACAAAACACATTCACACTGCAGACTCATAGACATTGGCACTATTTCCAGGAACCTAGGTCAAATACTTGATAAGCCAAAAGATAATAAGTAATTCTTATTTTATATTACCAAATATACATTATAATAATTTCATTTACTTCAATAATTACCCTTGTCTCTTTGTTTTGATGTGTAGTCACAATTACCATCCTTAACAGTGAAGCAAGTTAGCCCACCACACAAAGGCCTCAGACAGGAACAGTTTCCATTTTATTACAATTAAAGAGAATTTCAGACATAACCCCAAACAGTAAACCAGCAGAAAGACAACAGAATAAGATGAGTTTGAAAAACTCATAAAGTAAAAATCGTGGTTTTCAATGTATTCGAAATCACGACAAGGACAACTACAGCACACACCAGCAGACTCTGTGTATTATTTTTCTAATTCATATTGGAAACATTGACTACTTCCAGTCTAATACAAGCATAATATACTCTTAAATAGGTAAATATGTCTCCAATATTGCAACATCATGCACACAATACATTGATACCTTTCACACATTTTTAAAGATTTATACCAAACAACATAAATGATCCCAAACACTCTCTACACACACATTTATATTCCCTTACGAGAGTTCTGACAATCTGCTCTACTGGTTTACTGCTTGAGCCTGCAGACACTGAACACTTACACAACACCACAAGCACCTGCCACAGGCACACCAGCACAATGCCTGGTCCTACTCACCTCTATGTTGCCACGCCACCTGTCGGCTGCATTACGGGCCAGCTCCAGCTCCTTGTCCTTCAACCCACGGTGTCGCTTGTATGCAATCTCCACAAATATTAACAGCACACCCGCAACAATGCCACCAGCTACCATCATGAACACACCTGGAATTAAATGAGGAATTGAACATACCATGTCCTGTGCATTCTTGACTACAATGATGATCATCAATATTATCATCACCACCATCAGTATCAGCATCATCATCATCATCATCACCATCATCATCATCATCATCATCATCACCACCATCCTCCATATCAGCAGCAGCATCACTACCCTCAAAATCATCATCATTGCCACCCTCATCATCACCATCCTCAATGTCACCATCACCATCATCATCAACATCATCGCCACCATCCTCATCACCACTCTCAATGTCACAATCATCATCATCATCATCATCATCATCATCATCAACATCATCGCCACCATCCTCATCACCACTCTCAATGTCACAATCATCATCATCATCATCATCATCATCATCATCATCATCATCATCATCAACATCATCGCCACCATCCTCATCACCACATCTCAATGTCACGCCTCCTCTTCATAGTCATCATCATCATCATCATCATCATCATCACCATCATCATCATCATCATCATCATCCTCATCACCACTCTCAATGTCACAATCATCATCAACATCATCATCATCATCATCATCGCCTCCTCTTCATACTCCTCATCATCATTGCCACCCTCAATATCATCATCATATCTTCATTGATACCTAATTCTTAACTCATCATCCCCAATACCATCCTCATTATCCCCCAGTCTCCTCCCAGACACCTACCGGCCATGTTGGTGAGTCCGAGGGTGGCTGGGGCAGAGTCTCTCTGGGGACAGGCTGAAGTACTCTCCGCCAGGATCCACTCATTGTCCAGCTCCTCCATAAAACCACCTGTATACAGACAGGACCCCTCTCAACTCTAGATGCATATTGATACAGGCGACACATGCAACATGCCTACTTGCATTTCACATAATGGATGACAATATGCTACTTTATGCTAAAGAAGCATGCATGCAAGAATGTATTCAAAGCTAAAAAGAAACAATTTATCTTGTCTCCACTGGATGAAAAGTGTTAGCATTCAACTGTTTAACCAAACACTTAAACTGAATAAGACCTTGTTGATTGCTAGAGTCAACAGAAAATGAACATGTTCCAGTGGCAGAAGGCTGTCCTGTTAATTTAGTTACTTACGTTCATGCAAAGTAAGGATAGCAAGTGAGACTTCATGTGTCCATGGACTATTTTTGCGGAGCCCAATGCCAAGACCGGAACGTCCAAACAGTTCCCCTGCTGTGACGAGGTCGCAGTCTCGGGCTGCCTCATACTCCAGGCGTGGTGAGTCCCAGATGAAGGCCTGGAGGTCTCTGTCAACACAGGCACACTTAATGAGTCAACACAAGCACACTCATTCAGTCAACATGGGCAATCACCATCAGGAAACACAGGCATGGCATTCAACAACAGGAAACACAGGCACATTCATTCAGTCAACAATGGGCAATCACCATCAGGAAACACAGGCATTCAACAACAGGAAACACAGGCACATTCATTCAGTCAACATGGGCAATCACATCATCAGGAAACACAGGCATTCAACAACAGGAAACACACAGGGCACATTCATTCAGTCAACATGGGCAATCACCATCAGGAAACACAGGCATTCAGCATCAGGAAACACAGGCACATTCATTCAGTCAACATGGGCAATCACCATCAGGAAACACAGGCATTCAACAACAGGAAACACAGGCACATTCATTCAGTCAACATGGGCAATCACCATCAGGAAACACAGGGCATTCAGCATCAGGAAACACAGGCACATTCAGTCAACATGGGCAATCACATCAGGTACATTCATTCAGCATCAACATGGGCAATCACCATCAGGAAACACAGGCACATTCATACAACAGGAAACACATCAGGCACATTCATTCCATCAACAGGGGCAACATCAGGAAACACAGGCATTCATTCACAACAGGAAACACAGGCACATTCATTCAGTCAACATGGGCAATCACCATCAGGAAACACAGGCATTCAGCAACAGGAAACACAGGCATTATACAACAGTATCAGGAAACACAGGCACATTCATTCAGTCAACATGGGCAATCACCATCAGGAAACACAGGGGCATTATAGCAACAGGAAACACAGGCACATTCATTCAGTCAACATGGGCATTCAATCACCATTCAGGAAACACAGGCATTCATCACACAATCAGGAAACACAGGCATTCAACAACAGGAAACACAGGCACATTCATTCAGGTCAACATTTCCATCAACACAGGCAATTCAGCATCAGGAAACACAGGCATTCATTCAGTCAACAGGCAAACACAGGCACATTCATTCAGTCAACATGGGCAATCACCATCAGGAAACACAGGCATCATCAGGACAACAGGAAACACAGGCACATTCATTCAGTCAACATGGGCAATCACCATCAGGAAACACAGGCAATACAATAGAAACTAACATGATATGGAACAGGTTTCAATTTCTGGATTTACAAAAACATGTAAATAAGAAAAACATTTCTTACACACCTTAGACACACACACGAAATACTATTATCCCCTGTGACTATCCTCACCCATCTCTGACATCATCAATGGCCTCTTTGGCAGTGGCATAGTTGATGTTCTCCATGGTGCGGTACATCGTGGACAGCTCTACCTGACGCTTGAAATACATCTCCACAGCACTGCCCTTCACGGTCGCATACCGGAAATTCTCATTGGGATTTCTCAACTGAAATGAAATAAAGACAATTATCACCGGATTCAGCAGTACAGTATTTTCTGATGAGCAGGAATATTTCATCCTATTATTGTTCTCACATAGGATGCAAATACATTTCCTCAAACACAATGAAAAGCTGGACAATGCCAAAAGTACAATCTATTTAAAAAATGATTTTTATCCACGCTTAATTGTTTTGCGATGTGTGCACTGAGCTGTGACCATTAGAAAATAGTACCATGTAGGTTTGTTATTGGTCAAAGACCAGGGAAACAGTAACAAAACGACTCACTCAAATACAGCTTATCGTAATTTTTAGCCAATTTTCCACAAAGATGATGACACAAAATTTTGCATGGCGTACACACTGCCTACACTCTGTGCCTACATCTGGTCATCATGGGTGTATCGAGGTAACGTACCCTGGGGTCGTCGATGCCGGAGATGGAGGCTTCTGGTCTGTCCAACACCAGGAAGGCAGCCAGGTTGGCAGTGTATGAGGCCACGATGATCATAGCAAAACCTGCCCACACCATGCCCAGCACACGGGCACTGAAACTTCGGGGTGTACCTGTGAAACATACGATATGGTTACTAACAATACATGTAAACGGTAGGATTATTATGTTTATATTTACTGCAATTGGTCTTTATGAAGTTTTTTTTATTATCGGTTGAAAAAATGAGAGCACATTATCAGTATAACATCAGAAAAATCCAGACAGCCACACATACACATGTGCAAATTCAATAATCTTGAATGAAATGTCAAACCAAATTGAATCCACTCTGTAGGCATTACAATGACTCTACGACCACTACATGATATGCTGTAGATGAATCCACTCTATAGGAGATACGATGACTCTACAACCACTACATGATATGCTGTAGATGAATCCACTCTATAGGAGATACGATGACTCTACGACCACTACATGATATGATGACTCTACGACTACTACATTATATGCTGGAGTTGAATCCACTTGCCTTCCCCAATACCAGAGTTAAGCAGCACTCCCCAGGCAAACCACATGGCGCTGGACAGATTTAGGGCGTCCTCCTCCGTGTCATCACTCTTGGCCAGCTTGAAGCGGCCGAACGGACTGAACCTGTCCAGCAGATACAAGACCAGCGCCACCACATGGACAGACAGACCGACCAGGATCCACAGAGTGTCTTGGAAGGGCTGGAGGAAGGAGGCCAGGCTCGAGTCCTTCTGGGTCTGGAACAGAACATAGGAGACATAGGTTCACTTTCAACTGAAGGTATATAATAAAGCTAGTTACTGGCTATCAAATTCTCACACCACTCCCTGGACCAGTTCTTGGTTGTGGGCAAGAAAGACTGTAGAGAACGGATGAGTTTACACAAATGAAAACATGAATTCATTTGGGTAGACTCAAGGAGAGAACAACATCCATAAATGACTTTCTTGATACAGTACACTGGGTTATAATAAACTCAAGGGACTGAGTTTTTAAAACCACAGTCTGTTTTTCGTATTTCTACTGAAATATACAGCAGGACAAGAAAACAAAATATATCTGTTTATAAGCATGTTTGTTATAAACTTGTATGCATGTTTGAAGTGGATGGGCTAAAGAAACTGGATATTGGTAAGGTGTGCGAAAAATAACAAATATGTACCTAATGACCGTATAGGACCTGTGTAGGACCACCTTTATATAAATGATGAGATTTTGATTCATGACAAGTTAATTTCTCAACTGACCTTTTTGACCAGTATAGTTAGGCCCTGGTACTTGAAGGGTTTTGTGAAGTCTATGAACTTGGCCCTCTCTGGGTTGATGGTTAGTGGAGCAACAATCATGTCTGCCTCGTTGTCCAACAACTCTCCCACCATCCCGTTCCATCGCTTCACCTTCGAACCATTGTGCTGAAACACAAGCTACAGAGATCAAGACATTGTCTATCAGAGGTACGATTAACCTCATCAAAATCCCAATTTATACAGGTCAGGATGCCATTGTACAAACAGATCTTACGCTGATCGTAACTCCTGACTTAAGTGGATGATGAACCTCATCGAAAAACATGTTATACAGGTCAGGGTGCACAAACAGATCTTAGTGTTAAGTTGATCGTAACTCCTGACTTATGACAGTTGTAGCTCTATGGTTGTTTTGTAGAAAGGAACCCAGGACCTTGTCAAACTGAGACATGATGAAACACAGAACACAGAGATCACAACCTTGTTAAACTAGGATCAAGGAACAACATCAAACGAAGGACATACACAGATTACGGCATCTGAATGAGGTACAAAACACAGGACATACAGATCACACTTACCAAGGTAGCGGACTCACCCTTTCAAATGATCCGTAGAGTCCATCGTGACTGAGGTGTATGGTAAAGGTGAAGTTGACCTGCTTGGCAATCTCCTGCAGCATGTCCATACAGTAGCCTGTGCAGCACTGGAGCTCGTTCTCCCCTGACATACACAACAGGTGATTGGGATGATACGATACATATCGCCATTACTTCATTATTTTATCGGAATAAACACTACTAATAATGCTTGAAGCCACTTGAATATCTGGTGTTGTATTTCAAAAGGAAAGATCTTATTGCAAATATTACTATATTTCAGATAAGATCCTAGAAGTTTGGTGAAGAAACAAGCAGCGGTTTTAAAGTTCTGATGAAATGCAAACCAATGATTTCTGTTTTAGTCAAACTTGTATCATGGAAAACAAAAACATTTTATTCAGAATTCCAAAATATATGCACCAGTACACCACCAAAATCAAATGAAGAAACTCCGGTTTTAGAAAATTCAAAAATGAGTCCACCAAATTAATAATGAATGCAATGGAAACAAAAATATTTTATTCAGAATTCCAAAACTGTGACCAGTAGCACCAGATGTTGTATCATTTGACAATATTCTTCACTTCTCAATACATCTATGAATTATAGTATCCCTCAAGTTACCATGGCCATGTTTGCCTTGTGCATCATTAAGACGTAGATTGATACTCATATTCCAGAAAAATACTAAAATTATTAAAACAACAGAGAAAGTCTCAGTTGTGTTAGATCGATGCTCATGTTGTTGATCACCGGATTGTCTGGTCCAGACTTGATTATTTACAGACCGCTGCCATATAGCTGGAATATTGCTGAGTGTGGCGTAAAACTAAACTCACTCACTCACTCAGTTGTGTTAGACAATTCAGCATTAGGTATGCAATGCAGCATTAGGTTTTGGTGAAGAAATATTGTATGAAGTTTAATGTGAGGGTCAAGTCATTATGGACATGCCAATCTTTTAAATTTGATGCCTTTTACATGAACCCTCTTGTATTGACCATTCCAATGACATACAGATCAAAGATTGTTACCAGTGGTTTTATTCTGTTGTGTGCAGGGGAAGACTTGCTTGTCATCATACGATGGGCAGACGCCATTTGGCAGGGGGTCCTCCACCTCAACAAACGGCATCTCGGGGATTGTTACAATCTGTCAACACACATGGGTACTGTAGTAACTTGAAGAGAAAACTTTGCAGTATTCAAAACACAAATCAATACAAGTGAGAAAATGGTGCTTGGAAACTCATGTACTGTTGCCAAGCGTTGTACTGTTGTTTTCAAGGGGAAGTCACTCTTATGACCGTGTGTGATAATATTTGCCAAGAACATAACAGTTGCAACATAATGGCCATGGCTAATTGAGAGAGTGAGTGAGTTAAGTTTTAGCTTTGTTATAGTAAGAATCATAATACATTCATGCTTAATATCAAAACTGCATACATATTTAACTTCATGAGAACATTTAATATTGAACAACGCTTGAATATTGGTACCAACCGTCAAATTACGAGATATCTTCTGACCCTTTGGTCTGACCTTGACCGCTCCTGGCCATGTGATCTCATGCATCATCCTCAGGGGCTCCTCGATTGGCTGAAAATAGATTCCTCTCTCAACACAAGAATCACCCTAGCACAAAATATATCCAGCTCTTATCATTTACTACATTGTAACTGCATATGTAGTAAGGCAATGAGCACTATCACTGAGGTTAAACAAAATAAAGAGGGAGAACCACTTGCTAGTAGAACAGCCAGGTGTGCGAGTTGTATGTGTGAAATTGAAATTGCACTGCACACCCTTGTTGATTACCTGGCTGTCCTACCAGCAATTGGTCCTCCCTCGTAATAAATAGCGAAAAGTAACAACAAAATAATGATCGTTTGTTAAACAACTTTTTTATTCGGGTGTCCAAAATTATGAGATAAATCATCAGAGTTGGTCTGTCGATTTCATGTGACTGTGCAAAATTTGGTTTTGTTGCAATTATTAGATTTTGTGTTAGTGAGCAATTCATCAGTCCAAAATCAAGTCAAACGGACTATACAACACATTTATAAATGCCTACACACCTTAATATCTCCGTACAGTCCCACAGCAAATGCTTTGCCATCCTGGTTGATGTTACGTATCTCGTACGAAGGGTTCTGTCTGTCACCATGCTCATCAAAGGTCACCAAACCTGTCTGACCGTGGGTCAGCTTTGTGTCTCGCAGTTTCCTAAATAATTTCCAGAATACAACAAATCATTTCTTGTGAATTTTTCCGGGAGATTATCTTAATGACATATTTACCTTTACTGTAAAATGTAAGGTTCACATAGCAGTTCATTAAAATATCGAAAAGATGCAAATCTTAGCCTCTGTCTACTTCTACAATGTCTGACCAGGCCTTCACAGTTTGCAGTCCCAGTTATGGAACTCTCTGCCATCTGAACTAAGAAACATCAAATCCAAAGACCTTTTCAAGTCTCTCCTTAAAACCCACCACTTCCGTCCAGCATTCCACTACTCTTTCAGGAATGTGGGTAAATATGTGCATGGATTTGGTTTTAACTTTGTCATAGCGTTATTAGAGCCAGTGAGCACCTGTCGATAAATACTAGGCGCTTTAGAAATCAATTATTATCATTAAATTATTATTATCACCATATCCCCCTAAGACAACCATTATTGCCACATACCTCATGATGGTAGTTCCATCCCCCCAAGTCCTCATGTCTTTGCAAGCAGTAGGTGGCGCTGTGATATTTCCTGTTCGGAGTATTTCTGAGAATGCAAGTCCAACAACAGTGACGCTATCCTTGATGTGGGCCTCTTCATCGGTTCCATTGTTAAGATACACGCCAAGCAGGCCTGGAATCACATGTATTCAGTTACATCCAACACACAAACAAGAGTCATCAGGAGATGACAAATCCCCTGGGCCCCCACAAATTTGAAACAACAAATCATCTGACAGTTACTTAAAGTCCAACTAAGATAAAGTCCAACTTGATAGAGATAATTTCTGTCTAAATTGTGTATACAAGATAATATAGTAGTAATTGATGCTGTCAAAACAATAACTTAAAATGGAATTGACGGTTATGATTGCTATTAAAATATGATTTTTAAAGAAAATAACTTTGTACTTCATCGAATCGAATGTCGATTACACACCAATATCAAAGTCAAAGGAAAACATACAAATTTTACAAATCCCTAACAGCAAAAAGGCAGCAGTTGACACCCTGGTTTCTATTTGTGCACAGTTTTAGACTATATTCTTCTGGCATATCATCGGGGGGGACAAAATTGTTTATATTATGTTTTCAACAATCATCTGATAGCATACAAAACATGTTACACATGAAACTAGAAAAGAATGGTAAATATTGTAATTGCAAATCACACTAATCTTTAAAGGTACTTTTTTCAGCAGAGTCTGATACTTTCTTGTTACAATGAATTTTTTTAATACTTTTTTTATCCATAAAACCACATATTCGTAACTAGTTCTAATATTTTAAGGAAAACTGAACCAATGTCACCTGATGGAATGAAATCTTTAATACAGATGTCTTTCTCAGCAGTGTGAAAACTTCATGATGTATACAAAACACTGAGATCTCTCTTATACTAGGAACCATCTGTTTAATACATGATACTTTGTCACAGCCAGTAGAAAAAATGAACCAATCCACAAAGCGTTCATAACATTACGGCCTATTACAACTGTTTTCTTTATCATAGGCTTACGATTGGCATAGGGCTACGAAGATTTTGTGGATTGGGCCCCAGGGGCTTAAAAACTTGCTCATAAAGTGATATTTGGCCCTAATTTGGCAACAGATGTAGGTAAGTATTTCCAACCTGGAATTTGCGAACTCATGATATTCCATTTTGACTTGTACTTCAATGATATAAAGACCAGTAAAGGTAAAGGATATTTCTACTTTACTTAACATTATTACACAGAACGTAATTTTATTAATGAAAATATAATTCTAAATTTCAGAAAAAACATTTTATCTTAAAATCCCAAATTTTGAAAAACAATGAATTTATCCCAATTCACATACATGCAGCACTTACTTTATAAATGATGATATGCTTTAACTATAATAGTTCAGGGCGAAAGTGTGCTTTATTACACTATAAATGGTGGTAGAGCGAACTGTATTTCTTTTCTAAGATGCCAAATTTACTACTTTCTAAGTATAATTACGATTAATCTAAGGCAGAAAACAAACGACGGTGTCGGTGACCTAAGTTAAGAGTTCTGTTGATGTGTCTGGCCCCCTACGTTAACACGAACGTTACCAGAAAATACAAATGATAAACAGTTTGATGATGGTTTACGTTCGGATTAAATATCTTCTCTAAATTATTTTAATTCAGTCTGTGATTAACGTAAACCATATGGGACAATATGAACGTCGCATTTCTACTACCAACCTAAGTTTAGATCAGTACATCCAGATGAAGCTGAGTAGTCAAGCGACATTCCACGATTGCATTGTGGGAATGTAAACATTGCGAACGTTACCGTGTCGCTGAAAACTTGTGAGTCGAATTGACACATTTTAACCGTCGGAAAACATAAACATAATGTTTCCACCAGTGGGGTTAGCTGCGTGAAGCAACTGCAAACCAAGAAATGGGATGCAACAGAGTAGTTTACTGTAGGAGGCCGTATGAGGTGATGACAACTTACATGCATCGTGTCGTCGCTTACATTGTGACGTAATGCAAAATTGTTCGATTACGAGGTGGCAGACTAGAATGGCGCAGTGACGCCAATACATTGTGACGTAATGCAAAAAGTGCACATTATCGTCTGATAAAGTATTGTCGGCGCCTTTGATCTTTCACCGAAGCATCTTAGAATGTCAAATAGAACATGTTACAAACATTGAAACCTTTTTGCTGTATAAAACATTTGTTGTACGTACCAACAGGGGCATTGTAGGCTTTGAAGGCTAGCTCTGTGGCGAACCAGGCATAGTCCTCCCCAGTCAGTCCCAGGTTCTCGGCATCTTGGAATATCACCTCTGCATCATCAGTCCTGTCAGACAAAGTGGGATGGATTTAATGCCACTTTGAACAATATTCCAGTGTTATCATATACCTATATTGCTCTGCTACTAAACTGGTACGGAATGAATACACACAAACGCTTGAAACTTCAATAGACGGTGCCGAGTATATTTCAGAGTTACGCCCCTTGATGTGGTATATGATAAAAAGGTTCAAAAGGACCCCAGGCTCACATGGTAGTCTCGGGCTGATATGACTGGCGAAAGGAATTCTATCATGTAACAACCTCTAAAAGGGGTGGAAATAACCCATTGCCCGATGCCCGAGTCCAGTGTTTTTTTCTGTTGGGCAAGCAAATTTGTATATCACTCTGTACCGGTGTCCAGTTGACTTTCCAATATTAATTATGTTGTTTATTAAAAAAATCAACAAGAAAACGGCCGGTATAGTGGAAAAATTATCAAGTTATTTCCACCCCTGTTTAATATTACAGCATGTCAGTTTGATATGGGAGGCATGCTTTAAGTGCAAATTTCAGACTTTTACCACCTCATGCTTTAACTATAATAGTTCAGGGCAGAACTGTACTTTATTACACTATACATGTGAGCAGAGCAACCTGTATTTCTTGAGTCTGGTCCAGACTCGATTACATACTGCCATATAGCTGGAAGATTGTTGAGTGCAATGCCAAAAACAAACAAGAAATTACTTTGTAAAAGAGATCCAAGATCACACAATCTGTAACTCAATGCTGAATTGCGTCAACAACAGATTGATGAAACTACGGCTACACCCTACAAAGTGCCTATGTGGATGAGTGTTACAGAGCGACCAGACTGGCCAACACCTGGTCATGCTCCGCACGATGTAATGAAATACTTACGATGCAGACAGAAGCACCACTCTGGACTGGGCCTGCACAGTCCTAAACAAGTCGTTGGTGTAATTAGTCTGGCCGGGGATATACTTGACAGTCATCTCAAGCTGGATATAGAGTTACAGTAAATCATTTCAACTGAAGACAATTTAAGAAGTTTCATAGACAATACACACAATGACATACACAGCAGTTACTTTCATTCAAGCACACTACTGACAAAATTATCATATCATTCTCAGCTCTAATAATACTACTGCTACTACTACCACTGCCACTGCTGCTGCTGTTACTACTACTGCTACTGCTACTGCTACTGCTACTACTACTACTACCACTGCCACTGCTGCTGCTGTTACTACTACTGCTACTGCTGCTGCTGCTGCTGCTACTACTACCACTACTACTACTGCTGCTAGTATGACTGCTACTGCCACTACTACTGCTACTATGAATGCTACTCCTTCTGCTACTACAACTACTACGGATATTAATAATCATCAAAAATTGTCCCCACTGAGAAGACGACCAGACTGAAAGACAGAGGGACAGATGGATGAACAGACAGATATCCCAAATATCCAGTATAATCATATTAAATGGATATATGTATCGTGCAACATTCCATCACTGATGCATGCTAAAACCGCTAAATAATATTCCTCTGTCTATTGTGTGCACTCAGTCTATAGCTCCTTGAGGAGTAGACAAAGAGGTATTTTAGGCCAGACCAATTTTATTTCTTGTTTTACGGATTTTTGTCCTTAGAAAACCTAAAGGCAGGAGGGAAAAAAAACAAAAATAAAATCACCAATGAAATTAATCTTCCTTCTAAATACTCAAAGTATGTTACTTTTGGCAATTTATGAAGTGTATATGGGGAAAAAAACAATCTAAAAACAAAATGTCTTGTATACATGTATTTATATTTTTGGCCAATAAAGTCATTAGGATTTATTTTTTTGAGCAGGGAAAATTGATTTATATTTTTTTTCTTATTCTTGAAATAATATGGCAGGCGGATCCGTAAAACAAGAAGTAAAATTGGTCTGGCCTTAAGACGTTTATACAGGCTCACTGTTGGCACAAGATAAATGGAACACACTTCCATGTGTTGACAGAATGCACAATAATTCTAGTCAATCATTCTTCTCTGCCTTCTAAAAATATTACATTGTATCTTTGAATACACTTCATGGTAGCACCTCCTACCTTGATTTTAAGAGGTTCGGCTAGTGTCTGGAACTGGCTGAGAATGGCCCGCCCTTCTTCGTCTGAGCTGTGGATGAAGATGACCTGTGACCACTCAAAGTACTGCAGCAAGGCAATCCACACATCAGCCTGGGCAGAGTAGGGGGGCACGGTGCGCAGGAATGTCCCGTGGACATTCTGTACAGGTAGGAAGATATCTCAACAACGGGTTCATTACAAATCTTGTCAACAAATTCCAGAACTTAGGAAAACATGTAATTGAAAAGTAACAAATATGTGGCATTTAGAAATTGAATACAATTATAGTCTGTTTGCGGTGAAAACGTACCGATGAATTTCACTTTAAACAAAAAAATCAAATAAAGTGAAATTAAGATTGCGAATCCTCATAATTTTACCTTGCCATTTGAAAATTTAAATCTCAGAATTTTATTCAACTTGGGGTGAAAGTTGTTTAAGTTGTTTATTTAATGCAAACCAATATAAGCAATTTGAAACTATGATCGTTTGTTAAACAACTTTTTTCATAAGTTCAATAAAAATGTAAGATTTAAATGTTCAATTGGCAAGGTAGACTTATGAGGATTCGCAATCTTAATTTCACTTTATTCGATTTACATTTTTGTTTAAAGTGCAATTCACCGGTACGTTTTCACTGCAAACAGACTATATGTAAAAACACGATTGTCTGTGTACAGGAGGAAACATATGAACATAGTATTTACAAAATGTCCTACAGGAGCTTCTTGCTTCTTTTTAAATAACAGATGCAAGACTTAAACTAAAAGAGATTCATCAGACTTTCCAGGAAAAGACTAGAAATTATTAAGACATGAAAGTATCAAGTACCCAATGAAATTATCATATTTCTAAATGTGTATAAACTTTAACACTCAGGATTTGGAAAGTTATACAAGTCTGACCGTGTCTGAGAAAGCGCTGTCCCTTGCTGCAATTCCAATCACAGGTATGTTGTAGAAGCCACAGGTGTAGGACACCGATATTGGTGACTGGTCACTGGCGTTTGGATGACTGGCAATCACAGTGTATACTGTCTGAGGTAACAAACGGTCACACACATCCAGAGCTGACCGAATAGGATTAACATCCATTGCTATAGACGTGGAATTGAAATAGACATCACCTCCAAGCCGCAAATCATTTAAATGGTCCACTGCATTTTTAAACACTTCCTGGTTCCTTTCAGAACTCAACGCAGCGCCGATGGTGATTGTTCGCACGGCTGATGCCGAACCCAAGAGAAAACTTAAAAGCAATATCAGAGCTGACTTCATCTTGCTGAAAAAATAGGTTGGAAGACCAGGAAATTGTCTGCTACTGTTGCCTTTACTTCATCTGCAAACTGTCACCTGCAAGATCAAATCAATACCTTTACATCACAGGCTAGGCCTACCTTCACGCTGTGTTCACTGCTAACACAGAGAGCCTGAGGAAAAATTTGAACGTGAAATTTTAATGTCTTATTATGTCGCTGTCAAGCAGTGGTAGGAATTGGCAAACAGTCTTAATAATTCATCTTGCTCATGATCTTTCTTTATAAGAAGGTCTTTTTTGTAATTTTGATTGTTCAGCCATGAGCGAATCTGGCATTTGAGTAATCTAGTAATTTTTCATGGACTTTTCAAGATAATATCCATGTAGCTGGGAAATGAACCAAAAGCACATATTAAAAATCATCATGACTGCAAACATTTAAAGATAATTCTCAAAAACAAACTTGCTCAACATTTTCAGCTACCAATCAAACAATGATTTTTAATAATGTAAAGAGAGTTGTTCTAAAAAATTATTTTTCTTTATTGTGTTTTTGACAATCATATACTCATGCCAATAATGGTTGTCACCCCACTCCCCACCCCAACCCCCACACCCCACCCACCCTCTCCAATAAAAAAAATTGAAGGGGGTGACAACCATTATTGGCATGAGTATATTAGCCAATCATATTAAAACCTTTACTCTTATTCATTAGTCCCTTCTTTCATGCCAGAGAGTAGTACTGACCTGCAGTAACAGATCAGGGGCCACATGCATAAAGTGACCATAGTACTGCAACCCTCGTAAGTCTATGATAAAGAATGGGACTTATGACTGTTGTAGCACTAAGATCAATTTGTGCAAGCGCCCTCTGGTTTAAATGGACTGTACTTGCTACGAGACTGCATCTAATGAGTATGTTATATTGTGATAAAGACCCTATTGATTTTATGACAGATCACAGGAGTCATGATATTCATATGTCATGCGTCAACACATTTGTTTGTTTGTTCTATATAACAGCACTCTCTAAACAATTGCATCTGGATCCCAATCCACAAAGCGTTTGTAGAGCTACAACATTCGTAAGTCTATGATAAACTACTGAACTACGACATGTCGTAAGTCTATGATAAACTACTGAACTACGACATTCGTAAGTCTATGATAAACTACTGAACTACGACATTCGTAAGTCTATGATAAACTACTGAACTACGACATTCGTAAGTCTATGATAAACTACTGAACTACGATATGTCGTAACGGTACAAACTATGAGGATAGGCACCCAGGACCTGACAATCCAGGCACAATTGTTTGGCTCCTAAATTCTTAACATAGCTTCTTTGGAGACAAAGAGAACCTTGCAAGAATATTGTTTAGAGAAGTCTTTAATTCATTTCTTTACAAAGATTCTTTTAAGGAAAATGTAGCATATTACAAACTTGACAAACAGGACTTGAGATAAAATGAACTTCTATAGCAATGTGCATGCATGAATGCATGTGAGTGAGTGAGTGATTGAGTTGGGTTTTACGCCATTTTTTGAAATATTCCAGCAAGATCACGGCAGGGGACACCAGAAACGGGCTTCACACATTGTGTCCATATGGGGTATTGAACCCGAGTTTTGGCATGACGAGCTAACCCTTTAACCACTAGGCTACCCCACCGCCCCGGATGCATGTGTGTGTGCATATGGCTACTCACATTAGTCCAAACTAATGCAGGTTTTGTTGCTGTAGCCTACTGAGAGGGGTATGGATACCCCACTGAGACACAGTATACTGACTCCAAGCTGACCAGTCCTTGTTTAATTCCCCTAAATGTAAGCACCAGGCAGAGTAACAACAAACACCATACTACAACAACTTTGGTATGACACAGCTGTGTAGCTCACATCAAGGAAAACAGGTCACATTGGCCATTCAAGTACATTCTGTGAGATAAAAACAAAATTCATTAAATTCTCTCAAATCATTAGTTAACACACTTGTGTTGGGAATTGGTTAAAACCTCATAATTGATGATTGCTTCATTACAACCGATCAATCATCGATAATAATTGGTTAGCGTCAATTATGAAATTTTCCTATTTGTTTTTTTTTTTTTTTTTTTTAATGAAAACAAAAACATTATGAAAAACCATGTAGTTCTTTGGGGTTTTTTCGGTGGCAAATTTCACATCTTGAAAGGATTACTACTTAACTAGTATGTTAGGAACATAAAATTCCTTGAGTCTTTAAGATAAATTCAATAATGACTTGGAACAAGCTTGTAGTGGTTATGAAATGTAACTTACAAAACCAACCTTGTGAAAAATATTGTTAATGCAAAAAGTGTTCCAGAATTGTCTGTGTTCGATTATGAGAAAACATGATCGATTGCTTGGTCGTTTAGTCACTGCGACCAATCTTCGATTATTTCAATTAATCGGTCCACCACTATAACACACACAATATTACAACATCAATGAGTCAAGCTTTACATACATGAAACAGTTAATTTGCGACAGGTTGTTGTATGATGAATGCTGTTTCCTGCACTGTGACTACACCATGTGTTCCACATTCTTTCTAGCACATGTTCATTTACTCCACAAGGGGCAGTGGAGTAGCCTAGTGGTTAAAGCGTTGAAGACCTGGGTTCGATTCCCCACATGGGTACAATCTGTGAAGCCCATTTCTGGTGTCCCCTTCTGTGATATTGCTGGAATGTTGCTAAAAGCGGTGTAAAACCTCATCACTCACTCTTGTAATGGCAACATTTAAATGATACACATTACTGACTGACTGAGTTTGGTTTTATGCCGCTTTTAGCAATATTCCAGCAACATCACGGCGGGGGACACCAGAAATGGGCTTCACACATTGTACCCATGTGGGGATTCGAACCCGGGTCTTTGGCGTGACGAGCCAAAGCTTTAACCATTAGGCTACCCCACCGCCCCTGATACACATTAAGATTGGCATCAAATGATAAAGAAGTGATCATACTTTTATGTTTTTTTATGGTAAACAAGGTAAACATCCTGCATGAATAAATTAAGCAATTACTAATAAACACCATCTACATATCTTACAAAGTCTCATTAAATATCTTGTTTATTCCTTATACTGGATATTTTAAATATCTTAACAGGTGTCCCCGCTGTGATATTGCTGGCATATCGCTAAACGCAGCGTAAAACCATACTCACTCACTCACTCCACTGACTCAGCACAAGAATAGATCATGCTCCAGTCAGCTGTCAACATCCTGTGTTATAATGGTTATGTGATCATGGACATTACCAATGATTACTCACATCCGTCACAACAAGTATAATCTATATCCAAAAAGTGATGCCATAAATTGTAATAGATGAGTTTAGGAACAGGATATGTTTTGCCACTAAGTGATACTGTCTATTGTTCAAAACCAAGCTACTGTATGAATACTGGATAGGACTTTATATTGGAACATTTTAGTTATGAAAATACAATCTATACTGACAGAAACAAATAAAGGAACACAGGAAAATTCAAGCGTTCCTTTAATATTTTTCAGTTTTCATCACCCACTTTGACTAGGGCTGAGAGGAAATCTGAGAATGAATAAAGGAACACTGCCATGAAGTGGTGTTCCCTTATTTGTTTCCCTCAGTATACTTCTTCAAGGAAAGCATATTATGTTTTAAATTCTGTTAGTACTTAAACCTCCAACATGTACACATGAGGTAGCCTAGTGGTTCGCTAATCATGCCAACGACCTCAGGGGTGGAAATAACCCATTGCCCGACGTCCGAGTCCAGTGTTTCTTTCTGTCGGGCAAGCAAATTTGTATATCACACTGTACCGGTGTCCACTTGACTTTCCAATGTTAATTATGTTGTTTATTTAAAAAATCAACCAGAAGATGGCCGGTATAGTGGAAAACTTATCAGGGAAAGTGACTTTACATGTGCCACTGTAGCGGAGTACACTAGCATTTTAAAAGTTATTTCCACCCCTGGACCTGGGTTTAATTTCCCAATGGGTACAACATGTGAAGCCCATTTCTGTCCCCACCATCATGGACTATTGCTAAACATGGGGTAAAACATTGCTACCTCACTCACTCCAACATGTACACATTCAAGCTCATAAGCCTGGTTGGTTGAAACAATCGTTCCTCATGCCAAAGATTCAGGTTTGATTTCCCGAAGGGTACAATGTGTAAATCCCTTTTCTGGTGTCCCCACTTTGACTGGAAACATGAAACATGAAACCCTTGGGCCCCACTCACTCCAGTATGTACAGAATGCCAGAGGTTTACAGCACACGTTGAATATAAGACCAGATGTACCAACCATAACCATTACAGGACCTGCTTCCATTAGAGCCACCCTAGTAATGTACACAGTTCTCATTGCCCTCATAATGGATTAATTCTTTATTAAGGGAAGAACCCTACAGAGCATGCACAGTGAGTCACTCTGTGTGAATGTCGGCAGTCAAGTCAATGAGTGTATAATATACCAGCTGGTCACATTTACTATATACATTTCTTTTGTCATGTTTCATTTGAATCATTCAACTTGACAAGAACCTGCATAAATAGAGTCAATCTTGCACCAGATGATAGGTCGCTGGTTGCAACTTTGTCTGGCCTTTTTTAAACTCGACTTAAAAATCTGGCAACACCCCAAAAATGACATTGAAATTAAAAGCTGGGTGTGTTTTTATTCCAACAACAGAAGTGTTAATAAATCTTATTTACTATCACTCTCAATACAAACATGATAAATACAATATGAAAAAACTAGAACAAAAACCTACTGAAAATGCATCATAAACCTTCAAAACATAATGAATGTTTATGAATCCCAATTTTTCCCACTCTGATCTACTCAACATTTTGAGATGATAAAAAATATGTTTCAAACAGGATGTTTGTTATTTTCATGCTTTTTTTTAACTAACTGACCTGGATTTTGGAATTTTCGGGCAGTGATGGATCTGGAGCTTGCCCTTGCAGCAAAGGCACACAGAAATATAATATGTCAGGCATAAATTCCATATAACCCACAAATAGGAACAAAAGCCTTCACAATGCAGAATATTTATCCCTTCTTACTGATAAATCCTTTCAGTGTTGAAAAATACTACCCTGTTTTAACATATTTGTTTGTTCTCTATTATTCTCCATGGCTTTGCTAAAGAGGAGGATTTCCATTGAGAAAAAGCTTTCAACCCCAAAGATACATCTGCCCTTATCATGACATCTGTGCTATATATCAATGCAATCATGTATTTTTTGCAAATTTGGAATCACCTGAATTAGATAAGAACTTTAGTTCAGTCCCTTGAACAGATGCTCACTTAGAGTCAATTTTGTGTGTGTGTGTTTAGTTATTTTTAAGAATCAGTTATTATTTAAACCTAAGTGCACTTTGAACATGTTCAACAGCAAAGCAATTTGTTACAATGCAGATCTATTACTGATACATATCTTTCAATTTGTAACCAGTGAACACTGAGACATGATTGAACTGTAGCATGTTTTCTTTTCATTTTCAGTACTAGCGGTTAAAGTGTTCGCTCATCACACGCCGAAGATCCGGGTTCGATTCCCCACATGGGTACAATGTGTGAAGCCCATTTCTGGTGTCCCCAGTTGTCATATAGCTGGAATATTGCTAAACGTGGCATACCATACTCACTCACTCACTCACTTGATGTACCAAAAGTTGTATATGTATATGAAAGTTTTTCTACCCAAAGAGAGTTAATGTAATTTTCAAAATCAATGTTGTTTTGAAAGACACAGTGAAGAATCATACTGACAAAAGCAAGCACTTTTACATAGCAATGATAGAAAGCAGCAGCATGTAACGATGGCAATGTACATAGAAATCTGAAACTCAAGTCTTATGATTATGCTCTACTCAAAACGGTGAGTTGTATAAACTTTACACAACTGTATTGAATAGTTTAACAGCTGATCATTTCCTATTTATGATATTGCCTACAACACGAGTTTCACTTTGGAAAAACACCCATGCTCACTGCTTAAACTACAACTCTTGAAAACTATGCATTGAATGGAAACAGTGTCCTACATAAATCTTCTTGTACTACTTGTCCAATAAGTATACATGAATTCCTGACATCTCGCAAACAAATAACAACACTTATTCTTTAAATTATATGGAATATTTTGTTTGTCTGTTGTGTAACTCCACTCTCAGCAATATTCCAGCTATGATGGTAGACTGTAATAATCAAGTCTAGACCACATAATCCAGTGATTGACACTATGAGCATCTATCTAAGCAATTGGGGTATGATGACATACATACAAAAGTAAGTGATCCTGAACATCGATCCAGATCCTCTAAATATAAGCACAGAAGACCAGTTCTAACCCAAATATTCACAGGTCTTTGGATTGTTAACACGATAAAATAATGTACTATAATATTCTCTGTAATGTAATAAGCACAATGTGTGCTTAGAAAATTGACAAAGTGGATGTGGTTATTTAATCTGAACACAACTAGTTAAATTCCTTCTTGGAGAAGAACTGGTACACAAGGTACTTGGTTGATACGACAGTTACAAGGCAATTACATAATCCTTGTACATTGTTGTTGTTTTTCTAAAAATCTGTAACATACATTTCATCTTCCATTATATAGAATTACATCTTAAATGAAGATTTTTGTCTTATTGCAGTAAAACTTAAAATACAAATGTAAATTCTAAACCCTTAGACACAAGTATCAGCGATGGAATCACAAAGATCCATCATGTGAATTCTTCAACCTGTTGATGACAAAATATAACTACCTCTTTAATCAAATGGTATTAATGTATCTAAACACAAACTGAAATATAATATTAAGGCATTTATGCTTATCCCTCTGACATGACACAAACATATAATTACACTCTTTGCAACATAAAAACTAGCCTTGCTCCTAGGCTGTACTGAATGCTAAGCCAATGGATGTATAGTATTTTATCCTTTACAGAGGCAAATAAGTCGAGAATAAGTGGACAGTAAGGAAGCATTATCCGCATCATCATATCCCAGTTGTGTAGGTCAATGCTCAAGATGTTGATCACTGGATTGTCTGGTCCAGACTCGATTATTTACATACCACCACCATATTGCTGGAATATTGCTGAGCAGGGCACCAAACAACAAACAAACAAAAACTATTACTAATATTAGAGGGACAATGTGTTCTTTGTATTTATATGTTTCTATAAATTATCATTCATAACACTGCAAGTAAAATCGCTGGAGTCAGATTTGAATGTTTATCATCAATATATGAGCGGCAAATCGTGAATCAAGCTGTCAAAATTATATCTGACCATACTCACTACTTAAATTCGGAATACAACCTCCTCCCTTTAGGCCGCCGCTACAAAGTTCCAATTGTGAAAACTAAGAGAGCCTGTACATCCTTTATTCCAAGTACCATATCTCTCTTAAACAAATGTGAAGATACCTAAATCAAAGAATTTATGTAAATATGTTTGGTATCTCTCTAATGTGTCAGTAGCTCTGCTGATGTAACACAAATTCCTGAAAAGGCATTAAAGTATTATTCTATTCTATTCTATTCTATTCTATTTAAACTATTAATTATTACCTTATAGACTTGTACATGTCAACAATAAAATACGAGTAGACATCCATTTTGCGTTTCCAATGCAACAAGTGTGTACTACATATTCCATTACATTACGACAAGCGTAGATAACGTATTTTGACAGTGCAGTGATCACTTCTCCAGTGCTTAAGACTGCCCATACGTAACAGTCTAAAACTAGCGGTGTTGTAGCGAATATTGATCGAGACATCTGCCTGTGTCCAAACACACATTCTGGGTCAGATGTGTTACATACACACGGGCAACGATTCAAACAGGGGGTTTGCAGCTTAAAACACACTGACACAGCTATTTATAAACATGTCCTACACGATACCATAATAACTCAGTAATTGATCGTGGCTAAATGTCAGTTTAAACCAAACGCTGGGGCCATAGCCCTGGTTTGATTTAGGGTGATCAGTTTATGCGTTAATTACAGCCCCCGAACATCAATAACCACAACCATGTGTAATGTTATGCGTAAAAATCCACAAATCAGCATGAATCCTTGTAGTTTCTAAACGAAAGAACGGACATCATCCTGCAAAACTCCTCCGTCTGATATGGCATATACCCGCGACCATGGTGCCAAAGTCATCGTTCGTCTGTCATAGCGTTTTACAGCTATCACAATTACTCCAAATTAAAGAAAACTTACCAAATTGTGGTTCCAGCATATCCGTGCGATAACATGGCAGCAATGAGTTTTCGTGTCTGCTACCAGCCTCGCTGTGAGTGCTAAACCAGCAGCCGACTCTACCAATATTACTGTATAGTGAGGAATATCGATTGCGTGGGTTCCCTCCGTTATAGTGCAAATATTGGCAACGCGCCATATGGAATGTTAAATTATGTTGATATTGTAGAATGAGTATATACTGAATGCTGCACCTGCTGCAAGTTGTGGCTTATGAATGCAACTGCATAAAGTTAGAGTGTTTTGGTTGGGACTTTTAATGGACGACTCGAGTTGGTCTTTCGACCAGAAGTGTCACCCTATGTTTCCATATACAGTATATCACGTTTATAACAATTAAAGCTTATAACGAACTTGCGAATATGACGAACTGTTTTTTTTCGGTCCCGGACACTAGTATATGTATAAACTGACTGACTGACTGAGTTTGGTTTTACGCCGCTTTTAGCAATATTCCAGCACATCACGGCGGGGGACACCAGAAATGGGCTTCACACATTGTGCCCATGTGGGGATTCGAACCCGGGTCTTCGGCGTGACGAGCCCACGTTTAACCATTAGGCTACCCCACCGCCCAGTATATGTATATAACGAACTACGGTTGTTACGAATTAAAGTGGTGATCAGCATAAATTCGTTATAACCGTAGTTTAATGCGTAACAAAAACAAACAAACAACAGTGCAAAACACACTAGTTGTAATTAATTTTCATCTGGTATCCATATAATTACATAGTCACGGGCTGTGGGGTAGAGTAGTTAAAGCGTTCGCTTATTACGGAGAAGACCCGGGTTCGATTTCCCACATGGGTACAATGTATGAAGACCATTTTTTGGTTAGACTAAGAGCTAGTATCTGAAATGAACATATTTTACACAAAATAAAAGTTTTTAATTCAAATCATAAATGCAACATAAAGGAGCACAGAGACTTTCTTCATTTTCAGAGATCCTGAAGCTGTGGAAATATAGACCTGCCACATTTTCTAGACTTGCGTGGGTTTTCATGGGTATATTTGCTTCAGGGTCTGTATGACAGACAGATTTCTGGTGTGCCCCGCCGTGACTCACATAGTCATCTACCCGTGAAGATCCTGGTTAGAATTGGTCTTCAATACACCCATGCTTGTCGTAAGAGCCTACTAACCGGATCGGGTGGTCAGGCACATGTCATCGTATCCCAGTTGAGTAGATCGATGCTCATGCTGTTGACCACTGGTTTGGCTGGCTCAGACTAGATTATTTACAGACTGCCGCCTTATTGCTGTGTGTGGCGTTATAAGTAAACAAGCAAACCTGAGATCTCGTTTTCTGGTTAATGCTGCAGTAGGTAGTTAAGATATCTGGGACGTCATATAACATGTGTTCAGAGATAAGAGATGAATAGTTGCCAACACAACTCAAATAAACAATTCGTATACATGATCACAAGCTCTATACGTAGATGGTTTATTCTTTTAGATCTATTGGTTTAACGCCGTACTAAACTATACACTATAACTATGACAGCAGTCTGAGTCTGGACCGGACAATCCTGTGATTGTTATCTTTGCCATGGATGACATGTATGAACCAAGTCAGTGAGGTTATATTCGACAAGCAGGGAGTGTCTAAGACCAGTTGTAACCCTGATCTTTATACATGAGATAGACATTCACTGACTGACTGAGTTTAGTTTTACGCCGCTTTTAGCAATATTCCAGCAATATCACGGCGGGGGACACCAGAAATGGGCTTCAAACATTGTGCCCATGTGGGGAAAGATAGACATTCACACGTCAGCTTAATAAGTACAATTTGTATAAACTATGCACACAAGTAACTGGTTTTGTTATATAACAAAAAGGCTATATAAAAGCATCGGGGCGGTGGGGTAGCCTAATGGTTAAAGCGTTGGCTCGTCACGCCGAAGACCCGGGTTCGAATCCCCACATGGGCACAATGTGTGAAGCCCATTTCTGGTGTCCCCCGCCGTGATGTTGCTGGAATATTGCTAAAAGCGGCGTAAAACCAAACTCAGTCAGTCAGTCAGTATAAAAGCATCGCTATTAAAACTGACCATGAATATCCCACCTTTAGTTATTGCTAAATGTTACTGTTTACTTACTGCAAGGTAACACTATGGAGGCAAAAAACAAAACAAAACGAGACAACAACTTCTACCTGAAATTGAACAGCTGCCTGTATCGATTGTTAATTGTTGTGAGTATGTATACACTTGTTATTAGTGAACTGGCGGTGGGTAGCGTACTGGTTAAAGCGTCCGCTCGTCACGCTGAAGACCTGGGTTCGATTCCCCACATGGGTACAATGTGTGAAGCCCGTTTCTGGTGTCCCTGATCCGATATTGCTGGAATATTGTTAAAAGCGGCGTGAAACCATACTCACTCACTCATTCCCTCTGACCACGTTGGAGGTAACCAACATGAAGCAAGGAAAGGTGGAATTGGAGTAAGCTTTGAACAAATCACTGTCGACATAGGTTACAATTTGATCAAACCGGTTCCTATTTAACTCAACAGAACCGAATGATGGATACTTGTAACATACACCCAACAAACAAAACTCTTATCTCATTTACATGCAATGTTCCCTGGTCTATTTGTAGCAAAGATATCGGAAGCGGTCAGCCGTTAAACATATGTGCCCTCATCAGCTGTGTCGGTCACTTGATAGACAGCAATGGGTTACTCGCACGTGGCCTGATATTGATTACACCCAGGATCATAAATCCTTCCGTCTCTACGCTAACTGCTTGGCTAATTGCTCTCTCCTCTCTCTGACTTTCCTAGGAAGACGCGTGGTTTGTTTTACATGCTTTATCATGTTCTCATCACATATGTATTTTTGTGTCATTACATCTGACAGTATAGTTTATAGTAGCTACAAACTGGTGGATTGTTTAGGCTGGAAGTGAATGTATCGTGTTCACGACGCCGTCATGCGCGTGGATAATTTGAAGTTAATTTATTCCCTAGGGTGATATGTTGATCCATGATGGAATGCGCTGGTTTTGATGTAATACGGGCAGATGCATTTGCTACCTCAAACGAGGACATTACATTATATTTAACAGTTGAATGTGTTTGTTTTTCAATTCCTTAGAGTTAAGTTTCTTGTTTTATGTCGTAATTTGGGCCTCTTGGCCAAGAGTACAATATTATATACACCTAAGCTTTTCGTTACATGGCAGTAAATATGGCATGTTCATCACTCCTTCAAGCAAAATCCCACTGATTAGATAGTGTTCAATTTCCTTGATACGATCATTTTGAAATTTTAACTGTTGCGAAAAGCAACAGAATTTACATTGAATTCGCACCAAACACTGATGTCCTAAATGTGTCATATCTCTCTGGAGCTACCAGGAGGATTATATCCAGTTTTCAAGCGTATGCTTTCTTTTGCCCAGGAGTTTGAAAAATTATTAATATTCACAAGGCTTTGAAAAATAAAAGTGCATTGAAAACAGTTTTATTTGCTCGTATGATGTATCAGATATATACTGAGTCAAAAAAAGAAACTTCACAAAATGTAATTTGAAAAATAATGAATAATTGTTCTCTGATGATACATCTATGTATCCGAAATGGGATCCCTATCTTTCGACTCTAGAAAAACGTTAGCAAAACCCACTCAAACCCATCTATTCGTCGTGCAAATGACGTTAGTGCCAAATCAGGTTTTGCACGTGCAGTCGATCACGTGATCTTCGCATCGAAGTTTTCTTCATATGCACGTGTTTGCATTGGCCTCAAGAATTGAAAAAACACTTTTAAACCACAGTTCTAACGGTACTTGAAATGCCACGATTGTCAAATGTGCAACGTGAACGTGCCGTTGGCATGTTGCAGGCGGGAAGATCTGTTATTGACGTCGGAAGAGCAATGGGATGCAGCCGTCGTACAGTGTATGACTTGCGAGGTCGTCTACAACAAACTGGCACCACTTCTGATCGCCCAAGGTTGGGTCGTCCACGTGTGACGTCACGAGCAGAAGACCGTCAAATCGTCCTACGTCACCTACGTGACAGATTTCTGCCGGCTACACGAACCAGGGCTGAGATGTTTAGAGGTCGACTGTCCTCACAGACCATTCGAAATCGGTTGCGGGCTGCCAATCTCCATTCTCGACGTCCATATCGTGGGCCAATATTGACGCTGTTTCATCAACGTCAACGTCTGCTGTGGGCCCAACGTCACCTCCGATGGACCCAGAGAGACTGGAATCGAGTCGTCTTTAGCGATGATCAGGTTTACCCTCAGATTCGCGGACGGCAGGCATAGAGTCTGGAGACGACGTCGTGAACGGTATGCCCAATGTTGTGTACAGGAAGTCGACAGATTCGGGGGCGGAAGTTGCATGGTGTGGGGTGCTTTCTGTGGGAACAACCGTTCCCGACTTCTGGTCATCCGTGGAAACCTCACAGCTGCTGCTTACCGCGACCAGGTGCTCACCCCTGAACTCGTTCCTTTCATGGCGGCTCATGGCCCAGGTCTACAGTTCCAGCATGATAATGCTCGGCCGCATACCGCGATGTTGACACGAAATTTCCTTCAAAACGCTGGAATCAACGTCATGGACTGGCCATCGAGGTCCCCTGACCTTAATCCAATAGAGCACGTTTGGGATGCACTTGGGAGAAGGCTTCGTGGTCTTAGGAACCAACCTCAGAATTTGCAGGAACTTGGCGCTGCCTTGCAAGAGCAATGGCGCAGAATCCCCAACCACGTGTTCACAAGCATCAGGCAGTCGATGAGGAGACGGTGTTTGGCAGTGGTGAATGCGCGGGGCGGCCATACACGATATTGAACTGAGAAATTTCGCATTTTTATTCTTGTGACTTGACATTCTGTATACCCATGTTTTGGAACGGCGGTGTAGCCTAATGGAACTGATTATGGCACTGTCAGTGTATCGAGTACATCACACAGATCTCAGCAATGAAATAATAACAATTTAACCATCTTACCACCTCTTGTTCTTTTATAGTGCCCTGAAGAAAGAATGTGAAGTTTCTTTTTTTGACTCAGTATATGTTGGTAGTGATGAAAGG